AATTGGGTACAGCAGTGACCCACTGCTCTTTGCTCAACTGTTGGCATCTTGCTTCTCCACAAGAGTGAGAAGAAGATCTCCACCCCTCGGAGTCCTCACTATGACTAACTAGTGACTCCTGCTGGAAAGCTTGCGAGTGGTGGTTTGAGGCAAGACCCTGGTGCCCAGGTTTAATCAGTTAGGACAGGCACTTTGGCTTCTTTAACCCAATCGTCTGAACAAGCAGTGTCACCGGTGGAAAGTTTCCCGAACTTATTCCGTGCGTAAATAAGTGCGGGGTAATGTCAGTGGTCAATGTTAATTAGAACAGGCAGGATGTATTGCTCAACAGTGACTCACCCGCTGCTCTTTCCAAGAATGTTTCCTTTTAGCAGCCTCTTTCATGGGTGGGTCTTGCAACAGTCAACAGAGCACAATGTTGACTGTTAACTGGCAGCGAAGTAAGTGAATGATGGCTCACTTGTGCTGCTGATGTATATAACCTGTAATTATCCCTGCTAGCTGTTATGGGATGATTATAGGTTGAGTATGTATACACTTAGCAGGAAAACTAGCGACTGTTTCCATAGGCTGTTTCCATGGGTGCTCTGGACAGTGGTATCAATGCATTTGTATCCATCTTATTTCACCTGCGGAATACAGTCACTTCGCTTTACGCTATATCCTGCGCGGTGTTTTGAGAGGTCCTCCCAACGTGAAAGGCACTGGATCAAGCATATCCAATGTGAGGATGATTATTATTATAAAGTCAGCTTTGCAGTTTGCTTACGTACGTGTCGAATTTCTTTGCACCAACGCCGGTTACCTAATCCGATCTTATAGCAAAACTGTTTTCTTTCAAAGGTGTGACATTGCTTTGTTCTTTGTGTGTTTGATTTATTCCCGAGCAATAGTTTTCATGACCTTGTGTTGCCCTTCGTGGGAGATTGGAATTGGGTATGTGATTGCTGAAATACACACTGGCCAGTGGAACGTGTCTGGGTTTGGAGCTAAGAGTTTATCCATGAGCCTCTATCTTCACAGATGCTTTCCATCTTCTTTTTTTCTTTTTTTCAAAAAAAACATTCAAACTCTGCATCCTTAGAATTCCTCAACATTGATAAGGATAGAAGAGACCTCCCAGCCAAGAGCTGCCTTTAATTTGAGCCACATTAATCAACGCTGCACGTTCTGTCTTTCCACCCAGAGATTTATGCATTCAATTCAAAGGCTCCACTCGTCCGGCCAAATGTCCTTATTGAAGTGACCGACCGATGCCTTTTCATCCTGTTTTGAAGCACCACAATAGTCTGGCTTTGGCACATTTAGACTGGATACTCTTCATGAAGCTTTTAACGTGTAGGACTACGGGGGAGTGGGACTAGCTGGTAGCTCTTTCAAAGAGCCGGCATAGGCACGATGGGCCAAATGGCCTCTTTCTGTGCTATAAGCTTCTATGTTTCAGTGTTTCACTGAGGGTATTCCAGCAATTCAGTCGCCTCCCTCCCTCCATCATAGAAAAGAATATCAGTCTTGTGGGTTAACAGTTTGCTGCTCCAGTACTAAGTCCTGACTGGCACAACTTCAAGCTAAAGTTTACAGAGAGCAGATGGCTTGGCTTATCCATGATCTCATGAACTGAAGGACCAGCTCCAATAAAGCCACTGGAGCAGTGTGACCTGCAAACCCTTGTCTTGATCACGAGATTGTGGACAACAACTCGTAGTCTAGGCAGCCTCTGTCTTGTGATCTAACTCACTTGCCCTGTTACCAGATCTATATATTCATTGTAACACAGTCTGCACCGCACTCCAGAGTTGGGAGCCCTGCATTGTCAGATTGGCCAAAACCCACAGTTGCCGTGAAGCACTTTGGGATGTTTCGACATTCTAGCACTGAATCGAACGGAAGGATTATTTAATTTTACGTTTGGAGAAAAGGATGTAAATATTCTGGTGAACAGTTCATTAGAAGGCGGCTGTATTGTTCCAGCAAATGTGCTCAGGCTTGAACTTGAATCTTTCTATCTGGTTTAGTTCAAACAAATACTGGAGACGATACAAAGATGAGATCCAGACTGAACCAGCGTATCTGGCCGCAGGCCGAGAAGCAATTTGTAACACTGGGTACTTGGTACGAGGTCAAGTAAATTAATGATCCAAACATACAAGCACAGAAAGCTGAGGGGAGCTTGCTTGTGCATTGGAGGCCTGTCAACAGTTACGTGCCTGATGCTTTGAAATTCCCTCCACATTGGCCTCCTCCTAATTGACATACACTGCGGTGGTCACAGAGGAAGAGGCGGAAGTGGATATGTTAGCTTGGGCTGTGCTTGCTCACTTCCTAGTCAGGCATGCGTTAGCATTGATTGAGATGTGGGTATGGGTTGCCTTGCCTGCTTTATTGAGTTAAGTGCAGGCAACACTGGAGGGAGGGAGGGAGGAACAAGATGTACATTGCTGCTGTGTAGATGGATCCAGATTTCTGAACGGTTTACATATATATATATATATAGCACTTTTCCGGGGGGGGCATTTAAAAAAATTCTCACTTGTCCATCAACGATGTTGGTCATGTGCAGTGCTTAAATAAGAAGGAATCTATTTACACTGTCTGCACACACAGTGTTTTTCTTGGCATTTCACCATGCTCTTCTTAATCGGCATATTTTTCTCAGTGGTGGGCTTAAGGCTCATTAGATCATTGTGGTCCAGACTCCGTTCCCCGATCGCCCCCCATCCTCGCCGGCTCCCCATCCCCCAGAGGACCACCTTCAAGATCCTCACGTTTAAAGCCTCCACGGTCTTACACCTTCATGGCCTTCTGAAACCTTACCAACCCACCTGCACTTCCCACTCAGCAAGCAGTGGCCTCTTTCATATCCCCACCACACACACACACACAAATCAATAATGTGGCAAAAAAGGTTCTATTTGTCCTCGTTTTGAGGAACGTGACTGGTTCTTGTTAAGTTATCCATATGGTAGCTCCTAATGTTCAGCCCTGCCTTTAGTGGCTTCTCTGTGTTCCTTATCAAAGTGGCTGCTCGCTTGGTGACTTTCTATCCCAACCTTCCTCACGGATGCCAAGCTTTCAGGCGTCAGGACTCTGAGGGTTATCGGCCTCAGCCATCGTAAGTGTCATAGAAAGGCAGCAAACAATGTCTCGTATATACTTTCTATTGGTAATTACACTAGCATGAGAACAGTGTGTCCTGTTCTCTCAGGGTGGGAAGAGCAGACTGTTATCAATGGCAATGTAGAGCGGAAGGTATTTATTCTGTGATTGTCTCAGTGACACCGCTGTGAGAGGGTAAACAAACCACATAGACTGTCTGCCCTCAGTGATTACAAAATCGTTTCTCAAACTGGAACACATCAGGTTTACACGGTGCCTTTCACAACCGGAGGATGTCCTAAGGGCTGAACAGTCAAGGATTTTCACCCGAGCTGGGGGTTGGGGATCAGGAGGGGTGGAGGGTAGGAAAGGTAGGGGTAGGAAAGTGGGCGAAGATGCGATCGAAGAGAAGGGTTTTGAGATGTGCCTCGAAGGAGGCAAAGGAGGGAGTGAGGCGAAGGGACTGTGGGATGGAGTTCTAAAGGGTGAGGGCAGAGAGACTGAAAGCCCGACTGCTGATGGTGGAACGGGCTGAATGGGGGACATGGATCAGGCTGGAGCTTGTTGAGCGGAGGGAGCGGACAGGCCTGTATGGGATTAGCAGGTCACAGAGGTAGGGAGGAGCAAAGCTTTGGAGGGCTTTAAAAGCAAGGAAATCTGGTGTGCAGCAGTGTGGCTCTGAAGTGGTTTCCTATGTAGTTGTTTCAGAGTGTACACTTTGCTTCTCTCTCACCCCCACTTTCGCACACGACCGCTCTCTCTCCCCTCCCCCCCCTCCCCCCGCCGCTTGTGATTTCCTTGCGCTCAATGCACCTGTGAAACCTTAGCTGCAGCGAGTGCGGTCTGTTACCCACACTGCGCTGAGCCCGTTGGAGAGCTTTATCGTCGATTGCCGAGCTGCAGAAAGAGCGAGAGAGACAACAAAAGCTACTAATGGAGGAGCTGAGACCTTGGGGATAATGTCCCAGAGAGAGAAACAGAGAGAGCAGAGCGCGCGCTCATGGGGCAAGGCTGAGGCCGGGAGTTCAGCTTCAGGTCTGTCTCGTCTCTGAGCTGGAAGGTGATTGATGCTGACAGTTACTCTCCACAACACAATCTGTTATACGCACACACAGAGTAGAAGGCAGCAACAATGCTCGCTTCCTGCATCTCCCCCACCCCCCCGTGATCCTGTCAATTCTATATTCCACCTGTGGGGGGTGGGGGGGCAGGGCTTCTGGCTTCACTGTAATTGACGGCTCTGCCGTTTAATCTCTGGCTCCTGCCCAACATTGCCGCGGGCGCTGACCGCATCATCGTCCGCGGATACTCTTCGACACGTCACCGAGCCAGTCCGTTCAGTGAGGGAATGGTGATAACTGATCAATTCGTCTACTCGGTGACCTGCTGTATCTGCCAGGCTTTCCCAAGTTGTCCTCAGGAGATTTACCGCAATGTCTGTTTGATTTTACACCCAGAGTCCCCTCCTGATGGTCTCTCCTGTTAGGTAAATAGCCTGCATTATGGACACGTGACGTTAGCGTGTGGTAGCCGTGGTAACCCGGGAGAAACAGGACGTGCGCCAGCCTCCTCCGAAAAATATACCCAACTGTTTGTTCGGATGCTTGGGAGCGAGCGAGTGAGCAGCTATTACAATGATGGTTTGGTGACATTAACAACTGTCTGTTTGTCCCAGGGAGTTTCCCAGAGAGGAGCCTGGCTCCTGGCCGCGGCTCTGTGCTTCTGTAGTGGGGAAGACAGGCACCGTCCTGTTGGATGGAACACAGACGCTCTCTTCCTCGGTGTCATTAAATGCCCGGTGCTATAAACAGGAAATCAGTTTCTGCTAACATTGGCATTGCGTGTGTGTGTGTGTCTGTGTCTGTCTCTCTCTCTCTCCTCACTCTGAGCGTCTGCCGTTTCAGGAATCGTCAGATGTACAGACAGAGCTTCGTCCTCGTCTGTGTCGCATGAAGAAGGGCCCCAATGGCTACGGCTTCAACCTGCACAGCGAGAAGTCCAAGGCCGGGCAGTACATCCGAGCCGTGGACTCCGACTCCCCCGCCGAGAGCTCAGGGCTGCTGCCACAGGACAGGATTGTGGAGGTGTGTAAGTCTGGATTGCCATCTCACACCGTCTAGCATTGGATTTCAAACCTTGTCTGGCTCCTCTGGTGGGTCATTTGGTAAAACTGCAGTGAGAGACTGCGCGCGTGCGTGTGGTTTGTGTAGTGTAAGCTTGTAGTGTAAACCTAACCCTCTACCAACCTGTCCACTCCCTCTGCCCAGCGGGCTCCGGCTGGCTTCACGTCCCCCGCCTTGTCCACTCCATCATTGGTGGACGGGCCTTCATTCTCTCTGCCCCCACCTTTTGGAACTCCACCCCACAGTCCGTTCCGTCGCGCTCCCTCCCTTTGCCTCCTTTAAGACCCATCTCTTCGACTGCTCCTTCGGTTACCCTCTTACCCCTGCCCTCCACCCAAACACCAACTCGGGTGCAGATCCCTTTGGTTCCAGCGCTTTGGGAGGCCCTCCTGACGTGAAAGGCGCTGTGTAAATGTAATGTGATGTTGTTGTCGTTGGTTCCCGCGACTGACCTCTCCTCTCTGCCGCAGGTGAACGGTGTGAGCATGGAGGGGAAGCAGCACTCTGACGTGGTGACGGCCATCAAAGCCGGCGGGGACGAGACCTCCCTCCTGGTGGTCGACCCAGAGACCGACAAATTCTTCAGGAAATGCAAAGTCTTAGCATCGGAAGCTCACCTGACAGGTACCGGCCGCCAGGGTCTGCATCCGGCCACCCCTCGTGTGTCAGCCCCGGCTCAGTGGGTAACGCTCTCGCCTCCGAGTCAGAAGGTTGTGGGTTCAAGCCCCCACATTGGGACTTGGCATCACATACTATAAGCTGACGCTCCACTGCAGTGCTGGGGGCCATTCAGCCCCTCGAGCCTGTTCCGCCATTGTATAAGATCATGGCTGATCTGTACCTGAACTCCAGTTACACGCCTTTGCTACATATCCCCTGATACGCTGAACAAACAAATATCCATCCACAAATGTCCCACAAACAGCCATGAAATGAGTGACTGACTTTTTTATGTGGTCTTGGCTACCTGAGCTCTGGTGGTGGTTAGAATGAATGATACATTTACAATGGCAAAGCCCCAGGCTGGCTGCCTGCTCCCATTCTCACTGCTCTTTGTTCCGGTCACTCTGTTGCGAACTGATTTATTGTTTTCATCCCTTTGAACTGCGAGCCCTGTTTCAGCTGCCTCAGCTCTGCTCCTTATTGCCAGTGACACTGAGCATCGTATTGATGGGTTGTAGCATTGTTTTCCCCTGTGTTTTGGGGGGGGCATTAGCTCTGGTTTTCCAAACATGCTTTGTTGTCAAATGTTGCTTTGATCTGAGAGTACTTTTGTGCTTGAAGAATGACGATCTGAACAACAGCAACTTGCATTTATAGAGTGCCCCTCGGGCAGGCTAGCGCCCCAGGCAGCTTGACTAGTTTGGAACAAGGTACCAGGTTGGGGGGAGTGGGAGCTTCAAGAGAGCCAGGAATGGAGGTGGTTTGGGGGGAGAGGGCTGAGAGGGTGAGATCAATACATCAGCTGAGAAAGGAAGCAAAGCACTGAATGCTTAGCGCTAGAGATTGGGAGCTGTGCGAGAGGCTGGATGATGAACCAATGGGCCACAGATTGTAATCCTCTGCGGTGAGTTGGTGCTGATTGAAATGCCTCTGCGATGCGTACGGAGCTGCAGTCAGGGAGGATGTGGTGTGATTTACGTTACAAATCTCATTCCTGCTCTTCAGGAGAACATGAGCTGAGGCTTGTGAAGCTTATTCTGGATCTCAGGTATCCCTTTCTTCTGTCGAGGAGGCTTAAGGAATCTTTATTACAAAGACTCCTCTGACTTCTCCCATTGTGGACAGCCAGGGCGATTGATGACTCACCGAGTCGTTTATCCCTGCCTTGTGATTGAAATTTTAATGAAATATTAGAATCAGGAGTGTAGGTAACCCGACTTTCATCTCAAGGTTAGTAACCGCTCTTCCACTTTCAGTCTGTATTGTTTGTACTGACTGGAGCTAAAAATAATAATAATCCTTCCATTTGATATAGCGCCTTATCACGTCTGCAAGACGTCTCAAAGTGCTTCACAGAATACACTGCAAAGTGAATTGACTATGTATTTTGTGGGTGAATGCAGCATTTGAGGAGAGTGAAAGAGCCCCACGGTTGATGATTTGCCCTCTAACCCCAGGACTACTTGTGCTGATGGTAGTGAGCGAGGATCTACTGACACAACACAACCCGGAGTCCAGTCTCTCTGGTCTGAATGGTTTTGCTCAGTGACTTGACCGTGTCGCTGAGTAAAGCCACGCATTTATTTGTTTGTCAGCGTCTTGGGATGTCTTCCTGACCTGAAAGGCGCTTTAAATATTTCTATGTTTGTGAATCACCTTTTCTCCAGCATACACCGGCCTGCTTCCTGTCTTGTTTCCCCCACCCCCCCCCCCCCACCCACCCTAAGTGCACTCCCCATCTCCACCCACCACACCCAAGTGCGCGCACAAACACAAACAGTTCCTCTCCCCCCCACCCCCCAAACACACACACGTGGCTCAATATTTACTCTGGGTGGTGCTAGTTTTCACATCCTGTTTTGCTGTTCGTGTTTTGGCCCCAGTTTGAGATGTCAGTGCAGGTCATCAGGAATCTATTCAATCAAGATTTCAGTCGGGAGTAAATGGTATTCTTCAGCTAAACAATGGGAATTGCCACAGAGTGGTTGAGGAGCTGTGGATGTTTCGCTGCAGCCCATGTTGCTCCATTATTGGGTGGAAATACTCTAAACGTTGAAAGGGAATTGAAGTCTAGAGGGAGTTTTTTTTTGTTCAAACCTCTCCTGCTGGAAATGAAGGAAAATAAGTTACATAATTTCTTTTTGTCCTTTTTATAGCCCCCTCTTTGCCCCCACCCCGGGGTCGTTCTGATCACAAACCATTAAGGAAGGAATCTCAAGTAGCTCTTGGTTCAGCCCACCCAGCGCTGAGCCAACAGGGTTTTTATTTATAAATAAATCTGGTTTATTTGAACTCGCACCAGACAGAGCCACGAAACCAGGCTGCATTTGATGCAGCGCCTTATCGCGTCTTCGAGACGTCTCAGAAGCTTCACCAGATACACTGTAATAGCTAATTGACTGTATTTTGTGCGCGAAACTCGGGAGTCAATTGTTCCGACCTTTCCCAGTCTGGTCTGTGCCTGACTCCAGCTCCACACAGTGTGGCTCTCTTCCAATTCCCCTGTGCAGGGCCCCCACAAACCCCTCGCTATCTATGAAAAGGCAGGGTTTAGAGAAGTCCTCCCCCGCCCCCCCCCCCAGCAACTTCTCAGGACGCCCGGGGATAGTGCCAGGGTTGCCCACATCCTGAGACACTGACTTGTTCGGGAGAGGGGAAGGATGTCCGTGCATTTCAATACGAATACGTGAAGTGGCGCTAACTCATCTGCCCGTTTTGTCTGAAGACTTGGCCCTTCAGTGTGAATCATAGATCTTGAACTCATGGTCCAGTGTGCTGCCAATCTCCAAATAATTAAATTCCGCCTTTCAGAAAGGCTTTACAATTGCAAACATTGGGTGGTCTGTATTCAAAACTAAATCCTTTCAGCCGTAACTAGGTAACGGGCTGTGTCCTTGACGAAGGTAGAAGAATGGGAGCTCTCTCTCTCTCTCTCTGGAGTGAGGGCTCTCTTGTGTTGTGCGCTGCTCTTTGGAAATCCAGGCTTCACTTCCAGTTGAGACTTGCCGAGAGCCCACCGCTCCCAGCCCTCGAGGACCTTAATCCTTGCTCCAAGTGTCCCGAGTCCAACCCTCTGCTGACCTGAAGGATACGGGATTGCTGTCTGTTCCAGCCGCTTAGAGCTTTGGGAGGAGAAGTGAAGGTTTGGGCTGGAGCAGTCAGTGTGAATGCAGTTTGTCGCTCCTGTATTCTCAGTGTATGCAGCTTGTGGGGGTGGGGGGGGTGGCCTTGGCTGCTGGCCTGGAAGATGTAATGGGGGTGGGGGGCACAAACACCCACAAAGCATGAAAGTGTTTGCTCCCTATTCTCGTGCCTTTCGGCCAGTCGGGAGGGACACACACTGGAAGCAAATCTGCTAATTTTCTCCCTCTCTCCCACTGCCTTTGAGAAGTGATTGGCTTCCATTCAGCACTTTTCCCACCACCTCCCATTGTGCTGTAGGCTGTGTGATTGTGTTGAGTGAACGGATGATTGACTATACACTTATTATTATTATTAAATGCATCCCACAGACTCTGGGACTGTACGATGGGGCTCTGACACGAGGGAGGGAGGGGTGAGAGATGCTGGTCATCAGGGCTTCGGTAAGGAGCGAGCCAACAGATCCCAGCAGCAATTAGACTGTCCGTTTTCTCGCTGTGTAACGTGGCTTGCCCTGGATTTGCCAGACATCGGTTTTCTTCACAGAATGATTTAGAGTCATTAATCGTTCACGGTGTAGACAAGATGTCAGCCAGACCAGACCACTGCCACTGGGTTTCATTGTTACTGAAGTCAGCGTCAGAGCTCTCTCGCGCCTCACAATATCTCAGCATTTTTAACTGCCGTTTATCGAGGTTTTCAATCATCTCCCCCCTCCCTCCCCCTCCCCACTGGGGCTCTGGGCACAGTATAACAAGGCCTGTGGCTGTTGAACAATGGCCCAGACTGTATCGAGAAGCACTGGGTGTATGTTCATGTCCACACATAACCGCTTGCTGGGGTACCTCTTGAGGGGGTGGCAGAGATCAGCAATGGTTAAACCATCCGAAGACGATTGCTGCAGATCAATACCACAATCAACTGTTTGGGGAAATACAGCAAATGGCATCACTCTGATTAAAGATGGATCAATGATGGTGCTTGGGGGTGGGGGCGAAGCCTCTGGTTCTCTGACTGACAATGTTGTGATGGTGGCTTGAAGGGGTATGGGGTTAGGGCGGGGGCAGTGATGGGATTATGGCTGGGCAGGTGGGGTGTGGCAGTGGGACGGGGGATCACTTTGCTCTGAGACCCGATGTGCTGAACAGCCACCTCCTGCTCTGAATTTCTGAAAGTCAAATTATTTTGTTCTTTCAGGTCCTCTGCCGCTGCTGGTCTTAAACGGTGACATGGAACAGAAGGTATGGAGCTTGCGTTACTTTGCTAACTCTCTGAGAAGCAGTCTTACTCTCTGAGTTAAGGCAATGTGAAAAGGCAAAAAAAATATATATAATATTTATATCCGAGTCACGGGGCAGGCAAGCGAGAGGTATTTGCAACGTCTCCCACAATCTCCCAAGTCGTTGCTGAGCTCCAGTGTGGGGCTGGGACTGACACCTGCAGGAGTGGGGTGGAGGGGCCTGGAACTTACCCACTTACGCCACCCCACCCACCCCTCCTCGCGCTCTCTCTGGCTCTCTGTCTCGTGACACTTTTAACCTTTTATTAATCTTGGGCCGAATCTTGCTGATGTTGCCAATAATCCAGTATCGGTCTTTGGCACAGTAACTCCTGTGTTGTGTTAATCTCCCCCTTGGGCTGACCTGGTGTGCGTAGACTCTTGTGTGTGGAGCTGGAATGTGGGTTGAGACACAGCTGATCGGCTCCCAGCACAGACGGTTTATTGTGAAACACTTAATGCCCCGAGCTTATTGACTTCCTGAAAAGCTGTTTATTTAGAATTGAATATTACCCTTTGTAACGTGTGTGGAGATGAACGGCATTCGCTCTTTCTTTGGTTCTCAACTTGTTTGTGGGCTGATGGGCTGTTGAGCTGCAGATGCTAACGTTGACTTCTCTTGATCCTGACACTTTTCCAGGCAAATGGAAATGTCTCCACACAAGCCACATCATCAGCCCCCTCCTCCACTGCCTCGTCTCCTCCCTCCACTCCAACATCTCCAGGCAGGAAGATGAGTGCTCAGCTGGAACAGGTAAGATTTTCTCACCATGTCCTTGAGTGCTGTTTGTTGACCGTTGACTCGATGCTGACCAGAAGCCTTTTTTGTGAATGTTTAAATGCCGCATTTCATAACAAAACACGCCTCGGCCACATATAAAGCGTATCTAACATTTCTCTTGTGTTTACTCACTTGGTGATCAGGGCAAATCGTCTCCCTTTATCCTTTGACAACCACAAAATTGTTCATCATTCGGAAATCTGTTAGGCCCACATGTCCGTCCCCCCGACTGTACATTTTGTGGGCGGAATGCCTAAATAATTAATTATAGTGGGTACAGCTTTCTTTCGCTTTCTCCGCACTCCTCTGAAGTGGTTCTTTGTCCGAGTCTCTGAAGGAAACGTAAACCGTGTCGCTTTGTGATGGAAATTAACCCCGTGTCACTCGTGTCTCAGGCGAAGCCCGAGAACAAGGCGCCATTGGAGGAGGTGGGGCTGAACCTCAGCATGTCTGCGGCCGCAGCCAAGGAGAAGGTCCACTCCAAACGCTCCACCAAGCGTGCACCGCAGATGGACTGGAGCAAGAAGAACGAGCTCTTCAGCAACTTGTAAAGGAGCAAAATAGCTGGCGTCTGTCGCTCAGTCAGTCAGTCACATTGTTCCTCACACTGTCTGTCTGTCTTTCTGTTTGATACGCATTTGATTTTTGGTTTATGACAAAGAATGTTTTAGTTCATTTGTTCTTCAAATTCATCTAGTTTTATTGATGTTTTTTTCTCTCTCTCTCTTGGGAAGGTCCACTCCTGTCATCTTCCTTCTCAATCAAATCATTTACATTCCTTTCCCGAGTGATTGGGTTTGTCCTTTCGTCAAAGCCAGGCCACTTCCTTGTACTAAAACCCTTGTGGAATGAATCGGGTGGGAGAGACTGGAGGGGGAAATGCAAGGTCTCCCTCCCACCCCTTGTTTGACCATTGGAGCTCTGTCTAACACCTAGGACTGGGCGTCTGTCTGGTCACGTGTTGAGTCCAGCCCAGGTAGCCAGGCTCAGTGGCCGGGCTGGGCCTGGCTCCAGCCATTCTTCCTTCCATCCAGCTGGTCCCAGTCCGCCTCTGGCAGCACCTCACTGCAGGCGGACGTTGGCTTCAGCTCTGCACTGAGACGTCGCCGGACGAGCAGGACCCTAATAAGGACCTCGATAGACCTCGCGGCTACTTGTGGTGGATCCACGGCTTTCTGGTTGGTGGGTTTCCCCCTCCTCCTTTCCCTGAGCTCCATAGAATTCCCTGTCACTAAATTCCACATGAACTGATTTTTTTTGGCAAATAACTGTACATAATTGTCGGATGAGACAAAATGAATGAATTGTCTGATAAACCAGCGACCTCTCCAGTGGGTCTCTAGTTCTGTCTTTCCTGTGTGTTTTGGAACCAAAGGGTTTCTGAGTGAGCAGATGATCATCGGTAAAGAGCCTGTCAGCTCAGTCAATCTGAGGAGATCTCTGGCTGGAACCATCAGGAGCTGGTTTCGGACTCTGGACAAGTCCTTGAGAAACTTTGATGTAGCTTATCCAGCTCCTAGCTGAGATCTTTCTCTCCCTTCTTCCCCCCAAGGCTTATGAGTTGAGCTGGCAATTGAGAGGAGGGTGCTACAATTGGTTTGTGCCTTGGCTGGTGGTGGGGAGAATCACCCATGAGCTGTACTGGTCAGTATTCCAAAGTCCATGGAACAAACTGAAGAGTGTGTCCTATTGAAGAATTTATTAGGGCTGAGGATAATGATGTGGATCTGAGCAATGTAGAGAGGGAGAGAATTAAGAGGCGATTGGGGGAGAATTAATTGAAGGATAGTTTATAAACACCAACTTACCCACTGTAAGGCTCAATAAGATGATTCCTCCATTTGATCAGGTAAATTGTGTGTGTGTGTTGGGGGTGGGGAGAGAAGGGGGGATAGAAAATACAGCATCTGTTTTATTCCTTATCTTCCCGCTTACCCTCGCTGTCGAATCTAATAAATACTTTAGCAAAATGATCAGCGAATCGCTTTATTCTTGATCTCCTGCCTCGCTGCTCCATGGAATCTAATAAATGCTGTCAGAATAACGTGTGCAAAAGCTTTCCCTACAATCAAACCTCTCACCCCGAGGAGAGGGTTGGCATCGAACTGCACCCTGTAGCTTTCAGTTTTCTTTTTTTTTTAAATGGAAGAATTTGTAATTGTTTTTCCTCGTGAGACGCTGAGAGAGACAGAGTGAGTGAGAGAGAGAGAGAGGGGGGAGACTCCTTGTGGGCTGAGATCTGGCTGGAATATCAAGTACTTTTTAGCAATTTGTATTTTTTTTCAGTTTAGTTTTGATTCGGTCATCTCTCATGGAACTTCTAACTGGAATTATGCAATAATTTTACAAATGATGGAATATCTCCTGTGATGATGGCGTTCGAGAGATGATGCTGTAATGTTTGTTCCGTGAGCTAGTTTGATAGCAAGTCGCTCGTGACGATGAAATAACTTTGTAAAACTGTTCCGTGACGACCCTCCTTAAAGGAGCTCTAGTTAAGAATTCAGTGTAACTAAGGCTGGGCTGCAGTGTGTTAATGTGCAATGGCTGGGGAGGCGAGTGGGGGGCGCGGGTGGGGGTTTGTGAGCGTTGAGGTTTGAGCTTCTGCCCTTTCCCAGTGTCATTGTTTTGCCCACAAAATACATAGTCGATTCACTTTCCAGTGTATCCTGTGAAACCCTTTGCGACGTTTTAAAGGCGTGATACGACTCTATATCAAACGCAAGGATTATCATCATTCTAACCCTTCAAAAAAAAAAAAAATCCTTTTTTAAAAAGACGACTCGCTGCTCAGCGCACGTTTCAGTCCAACGTTTAATAAAGGTTCTGCTCCTGGGGCAGTGATCAGCCCTGGTCTCCGCTGGCAGTCGCACAGCCTCGTTGGTTCATCGTTCCTGGGAAGAGGGTAAAATGGAGTGTGTGAGCTCAGTGCCAGAGACAAATCTACATCACTCTGATTGGGGAGTTTACAGCCTGATGTACTGCAGCGGTTTGAGTCTATGCGGTCTTTAAATATGAATTTATTCTCAAGGTTTCGAACCAGTTGAGGTACAGATCAGCCATGATCTTATAGAAGTTCCAAGGTTCTCCGCCGACACAGTCCAGCCTCGCACATGAATTGATGGTCACTCAGGCAAGGTACCTGATACAAAGCAATAAGTTCAGCATGTAACACTTGGACGTCTCTTCCTCTTTCCTCCCCCAGTGACAGGAGGCTGAAGGTTTAAGCTCTTTCCTCTGCAGTGAATGTTATTACTGCCGAGGAAATCCTGGCTTGGCTGAAGAAGATTACTTCCCCTTGTGTTTATTTGCTCTTTGTACATTTCCTGTTGCTGGCTGTGCTTTCACACTGGGACCTGGGCTAAAGCAGGTTGGGTTGAGTTCAGTATTGGCGGTTTCAGCATTAAACACATTGAATAAGTTTCTCCTGTGCTGTTTCTCTAGACGGATCCGTTTTACTGTGTAGATTTAAGTGTTATAAGGGCAGAAATGAAATAAAATCGTGCAAATTCATACATATTGTAATTTTTAGAAACTATATTTTTATCTGTGTGTAAATTTTAAGAAATAAAATGAAAATCAAACTCTTGGGTTTTTGGGGTTAATTTCTTTCCCCCATTTGTGTCACGGAAGGTGTCGCTGGACGTTTTTCTCTCTTTCCTGGTGTCCTGGCCAACAGATAGTGATTATAATGAGCGCCTTTAGTTATATAAAGCTATGATTGTTACCTGATGCTATCTACTGTACAGCCTGACTTGACGATAGGTGGGGGATGACGATGATGATGGGACCTGGGTGGCCAGTGATGGGTGAATAATGAGCATAAAACTTTTTGGTACAAATATATTTTAATTTGCATTTATTCCGGGGGATTTAAAACCAAAAAGTGAAAAAAGTGATTAATTTACAGTTGGACGTAGTGCACACAGGCAGGTACAGCACAGTGAGGTCAGGTTCCTGTCGCCCTCAAGAGCCAGGCAGCGTCCCCTCCTGAACGATGGCTTTGGCCAGGTTGCGTGTGAAGGCGAGGCGAAGCAGCTCCAGCTTCGTGCTCTCCACGTCGTCCTCGTCCTGGAAAGAGTGAGAATCAGCTTTACACGGGCCACAAATCACATTGCGTGTTACAGCCCAGGGGCGGGCAGCATTTCATAAGGCAGGACGTGTTGTATAACAGTAAGAAGATGGCAGGGATTAACGCAAATCGGCTCCTGGAGTGCAGCAAACAGCAAGTGGACTGAGGCCTGAGCTTTTAAACGCCTTGAGAGAATGTGCAATAAGCACATCATGCCTCTCTTTCTCTTCACCCCCACTCCCATTAGTGGCAAGTCCTGTATTTACCAGTTTCACCCCCAGTCAGACGGACGGCGATTGCAACGATTGCCTCTGGCTGTAACAGCCCCCACTTACTGCTATCCTTCTGCTTTCTTGCTTGCTCTCAGCCTGTGCTGTTGTGACGTCCTCCAGACAGTGCATTAGCTCATACGTCTGCTCCGTGGAAAAGATGACCTGAGGCAGAACACAGTCAAGGATCAGTACAGAGGATCCCACAGGGGGAGGAGCAGGAATCAGCCAGAGCTCCTGCCCCATCACTTCTCCCCACGAGGGAGCAGGAGAATGGATAGGATTAGTATTGGCTGCAATGGCCTCTCACAGCTGAAAAGGACACACAGACCACCTGGTGTCTGAACTCTGACCTGAACACTGAGAGCAGAGAGGTCTGGTTTTGGCCTTTCCTAGAACAATTAGCAGCGCTGGGACAACACAGTTCCCTCAGCGCCGAAACCCTATCTAATGGAAAGATTATTGATAATAATAATAAAAAAAAGCCAGGAGCGAACAAACCTGTTTCTGCTCCAGCAGAGGGAGTGCGTCCACGAGCAGAGTCATCCAGAAGGAGCGGGGAGCGATGCGAGCGGTCATCAGGGACAGCAGCAGCCTGGCCGCCTCGGGGAAACGCTTCTCTCCGTACAGTTTGTGGAACTCGCAGTATTTCCCTGTCGCAGGACAAGTGTTCAGCAGCGGGGGTTAGAGTTTTGGGAGATCGTCGGCAGGTTAGAAATCCTTTACGTTACACCAATGACGGACTGAACCGAGGGTTTGTTACTGACAAGACAGTGATTCCTAATGTCTGCCAGGGACTTTCCAGGCCGTCTTTCATTCCCTTAGCGCCTTCCGCCCACTTCACTGTCTAGGCCGGTGGGGTGGGAGGGGGGTTTCCAACCGGTCGGTCGCCACTAGGGGCTGCTGTCTCACATGATCTGAGATAAAAGGAGTGAGAGAACTGCACGGTTCTGAGTCAAATTGAAAACAACCAAATGCACAAAGTATGCATTTGTGAGATAAAGATATAAACTTTGCTTAAGTGGCTGTAAATATCGCTCCTGCCTCTTGTTTTTACTGAGCAGGTGCAAGATCGACCGGTGGGAGTCCCTGGTCCAGGCTGACAGCCCAGGACACTGTTGGGGAGTGCTGTATTGTCAGGAGGTACCTTCCTGCAGACCAGCACTGGATATCAAGGTCCTGTCTACCTATTTAGGGATCCCCAAACATGATTTGAAAACAGAAGGGAGTTTCTCTCTCTCTTCCGGTGTCCTGAACAATAAACCCAAGGTAACATCAGTCACTCACATTTTGTGGCTGGGACGTTGTTGAGATAAATACAGTCACTACATTTTATAGCAAATTTTGTGAAAGGCTTTGGGATGTCATTCCCGACGTGAAGGTTCTGTATAAGTGTGAGTGTGTTGGGTATTATGTTCACAGGTGAGTATGAGATGGAGAAGGTGTGAGTGAGAATCTTGGGCAGTGTGACAGCCATGTTAGTGTCCTCACCTAGGAAGGTCAGCCGGTCACTCAGCAGCATAGCTGAGCCCAGGTTGTTGATCAGGTCCAGGTCAGAGAAGCTGCCCCGAGCGCAGTAATCCTGCAGGAACCTGCAAACCAAACCAGGGCCTTAAACGACAACAACAGCAACTTGGATTGATATAGCCCCCTCCACACCGGACGACGTGTCAGAGCGCTTTACAGTAATGGATCCTGGTGCAGGGGGAGGAAGGTAACCAAAGGCCCGGTCAAAAAGAAAGGCACACAGAGCCTTACACCACACCCAGGCCGGCTCCAACCAGGTTAGATTTCAGAACCGCGACACTCAATACAAGCCGCTGGAGTCTCAGATCTCATTCCTATCAAATACCCAACAGTTTTGCTGGGCTGTGACTTTGACAATTATAAGCCACCCGACAGCTCACTGCAGGGCTATTCCTCATTGAGAGCCTAGACAGTGAGCGTTAGATCAGACACATTGAGCTAACCTCCCTCTGCACACAGGAGCAGGAAGCAGGAGCTCAGGCTCGGAGGAGGAGACCCGGGGAGGGAGGGAGCTTGTTTGCGGCCCCAGTCTCTGATATCCGCACAAACCTATCAGAGATGAGAGTTGCGAAGGCGGCGTCTTTCGCTCGGATGCTCCAGGACAGCGCTGAGCCCAGCCGGTTGTTGCGCACGGCCTTCATAGCCATGATCTTGCAGATACTCCTCACTGCAGAGAAACACAAGAGCACGTTAATCGCGAGGCTCGATTCCAAGTCCCCGCCTGACCTGATATGGCCAAACCAGACCGAGAGTGCCACATAACCATGTCAGCTGCACACCGAGATCTCCCTGCATTTGGAATGGTTACGCACTCTCTCGCTGGAGGGAGGCTCCCTGCTTTACCTGATTCCAGAGAGTGTTAGTCTCAGGATGGGCGACTGAAGAAGTTTAACCAGCTAAAACCACATAGGTTGCATTGAGGATACTGTCTGGCAAGCTAGGACAACCCTACCCAATGGGCTAAATCACACAACAGTATCTTGCTCAGATAACCAGCACTTAATGTCGTTCCTTCTTCTCCTCCCCTCCTCCACTAAAGCAGCACGCTGACACCCACCTTGCTCATTCATCTGTCGCTGTTCACATATCCTCAGCACTTTCAGGGCCTTGCGTTCAGTGTTCAGCGGCACTCGCTCAATGTGCAGCTCCAGGTAAACACGACCAAACTCCGGGCAGTGATCAAAATAGTCTGTGGCCAGCTGCCAGAGGCTGGAAAAGAGAGAATCAGCTCAGTCCAAACGGAAAGAGTGGGGGAGGGAGGGGGGGCAGGATTTAATAACGGACAGTTTGTGTGGACAGTCAGTAACCCTCAGAAATTCCCCCCCAGAGTGAAAGGCCTTTAATCCAGAGGTGGCAAAGACCCACCTGTGATGACAGAAGAGGCCAGAGGCATACTCCAGGATCAGGAACTCTCGCAGATTTGAACCAAAGCTGGGAAGAGAAGACAAAACGTTAAACCTTTTCAGCACTGAAAGAAAGCTTTAGAAACAGAAACCACAAAGCAGTGAATTCCTGAGGACCTTAAAGCAATGTGAAGTGAAGTCTATGGGCAGCTCGGTCATGTGCTGTACAACCAGTTATTATTCCTCCCACCCCCACAGAGAGCGGCGTGGACACTCGCTATTACAACAATCAATGTTCCCCTCATTCATCTGTACGCTTCACACTCTGTACTCGGGCTGTAATTACCCCGTGCTGCAACCTTCTGACGAGGGACACACACACAGACTGGAGCCTGGCAATGGCAATCACTCACTGGAGGTTGTGGGACTGTAGAAGGCTGCAGTGATCCAGCAGGTCTGTCAGGTGTGCCACGAACCACCAGTTACTCAGAGCGACGCTGCAGAGGAGGAGAGAGAAAATAAGGTCAACAAACAGAAACAATGGCTCAAGCACGTAAGCTGCAGTTGCAAAAATCGTGTCTCACACGGAGGGATGTTAAAATCAAAACAATAAGAGACCCTGTGCTCAGTCTGTTCGGGGCACCTGTTCCTTTCTGATGTGTGAATCGGTCCTCAGTCCCCGCTCTCACTCACCTGCAGTCCTTCAGCACCTGGTGGATGTTGAACTCGAAGGCTGATAACAGGATCCTGTCCAGGGCATCAGGACCGTTCGAGTCTCTGGTAAACTGATCGAGACAGACCTGCGCAAAGCCGAGCAAAGTTAGTCAAATCAGTTACTACCCTTTACTATATATCCTTTGAAGCACTTTTATACAATAAGAATTATTTTATTGATTCACAAAGCCCACTGAAAACCATTGATTCCCTTACCTCTGCAAAGTGATGCAGGTCAGTGGGTTTTACTGAGGGATGAGAGTACAGCAACTTAGTGACTAGGTAATGATACCACGTGGTCAGGAGATCTTTCTTCTCTAGTAATGCCTTCTCGTCTCCTAATAGGATCTGAGGAAGGAAAAGTCATTAGCCATTTGTTAGTTTGTTGGATTTTACATTACTGCAAAGGCTCGGTCAAAGAGGAAAATCTTCAGGTGTGATTTGAAGACGGGCAGAAAGGGGGCAAGATTGAGGCAGGGAGTTCCAGAGATTCAGAGTGTAGTGGCTACCGATGGTGGAGCGGAGGAGGCGAGGGATGTCCAGGAGGAGGAGCAGTGGTGCAGTGAGCCTGGCTCAGGGCCGAATATCCCAATGCTACCCTCTTACCTGACAGATTAACTGCAGGGCATCGCTGGAGGCAAAGGTTCCCTCTCTCAGACATCGCTGGCACTCCTCATGCCAGTGCCGCCACTTTAACTCAAACTCCGTCAGTGTCTGAGAGCTTGCAGGCTGGGGTGAAGGAAAATAAAATAAACTAAGCCAAGAAAGAAGCAGAATGTTTAACCTGCCCAATAACAGCCTGCAGACTACAGGCATATTTAAATGTCTTCTCTCCCTCCCCTCTCACCCTCTCATTTCTCTATATGACAGAGGAGCCCAGCTCCACCACGTACCATGAAAACAGGCATCTTCTTCAGTAGATCATCCATGCTGACGTACATGGAATGCGCTGATGGAGCGAGCAAGGCCTTCTTCGCCAACATCTGCCGAGCCTCCTCTATCCTGCCCTGCAGCACGTAGCCAGTGACCTGGGAAAGCAAAGGTGAGAACTGTCTTGCAGCAGAGAACACTAACATGCAAACTCTGGCCTTCTCCTTTCGCACTGAAAGCTATGACTTACCACGTCCCAGTAGCTGCGATGTTCTGTGGGACTATCACTGGCCAGAACCTCTGGAGCCATGCTGTCCACCTGGCACACGTGCAGACGTACCCAGTCTAACAGATGCAACAGGAGAAACCCAGCTGCAACCAGACAAGTTACTGCTTAGCATTTCCAGAACACGTTTCACTAGTTTACAATAGACAGGTTATACCACACACCCCCCACCCCAACCACCACCGGCCCAAACAAAGAGCAATACTCGGGTTTCACATTATACAACTAAGACAACTTGCATTTATATAGCGCCCTTCACGTGGGATAGGGTCTCGGAACTCTTGACAGTGACACCGACAACAGTGACAACTCTGACACCGAGCCAGGGGGAGAGGGAGGTGATCAGTAACTGTGCCTCACAATGAGTCTTTGCCAGACAAGTGTGAATTTTAATCCTATTTTGTATCCCCGTTACAGAAAAAAGCTAAAGAGCTCACAAAGTGATCTTTCACAGCACAGTGAGGGGCTGCCGCTTACCTTGAGCTGCCTCAATGAACAGAACCTCACAAAGATTCCAGATCAGCTCCATGGCAGACAGAATGGAAACCTGCAGTGAAAAAATACACACAAATTAAAGCTGTTCTGGAATTAGTTTACATATTCTAGTTAGGGGACCTCCACCCTTCATAGCCTTTTGCAAACTGCAGGATACAGATGTCTGATGCTCAGTTTGTGTATACACTGTGTGGCTCTTACTGATGCCAGAACAAACGATAAAAAAGTTACAGAAATAGACAAGAGTACGGTAGCCAAGAACAACCTCATTTTAAATACTTTCCACATCACTTTTCTCTGGTCTTTAAATGTTGCGCATAAAAGGACTATTTCCGTACCTGATTTTCAAACTGGGTGAACAGGGCGGGATCGTGATGAACTGAAATGGAAAAAAATAGTCTCTTTTAGGCGAATCCACACAAACACAAGACATCCCATCACTCCCGACGCAGGAACGGTTACACAGCCGGAGCGCTGGAAAGTACTGGCGCGCTGTCTTGAGTCAGGCCTGATCAGGAGAATTGTTACACTGGGAGTTTTGGGTGAATTTTTGTCTCATTTCTTCAATCTTATTTCTTTGTTGTTCGCGCCAGCGCCCAGGTCAGAGGGTGTGCTCCCTGCAGCCAACACCAGAGGGTGCCAGAGATCCTCCGCGCAGTCCCCCTCAGGGACCTTCAGATAAAGAAATCTCCTTATTCTCATTTTCGAATGTCAGTAATACCCTCTTCATGGGACTCTTTCTTAAATAATGCCAGTGTCCCAGCCTCTGGTATTCTCTCTCCACACTGATAGGAAACAGCTCAGACTGGGAACTGACCAGACTATAATTCCAACTTGAACCCGTGCAATCAGCACCTTCTGGAGAGGAGGGAAGTGGAAAAAGATTTGCAGTTTACCAGTTTCCGATACTTTGTGCAGTTCCTCCATGTAAGCTCTCATCACTGAACGGTAGTTTCTGCTGACTCTGACCAGTCTGTAGGGAGAATATCAGCTGATTTACAACGTGGCCATAAAAGAGTGTACACAAACCATTCCATTCTAAGCTCCAAAAAATCACAGGGAAAATCAAACTGTGCTCAGACATCTCCCTCTCCCTCCTTCTTACCCCTCTCCTCTTACCGAGAGCAGGCCTGCCTGTCTCTAATGTAAATGCTGGACGATATCAACGAATGTTGAAGTCAGAGGAAGAGCAGCTTTTGCAGTCAATGTTTACAGTTGTTACTTACTGCAGTTTGCGAGCTTTGGCGACATTTTCCTTCTTGGTGGTCTGGAGGGCGACAAAGATCCCGTGTGACTCATTGAAGAGTTTGCGTAGAATGGGCGAGTAAATGTCTTTGTCTTTACGCACCACCTGAATAGCGGGAGCTGCGGAGGAACCTCCGGAAGGAGTCGGAATATCTGGGGATTAAACAAAGTACAGGGAAGGAAATTCAGTCAGACCTGGGCAGCGCAGACCAAATGCTGACAATACAGCTTAATAGACACGTTTACGGCAGTTTAATTTGAAACCACACTTTGGTTGTCCAGGTTGTTCTGCAGTTATATATTGTCTGATGTGAGGTAGACAGACACAACAAGTATCAGGTCTGATCCTGGTTCTGTGCTGTTGGCTGATCTCAGACAGGGTGATGATGCCTAACTACTATCAATAATGCAAAGTGTATTTCAGTGAGTATAGGATTGGCCTCAGCTGTCATACTGTAATAATAATAATATATTGAGTAAGTCCAGTGTTCAGTGTGAGCCCCCGCAACTGTCGGGAGAAGGAGGGAAAAGGGAAGGGGGACAAACAAAATCATCAATCATTATCAGAGCAGCCTGACGGAGCCATTTGAGACACAAAAATAAAATGTTACATCACAACGTTATAAAAGGAATATATAAATCTCAGTTTCCAGCTGCTAATCTGCCACAATTAACCTTCGACAAACATTACCTGCTCCTTTGCGTTTTATTGGATAGACAAGAATTTCCACAGGACCCCATTCAAATCCCATGTTGTGGTGACCGGGGTCCACTCCCACAATTTTCTGCAAAGAAAAATTATATATTCTGCTTAATATAATTGCCTCGGGATAATATCACAGGTCAGGTTTGGATGAAACAACCCCTCATCCCAGTTATCCCACCGTCATCCCAGCACAGAATCAAGTGACCAGGTAACAGTTCCGGCTATTTATGACCACACCGCTAACACCGCAACATAAATACATTCTCACACATTTCATGCTGAGCTGCGTCGCTCTCCAATTCCGGAAAGTAATAATAAAAATAATAAGAACGGCATTAGGCGCAGGTTGGGCGAGAGCCAAGGCTTGTGGGGGGGGGTGTGGGGGGAGAGCCCAGAGTCTGCGTTGGGGTAACTGCTGGAGTCTAACCAACGACAACCACACAGCTCGGCCGTTGATATCACTGTCCGGCAGCTTTCCCGCTGCTTGTCCAGCGAGGACCCCCTCCCCCCTCCCCGTGAGTGAGTGAGTGAGTGAGTGAGTGAGTGCGTGCGTGCGTGCTTTGGCTGTGGGGTTACCGGGAGCTCAGTGGGAGGATTCCCGGCCCCCAGTGACTGGTCGGCCCTTCCAGGTCCTGCCGATGGGCCGAGCCGAGCCGAGCCGTCACCAGCAGTGAGTGCCCCGGAGCCCTGCGGACCCTCCCGGCTCAGGAACCGGACCAGAGGGATGGCGGGGGGCGGGCGGGCGGGGGGGTGTCAGTGCCCTTTGCTGCCCGGGTCTCTCGCTGTGACTGGGGCCTGGTGCAGGGTCTCCCGGGCCGGGGGTGGGGGGGGCGCCGCCAGCCACAGGCCCTGATGCAGAGACAGCGGCGGCAGCGCAGCCCCGGAGCACCGGGGGGGAGAGGGAGGCTTTGAGGCCTCGGGAGTGAGCGCAGACGGCGTGACTGAGCCGCGTTCTCTCACCGTCTCCGGCGGCTCCAACTCCTCCATTGCTGCCGCTGCCGCCGCCGCACGCGCCGCCGCTCGCACAGGACCCCGAGCCCGGGGCGGGCCTCCCAACCGCCTGGATCGCCTTCCCACAGACGTTCCCTTTGTCCGATCGACTCTCTCGAAGGACATTTAACGTTTAAACCCTTTCGCCGTCATCCGAGTTAATGTTTTTTTTTGAAAAAAAATAAATTAAAACTCGCCCCCGATGGGGTGTTTTTTTTTTGCCGAGCAATATTTTGGGGCGGGTGACTATTTTTTATTAATTTGAAGCTTGCAAAGCGTGTGTTTTTCTCCCCCCCCCACACACACACACTTTGAAGACTACTTTTTCTTACGGTTTTCAAAAGCATTGAATGACTTTAAACTTAAAACCCCCTCACCCAACAGGGTTTGAATTTCTGGCGATCTCGTTGGCGCCACCCTGTGATGTCATCAGTCGGTGCCGAGGTTAAGGAAAGGACCTTCTCGCCCCCGGCGGCGGCGGGAAACACATTCGGGACAAAATCGAGGGGATGAGAGCTGTGTCTCTGAGAGAGTTTAATCACTCAATGAATCGATCGATTGATCGGTGAAAACTTATCAAAAAACCTGTTCTCTTACCGTGAAGGTGGAGGGGGAAAGGACAAGCGGAGGAGACGTCTGCGGGTTAACGATCCCGATGGGGCCCTCGTCCGTGCGGGTTCATGCGCGAGCAGAACAGCAGCACAAAGAAGAAGGACGCAGTGATAATAGTTCCTTGACCAACGAGCTTACTCTGCTCGAAACCCCCCCCCCACCCCCACCCCCCCACGCAAGCGCCTCCCAAAGGAACCCCCATTCGTCGTCTCTTGGGGAAAAGTGCTCTTAAAACTAATGGCAGTCCTCGCATTTGACGCGGCGCCCGATCACGTCCTTCGAGGCGTCTCCCCAAGCGCTTCGCAGGATACGCCGTGGGGCGAATCGATTGTATTTTCGTGGGGCGAACCGTGGCAGCCAATCGCGCGCGGCAGTGTCCTGCAAACAGTCGTGGGTTGAGCGACCAAATTATTGTTGGGGTTTTTTCTTTCTTGAGGGATTCTCATCGGGCGTGTGGAGTAAGGAAACTTGCCCGAGGTATCGCCCTGGCCGGGAATCGAACCTAGGTCTCTCGCTTGAGAAGGCGAGTGCTCTAACCACTGAGCTACGGGACTCTACAATAAATTAAATAAGTCACTCAACAAATGTGAAACCATCACAGTTATCAATCAGAATGAGTTTTATGGGGGTAAAACATAAATGAACTGTGATACGGACAAATTGCTTATTGGTTATAAAAAAAAGGCACATGTACTCCATTATTGGGGCAGAATTTGCACTCAACCCCTCATGAGAACCAAAGTTGCTTACTTCCAGTTTTTTTGGAACCACCCCAGTGTCTATTTGGCTCCCTCAAAATGAACAACAATGCTCCACTAATCTCCCTTGTCTCCAGAGAAAGGACCGTGGGATTCAGTTCACCAGTTTCCAGGAGATTTATTGCTTTTATGCCTATCTAGAATCTGCCTCAAATACTTGATATAGATTCTTATATCATCGAGACATCTCAAAGTGCTTCACAGAATATACTGTAGATCAGTGTAGCCAACTTTTTGATCAGCCAGCCAAATAAATGTTCCTTTGTTTACGACTGTGCCATGTGTATCACGGCTCAGCAGCTACTGGAAACAAGGTATTGATTCAATGCAGACTTGTCTGGACTGTGCAGGTGTGAGTGATTATTTTAGGGATTGTTGGTGAGGAATCGGATAAACACCCTTCTCTTTTCCTGCTAATCAGTGTTCCTTTTACCCTTGATCTCTGCTTCCTTCCTCCAATTCACCCAACCCTCCAAAAAATCTACTCTTTACAAATTCTTGCTGACTCTTTGATCAGCTCGTACTTATTCAAGTGCTCAGTTATTCTGTTCCTGAATGATAGATGCTCATAATTTTCACACAACTTACGTTAATATGACAGGTCTAGTTTCTCCTCCTCTGCCTCCCCCCCCACCACCTTTTTCTTGAATAATGGTAGTAACATTTGCAATTTTCAATCCACAGTTTCTGAAATGTTTTGGAACAGTTGAAGAGATAACATTATTAATCCAGGATGCTTCGGTGAACATGTCATTTCAACTCTATTGTTGTGTTAATCATTTCCCATACATTGTTAGGCTCAACAACTCATCAAAACTAGGTACCCTAAAGCTGTTTGATGCAAATATTTAAACACAAAATAACATAGACAAGTACTAAATGTTTGAGTTAGTTACAATTTCTAGTAACTGCTGGAGCTACTAATCATGTGGCTGGTTCCATCAGACTAAATACTTTCCGAAGAACAAGCGCCCTCTAAAACAGGAATCTGGAAGTAATTTGGTGTGAGTTTTTGTTAAATTAAAATATTACAATAAACATTTAGCATCTGGTTATGGAGGAAGAGGTATCTGCGGAGACCTGGAAAGGGGAGACTTGAAGGGAATCAAAATATTATTATTCGGGGCTTCGGGAACACATCACTCCCACCCTCGCTCGCCTCCACTGGCTCCCCATCCCCCAGAGGATCGAATTCCAGATCCTCACCCTCACCTACAAGACCATTCACGGCCTCGCTCCCTCCTACCTCTCCGACCTACTATCCCCCTACCTACCTGCCCATACCCTCCATTCCTCTGGCTCTGGTCTGCTCCACATCCCCCGCCCCAACCGCCGTACCATCGGTGGCCTTCAGCCTCTCAGCCCCGAGGCTCTGGAACTCCATCTCCAGTGCCTTCGCCGCTTCCTCCCTTTCCTCCTTCAAGGCCGGTCTCAAGACCTTTCTCTTTGACCTTCAGCTCCGCTCTCGACTCTCTACCCCCTCCTCGCTCCCTCCCTCCCCTCCCCCTGACCATTTCCCCCCCACTGCTCGGGTCCTGACCCAACTGTACAGCGCCTTGGGACGTCCTCCCGACGTGAAAGGCGCTCAATAAATGGAATCTTGTTGTTGTTGTATTCTCTCGCTCCTAAAAAAAAAGGAGTAAAGCCCGACCCAACCTGTTGCAAGAGGAAGCATCAGCTTCGGTTGCCGTGTAGGTTATACAGGGAGGGAGGGAGCCGGGTACGGGCAGGAGGAAGGAGCAAGTCACCTTTGGGTGAGGTGAGGGGCGGGCGGGCGGGGCGAGAGTGACGCCATCTCCCTCCTGCCCACCCACTGGCACCGGCCACCCGACTGCGCGGTCAGCCCCACTCCGCGCACGGCCGTTGCGTTGACGCGACCCGGGCCGGGGTGTGGGGCGGGCGGGCGGGCGGTCACGTGCTCGCACGGGAGCAGGAGTAGGCCATTCAGCCCCTCGAGCCTGTTCCGCCATGTTGTTCTGGATTCCCCCCACCAGAGTAAAATAGTCTCTCCCCTCCCCCCCCCCCACTCCTCCGCGCACGCGCAGGGACGAAACCCGCGACGAGGGGCGGGGGGGGGGGGACACAGCGGCGGCGTTGGTGGGGCGGAGGAAGGGTACCCGGTCACGTGCTCTCCTCCCCTCCCCCCCCCCCCGACGCGCACGAGCACGCACCAGGGTACTTCGCGAGGCCAGAATGAGGGCGCGCGCGCGTGGCGTCGCCTCGCCTCGGCTTTCTCCCTCTGCGGCGCGTTGCGTGCGTGCGTGCGCGCGCCACCCCCACACCCCCCACCCTCCCCCCCCGGAAAAAAAAAGAGAGAGAAGCGGGAGCGAGCGTTGTGGATTTTTTTTTTGCGCTCTCCCTCCACTCTCTCTCTCTCTCTCTCTCGCTCCTCCATCTCTCTCTCTTCCCCCCCCCCTCCCCCCCCCCCATCGCCCGCCCGACCGACCGACCGCCCCCTCGTCGTCTTCTTCTTCTTCTTCTTCTTCTTCTTTGTGCCGAGGGAGGGAGACGCTGACGAGAAGAAGAAACAATGGCGGACGAGAAGTCGAATGTAAGTTCGCAGCCTCTGAGGAGAAAAAGGCGGGAGAGAGGGGAGGGAAGGAGTGAGGGGAGGAGAGAGGAGAGCGGAGAGAGAGAGAGAGAGAGGAGAGAGAGGGAAATGGCGGCCCGAGCTACAAGGCGCCAGGCCTCGGGGAGTGGGGGGGGAGAGGGGAGAGGGAGAGAGAGAGAGGGCCCTCACGGTTCCGGCCCCGGAGCGCGCGCGTGTGTGTGTGTGTGTTTTTTTCTCTCTCTCTCTCTCTCTCTCTCCTCGTTAAAGCCGCGCTCGTCGGTGCTCGGAGAGGGGGCCCCCGAGCCCGGAACCCGCGGCCTTGTTCGCGCGCGGCCCCGTTTTGAAATTTTGCCGCCATGTCCCCCCCCGTCAGAGCCCCGGGGGGGGGGGCCGCGGGCTCGCGGTGCGGCAGCGCACCCCCGGGCCACCGCAACCCCCCCCACCCAACCCCCCCCCCCCGCCAGGCCTCCCGCACCGCACCGCACCGCCCCGCAATGCGGCTTGGGCACCATGAGGCAGCCGCGGGCGGGCGGGCGGGCTCGCCCGTACCCGCTCAGCGGGGCGGAGAGAGCTCAGCCCCGAGGCCCCGCTCACCCCCACCCCCCAGTTACAATCCCCCCCCCCTCCCCTCCCCCCAACATGCCCTCCAGATCCTCTTTCCTCCCAGACAGGCCCTCCAGATTACCCCCTCCCCCCAAATATACCCTCTAAACCCTCTGGACCCGACAAAAACATGCCCTCCAGATCCTTGCCCTCCCCCACCATAAGCCTCCGGATCTCTTCCCCCAATCTCAGCGGGGGGTGGGGGGGGTCTCTACCCCCTCCCCGAACTGCCTTAGGAACCCTGTCCCCCCCCCCCCCCCACCCACCCCCCAACGCACGCCCTCCCTCCAGATATTTAAAATGGACAGAGAAGTTTTTTTTTTCTCTCTCCCTCTCGGTTTCAAAATGAAACCCGACTTGGGGGGAAAAATTTTTTTTCCTCCACAAAAATTTTTCTGTTTTCTGACACTTTTTTTTTTAATACAACTTTTTTGTCTACCGATCTGAGTAAAGCAGCTACTGGCGCGAGCTTGATGCCTGCTACCTGCTGATCCAAGGATTCGGGCTGGACAGTGCAGGGTAATTTTAATGCACCTAACACCATCATATATAAGAATCTTGCATTTTGATCTAATGCTGTTTACACTTGTTGTAAAGTGTAGGGCGACTTAGCATTCCGTAGGCAAAGGTGGCAGCCAATTTGGGCACAGCAAATGTCCTTTGAACATGAAGAAGTGAATAACCAATTGTATGTCTACTACAGTCTACTTGTAGGCATGGGAGAGATGGAATTGGGCAGGCATGCAATAGCAGGCTCATGCCTTTCATCTGACGTGTCAAGGTATCTCAAAAGCGCTTCACAGGCTGCACTGTGGGGTGTGACTGTGTTTTGTGGGCGAATCGCACAATTCTAGGAGGTCTGATTTTGAAAGGTTATTGCTGTCGGTTTAAAATTCTATTATTAAATCTAAAATTGAATGTGAACCATTTTTAAAGCTAATTTTCTCTCTTTATCTTCAACTTGAAGTTGCTCATTCCTGCTGATGTACTGTTGCAAGGGTTCCAACAGCACTCAGTACCTTTCCCAAATAGTTATTGATGTGCGACAGTGAAAGGCAGCAGAAGGTTGTTTGATTCTGTCATCACCTGACATTAACATATGCACACCTTCCACCAGTAAACAGTGGCTTACAATCCCCCTTCTGGCATTGTCCCATCTAGTGTGGTAACTTGGCACAGACTGGGAATGAAACATCAACTCATCTAATTTGTGAGTTTAACGCTGCATATGCTCGGCTGTGGTGCTGCCTATAAATCTAGATTATAGCAGGAATTGTATTGAATATTTGTTCAGCAGTGCAACAGCTCTTGTCAATACATCACACCTGCTTATCTGAAGATAAAGATTTTCTTTTTCCCCCTCTTTCCCATCATGACTGAGTCACTGTACCTTCACTATTGTGAAGCAAAGCTCACCAGCTCGCCTGATATCCAGCTTGACCCTGCCTCCTTCTTCGCTTTATTCTCTCTATCCTGCCTTCATAGGCCACAATCATTATTCACCCTCAATTCCTGTATGGGTCTTGGCAGGATTCTTGTCTCCTTTGCTGGGTCATTGGTTCCTTTCTGCTTTGCTTCCATCGGTGCACTTGCTTCACATGCCTTCTCAGTTACAAACTCATAACTCCATGCCCTATGATTTCTGAGACTTTTGTTCCAACTTTGAAAATGGTCTGCTCATCTGCTCATTGGGTACCACCTTCTGACCTTCAGCCTGGTCTGCTGAAGGAGCAACTCCCTTGCTCCTCTTCCTGGAACACCATCTCAGCCATGACCTGAAGCCCCTCTCTAAGTCTGTTTGGGGCCCCCACAACCACTGGTTCCCTAAGTGGAGCGTGATATGGATGGCTGCCCATCCTCTTGAATCCTTGGAAACAACACATTCCCAGGCTGCTAGTTTCTTCCCAGTTCCTATCATCAGGTTCGCAACCTTACAAGATTGCTCCATTGTCTCACCAAACTGCAGTATTAGCTCCAGACTCTGTACTCTGATCTCCCTTCATTCCCTCAGGCTTGGCTGATTGAGGCATAATTGTCTGACGGGTAAAACAAAAGTCTGATCACTTGCTTTAGTTTTAAAATGAAAGTAACCCTGTGACACAGCAAGATATAAATTGCAGATGTGAAATACACACATTTGATTTTGTTAAGTATACTGACTTCCATGCCCCTGATTGGGTGAACACTGTGGGGTAGATATTTTGAGAAGGAAAGAATCTGGCTCAGCTCCCATTTGAATAATTTGCTTGGATATCTGCACATGGTCACTTGGGCAAGATACTTGGAATCCAGAAAGCCATGAAGATTACTGCTCCAGTAGGTACAACAACAATAACAAAATTACATTTATAGAGCGCTTTTCACGTCGGGAGGACGTCTCAAGGCGCTGGACAGTCATGGGTCAGGACCCGAGCATTGGGGTGCGGTAGGGGTGAGGGAAGGCAGAGAGGTGGGAGAGCGACTGAAGGCACGATCGAAGAGGAGGGTCTTAAGACCGGCCCTGAAGGAGGCAAGGGAGGAAGAGAGGCAAAGGGACTGTGGGATGGAGTTCCAGAGTGTGGGGGCAGAGAGGCTGAAAGCCCGGCCGCCGATGGTAGGGCAGGTCGGACGGGAGACATGGAGCAGGCTGGAGCCCGCTGAACGGAGGGATCGGGCAGGTTGGTAGGGAGTCAGCAGGTCAGAGAGATAGGAGGGGGCAAGGCCATGGATGGCCTTGAAAGTGAGAACGAGGATCTTGAATTCGATCCTCTGAGGGATGGGGAGCCAGTGGAGTTGGGTGGGATTGATGGGGTCACAGAGCCTGGTGTGCGAGAGTACACGAGCTGCAGAGTTTTGGATGATCTGCAGCTTGTGAAGGGAAGAGTTGGGAAGGCCGATGAGGAGGGAGTTCCTGTAATCAAGCCTTGAGGTGACGAATGCGTGGGTGAGCGTTTAGGTAGTGGGACTATGTGAGCGAACATCTCAGTAGATGAGATTCGATATCTAATCACATTTTTGTCCAGACTCCATTAAGATGACAGTGTCAGAACAGGAAGAAAAATAAATTTTCAATAAATTAAAAATAAACAAGAGGTGTATAGATGGTTGAGATATTCTCAACAAATTTAACATGTTAGTTGGGAAGCTCATATCTGTAACTTGAGAATGATACAAGGTGCTGAAACTGAGGGATGGAACCCCATATGTGTCCTGAGGTCATCACTAGACCAACATTTGTCGACTTGTGTTCTGAAGCTCAACTTGCGATTTCAATGCATTTAAATGAACTAAGGAAGAGTCATGGAGCTCCTCCATAATAAAGAAGATGAGCTTTAAGTGAAGCGTGTAGTAATGGTCGTCTGGTTCTGAAAGGCAAAAGTTCCTTTCATTTCAGAAAGTGCATTTGTGTATTAATGCAGAAGCCTGGCAGAGCTGTTTTGTGAATGTAATCTGATCACTGTTTGCAAATAATCTTGGGATTGTATACCCCTGAGAGTATACTATTTTCAGAATTGCAAATGGCTAACCTATTGTCTTCTTCAGTACGTTAGCTACAATTCTCCATTTGTGTTCAAAGTCCCAAAGACCAGGGAATTATGACAGTAGTTGATGGGAATATAGCATTGGGTTCTGTAGATGCTATGCTGGGAACAGAGGATAAGCAGGCTGATTAGAGATTGTGATCTTTCAATTTCCACAGTGCTTTCAAGTGATTTTAATACTGGAAGATACTGTAGCCGTATATTTAAACTTGGAGAGGTTGTATACATTTATGTAAGAGGAGTTAAGGAACAATAGTGAGGACTACAATTTTATGAATGTGTTCAGCAGTACAATTTGATAAATAAATAATCATAATAATCCTTGCATTTGATATAGCGCCTTATCACGTCTTTAAGACGTCTCAAAGTGCTTCATAGAATACACAGTAAAGTGATTTGAACATAAGAACATAACATGTTTTTAAGTTCTTATGAATTAACTATATTGTGGGTCCAATAAATATTGCTACGAAAATCAAGTTGCAAATTCAAGATGCAAATTAAGGCAATAGTCACATATGCACAATGCAATTCTTTTCAATTTTGACTGGCATTCTTTTTAATTTTCCTGCACCAGTGCCTAGAGAGATGAAACTGCAGCGAGAGCTCCTGATCACTGATCCAAAGACCCATGCTGGAAAGTGAATATGATGAGCCACTCGAGTTCTGCTGGGATGGTCTTCGCTGCCTCCTTTGAGTTGAAAGTTTTTCTCTTTCCCCTGCTTAGTGTCACCTGTAAATTGAACTATCTTGCACTGAGTCTGAGAATCCTGATCATTCACAGTCCCTGAAACATCCCCAATCAGGACATGCACACATGTTTACAGTCTGTCGATATCTGATTGTTCTATGAATATCCAGATCGCACTGAGCCTATACCACGGATGTGTGTTTGATTTTGAGCACCGTAATGCCCTCGCAAAGCAGGTATTTAGCTGATAGTAATGCAACCGTTGGCAACAGCTGACTCCACTGCAGGACAGACACACCATCAGCATGTATGTCGCTTTGATCAACTTGCAACTGTACCAAGCATTACAAAGCAGAATTTAGCAGAGGTCTAGGAGCATATTGCCTAGTCTCAGTGCAGGAGACAGGAAGAGTACGCACTTACCATGTACTTCCCCATCCCAATTTGTCATAGAATCAGTTGATGCGTCTCATGTTTTATTCTACACACATAAGCAAACTACAGTTGGTTCTATTCCTGTTAAAATGCAACAAAGCAAAAATCGTACCCACTTACAATGCAGTGGCTTGGTCATGTTATCCTTGCTGAAGATCCCTGCTTTCCAATGAATGCTTCTATTTTTGGTGTTTGTTGCCTGATGGCATCTAAAGGATTCTGATTGGGATTCTGCACATCACATATGCTTCTTAACTGTCTGATTCTTCATTTTCCCTCCACAGGAAATTGTGAAGAAAGAAAATGAGCATATTAATCTGAAAGTGGCAGGACAGGATGGCTCTGTGGTTCAGTTTAAAATCAAGAAGCATACGCCGCTAAACAAACTGATGAAAGCCTATTGTGAACGCCAGGTAGGGCTCCGGCTTGTAAGCTGTGCTCGTGCACAACAGGATATAAATGTTTGGGGAACTTGGGGCCAGTTGAGAAAAGATTTAAGTCTGTTACAACTCTCCCAATGGCTTAACAAGTCAAATCAATTGAATAGCTGCTGCATAAGATCAGGGAAGTCTCGAGCTTGATTCCCGTTTTGTGCTGAGTTGGCTACACCGAGCAGGGACACTACAGTTTGTTTCAAGGAAACCAGTCTGCAAGTTTCGTACCAATGTAGTTTGCATTTCACTGTTAAGTTTGTATCTGGATTTGCAACACAACAAAATAAAGTATCAAAATCTTTAGTGTGAGAACTATTATAACATAATAATCTTTACACTTGACATTATTCTAGGATGATTGTCTTAAAAAACTATTTTCAGAAGAGTGAACAAAAGCATTGTGGGGTAAATGTCCTTAACACCTGGAACTCCCTCCTTCTACTGTCTCACCCCTCTCTGTCTAAATTGGCCCTACAATTTACGTCATCAACCACACCCATGTCATCCCATCTCGCCCTTGCATGGCGTCCAACCTGTCTTTCTGATGCGTTCCAGCGGTTTGGGACATTTTCCTGACATGAAAAGTGCTTTGTCAATATATATTTGTTCCGAGACATCCGATGTAAAGGATGCTGTATAAATGCAGTTGATGTTGCATCTGAAATGGGTAGATGCCTTATGTGGAGAGACAAAGGCATCGCTGGTTTGGGGCTGTTGTCAACTTGTTGAGATTTTTTTTTTTGCTTATTGAGGGATTCCTATTTACTCTGGTGTGTTGGGCTCTGACAGTATGAGAGCTGCTATCTTGCTTTGTGAGCATCTTCTCACCCGTCAAGTTCTGTTTCTTTTCCTAGGGTTTGTCAATTCGACAGATCAGATTCCGATTTGATGGACAGCCAATTAATGAAACAGATACACCAGCACAGGTAGGAGCTGGCCCTGACCCAGAACTTTGGGTAAATGGATAAAAGGGGGTGCATGCTGGTGGCAGCTATATTCTGGGATCACATTTGTGCCATCCTGCTCTGATGTTGTGAATTAGCGCTCTGGAATTCAACACCATCTGGGTTGAATTACAGTTCCATAATAATTACAGCCAGGTAAGGTGTATTCTGCAGATCGGACCTCTTTATATGTCTAGTTTTTAACGCAAGCTGCTTTCTCACAAGAATGTTGGCCCTCTTATCCCAAAGCCACATCCTCTAGTTGCACAGGTTCCCTTTAGCATCATTCACCCAGCACTCATAGTATTTCCAACTCGTATTTTTTTTAAATTCCTGACTGACCACCAACAGCATTCTTCCCATTTTATAATTCAGTTAATTTTCCCACCTTTGCGGCAAATATCATTTTACTGTCGGGAGGCAGACAGCATCCAGGATTCTGTCAGTTCATGGAAACAGCCACCAGGAGGGAGGTATTGCTGGATATGCTGGTATTACGCTTTCCTGGAGTTGGTTAGCTTAAGATAAGCTGGTCCAAAGTGCAGGTCCTCTCTATGCTGTATTTCTAATACGGGTAGATTTATTTTTCTATAAATGGGAAGATCTGTGAACACAATAGAAAGCATTTACCTGCACTTACCTCCATTGTGCTTCGGTGCTATGGTGTACATGGTGGATTTGATTCACGTCTTATTCTTGCAGTTGGAGATGGAAGATGAAGACACGATTGATGTGTTCCAGCAGCAGACCGGTGGCCTGTACTGATCGCTGCTGCTTTCCCTTCTCTTTGTCTGCTCCATGGTTCATCGGTGATCAGTGCTTCTGACAAAACCGCAAATCCTTTCTCAGCAGCAGTTTGGAAAAACACTTCTAGATTGTTTTATGTCCACACCTTCATAATAGCTTTTATGGTTTGCTGGTTAATCTTGTTGCATTATTTTTTACAAAAGAATAAATTTACCAGTTTTTATAGAACGATTAGAATTTTAAATCGTTTTTACTAAAGCATCCACTATGGTTACCTGACCAAACCCGAGTTCCGGAGACAAAATATCTTGTTTTTAAGCAAACTTACTTTTGTTTTCGGCAAAAAACATTGGCTCGCTGATCTAGGTTTTACAAATTTGTAATATGGTAAATTATTTCGTTTCATTCTTTTAAAATGTTTGAAACTGGCATAGCTTGTTTGATGGTAGCCATTCCCTTGATCAGCGTAAGGACAGATGCAAACAGATTATTTTATACCAATTTGTATTGTTGTAGTTCCACAGAGCATTCTTTGCTGCTGTATTAAAGTAGTGTAAGATAGGTCAGAAGATGGATCCCATGATTTTGTTTTCCTCATGTATGTGTCTTTGTTTCATAAAATCCTTATTAAAATAATTAAAAACTTAATGAGCTAGTCATCTTCAGCCCGGACTTTTCTTAGTGTTGTTTAATGGGGATCAATTGTAAACCCTGCCATTTGTATCTGATTCATAACCAGAGTAAATGGAAGTGCACACTCGGTACAGATTGTCTTTACAATAGGTTACTTAGGGGGAATTCTAACCGATTGCAACTTCAAAATATGTCCGCAATGTGTTTCAAACTGATTGCTGTAGTATATTATAGACCGTGTGATTTGGCAAGTTCATAACGAGAGGAGTACTGATTACCTTAATAGAATTTTAAAAATGGGGAGGTTAAGGAAAAGAAATTGTTTAACACAGAGGGATGTTCATGTGAAACTCCTCACCACAAATGGCTGTTGAAACCGAGCTCATATCCGCATTTATGGGGAATTGGATAAATACCTGAGGAAAAATAATCTTCATGAGATTAGATATCTCCAGTGTGGGTGAGGGTGTGTTTGTGTTGGGGGTGGTTTTGGGGGGTAAGGAAGTACAGTAGTACACTAGTACAGACACAAAAGGCCTGAATGTTCTGTATTGTGAACGGGCTAGAAACCAAGGGTGAGGCTTACTCCCCATTACACCATCAGCATGAAGAAATAATACCTACAATAAGAGTCTGGCAGTGAAAATAATGGATAGACATGATCTGGCAGTATTCTCTCTACAAATTTGCATTGTGGGGATAATAGTAATAATCCTTGCATTTGATTTAGCGCCTATCACATCTTCGAGACGTCTTAAAGCACTTCATAGAATGTACTGTAAAGTGAATTGATTATAAAGGCTAAAAAGGAATGTACAACCTGAATTTGACCAAAATATTTTTTTTTGGAAAAAGAAATTGAAAATGGTGCTCTTATTATTTATGTGCAACTTATTGGTGGAGGTTAGACCGAGTGTGATGTTCTCAGCAATATTTTCCTTATTTCATGCAGATGTCATTTTTTGAGGAATAGAATCTGGTTCAGCCGGGTGTCACCATGATCAATTAGCACACTGAAGCGTACAGATACTGACCTAGGTAAGGTTCCTGTGGGATTGTGTCCCCCGATAGAAGGGGAAACAGAATCGTGCCTTGGGTAGGAAAAATCTTGGTGACGCAGTGTGCAAGCACACATCACTAAGCATCAGCTAATGAGGGAGAGAAAACCACATTTCTCTCCCATCAGTAAATTGTCATTGGTAGCCACGTTTTGTGTGGCTAAAACCTGGATAAGAACCATCTTTCCAGTATGCAAATAATGTTGAAATGTGGTCTGAGCCGAATACAGAGAACATAACCCTTGGAACTGGTGTACTCCATGGCTGATGATATGGACTTTGGAGATGCCGTCCAGTCATTTTATTTTGCCAAATGTGTATTGTGGTTTAAATAGGGCGGGCAGGTTTGAGGCAACGGAATGCTGACAACTCGCTGAGTAGATTTGCAACTACAAAACATACCATTCCTCAGTTAGGGGATCCCATCAATGGGTTGCAGTTTCCACCACACACAATGTGGTGTATTCAATGATACCTCCAGACATAATGAAAATTCACCTGAAATGTTAACATGTTATAAGGCAGGGTATCTTGCAAACCCAACATATCACATCTAAGCTGTTAAAACTTGCTCAAATGAGCACATTTGTAATCATTGACAATACTGCTTGGTATTCATTTTGCCTTAAAGGGACATTTAGTAGAATTAGTTTTGAGACATTGCATAGTATCAGTTTCAGCTATAGGAAGTTGGAACAATTTTTCAGCACAGAAGGAAACCATTTGCCCCATTGTGTCTGTGCCATTAATGCAAACTGTGTTTGCTCATATTTAGCTTGTTGTGATATAATTTTACATACATTTTGGTTGGAAAATATTTTGGACGTAAATAACTTTCAGGAAATGAATATTTGAATACATTTACTTAATGATCAAAATCCCAATGTTAATCAGGCAAGTCTGATTCCAAGTTTGAAAATAAAATCTATGCAGCTGATGTTAAACGTGTGAAGGTTGATGATCACAGTAACTGCTGTACTTTGAACAGGACATGCTTACTTTCCCATTATAATTATGTTTAATCATTGACTTTTATTTGACATCCAGATTCTTGGCAAGTACCTTAGAAAACCTTACCGAGTGTAGACCCTCCTGGCTCAGAAACGTGACTTCCAGACCGCCACAGAGGGTTGACTCGATCTGACATTCCGTTGCCAACCTTGGAGCCCGTTGAGCTCCAAGAAGACCCTACTTACCTATTTCTCTCTCTCCCCCTGACCAGTCACAGTGCGCCTTTGTGTCCCGGGAGCACCTATGCCTAACTCGCCACTCTGGATAACTAGTCACTGAGCCCCTTTCCCTTGGGGTGATGAGTTATCAGGAGTTTACTGTAAGTGTTCCTAATGGCTACACAGGTTATTCATTGAGTTGCATTGTTTCCTGGGTGCACATGTGATATTAACTGAATCGGCTTGAAACAATATTATTTGTGTTCAATGTCGCAACAGGAAACCTGGCCTATAAAACTGGTATTAGGAACACAATTGCAGTGTATGTTGAGCCTAATTGGAGCTTTCAGTATGTCCATGAAGCTGACATGGACTATTCAGTTGTTAAGCAAATGTCGCTGACTGCAGCATAGAAGCATTCTTCAGATTTGTGCAGTGAATCTCACTAGTCACCACAGATATCTGAATTTTAGAAACCAGTACACCACAAAGTCAGTATTACTACCTTGTGACCATCTCAAAACATGGCTAGCAAGAGACCCCAGTAGGGTAATACACATGTGTGGATAATGGGTAAGGACAGAATTGGGCTCAGCTGCAATGTCCCCCAACGATCGAGCAGCCTGCCGACAATGCTTGGGCTCAATGCATGTGGAATGATCAGCTGGGGCGACTTACCAGAAGGTACCTGGTGTTAGTGAAACTGTAACCCACCATGAATCACCCTCCTCTGGTCTAGAGTCTATTTTCTGGCTAAATTGCTTCCCAGGGGATGTCTGTTGTGCCTGGAGTGTGTTACATCAAACCATTCTGGAGGCAGATGCTTAGGCCATCAGAGTTATCTAGTAAATTAAATTATCCCTGTAGCACACTTATTTGATATTGGAAGAGAAAAATAAAAATAACTACAGTATTTGTATTTGGAGCTCCCTGTCAAACGGGTGGTATCACTTCAGAAAATGTGTGTCTGAGGCTTCCTTAAGCACTACGAGACACTACCTGTGTGAAGGCGCTACATAAATTATAGATGCAAGTTGTTGTTCTCCTGTGTAAAAGCACTACATCAAATGCAATTATCAGTTGGGTTTCTGCTCCAAATTCTTATTAAGAGACTCCAGTAGGGTAACACACGTTATCCTTAAAAAAATTTAAAATAATAATAATAATTTGGTCATTCAATCCACGACTGTTTGTGGGACACTACTGTGCGCAATTGGCTGCCGTGTTTCATCTACAGTCAATAAACAGTCAATTCACTGTACAGTATATTCTGTGAAGCGCTGAGACGTCTCGAAGACGTAATAAGGTTCTATATCAAATGCAAGGATTATTATTATTATATCTGACACTCCGCTTGTGCTCCAATCACATACTATAATAATAATAAGCAGAAATAGTTGCTCACCGTTTACAAATAGGCAATTAAATGATATTCTGATGTATTTTCATTACCATGTGGCTCACGTTGCCATCTGTTACTGATGATGTAATTGTGCCTTATCCCCATTAGTAACCTAAGCCCAAATCACACAGGTCAAGGGACTAGCTAGATTGCTGCTCTGAGAGGCTACAGGAGGAACACCTGTTCAGGAGTTATCGGAAAGGTTTCTGCAGAAATAATTTCAATCGGATATTTAAAAGGTCATTTCCATTAATAATAGCTTTGCAACGTTTTTTTATTTGGAGTTTTTTTTTTAGTAAAGCCAAGTGTGTTTGCGGCAGGGGCCAGGATGTTTTGCTCCAAAGTGCTCCCGAGATGCCATCCGTCGTGAAGGGCACTTTATAAATGCAAGTTGTTTTTGCTTGGGTGGATCTGGGTGTTTGTGGATCTGTATAATAACCTGCATTTGGAGTAGAGCCTTTGACCCTGGGTCCCAGCTCCTGGGATCAGGCAGCCACAAGGCAGGGCTGAGCTCTACTCTTCCATCTGCACTTCTTGTGCTGCCTCAGTGCCATGACATTGATTCAGCTTGTTGACCTGCTCCCCAATCCTTGTAGGGGTCAAGCCAAATCGGGAGGAAACCGAGAACCATAAGCGCCAGAGTTCACAGTAACATTTTATCTACAAGACCCGAGGACATCATTTGAAACCTCAACACTGATTTCTTTCCAATCTGTATACTCAGTGTCCAGTACATTGTACTGCAGTATATTCTGTGAAGTGCTTTGAGTCATCGCAACAATGTGATAAGGCGCTGTATCACATACAAGGATCATTATAATTATTATTTTAAAGTAACTCAAGAGGTAAAGGAAGATGTCAGTGCAGCCATATGGTTGTAGTTCCCACTATAACATAATAGGGAGATTGAACAGAGCCAATGTCCCCTCTCTTTAAAACACCTCTTTCACTGAGGAGGAAATGATCTAAGGATTGAGATTTACATAAAACCCCAGAAAAACTGAGTGCTTCATTTGATTAAAGAGCCATTTTAGAAGCTGTAAATTTATGGAAACTTAATTGGCAGAATAGATTCGATTGGATTTACATATGAACCTGACCTACATTTTGTAATACTAGATCCAGACCTTTTCTAACAACGGATAATGCTTATCGTCTTCCTGTGATCCCTCCGCTTTGCCCCCCTTCCCCCCACTTTCAAATCCCACCTAAAGACCTTACTTTTTGATCGTGCTTACGGTCACTTCTCCCCTCCCTCTCTCCCTCTTCTCCACCACTGCCAAATGCTCCAGGATGCTACCCCGCGTGAAGGGTGTTGTATAAATGCAAGTTGTTGTTGTGATGTGCTAACTCCCAGCTTGTACTCTTATCTCTACCATCCTGACACTGTGGACATTGCAATGCAGACAACCACATTAAACGAAAGTAACCCCTAACTCACACGCTAAACTGCAATGAAAAACATAGCTCTTAGGTAGATATCTATAAATTACACCAAATATGTACAATAAAACAATAAATAGTCCACGATGGATTACTTTTGTCCTTGTGTGTAATCCACGCATTTCAAGATGTAATATTCAAGACGGATTAACAAGTTCACTCTCATGGCTTGCAAAGTCAGCTTTCCTCTGGCATTTTGATTCTCTTGGAGAAAGATTGCGAGTTTTAGTGTCTACACCCTCACAGTGCCCCAAACCACCAAGAGAACTGCCAGCAGACAAAGCCAACTGTTTATATAGACCAGCGTAAACCCAACACTTTCAAGACTCCTTATATAACTTCAGTCCCCGACTGCCTGCACAGATCTCCTAAAGCTGCTTCCCATTAAAAACGAGAAGGGGGCAGGGAAAGAACGCTAAAATAAAAATTTAGGTGGGGTACAGTAGATGATGAGATCAGAGGTGTTGATGGTGGAAGACAAAAGAAGGCAATAAACAATAAATAAAAAAACAGTGGGAGATTGTGGAAAGTATGCGTCTTAAGACCCAGAGGATGTGTGAATGATTTTAGAAGGGTTGGGGCGGGGGGGGGGAGGCAAGTCTGCGAGAAGATGGGAGCTGTGTTTAAGGTTTGAAGAGGTTAGAGGGCTGTAAGGTGCCTCGTGGGTGGATGAAATGCTGCTCTTTGAGCTTGTGTTGTGCTTCGTTCAAACAGCGCAGGAGGCCGTGGACAGGCGTTCTTCCGTAGATGCTGCCTGACCTGCTGGGTGTTCCCAGCCACTTCTGTTTTTATTTCAGATTTCCAGCATCTGCAGTATTTCGCCTCTTGCCTTTTTCGGGTCTCTCTCTGTTGTGTGTAGAGAGATTCTCAGTCAGACGATGACTGTTGTGTGAGACTGCTTGGCTCCTGCGGTGCACAAGACACAGTGGTTTATAGTCGGAACAGTGAGTGCTGCCAACCCAGAATGAAACAGAAATTGAATGAAATCGATAGATATCAGTACCTCTGAGAGACAAAAACAATGGTCTGCGCTGATTTGAGATGGACTCCCCACCCTGTGTGTGTGTGTGTGTGTGTGTGGACAGTTGCTGTCCGTTATAGAGTGTACACAGTGTGTGGGGGAGGAGGTGACACCCCCACCTTATTGTCCTTCGCTGGTGATATCACAGAGGGTTACCCACAGTCGGTTACCAAGCCATCGAGATCATCACAGCAACCAGTTCCAAAGCCGTTTAACGGCAGCAATGATAACAACCGTGCCTTCCGTTTAAAAGATGCCAGAACCCACCCCCACCCACCCACCCACTCACCCCAGCACCCACACCCCCACCCACCCACACCCACCAGCACCTGGATCCCAACTCCCCATTCCATGCCATCTTCTCCCTGGTTTGGAAGCCTTGTCCCCCTTCCAGCTCCACCTCTGGCACACAGTGCCAGGCAATACTCCTGCAAATCTTCCTCACTTACTTGCCAGCCCCTGCCCTGCCCTGCCAGCCCCCTGCCCCGCCCTGCCAGCCCCTGCCCTGCCAGCCCCTGCCCTACCCTGCCAGCCCCCGCCCTGCCAGCCCCCCCTGCCAGCCCCTGCCAGCCCCTGCCCCGCCCTGCCCTGCCAGCCCCTGCCCCGCCCTGCCCTGCCAGGCACTGCCCCTTTGCCCCCTTCCCTCCCTCCCCTTCGCTCTGGGGTCCAGCGCTGCTCCGGCATTACGTCACCGCCACCCCAAACAAAAGGCTTCCCATTACGTCACCGGGGAGACTGGCAGCCCGACCCCCCCTCCCCCGGAGTGAGTGACAGCCCGCGCCGCCAATCAGCCGCGGTCCGGGGTGACCGACGTCACGGGCGGCCATCAGGCCTCGCGCGGAGGTGACCGACGCTCGGTCCCGGGCCAATCAGCTTCCCGAGGAGCGCCGAAGCCCCGCCCACCGCTGCCGCTCGGCACCAATCGGGAGCGGGGGGCGGGCGGTCGGCGGCCGCCGGCCAATAGCGGGCGGGGGGAGGCGGGGCTTGGGTTATATATAGAGGCGCGGCGGCCGGCGGGGCGGTCCAGAGCGAGCGGAGAGACATGACCACCACCACCATCTACCAGGGGCTCGAGTCCTCGGGGCGCAGCAGCTCCAGGTAACAGCGGGGAGGGGACCGGGGACCGGAGCCGCCGCCCCGTCCACAGCAGCCCCCGACCGGCGTCCAGGGGACCCCCCGGGGGGGGGGGGGAGGGAGCGCTGAGCATAGGCACCGCCCGCTCTCTCCCCCCCCCCCACCCGGGCTCTGCCACAGCTGTGCCCGGACCGGGGGCTTTAAATAGCGGGGACCCCCCCCCCCCAACCCCTCTCCCCCCATCCCCCCCGCCCCCTCTCCCCACCAGCCCCTCTCCCCCATCCCCCCGCCCCTCTCCCCACAGCCCCTCTCCCCCCCCCCCCCCTCAACCCCCTCCCCCCATCCCCCCCGCCCCTCCCCCTATCCCCCCACAGCCCCTCTCCCCCCATCCCCCCCCAACCCCCTCCCCCATCCCCCGCCCCTCTCCCCTATCCCCCCCCAGCCCTTCTCTCCCCATCTCCTCTCTCCCCAGCCCCACCCCAACCCTCTTCCCCCATCCCCCCCAACCCCTATCCCCCCCCAGCCCCTCTCCCCCACCCCCAGGATATACAGTCAGTTCACTTTACAGTGTGTTTATTCTGTGAAGCGCTTTGATCAGACCCTGACCAGATCTATTATTAATTGTAAATCATCATCAATTGCCCTTCGCCCACAAGATATCCGCTCGGTGCACTTTACATTGACACAGTAGTCGGTGAAGATGTCTCGCCGGTGCAGCGAGCCGCGACCTCAAATGCAAGGATTGTTTTTATTATTCTAATAATTACATTATGATCATTTTGATCATTGCATTCGATAGAGCGCGTTCCTGGACACCCGAACCGCAGACCGAGAGCTTTGGGCTCGCAGGCAGGAAAGCCTGTGATTTTATCTAAAGGTGGTGGAAATCCGGGTTTAATGGGACCCGTTCACAAAGCAGAATCTTGGTTTCTGCCGCCTCATTAATTTTCTTGATTCTTTAGGTAAATCTTCCGCTTTCCTCCCCGCAAACCCAAAGCCCTCTTTGTGGAGCAGTTGTGCCCATCTCGAGTGGCAAAATGGGAATTCCTTTGTTTTTAAACCTTTGGAGACTGTTTAGTCACCTCTTTGTGTCAGTCGGTTTTCAGGGTGTGTTTGAACCAGAAGCCACAGCTGGAGAGGGGCTTGTGATGACCCCAACCCCACACAGCTTCCTTCCTTCCTTCCTTCCCTCCATCCACGGGTTTAGGCAGGTGCTTTGTGAGGTTTGCGGTGAGCCGTCTTGCTGTCCCTGAACCCTGCCGCACTGATTCAGTCTGTTATGGCTGCTGATATCCTCTTATCCAGAACCGTTCAGTTTCCTTGTTCGATTGCATTCTTTCCCGATTCGGGCTCGATCTGGTTGCTTCCATTAGCGCCTAACAAAGCCTTGGGCAGCGAGATTGGCCTTTTCCTCTAGGTATAGAACGAATATGGGTGGGGCCTCGGTTGAAGTACTAAAGTGCCGGCTTCAATTGTCTGCAAAGCCTATTGTGGCTTTCTCTGGAGCATGCTTTGTGCTTCTCGTTGCGTCCGGCGTTCAACAATTTGTCCAGTCGCTGGACGGCTCGCGAGCACTCCGATATCATCCCCTAGCATTGAATGGTTGTGAGGGTGGTTCAGTTTGTATTCTAGATGTTTCCGTTTATATTGGGGTGGGGTGTTGAGGGTGGGGGGAGAAGGCTGTGCTGCTGATAATGCAGCAAATTTTCAAGGGAGGAGAAAATCTGGTGCAGTGTTGCTGTGAAGTCGTTGAGACAATTTAATACCCAGTGAATGATTTCTCTCCCCACCAACCCACCCACCCCATACGATAAGAGAGTGAGAATTTATTACAGATCTTCCAATTCTGATTGCTTGGTGCATAAAGGCATCACCTTTTGTAGTACTGTCGTGGCTGAGATGTCGCTGGTTTGATTCCTGGTTTGTGCTGAGTTGGCTGTTTTTGACCAGGGTGATGGTAGATGCTTTGTGTGTCCCCGAAAGGGGGAGAACTGTGTAGGATTCTAACTCAACAGCAACAAATTCCACTTGTACAGCGACTTTCTCAGCGGGAGGATGTCCCCAAGGTGCTGAAGAGTCAGGATTCGGAGCCGAGCTGGGGTTTGGGATCAGGAGGGGTGGGGGAAGGAGGGCGACCGAAGGCGCGGTCGAAGAGGAGGGTCCTGAAAGATGGCAAGAGAGAGGGTGCGAGGCGAAAGGACTGCAGGGTGGAGTTTCAACGGGTGGGGTGGAAAAGCTGAGCGGAGGCAGTTAGCCGCTCACAGAGGTAGAGAGGAGCGAGGCCGGGGAGGGCTTTGAAGGGGAGGAGGGGGATTTTGAACTCTATCCTCTGGTTGATGGGGAATCACGGCTGTGTTAACGGATATCTCCTGGGACTTGTGAACAGGCTCAGCACCTTCAGAAGAGGGCAGAAAATTGATGCAAGTGGTTGTAGTATCGTGTACCACTCATAAGGGCACTTTCAAACATCTTTGGATTAAATTCTTCCCTCCTAAAGGGTTGGGCGTGTGTGCTTTGTGTCGGGTCACAGGCTCGGCCAGGTAGATAGTTCTGCACATCTAGACAGTCGTTAGACCGCTCAGTGCGTACGGCATTTCAGTGGCGTCTGGTTGGGTTCTCAGACCTCATTGTTAGAGCTCGGGTTCTGTGTCAGCAAAGTGCATCTTACAATCTGCCCGGTTGCTATGGTGGAAACCAGGCAGAAACATTCCATGTGGCTGACGTGACCTCACAAGGGTTGGTGGTGTGCGCTCACTAAGATTATTGCAATTGTCTAGTGGAGAAAAGCCACTGTACATAATACTGCAGTGTAGAATGGTTTGGGCTGAGGCCACTGCAGCTCCCATTGTAACATTAGTTAATGCTTTCTGAACGCAGAGCCTTGGGTGATGAATGCCCAGAAATGATCGGCTTAAACCTATCGACTCTTTTCATTGTGTCTCGAATTTTTGAGGCTTGACGTGGGTTTGTTTTATTTGTTGGTTGGTTTCGGGAGCAAGATTTTGTAGATTTCTGCTAGAAAATAATATCTCGGGATGCAGTAAGCGCTCCGAGACACCGTCTGGCGTGAAAACCGCTATGTTTGAGACACGGCATGTCAAGCGACTGCATAAAAGATGGTGGAAGGCGGACTAGGCGGACCTCGGTTTTCTTTCGCCAGCGGATTCTTTATGTATTTAGGTTCGGAGAGGTTTGGGGCATTGCTGGAAAGGTTCCCCCGTGCTATAATCAGGATGTATGTATTTTAAGCAGGGTGTTGCAGCCTCCAGGAGGCGGATCCAGCATCTCGTTCGGAGTGGAGGAAAATGTCAAACCGCAGCAGAGCAGAGCCAACAAGACGGCTTCCAACATCTTCGGGCCCCCAGTGGATTCCCAGCCTGCCGTCAGGAGGAGCAACCCTCCAGGTACGGCCAGGGGCGGGCAGTGGGGGCTGCCGTTTCTACCTGAGTTCAGTTTCAGGATCACAGGGCACCTGTTGCACATCTTTCAATGCACTGCCTCTCTGTACCGTGTTTTTAAGTGTTGAAATGAAGCACCTCCTTCAAGGAGGATATTTTCTTCTTATAAATATTATTACCGCCCTATATGCCGTGTTTCGCTCACAAAATTACACAGTCACGGCACTTTACAGTATAATCCGTGAAGGGCTTTGAGACATTCAACGACGTGATAAGGCGCCATATCAAATGCAAGGGAACTTCTATGAAAGCCCGTCGCTCTTTTCTGACTCCCAACCCCCCCCCACCACCCCGACCCGAGCTCACGGACTCTTTGACCTCGCTTTCGGTCAGACTGTGCTGTGTGTGGTGGATAAACTGCTTACTGTTGCGTTCTTCACACCTGTGCCGCCAGCGTGCTTGTAACTGCCGAGATTCTCAAACCAAAGCGAGCTTCAGCGAGACAGGAACTGAGCTCTGGGCATCAGGAAACTTGATAGTTTGAGGTTAACCCAATTGTAATGTAAGTGAGTGGTGGCTGTGGTTTGCTTTCTCACTAGGTTGCTGCTAGTTCAGATTCTAATGCAGCAGAAGCCTCAGTGATGGGGTTAAGTTGTTGTTGAAGTGTGATCGAGCCTGTGGAGAGCTGCCTGTAACTATCTACTCTTAACCTCTCTGTCTCCAGGGGGGAAGAGCAGTGGGATCTTCGGAGCGACTGGCTCTGAAGCCTCTGATCTGAAGCAACGGAGAAACCCTCCTGGTGGCAAAACCAGCGGCATCTTTGACTCGGTGACGACTCCTGGCACTCGGGTAAACCGTCACAGCTCCTCAGCTAGGCTGGGCATCCCAGTCGCTGGTGTCTCCTTCCCTTTCTCTTTTTCCCCACCATCCACCAGCGCTCTCCTCCCCACTCCCTCCATTCGCCCTCTCTCCCACCCCCACTCTCCCTGCCACTTCATAGAATTATACAGCACAGAAGGAGGCCATTCGACCATAGTGTCCATGCCGGTTCTTTGAAAGAGCAGTCCAAATTAATCCCTCTCCCCCATAGCCCTGCAAATTTGTCCTTCCCAAATATCTACCTTGAAAAGCTTTCAGTATAAAATTCAGTATTTCAGCCAACGACAGGTTAAAAATTCAGCCACTTAAATGTAGCACTCACTGGTTTAATATCTTGAGTTCAAAGGCGTGTGGTGTTTTATTAACAGTGACAAGCAAAGGACTTCTTTGTCAATCTCGCAGCTCGAGTCGTTGCCTGACATTTAAGCCATTGTACTGTGTAAAGTGCAGGATTCCTCATTCACACCCATAGCAAAGCTCTCCCACTGAAACCAGGTCATTAAAGCATCTACAGTTCATCTCAAAGCCTGATTTTTACACTGATGTTGGATCTGAACTGTTGTTTCAGGGCTCTGCAGCTGGAGAAGGCAACGAGGGTGAGAAATGTCCAAGTAAGTAAAGATCCCAGGTAGTTTAACTAGCATGCTGGCTGGCACTGTCAATATCAGCATGAGTTGGCTGGGTGTCTGTGTCCTGTGAATATTACATATGTGTGTATATATAAATATATAATATGTTTATATATAATGTATATAATTGCCATGCACAGCTGCTTCCAAATAAACCCTAACCTCAGCATGTGTACCACTAGTGCATGGACTTATGTGCGCCCGTATCAGCATTTAAAGATTTCTGCTTAAAAGGTTACTAAAGTTTTGACTTGATTATGATCCATATGATCTCTGGGCACTTTGCATACAAGGCAGACTACAAGCAAAGTTATCTTTAATACTTGCTTGCAGCACCCATGGATGGAGAGGAAAGCGAGAGAGCAAGCAGAAAAATCCACGACTATTTGGGGAACACTGCTTTGCGCGATTGGCTGTGAAGCGCTTTGAGGCGTCTCAGCGACGTGATCGGGCGCTGTATCAAATGCAAGGATTACTATTAATAATAATAACATCAATGTTCAGTAGTCTAGAGGTTAAGAGCTCCACCGGCATCTTGTAGAAGGCAAGGCTCGCTGGACATGATTGCTGAGATTGTTGGTAATGTAAGCTGGCCGAGCGATTTGAGTGGGGGCGATGAGTTGCAGATTCCACTAGTTTGGGCTTTAGATTCTGGCTGGTGGATTTGGTCGCTGCCTGAGAGTCGGGATTGAGCCCACGTGTCCTGCTCAGCGTGTTTGAGGGAGTGCGGCACTGGAGATCCGCATTTCCCACCTTCAGATCGCTGCTTGGGTTAAATCCCACCTGTAGCTTTATTGACTTTTTGATTAGAAATCGTACATCCCGTGACCCTCCAGGAGCGTGGCTCTGAGCGCTTGTGGCTCGTCTGCATTTTACTTTCTCATCGATTGCGCTGCATGCAGTCTTGTGTTCCTTACTTGTGTTAAATTCCCCCTCTTCAACTCATCCACGCCTTCACCCGCATTTCTCTAATCTCTGTTCTAATACTTGTTAGTTGATGAGCTCTATAACCAGACGGTGGGTAATAATGACTTGGGACTTTCTAACAACTAATGGCCTCAATCTGGCATCATACAGACTTGTGCGTTTTCATTGAAAATAAGGCGTCACTTTAACTATGGGAGGAGGGGAGAGAGGATGTCAGATCTAGGGTAACATCATAACCCCTTAATAATTGAAGTGAACAATTGTTTTTATTTCCCAAACCACTCCTCATTAAAATTGTCAGAGTACACACCGCGGTGGGTGTCTTAGGTCGGCTTACATGGATTCACAAGTTTACAGAATTGCCCATTAAGTTTCCCTGTTTCTCAGACGCACTGCACACCTTTTCCACATCATTGCCTACAAACACAGTCATTACACTTCACAGTGTAATGGGTAAAGCTCTTGAGGCAACACGATGAGACACTATACCAAACTCAAGGATCATTAGCGTTCAATGTGATTTCTGTGCCTCAGTACTTGGAGCAGGCTGACAAACAGAAACTATTGGGAACCCCTATAAATTCAGTGCTGATCCATTGATTCAACAGTAGTACATGTCGTGATCACTGTCAATGGCTTTCAAGTACCTCGTATTTCTACTGGGATCATCTTAAAGCAATTAAGAGGTCAGGTTTCCAGGGCTGTTGTTGGTAGTGTTTAATTAGGAACCAAAAGCGCGAGGGTTTGCCTGTTTTGAGGGGAACCAAATTAGATAAGACATTTTTTACTGGAGTAAAGCCAGCCTCTAACTCAAACAAGCTGATCTTCATGTAGCAGAACTATTAGTCAACCTTACTATTCCTCATATATGTAACATAAAAGGCCTTTGCGGTTGCACGGAACCGCATTTAGTGAATTGAAAGTGATTTGAATTATTCAAGGAACTAGTTCCATTTCCCACATTGTCTAGAGCCAAATATTGGGCAGAACAGTCAACGGGCAGAAGTGACACCAAATGGCCTGAGATGTATTGGTGCAAGTCTCTTTACAAGAGGAAAGGGCCGTGAACAGAGAGGAGAATGGAATGAGAGACAGAGGATTGAAACTTGAACACAGAAATGCAAAAGAAGAACAAAGTAGAATGGACAAGTGGAGGCACGAGCAGAATGAAGTGAAAGTAAACAACCCCAGTGTGAAATCCCCCGTTCTTTAGTTTTCAATCTGATCATTTCTCCACAACCAATGTGTTTATATATCTCAGTGTATCTGCACCTGTCCCTCTGCCTTATCCTATTATAGGACTCTGGGGGACATATTCAAAAGTAACCCTTTAAATACAATCCTAGTCTCAGGTTTTTTTATGCCAGCAAATGGGAATACTGTACATGGAAAACTATTTCTTAGTAAGAACATTACTTAATTGACTCCACCTGACCTCCTCTCCTCCACTACCTCAAACTCCGCACATTGCGGTCCTTTCCTTACTGGAGGCAAGTCAGAAAAGGGCAGGCGTCAATGCAACTGCTCAACTCTTGAATGCTCACTCTTCTACTGAAGGTTCCTTCCTACAGGCACTGCAGTGTGGGAAGGAGATAATGCTGCACTCTTTAGAAATGAAGGCTAAACTGGTTCATGTGAAAGCTCTTGCTCAGTAATTGGGTATATGATCTGCTCCGAATAATGGGCTGAGTCCAGGTTCTGTGAGCTTCATAAACGTCTTGGATGGATTCCATCTGCATATCCTCCTGATGGAACAGTGGGCAGTTCTTCAGATTTGTGCAGTTCAATCTTGAAACAATGTTCTTTCTGAAAGATGCAATTACTGGCTTTTTTTGACTAATCTCGTTTCTCTCTCTTTATAGTCCGCATTGGCAAGTAGGAGTATCAGGTAACATTAATGCATGCACATTTGAGCCCATCTTCTGTATGTGACTGGGAATGAGATAGAAAAGGCATTCACTGCAACCATTCCCCTTCATTATTTGCAAGTTCCTTGTATTAGTTCAATTGAGCCCTGACAGAGGGTGAAGCTTGTCCTGAGGTGGAATCAAATGCCTTATTTTTGCTGGGGGTTTTTGGGGGATGAAAATGTTCATTCAACAGAACTCAGCAGGTTGAGTGGTGGGAGTGCCTGATGTTTCCCTTTCAGTTGATCACACGGTGAGATGTCCTTTAGAAATGGAGGGTTGGAGACCCCGTCTTGGAGTTTTGATTGAAGAATCTTGCAACATGGATTTTTGTGCATCTTAACTGTGTTGGGCTGTAGTCCCAACAGCTATCTGTCGCCAGAGGTTCTTTGTGTCCAGCTTCAAAGTTCGTTAGACAGTGCAATGAATCGTGAAAGTCCTACCATTGTTGTTCATCCTCTTTCCTGTGCTGCTGCTCTCGGCAGTGCTCTATTCCGGTCTCTCGCGGACGCTCCCAATTCGGCCACAATGCTAAACCTGATGCAGTTCTGCTCCTGAGTTTTCGGTTAATTGCGTAAAGTAAATTAACCATTAATGGTAACACTTAACACTTGAACACTTATTCTCAGACTTCCCCCAAAATGATCGCCAAGCGCGGGTTCTGCACCAACGTTGATTTCAGCTGGAAATAAGTAGATGGGAACCTGTTGCTTCCGGTTCCGGTTAATTTATCACATGTAATTTTTGTTGTTGCTAATAATGATATTGATTATTATTAATTGAGGGATGGCTAACTTGTCGCTTCCCTCTGCTGTTGATCCAGATATTAAGTGGTGCAGATTCTTGCTGTTCGTTTGACAACTGTTGGTTGGTTAGTGGGAGAGTTCTGTCCGGATTGGACAAGGTGGAATGTGCATGCAAGCAGGTTGATGCTGTCAGCACTTGAGGTGAGAAGGCGCTGGCGGGAGCCAAGCAGGAGAGCCTCTGTCTTGACATTCAACTGCAGGAAGTTAGCTCCCATCCAGCACTTGATGACTTAGGAGGCAATCAGTCAAAACAGCAATGGTCCTTGAATCGAGGGTGGAAGGAGATGGTTGCATGGAAGTGAACCCATGTCTGTAGATGATGCTGAGCGGGAGCCTGTATATAGTGAAGAGAGGACTGAGGATAGAGCCCTGAGGAACACCGCATGAAAGCTGGAGGACAAACTGTTAGAAGAGATAAAGTGGAGACACTGGGAGAGGACAGGACCACTGAGGTGCAACAGGGAGGAAAGGTGTAGCTGAGGAAATTGGGTCATCTCCTCACCAGTCGCTCCCATCTTTGTAAAGTGCTTTGAGACATTCTCCCTACAATGAAAGATGCTGGAGGTGCAAATTATTGCCCTCACTTTCTTAATCTGACTGGACAAATCTAGAACAAACTAGTTTCACGTGTAAAGCCATGGATACACAAGATCTTTCTGGTACACTGGGGCCAGTAAACACACATCTGCTGTAGGCAGTTTTAAGCTCGAGCATTACCGATCTCGCCCAAAGGCAACTCTACCCATTAGTTCCTCATGTGGTTGCCGCTGGCTGTTTTGAAGTGTCAAGTTACTGAGACTGGTCTTTATGACTCAACAAATCAGTTCATCGTGGAAGTTGGGGATTGAATAGCGCTTCTGTTTGTTACAATGTGTGTTTGTAAAGGGAAGAAAGACGTGCTGTGTGTGTTCTCGGTCACTCTGTTCTACACATGTTGTTGCTGAGATGTTCATGTGCTGATTTTCCCCAAAGCCAGATGTTCCATCTATTCACACAGCGTAGAACAGTACATGATCACTCGTCTCGCAGAGATGAGCTTGATTGGACTTGCAAAGCGAGAAACTTTGTACAATCCAGTTATAAACCAACCAAGCTTTTCTTTTTACATTTGATATTTGGATTAATCTGTTTGAATGGTCAGTGACTGAGCCTGGGTTCAGCAGTTAAAGATCACTAATATCACAGAAATGGGATAACGGCTGTTTAATGATGAGCATCAGCTCAGTGTTTGGGTTAGTTTGTTTGCTGATTTGACTATTTCAGACGTGTTTCTGACCTCAGGCCGCTGAATTGAGGCAATCTGTTTTCCTGCTTGGTGGGATTAAAAGGCTGAAGACAATTGTAGGAACTGGCCTTGAAGCAGATCACCTGCTCATTGATATCCAGTCTCCCACTGGCAGTGTACTGCTGTAAAAGTGTGTGAAGGATCAGAGCTTCACCGTGTTAACAGGCTACTTGAACCTCTTAGAATCTTATCTACCGTTCACAATACCTGAAATGTTGACCACCACCTCCCTCAGTTTGGCGGATTTCAAAGCCCACGCCCTGATGATATGACCTGAATTTGGTATGTTGGAAGATACCTATTCGGCTGAAATTCAGGGTAGATTTGGGGCTGTACTGTGTGCAATTGGCTGCTGCGTTTCGCCCACAAAATGTTCAGTCAAATTCACTTTACAATGTATCCTGTGAAGCGCCTTGAGACATCTCTAAGATGCGATAAGGCGCCGTATCAAATGCCAGGGTTATTATTGTATTATTTATCTCCAGTCTCTTTCACTGAACTGAGTTAAACCCTCATGTACCAACCACTGTGCCTGGTGTGCAGGACTGAGCGGGACTGAAAGAAATGCTTTAGGTCCAATGTGAATTGAATTATATTGCAAGTCGTTTGAGCTTTGGGTTTGGCCCCTGTGTGGTTGGCGGTGGGGGTTCTGCAACTGAATTCTTTGTGCTGCTTTCAGGCAATAAAGCCAGTGAAACTGAAGAGAAGCCGCGGGGTCTGAAGGAGGAACCTGTGCTAATCCCAGCAGAGCCTGCAGCAGCCCGGCCCAGGAAAAACCCACCAGGGGGCATGTCCAGCCTGGTTTTAGGATAAGCCTTTGATGTCTATTTCACTTATGACTTGCGAACCGAATAAATTGTTAATTTTAATGTGAGCTACAAAAAATTGAGCCCTTTTTTGTACTAGCACTTTACATTCGAGTGATCCTGTGGAGGCCAGACCTGCTGGGTGCAGTGTGCCTGCTGGGGGGAGCCTGACTTCTATACGCCCCGTGATGTGTAAAGAGTTGAAATGAGTATTTCATGTTTCTTATGTGACCCCCTCCCCCCCCGCCCCCCCCCTCCCCTCCCCCCCCCCCGCAAGACGGTATTTTGCAATTTAGTTTGTATTTGGCTATGTTGGAAGTATGATTGTGATGAAAATAAAATGTTCTGCAAAGTAGACCTCGAGTTGGTCCTTCTTCGTCCGACCCCACAAAGGGACGTTTGTCTGTCGGTCCCGCTGCCCGGACGGGGAGACGCTCTCTCTCTCTCTCCCCCTCCTCCCTCCCTCCCTCTCTCGCTCACTCTGCTTGAGCGATCGTGTCCGGGTGTGGGTGTCGGGTGGTGGAAATGACTCCCCCACCCCCCCCCCCCCCTTGAAAATCGGATCAATAATCAATAATCATCAGCTTCGTGGTCGTAACAATCTGGTCGCTCGACTTCACGGCTGCGGGACGTGCGCCGGCCCCGCCCGCCCCCCCGCGTGCTGCGGGGGAGGGGGGGGGGGAGGAGGGGGTGGGGGGGAGAGAGAGGTGACAGATTAGCCTTTCGATCGGTGATTGATCGATGAGGTGTGTCGTCGTGGTGGTGGTCGTGATGGTTGGGGGCTACTAAAAAAAAAGAGAGCGGCGCGTGTCGTAGCCCAAAACTCTGGCCCAACGCTGTGGGGGCGGGCGCGGGTGGTGGGGCGGGTAGCCCAACCCGCCCCCCACCAGTCTCGAGCCCAAAAAGTAGCCCAACGAGCACGGGCGGCGGGGCGGCGGCGCGGCGGCGGCGGGGGCGGGGGGGGGGGCGGGGCCGGGGGGGCGGGAGCTATGCCGCCGGTGCGGGTGCTGGTGGACATGGACGGGGTCCTCGCCGACTTTGAGGCCTCCTTCCTCAGGCTCTACCGCTCCCGCCACCCGCAGCTGCCCTACGTGGCGCTGGACGAGCGCCGAGGCTTCTCGGTGGAGGCCCAGTACCGGCAGCTCGACCCCGGCCTCGCGGCGGTGAGCGCGTCGTCCCGTCCGCCGCCGCCCGCCGCCGCCCACCACCCGGTCCCTCCGCGTCGTGGCGCCGGTCGGCCGGCAGGTGGCGCCGCCCGCGCTGCGATCGAGTGCGTTCAGATCAACCTAACCTGCTGTGTGTGTGTGTGTGTGTGTGGGCGGGGCGGTGGTGACGGACGCCTCCCGCAGCCAATCCGGGCGCGCACTCGCCGCCCTTCAGCCAATCGGGCGTGAGGACGCGGGCATCCGCCCCGCCCCTACCGCCCGCCCACCTGAGTTCGGTTGGCCCGCAATGTGTCATCAGCGTTGTGTGTGTGTGTGTGTGTGCACTATCCTAACCCTCTGTGGGGGTGGGTGTGGGGGTGGGGGGGGGGTGTGGGGGTGATGGAGGGACCCCTGTCCCTCACTCACCGCTATAACCATTGAAATGCACCGGTGTGTTACTGGCGCGGTTACTGTCCCCGTGGGTTGGCGTCACCGAGGCGTCTCAAAGCGCTTCCGCAGGATACGCTGCCACGTCCGGCGCTTTTGGGGCGTCCGCCCGACGGGAGAGGCGCTCCGTAAATGTCATTTTGTTGTCGCCGCCGCCGCCGTCGTGGTTTGTTGGCCCTCGGCTTGAGCGGCACTTTGGAAAGTGCCCCCCGACGTTCCTGTGGGGGAAGGGATGCTGTTCCCGGTGACCGGACCGAACCGTCGTGATGCCATTAACGAATGATGATATTTTTGTTATTTTTCAGATAATAGGGCGGTTAGCGCGACTTTTTGGGGTCCATCACCCCGTGATATGTGCAGAGTGTTTTGTCCTACGCATTGCGGTAGTGTTTTACTGGAGTGGCAGTGTCGGTAGAGATCAGTGTAAATCAATGGTCCAGTTGGGCGCAGCATTGTCCCACAGGCAGCGATGGAGCAAGTGACCAGTATTTTTATTTGGGGGGATTGTTGGCCCGGACACTGGGAGAGAGAGAGACTCCCTCCGCTCTTCGAATAGTGCCATAGGCTCTCTTTAACGTCCACCTGAACAGGCAGATGGGACCTTGGTTTAATGTCTCATCCAAAGGATGGGCCAGAAAGCAAGAGAGAGAGTGGGGGGGGGGGGGACAGACATTTTATTTTTTAATCAGGGTCAGGGTTGGCAATGCATGAAGGGCCGCTGTATAAATGTAAGTTGTTGTTGTCCAGCGCTCTGAGGGACTACCTCTTATGAAGGACATTATATAAATGAAATCGTCTAAAAAGAACCTTTATGATTTTAGGATTTTGTAAGGAACATTTATGGGAGTCCCAATTTCTTTTTGGATTTGGTGCCAATACCTGGAGCAGTGGAGGCCATGCAGGAGATGTTCAGCCTGAACGAGTGAGTGACCGCCATCCTTCAGTGTCATTGACCGTGGCTCTGTGCTCGATCTGTGGTTATGATCCTTTTCACAACACTGACAGCTGCAGCTGCTGATCATGTGGACAAGGAATCCTGCCGATCAGCCAAGATTCTTAGGCAAGAATTTTCCAGAAAAAGCTCATAGGAAAGTGATCAGGAATCAGATCAGAGTCGGGGGTAGATTGGTATAAGTCAACAATCAACAAGGCATCATAGAGCTGTGGACATCTGTTGTCCAGAAGTTCATTTCACTATGTGTGATACTGAACATTTTAGTGAATGGCTGTGTCCCAACACCCCCGTCCGGCCCACCCCACCATCGGCGGTCATACCTTCAGCCTCTCTACCCCCACCCCTTTGGAACTCCATTCCCACAGTCCTTTCATCTTGCTCCCCCCATTGCCTCCTTCAAGGCACGTCTCAAAACCCTCCCTGCCCTCCACTCCTTCTGATTGCATCCCCCAGCTCAGGTTCAAATGCCTGACTGTCCAGCACCGTGGGATGTCCTGCCAACGTGAACAGCACTGTGTAAATGTTATTTGTTGTTGTGTTTGTAAACCACAGAACAGAAGTCTTCATCTGCACCAGTCCTATCCTGAAGTATGAATATTGTGTCAAAGAGAAGGTAAGGCTCTAGCAGGTTTTAGTAAATGAACAAGTATTGATGGTTCTTGGTTAAATCGGAGGTCTGACACTTCACTGTGCTTAAGAGTATCTAAACAACATGTTCCATCTATACTGACTTACAAGTGGGAATTTCTCTGTGTCCGGAATAGATTGCACACACTCTCTCTTCCCAGATTGATGCAATAAATCAGAGGTTCTTAGATTGTGGGATGTGTCTCCCAACAGGCCGGGTCTCCTGGGTCCATTCCCCCAATGGCGAGGTCCCACAACTACCAAACCCCATCTCTAACATTCTGCAACCCTGAATCGGATAGTTAGGGGAGTAACACGACTCATGCAAAGAAATCCAAGTGGTTTGGATAGGAAACTGAATCGGACTCGAGTGAACCTACAGCTAAAGAGATTGTACGATTTATAAAGATTAGATTTATGCAAGTTTTACTGTAATCCCTACACTCAACAGTAAATCCTGTGAAGGACTTTGTGCTACAACAAATGCAATATTATTATTGTTATTGTTTCCAAAATTACTAAAACGTCTCAAAACCCTCTTTGACCGCACCTTTGGCCACCCTCCTACCCTGCCCCTAACTGCCCACCACCCCTTCTGATCCCAACCCCCAGCTCGTGTCCAATGCAAATGTAATTTGTTGTTGTCTCCCAGTACGCTTGGGTCGAGAAACATCTGGGCCCCCAGTTTGTGCAGCGTTTGGTGATGAGCCGGGACAAGACCATAGTGTCAGCCGACCTCCTCATTGACGACAAGGTGGATATCAAAGGTAAACTTTCTAACGCAGCGAGATCAGAAAACAACTTGGACAACCAAAGCTTTAACACTGTTCTCTATCTCTTTCATACACACACTTTCCAGCAAGGGAGCACCAGACAGTGATCACACATGGGAACACAGCCTCATCTCTTGAACTGTATAGATATGGTTCTTCTATTAGAGAATTCCAAATCACTACACAGAAATTCCCAGTTTAACCCCAGTAACCACTTCCAAACCGATTGTGTGCAGTGTAAATAGTAATAGCCCGAGCACTGATCTTTCTGTCCCTACAGCAGGGGATGTTCAGGTCAATTGGCAGGTTCAGGTCAACTGAGATGATAGACCACAAATCAAACCTAGTTTGCACTGCTGCCCTCTCCCCCCTTGAATCACACAGAGTAGCCTCGGACAAACCTTCTGCGCTCCAAGACACCATCAAACACGAAGGCTTCAATATAAATGCAAGTTGTTGCTCTGTAGGGGAATTTGCTGTTTCTCTCGCGCTCTCTCACAGGCGTGTGATGGCCTATTTGCTGTGACCCCGAGTCTCTGCCTGTTGGGATTTTACTAACGAAACCATGTTCTTATCTCTGGCTGAGGAGTGGAGCCAAACCCCAGCTGGGAGCACATTGTGTTCACCTGCTGGCACAACCGGCACACTGAGCTCGAGCCACATCGCAGGAGACTGGAATCCTGGTCAGACGACTGGAAAGCCATCATAGACGGCAAACGCAGGGAGTGACAGCACATCGGACGGGAAGCTGCCACCCGGCTTTACTAACGCGAGCACTGGTTCCTTCACTCAGGAAGGCGCTCTGGGACGCTACCCTGCGTGAGGGGCGCTATTTAAATGCAAGTTATTGTTGTTGTTGACAGCTTGTGGGCGATTTAATGAGCGAAACATACTGTGAAACTGTTACTGTGAGAAAATACAAAGGATCAGAAGTCAGAATGAAATCACTGTAAAAAAAAAGTCCTGTTTAATTGAAGTGAAACATTTTATTTGACTGTATAGTCTCGTCTCTTTTTCCCATTAAATCTCTGAAGTTTTATTTTAAAACCTCACTTCTCGTTTGTGGATTGACGTGGTTCGAAACAATCTTGTGTCTTGTCTCAGGGTGGCCGGGTTCAGTGAAGCTTGTGGTTAAGTTAACTGTCGCATCGCAGCACTTTGATTACTGTCTTTGTTGAGTTAGTGACAAATCGCTGCTCGGTCCAGATAAGAGTGAAATCTGACAATCCAGTGTCTTGAAGGTTAAGACTCACAAGAGTCTGGTGTCTGGTGCCGCCCGGCTCACTCACCACCACCGATAGTGGGCAAAGGCTCGGTTTGCCTCGGCCATTTTGTGCAGGTCGTGTTTCCTCTTGATGACGTTGCCCTCGTTGTTGAACGCAGCGAGCAGCTCCTGTGACAGCTGGATGGACATGTGTGTCTGCAGAGACTTGCTCTCCTGGCAATGTGTGATCAACCACTTCATGGCCAGGAAACGTCGGCGGTTGTCCTTCAGTGGTGTTGGAACCTATAATATCAACGACAATTAATTTCATCAAGATATCAGCTTGGCTCAGTTGCCTTACGGTCAGAAGGTTCAAGACCTATGTCAAGACTTTAGCTCACAGTCAAGGCTGACACTGCAGTGCAATGCTGAGGGCAGGGGACAGGAGGAACAGCTACACTGTCAAGAGACCTTGTCCCTCGCACCGGGTGTTAAAGCGAGTTTGCATTCCCTGTTTTGGTGGAAATCATAGCAGGTGGGGAGAGGGTAGAAGGGATTTCTTCTCTCAAGAGGGTCGATAGGGTTTGGAAATCATTACTACAGTCACGAATACACTGGTGGCTTTTGAAGCCGGAACAAGAGATCAAAAGTGAACCTGGGAGTGAAAAAACACAAGTGGGGAAGCTGGCAAGTGGGAAGTTATTAAAGAAAGGCAATTCAGAAACACGGGGAGTGACACATGGTGGGCTGAATGGCCTCCTGTCTGTCAGTATGTGGGAGGATGTTGAGTGAATCATCCCTTCTGTTCTCACACATCTTCGAGCACAGACACGATGGGTCAAGATGCCGTCGTCTGTGCTGTAAATCTATGGTTCTGATACCTCCATTGGCTGACAGCAGAGCAGTGCTAAGACCTCAAAGAATGTGGTCAATTTCTCTTCTCAGCCACGGGGAGTGTGTGCAGGAGAAGAGGAAAATCTCTCTCTCACCTCCACCCACAACCCCAGAAAATCTGATCAGCAGGGGAGGAGAGACACCGAGTATAAAAAACTATTTGTGATTTTTTTTTTAAATTGTCCAAAATTGGGAAACTTGTGCGTGTGGAATGACGGTGTAATCAGTCAGAAGCGAGGTTTACCTGGTAGGTCTTGCCGCCACGCTGAATATTAGTTAATCCAATGACAGGTTTACAGTTTTCCAAAGCCCGGTGGAAGATCTTGTAGGGGTTACACTCAATGTTCTCTCTATTGGCCTCTGGAGCCTTGTGGTACAGCTCAACCTGCTTCCGTTTAATAAGCTCAAAGGTCTGTGCAAGAGAACAGAGGCACTGTTTATATCAAAGTATGTGTGATGTGGGTGGCCACACTGATAAGCAGATGCATAGTACAGTCTGTCGTGATGGGTCACTGCCAGCGTGATAATGTCCCACAGAACAGAATACAAAATTACATTTGTATAGCGCCTTTCACGTCTTGAGGACGTCCCAAGGTGCTGGGCTTGTAGAAGACAGTACAAGAAGATCCAAGATTTGTTCTTTGTTCTGTGTTTAATAATAATAATAATAACCCTTTGCATTTGATGTAGGTCTTCTCTCGCTCGGGTGCAAACCCCAATTGTCCAGCACCTTGGGGCATCCTCCCGCTGTGAAAGACGCTGTGTAAATGTAAATCTATACTGCATGGTTCTGAGTTTATTTTCTCAAACTAGCGTAACGTCAAACGACACCTGTTATAAAAAAGAAGCAGAAATGGCAAACCGTACCTCATTCATAATGGATCGAGCCAACTTTTTCTGTCCTCCCGTCATTATCATATTGATGAATTTGCTGAAAGAATTTATTGAAAAAAATAATCCTTCACCATCTGCAACCAGGCCAACATGTACAGTGGCTCATAAACTCCAGAGCCAGGTCACAGTTAGCAGTTGGGTTTAGACACTAAATAGTTACTAAGACTTTAGAAAGTGTAGCATTTGAGACAAAACACATATATGTTATATATATATATATATTTGTGAGGTTCAGGCAATTGAGCAAGAATTCAACTCATCTGAACCCCATCGTGGAGTCCTGTAGCTCAGTGGTTAGAGCACTCGCTTTGCAAGTGAGAGACCTGAATTCAATTCCAGGCAGAGGGCGAAACCTCGGGCAAGTTTCCTTACTCCACACAGAGCCTAATAATAATCCCCCCAAAACCAAAAACAATAATAAATTGGTCATTTTCAATCCCCGACTGTTTGTGGGACATTGCTGTGCGCAATCGGCCGCCGCGTTCGCCCACAAATATACAGTCAATTCACTTTACAGTGTGTTCCGTGAAGCGCTTTGGGACGTCCTCCCGACGTGAAAAGCGCTATATCAAATGCAAGGATTATTATTATTATTATTATCACTGACCTTAAAAGAGGATCATAAAAGACCGAGCTGGTAATACTGTTCTGAGCAGCTTTTATCGGTCGAACCCTCTTGAGCTCCTGAATATCCTTCTCCTCTTGGCTGAGCTCTGTGACTGGAGCGCGATAGTATTCCCTGTTGACCTCTGGCTCCAGGTAATTCTGACTGTAACGGCTCCATCTCACCGGGATTACCCTGCAGGTTACACAGGCAACGGTGGGTTTTAAAAAGAAGGTATATGTTTTTCCAGCTGTGAGGGGGACATTGAGGTAAAAGTTAATTAACATAGAAGGGAGCAGAGGGCAAGAGAGTGAACTCTGGCCAGAAATACATGATGTCCTTCCACAAGATGCAGGAGTCTGGTGTAGACAGTAACAAAGAGACAGACATATAGACACTACACTCTCAGTGACAGACAGACACACAGTCACTACACCCTCAACAACAACAACAAGATTTCATTTATAGAGCACCCTTCATGTCGGGAGGATGTCCCAAGGCGCTGGACAGTTGGGTCGGGACCCAAGCATTGGGGAAATGGTCAGTGGGAGGGGAGGGAGGGAGCGAGGAGGGGGGAATGGTCAGGGTGAGGGGAGGGGAGGGAGGGAGCGAGGAGGGGGGAGATGGTCAGGGGGAGGGGAGGGGAGGGAGGGAGGGAGGAGGGGGGAGAGAGTCGAGAGCGGAGCTGAAGGCACTGTCAAAGAGAAAGGTCTTGAGACCGGCCCTGAAGGAGGAAAGGGAGGAAGCCTTTCACCTACAAGGCCATTCACGGCCTTGCTCCCTCCTACCTCTCCAACCTACTATCCCCCTACCTACCTGCCCGTACCCTCCGTTCCTCTGGCTCCGGTCTGCTCCACGTCCCCCGCCCCAACCGCCCTACTATCGGTGGTCGGGCCTTCAGCCTCTCAGCCCCGAGGCTCTGGAACTCCATCCCCCAGTGCCTTCGCCTTGCTTCCTCCCTTTCCTCCTTCAAGGCCGGTCTCAAAACCTTTCTCTTTGACCGTGCCTTCAGCTCCCCTCTCGACTCTCTTCCTCCTCCTCGCTCCCTCCCTTCCCTCCCCTCACCCTGACCATTTCCCCCTCCTCTCTCCCTCCCTTCCCTCCCCTCACCCTGACCATTTCCCCCCTGCTCGGGTCATGACCCAACTGTGCAGCGCCTTGGGACGTCCTCCTGACGTGAAAGGCGCTCTATAAATGGAATCTTGTTGTTGTTGTTGTTGTTGAAGCGGCGAAGGCACTGGGGATGGAGTTCCAGAGCCTCGGGGCTGAGAGGCTGAAGGCCCGACCACCGATGGTAGGGCGGTTGGGGCGGGGGATGTGGAGCAGACCGGAGCCAGAGGGACGGAGGGTACGGGCGGGTAGGTAGGGGGATAGTAGGTCAGAGAGGGAGGAGGGAGTGAGGCCGCGAATGGCCTTGTAGGTGAGGATGAGGATCTTGAATTCGATCCTCTGCCGGATGGGAAGCAGTGGAGGCGAGCGAGGGCGAGGGCGAGGGTGGGAGTGAAGGTGAGGGTGAGGGCGAGGGTGGGAGTGAGGGTGAGGGCGAGGGTGAGGGCGAGGGTGGGAGTGAGGGTGAGGGTGAGGGCGAGGGTGGGAGTGAGGACGAGGGTGAGGGCGAGGGTGAGGGCGAGGGTGGGAGTGAGGGTGGGAGTGAGGGTGAGGGTGGGAGTGAGGGCGAGGGTGAGGGCGGGAGTGAGGGTGAGGGCGAGGGTGGGAGTGAGGGTGGGAGTGAGGGTGAGGGCGAGGGTGGGAGTGAGGATGAGGGTGGGAGTGAGGGTGGGAGTGAGGGCGAGGGTGAGGGCGGGAGTGAGGGTGAGGGCGGGAGTGAGGGTGAGGGTGAGGGCGAGGGTGGGAGTGAGGGTGAGGGTGGGAGTGAGGGTGAGGGCGGGAGTGAGGGTGAGGGCGAGGGTGAGGGTGGGAGTGAGGGTGGGAGTGAGGGCGAGGGTGAGGGCGGGAGTGAGGGTGAGGGCGGGAGTGAGGGTGAGGGTGAGGGTGAGGGTGGGAGTGAGGGTGAGGGCGAGGGTGGGAGTGAGGATGAGGGTGGGAGTGAGGGTGGGAGTGAGGGCGAGAGTGAGGGCGGGAGTGAGGGTGAGGGCGGAAGTGAGGGTGAGGGTGAGGGCGAGGGTGGGAGTGAGGGTGAGGGTGAGGGTGAGGGCGGGAGTGAGGGTGAGGGCGAGGGTGAGGGCGGGAGTGAGGGCGAGGGTGAGGGCGGGAGTGAGGGCGAGGGTGAGGGTGAGGGCGAGGGTGAGGGCGAGGGTGGGAGTGATGTGGTCGCGGTGTCTGGTGCGGGACAGAGCTGCAGAGTTCTGGATGAGCTGCAGTGTGGAGGGAGGTGTGGGGAAGGCCGACGAGGAGAGAGGTCCCATAGTCCGGCCTTGAGGTGATAAAGGCGAGACAGACAGTCACTACACCCTCAGTTACAGACAGACACACAGTCACTACACCCTCAGTGACAGACAGACAGTCACTACACCCTCAGTGACAGACAGACACACAGTCACTACACCCTCAGTGACAGACACACAGTCACTACACCCTCAGTGACAGACAGACAGTCACTACACCCTCAGTGACAGACAGACAGTCACTACACCCTCAGTGACAGACAGACACACAGTCACTACACCCTCAGTGACAGACACACAGTCACTACACCCTCAGTGACAGACAGACACACAGTCACTCCACCCTCAGTGACAGACAGACACACAGTCACTACATCCGCGGGTTGACCCCTCACCCCGGGACTCGGCTTTTGATGAACAAACCCGTCACCGCCGCCGCCGCCATCTTGAGAGACGCGTAGACCTGACCCCGCCCCCCGCCGCCCAGGCCCCGCCCCCCGCCCAGGCCCCGCCCCCGGGCAGCGCAGTGTGGGCGGGTTGTGCGGGTTTCCCGCCCAATCGGGCGGGTTTGTCTTTTTTTTGCGTGGTCCTGTGCGTAGAAAGAATGGGCGGGTTTGGGGCGGGACGCCTCATTTTTGGGGGCTATTTCTAATAAAAAAATAATTTGTGCGACACCTGTGCGTTTCGCCCACAAAACACACAGTCACTACACTTTGCAGTGTGTCCTGCGAAGCGCTTTGAGACTATCGAAGACGTGATAAGGCGCTGCATCGGATGCAAGGATTAGTATTATTTATTACTGTCGCATTTGTCCAGTTTTTGTGCTGTCTCAATCGATTACATAAATTACAATTTGTACCTTGAAGGTCTCCAGCGATTGAGTTTAGCTCCAGGGGTCACGAAGCCTCGGCTCTCACTGACCTGCACCTTAATACTCTCCAGAATGAGATAAGCGCCAGACACAGGGATTTCCACGTGTCGGTGGCAGACGTGGAACTCTCAGGCTGGTTTGGAGATCTTAAGCGCGTGCTGACACCCCACCCCCCAAAAAATATAAGTTGTACGATAGACGCCATATTCAAGCTCTCCCGCTGCTCGTCCAGGCAGTCCTGTGCAATTTCCAGCCTTTTCGCATTTATTTGGAAATACGAATACTTTGCATTAAAATAAAGCTGCGCCAAACAAGACGACAAAATATACTGTAATAAGTTGCACAGGTGCAGCACAGCGCAATAGAACGCTACAGGGTCACGGGAGAGGGGGGACAGAGGAGTAAGAGAGGGGATTAGGAGCGGGTGGAGACGAGTGTGGAGTATAAACACCGGCACGGGCTGGTTGAGCCGAGTGGCCTGTTCCCGTGTTGTAACGTTCTGCGTGATTCACCGTATCAGAGTGACATTGTGCCGAGGAGGTCGGGCAGGTTTGGTACGAGAGGCCTGACCAGTAATAACGCCCGCTCCTGCTGCTGTAACTATGGCAGCTGCTGGATCGTGAGCGACGACTTGGAGTAAACTCCGAACGCGGGGAACAGGGGCTCGGTGAACACCGAGCGGAACCGGTGAATCAAAGTCATGGCACCCGCGACCACATCGTAAATGGCCAAGGTGCCGGCTGGCCAGTCCAGGTAGAGTCCGATCCGCTCGCACGCCACTCGCGGGATGTCGAACGACTTGTTCCTGTGCCGGGCGGAGAAGCGTTGCCGGCGGCCCCCGTCCGGGGAGACGCTCAGGCACCAGGACACAGCGTTGCCGCCGATGGAGCAGGAAAGGTCGGCCCCCTTCCTGTTGATCCTCCCGTAAGCGATGCCCAGGTTAGCGGCGAAGCCCCGCGGCCCTGCCTGCCCGCACACCTCCCAGTAGTACTTGCCGGCGCACAGGCTCTCGGCACACAGTACGTGCCACAGAGTGTCGAAGCGGTCAGGGTGCTCCAGGTACCCTCCCGACTCGGGGAAACATTCCATCACCGTCCGGTTCCCGGCAGATAAACTCAAGTAGTTGTTCGCGGTGTTTGGGTCAAATGTCAGCTTTGCGGCATCTGGAAAGGGAGAAGAAATATAATAATAATAATAATCTTTACATTTCATACAGCACCTCATCACGTCTTCGAGACGTCTCAAAGTGCTTCACAGGATACGCTGTAAAGTGAATTGACTGTGTATCTTGTGGGCAAATTTTCTCTTTTCGAAGGGATGATCACAGTGAAATGAAGACAAGCGCAATACTCACAACGTAAAAAGTCCTCCCGGGTCACCGGGTCCGAATGAAATGGGGCAACATGGAGGCTGAGCGGCCCAGGAGCAATCTCTGCTTTACGTCCTGTCCAAAGTGAAATCAGAACAATAATAATAATAATAATAATCCTTGCATTTGATATAGCGCTTTTCACGTCAGGAGGACGTCCCAAAGCGCTTCACAGAACACACTGTAAAGTGAATTGACTGTATATTTGTGGGCGAACGCGGCAGCCAATTGCGCACAGCAATGTCCCACAAACAGTCGTCGATTGAAAATGACCAATTTAATTATTGTTTTTGGTTTTTTGGAGGGATTATTATTAGGCTCTGTGTGGAGTAAGGAAACTTGCCCAAGGTTTCGCCCTGCCTGGAATTGAACTCAGGTCTCTCACTTGCAAAGCGAGTGCTCTAACCACTGAGCTACAGGACTCCACAAAACTGTGAGAAACGCACGTAGCAGCTTCCTGATTGTTGGTCGATTGGTGGATCGCGTGGCATTCAATCCACGGCTGTTTGTGGGACACTGCTGTGCGCAGTTGGCTGCGGTGGCGCGATTCTAGCCAGAAAGCGCTGGCTGACCGGGACTTTGTAGTCAACCCTGATCCTGATAAAAACAATCATAGGAACTGTCTCTACTAAAGCTATAGTGCGTTGAGGCCAATTTGTGCCCCACACTTTGACCCAGTGCTGAGCGAGGCGAAAATATTCTGAGCATCATATCAATCATTCGACAGACAGACAAGACAGACAGACAGATAGAATTCACTGACCTTTTGTGCCTCTGTTTTTCAGTCCGTGGTTGACGGCCTCTCTCAGGTACCCCGTTACCAGCACCGAGAGCTCAGTTACCACCTCACTGGCATGAGCGATCGTCACAAATATATCTCTCCGCAACTGCGGGAATTCCAGGCTTTGAGTGGCTTCATTCACAGCCAGAGATTCCTGACAGCAAGCGAACACACGTGGAAACATAAAAACATAAGAATTTGCCAAGCGAAAGAAAACTCAATGACTTTCTGGAGTAAAACCACAAAGAATTAAGACTTTATTGAAGTCACTGATGTAAAATACTGAAGACAAGATCACTCCATGGTTATATCATCAGATTGCAAATACCAGATTCTCCCCCTCGCATACACACCCCACACACACACACTGCTCCCCCCCACCACACACACACACCCCACAAACACATATACTGCCCCCCACCCCCACACACACACCCTCACACACCCAAACCCTCTCAGCAAGTGCTGACCACCAAATCCATCCCAATCATACTGCCAATGTTGTTGAATTATCTGGCATTTGTCCTGATTAAATAAGCCTTTGTTTGTATGAATAAAAGGCTTATTCAATCAGGACACATGCCAGATAATTCATACAAATGTAACTTTTTGTTGTAGATTTCATCACTGCTCCTGATCTCATTAAGTTAGCCATTGGTGCCCCATTGTATTATTTGGGATAGGTTCTGTTTATCACTGGCCCGTGTCTCACTATTTGCTCTTGTTATTTGCAGCTCCTGTGACCATGCTTGGGTCAGGTGACGCGCTGACCCCGTTTGACGGACAATAACCATCAGATATGATCTGCAGCGTGTAATCAAGGTCCAGGGCTCTGACTAGGCTTTGCTGTTACCTGTATCAGCCTCAGCTGATCGCTGCTCAACGACAGGGTTTTCAGCTGCTTCTCTCGGGCTCTCAGCTGCGTGCACTTCTCCTCCAGTTGGTTCCTGATGCTGTCGGCCTGGCTCAGCGAGGCTCGCTCCTCGCCCTCCACCAGCCCGATCACTTCCCTCTGCGTCTCCTGAATGGCCTCCGCCATGGCCATGAACTTGTTGGTAATTTCGGACTCCACGTTGAGCGCGGCGGTCTGACGAGAGAATGAGAAACCGGGACATAAGAATTTGCTGGAGAAAGAAGACCATCCAGTTCCCCTTCCCTCATCCTGACAGTTGTTTGACATGTTGTCATTCAAACTATATACTGTATCCCTGAGATATTAATGTGGTACTCACTGTAATAGAGTCGATGGTTTGCTGCAGGTTTCTGATCTCAGCCAACGTCCTCTGTATCTGTGTCGCCACCTCCACCTCCTCGTGGGCCAGTTGTTTCTGAAAATTATAACAACAATAAAACTCCCATTTGACATAGTGCCTTATCACATCGTTGAGACTCTCAAAGTCCTTCACAGCGTACACTGTAATGTGGATTGACTGTATTTTGTGGGCGAAACATGGCAGTCAATTGCGCACAGCAATGTTCCACAAACAAGTCGTGGATTGAGTTGACCAAGTTTCTTTTTTTTGGAGGGATTGTGGAATCCTGTAGCTCAGTGGTTAGAGCAAGCAAGAGGACCTGGGTTCGATTCCCGGGCAAGTTGCCTTACTCCACACACATGCCACTGTTGACCAAGCAGTAAGTAGGAACCTAGTTGTTAGTCGATTGGTGGATCGCTTATCCAGGGGGTAACAATCCCTTCAAAAATAAATAATAATAATAGCAAGGCTTTAAACCACAAGTTCTCTCACACACCACATGTTCCTACACTGTCCTGAGGCACTGCAGTCTAGATCATTTCCTACATAGACAGAGTCTCGGGAGATTGTTCTCTCCTGCCACGAATCTCTTACCTTCTGTTTGGAAACTTCCTCCTCCACAGTTACCGTCTGGTGATTGCGGTGTCTCTCGGTGGTGCAGAAGGAGCAGATAAAGATCTGATCGGTCCTGCAGAACAAGTCCAGGAGCTTGCCGTGAGCCGGACACCTCCTCTGGTTGAGATCGCCGATGGGCTCGGTCAGGCTGTGGTGCTGGAAGGCTGCGTTCTCACGGTGAGGCTTGAGGTGGAGCTCGCAGTAAGAGACCAAACACACCGAGCAAGACTTGGCTGCTCCCATCTTGGTTCCGGTGCAGAAATCGCAGGAGACTTTGCCCCCGTCGGCCGCTAGGCTGATGGACACTCGGGCTCTGGACGAGGCGAAGTCGTCCACGATCTTACATAAGATCAGGTTTTTGTGGAGGTGGGGGGCCGGGGCGAAGCTCTGACGGCAGTGAGGACACCTGCGGTCTCCGCCATCGCCCGCCTCACACCAGCAGCTCTGAATGCACCCGAGGCAGAACGTGTGGCCGCACGGGATGGTCACGGCTTCCTTCAACAGTTCCAGGCAGATCCCACACAGCAGACTCTCCTCCTCCATCAGCACACTGACAGCTGCCATCATGAGCAGAGAGCGAAGACTGGAAGTCGCTGACTGAGACTGAGTCTGAGTCTGAGACACATAGACTGAGACAGAGACTGATTGAGAGCGAGACAGACGTGAGACAGAGATGGGCTGAGACAGAGTCTGAGACTGACCGAGACTGAGAGTGTGATAGGTACCTATTGTCCGAGAGTTAATGCCTCTTCCGAGGGGTGGAGCCAAAGGCCAGATGGGGCCAGGCTGGGCCGGGGAGAGATAAGGGGGCACGGTGGCCATCGGAGGAGAAACAGGGAGTATTCCTCTCCCCATCCCCTCCTAGCAGCCACCCTGCTGGGCACCGCCAGTGGCAAGACATGACCCAACACATCAACCAGACGGGGCGGGGGAGGAGAAGTAATAATAATAATAAAAATAACAATCCTTGCATTTGGTCTAGCGCCTTATCAACTCAGAAAGATGCTTCACAGGATTTACTGTGACGTGTAGTGACTGTATTTGTAGGCAAGTGTGGCAGCACAATTACCCATAGCAATATCCCGCAAACAGCCATTGAGAGAAGAGAGCAATTTTATTCTGGGGGATTGTTGGCCAGAACACTGGGAGAGAGAAACTCCTTTCTCTTTTTGAATAGAGCCATGGGATCCTTAATGTCCACCTACACAGGTCGATGGGACCTCAGTTTAGCACCTCATCTAAAGGACCTTGACTGGGGGTGGGGGAGTGAACAATAACTTGATGGGGGGTGGGGGGAAGGGGTTGCAAGGCCAGATTAAAGAATAAGGGGTGCGGGGAGGGGTGGCCCTAAAACACATCACATTTGGGGGGCCTTTGAACTATGCACTCAAAATATACAATAACTTTTGACAGCTGTGAGGCAGGGTCTGTGGGAGCTCAGGGCGGTTACACCGAGGGAGATCACACAGCATTCGCCCCCTATTTAGAGTTCCTTTAGTTTCGGGAAACGGGGAATTTGGATCAATCATTGTCCAGAAGTTTGCAGATCCAGAGATTACGCCAGAAGACTGTAGAGAGGGACGAGTGATTCAGAAAGCGGTGGGGAGAGGCAAGTCAGTTATGGGTCACAGCTGCTCGAGATCACGAGGAGAATGGAAATCAATCCAGTAACATGAGAGATACACAGAGAGACATTAGAGCAGATCATTGCAATGGGGGTATTTTGTAAGATTTGGCCGACACACGCAGAGCAAGCGGGTTCCCCTGGCTCGGGGTCAGGCTGGGAGGCTTCCACCAGGAGCCGACACCGACCACGGGAACGTCAGCTAAATGGCCCCCTCCTATGCCGTCCGTTCCCATGGTTCTCAAGTAGTCATTACAGTCAAACCTGCTCAAGAAACCGCCTCCATTCAGCAGCCACCTCCCCCCCCCCCATTAACAACCACCCTGTCCTGTCAACAGGACGTAACCTGGTTCTGTTCCCGTTGTGTGTAAAGAGGCTCAAAGTTCTTGGCATTTTATAAATGGACAAATTCCTAGTTCTCCTGGGTTGAATACCAATTAACCCAACACCGCGACTCGGTTAGCTCAGGTAACAATCACTGTGTCCTCCTCCCATTTGATATTGCATGATGCGATAATTATGATTTAATCTCATGCAGAGCGCATCACCATGGAAACAGTATCAAAATTCACAAACAGTAGACAGCGTTCTCTTGGTTTCAGACCGATGAGAGTGGCCGCTGAATCGCTTACAACCGTGTTCCTGTTTCGTTGATGTCTTGTCCTTTCCTCTGCTGCGAGTCTAAGCCCCACGTCGGGACTTCTGCCTTCTGCTGCGAGTTCACAGACTAGGCTGACGCTCCAGTGCAGTGCCGAGCTTTGAATGAGACGTTAAACCGTGGGGCTAATTGAAAAGTGAATGGAGTTTCTCTCTCCCGGTGTCCTGGCCAACAATCCCCTGAAATAAAAGCGGTTGCTCACTTCATGGCTGTTTGCGGGACTTTGCTGTGAGCAAATTGGCTGCCGGGTTTGCCCACAAATACAAGCACTACACAATAAATCCTGCGAAGCGCTTTGAGATGTCCTCCTGACGTGATGAGGCTCTGTATTCGAACGCAATGGTTATTGTGACCTTATGTGGATGAGCTTTACAGATGATGCCTCACAGTGTATGCAGCCGACAAGTACTGACAAGTGACACACGTTAAAGAAGATCAAGTGGACATTGCTTTATTGGTGACACTATTCGCTGGACGGCTGCTGTTATGCGCCCGCCCTCAGCTGCTCAGATACCACATTGCCAGGGCTGCGGTGGAAAGTGTCCTCCCCGATCCTGAGGGAGAAAGAAACACAAAGACGGGAGAGAACAGTAAACACCGGCTCCCACACAACCCTCCATCACAGAGAGTGGTGCAGGCGGGGACAAGAGCACCGAGAACGCACCCTGAGCCTTGCTGTTGTCGGCATCGCAAATCACCGCTCTTTCCCCGCACTTTGCTACATGCGCACGATGTTGGACACTCAGCATATTGCTGACCTGATTCTCAAGGTCACCCTCATGAAGCCGGGTGACCACATAGCAGCAGGAGGAGGCCATTCAGCCCCTCGAGCCTGTTCCGCCATTCAGTAAGATCAAGGCTGATGTGTACTTCAGCTCCAATTACCCTTGTCCCATATAATAAAATAATATATTATTATTATTATATCCCTTGATCCCCTGAGCTAACAAATAGCTCTCCGCCTCAGTACTGAATGTGAATGGATCCGGCGTCCACAATCTTTCGGGGAACAGAGTTCCGGATTTCCACTACCCCTTGGGGAGTGGGGGTGGGGGAACTGGGGTCTCCTCGGGGATGAGGTGGCTCCAAAATGTGTGTATGTGGGGGCTGCAGGGGTGGGGAGTCTCTGCCTCACATGTGGTCCGACCTTCAGCAGCTGCTCGTGGCCAAAGGCTTTCATTCTGATAACTTTCTCTCCATTTGCTCACAAAAGAGTTGTTAACCCGCCCGGGGAGTGTCTCCCTGCCAGCGCCGGGGCAGATGTCGCTCACCTCACGGCTGCCCAGTTCTCTTGAGGGCTTGTCGCAGACGATCTCAGCAGCCACATGGTCTTCAGGACCTCCTGTCCGTCTTCCTGCACGAAGCACTGCCCGACCCAGGAGGTGGTGGAGCCTGTGTGCACGCAGACACGCGCGAGCAAACGCACGCGTAAGGTCAACTCACCTTGCGGTGCATTGTGTGGAGCGCTTTAGGTCTGGAAGACTGTCAAGACGTCTCAAAGAGCTTAAGATGGGAGGGCATGAGGGGGTGAGGAGGTGAGGAACGTGAGGGGGTGAGGGGGTGAGGAACGTGAGGGGGTGATGGTGTGAGAGTGTGAGGAGGTGAGGGGGTGATAGCGTGAGGAGGTGAGGGTGTGAGAGCGTGAGGGTGTGAGGGGGTGAGGGTGTGAGGGCGTGAGGGGGTGAGGGCATGAGAGCGTGAGGGGGTGAGGGTGTGAGAGCGTGAGGGGATGAGAGCGTGAGGGTGTGAGGGTGTGAGAGAGTGAGGGGGTGAGGGTGTGAGGGTGTGAGGGGGTGAGGGTGTGAGAGGGTGAGGGTGTGAGGGGGTGAGGGTGTGAGAGCGTGAGGGGGTGAGAGCGTGAGGGTGTGAGGGGGTGAGGGTGCGAGAGCGTGAGGGGGTGAGAGCGTGAGGGCGTGAGGGGGTGAGGGGGTGAGAGCGTGAGGGGGTGAGGGCGTGAGGGGGTGAGGGCGTGAGAGCGTGAGGGGGTGAGGGGGTGAGGGGGTGAGAGCGTGAGGGGGTGAGGGTGTGAGGGTGTGAGGGTATGAGGGGGTGAGAGCGTGAGGGGGGTGAGAGTTAGTTACTGTAGTAAACCCTAAGTCCAGTTACTGCGTCAAACCCTTTGCAAACCCCAGTTCCAGATCACCGTGAGCCTCGGTTCGGGAGTTACTGCAGTGACACCGGGAGAAGGAGGTGGTGAAGAGGAGGTTTAAGCGGTAGTTAGGGGGTAGTCACTGAGTAGGGAGTTGGCAGTTAATTGGCCAGAGGGTAATTAGTTAGTATTTAGTAGGTAGTTGGTGGGTAATTAGTTGGTAGTTGGTGGGTAGTTAGTAGCTGGTGGGTGGGTGGTTAGTTAGTGGGTGGGTGGTCAGTCAGTGGTCAGTGAGTGGTCAGTGGTCAGTCAGTGGTTAGTGGTCAGTCAGTAGTTAGTTAGTGGTCAGTGACTGGTCAGTGGTCAGTGGTCGGTCAGTGGTCAGTCAGTGGTCAGTGGTCAGTGGTCGGTCAATGGGTGGTCAGTGGTCAGTGGGTGGTCAGTGGTCAGTGGGTGGTCAGTGGGTGGTCAGTGGGTGGTCAGTGGGTGGTCAGTGGGTGGTCAGTGGGTGGTCAGTGGTCAGTGGGTGGTCAGTGGGTGGTCAGTGGGTGGTCAGTGGGTGGTCAGTGGGTGGTCAGGTCAGTGGGTGGTCAGTGGTAGTGTGGTCAGGTGGGTGGTCAGTGGGTGGTCAGTGGTCAGTGGGTGGTCAGTGGGTGGTCAGTGGGTGGTCAGTGGTCAGTGGGTGGTCAGTGGGTGGTCAGTGGGTGGTCAAGTGGTCAGTGGGTGGGTGGTTGGTCAGTGGGTGGTGGGTGGTCAGTGGGTGGTCAGTGGGTGGTCGGTGGTCAGTGGGTGGTCGGTGGTCGGTGGTCAGTGGTTGGTCAGTGGGTGGGTGGGTGGTCAGTACCTGCCGCCCAGGCCACCGAGAAGCTGAATGTGGGGTTCCTGCCCGTGTTCCTGACCCCCATCACATCGCTCTCGGGAGCGGCGTCTCCCTTCTGCACCTCCACCGCCGTCATATAGCGGCCGCGGAGCGCACCGCCGCCCCTCTCCGCCAAGTGCACAGCGGAGCCCAGACCACTGCGCCAGAGACCGGTCATGTTACAGCCCTCAGCCTGGGGGGGGACAGGGGGGACAGGGTCAGCGCCGAGCCCGGGGGGAGGGAGCCCCAACCCCGGCTACACCGGGAGGGAGAGACCCCCCCCCCGCACACCCCTCCCCACCCCACCCTCCCCCACCCCCTCCCCACCCTCCCCACCCTCCCCCACCCCCTCCCCACCCTCCCCACCCCTCCCCCACACCCTCCCCACACCCCTCCCCATCCCACACCCATCCCACACCCCCCCCCCCCACCCCACAACCCACCCCTCCCCACCCCCACCCCCCCCCACCCCACACTCCCGCACCCCACCCCCACCCCCTCCCCTCCCCACCCCACACCCCACCCTCCCCACAGCGCAGCGCAGCCTGACTTACCCGGGCGGTGGGCAGGACACACACCCACACACACACCCACACACACCCCCACACACACAGGCGGCACAGGGCGGCCATGGACACACACACAGACACACACACACAGACAGAGCGGCTCAGCCCAGACTCCGGGGCTTTATACCCCTCCGCACTGACAGCCGCGGCCAAGTCTGTGTGTGTCCGCCCCTGACCCCCCCCCCACCCATCCTGACCCTCCCCCCCCCCACCCATCCTGACCCTCCCCCCATCCCCCCCCACCCATCCTGACCCCCCCCCACCCATCCTGACCCTCCCCCCATCCCCCCCCACCCATCCTGACCCGCCCCCACCCACCCATCCTGACCCTCCCCCCCACCCATCCTGACCCCCCCCCCACCCATCCTGACCCTCCCCCCACCCATCCTGACCCTCCCCCCACCCATCCTGACCCTCCCCCCACCCATCCTGACCCTCCCCCCACCCATCCTGACCCCCCTCCCCCCACCCATCCTGACCCTCCCCCACCCACCCATCCTGACCCTCCCCCACCCACCCATCCTGACCCTCCCCCACCCACCCATCCTGACCCTCCCCCCCACCCATCCTGACCCTCCCCCCCCGCCACCCATCCTGACCCCCCCCCCACCCATCCTGACCCCCCCCCCCCACCCCCCCCCCCACCCATCCTGACCCCCCCCCACCCTTCACCAGACGATGACAAACCCAACACAAATAATAATAATAATTCTGGCACTTGGATAACAGCGCCTCTCATCGCACCCTCCGAGACGTCTCAGAAGCGTTCCGCGGGACGCGCCCCCCCACCCCCACCCCCCCCGCGGGGAGCGCTTCGCGGGGGCGGAGCGCGGCAGCCGATCGCGGGCCCGGCCGTCGCGGGGCACAGCCGCCGGCCGACCGCTGTGGTTAATTACCGTGGTGGTGGTGGTGGTGAGTTGTTACTGTTGTTTTTTCGGGAAGGGAGTATTGACCGCGGTACCTGCGATGTAGTCGGGGGGCGGTTCCGGCTCCCGAGTCGGGAGTGACCTGCGAGGAAAAGTTCTCCGAGAAACGGGGCCGAAAAGGAAACGGTTAAAATTTAAAAAAAAATAGATAAAAATACATTTTTTTTTGGCCAACGCCCAAAGCCATGTTTTTTTTTGTACTCCCCCCCCCCCACCCCCCACACACACACGAACCCGGGCCGACTCGCTGGCGCTGTGTGAAGGTCAGTGCGGGTGACGTGTCAGCCCCGCGGCGATTGCTGGGCTGCGGAGAGAGACATAGAACGAAAGGGCATCGACCTGAAACGTTAACCCACTTTCCTCTCTCCATGGATGCTGCCTGACCTGCTGAGCGTTATCATAATAATAATCCTCGCGTTGGACACGGCGCCTTACCACGTCTCCTCGACGTCTCAAAGCGCTTCACAGCATAGGCTGTAAAGTGAAGTGACTGTACATTTGTGGGCGAAACGCGGCAGCCAACTGCGCACAGCAGCGTCTGTCCCACGAACAGCCGTGGATCGAAGTGACCAAATTATTATATATTTGTTTGCCCGTTGAGGGATTCTTATCAGGCGGGCGGAGTAAGGAAACTTGCCCAAGGTTTCGCCCTGACCTGCCGGGAAGCGGACCCGGGTCTCTCGCGCGTGAGGCGGGCGCTCTAACCGCTGAGCTCCCAGTAATGTTCCCGGCGACTCGGGTTTCTGTTTGGGATTCCCGGCCTCTGCCGTATGTTGCCTGTTGTTACGAGCTCATCGCTCGTTGGCCGGCAGTGACCCGCCACCCTCGCTGCCCGTCCCCCCCCAGAGCTCTGCAGCCCGTGGGTCACTGAAGCCCGTGAGTTCCTGTCGTCTTTCCCCCGGAGCCCCGGCCCCACAGAGCTCGGGAGTGCCGGTGGGAGGACCATTAGCTTGGATCGTGACGCCTCCTTGTGGTTGAAGAGGCGGTTGCAGATGCTGTCCCAAGACCGGTAGGTACATAATAATACTACTTGCATTGGATATAGTGCCTTATATCCTTATAGTGCGTTCGCCCACAAATATACGGTCAATTCACTTTACAGTGTGTTCTGTGAAGCGCTTTGGGACGTCCTCCCGACGTGAAAAGCGCTATATCAAATGCAAGGATTATTATTATTACTTCTTCTGTTACTTCCTGCGTGTGACACGACACGCACGCACACACGCACACACACAAACACGCACGCAATGTGAAAATGGTTTAATTTATTGGTCAGTAGAGTAGTGTTTGTTGTGGATTTTCATTAGGATTCCTACTGACGTGATTGGCTACAAAAATAGGCTCCCGGGAGGAGCACCTTTTTAAACTCACTAAAACCATCTCATTTGTATCAAAATATTTCCTCACCAGTAAAACAATTACAGCAGCCACCAGGAACTAAATTATACATATATATTAAATTTGACTAAATGTTCTGTAATTTTTTTAAAAAAAAAAGTATTTCTACATTTCACTTTCATTCAAAAGTTTGGAAACACCCATAAGAAAAGGTCTAAAACCATTTTTAAAAAGTTCTACAGCAGTATAAAGTTTTCCCTATTTTAAAACTATTTGCACCCAGGCAGTTATTTTGAATTAAAATCCATCACGTTTAGTGACTGTGCAAAGAGAGATAGAAAAACCGAGGAAAGGATCCAGTGAAGTATTCCATCGAAAGGTGAAGCAGGGCATAGTGAGTTAGGCACTAAAATGAGCTGGCGTCTCTCCGAGCTGTCCGTTCGTCAGTCAGGCACTGAGCCTTCTCTCCACGGCTCCCTCCCCACCGACAGAAGCCCCACTCGTAGTGTTGTGGCAGAGCGCGTGACACGAGCTGCCGTCAGCGTCGCTAAAACCGTCACCGTCAATCTGTTCGGGAGAGAAGATCGAAGATCCCGTTTGTGAGGATTAAGTGGTGCGACGGTCTAAACGAAGGGTGAATTAACATTGCAAATAAACAACGGGATGTCCGATCGTTCGCTCCTCAGGCCGGCTGACATCTTCACGTCTGCACTCAATGATCTTCAAGTGAGAATATTAGCAACTGAGGGTAATAACACCCTCACCATTGCACGCCGCTGGCCCTATAGTTATTTAATGTCACTCGCGTGTAGTGTAACCGAGTAAAGGAGCTGAATTAGCTCAGTGCCGATGAGCATGTTACTGATGCTGCTGTCTCCCCTCACTCCCCACGAGATGCGTTGGCACTGATAAGAGCAAAGCACTTTGAGACTGCTCGTTGGGGAGCGATTTTAGTCACTCTCTCTACCCGCGAGCTAATGGTTTCCAGGGCATTTCGTGTCCCTTACACCCACCTCCATTAATCAGCCTTTGTTCGTGGTGCTGGCCTGCTCCAGACATTTTCTTTGAATTCCTGTCCAAATAGCCGAAGCTCCTGCAAACAACAAGGCAGTAGGTCAGGATGTTCAGCTGCTAACCACAAGAGTGGCAGAGCCCTGGGCCATTAGATATTCTGAATGGAGACTCTTGCATAACAATCTTCGCCATTCCACTCTCTCCCCCACCCTCGTTCCCCTCCCACCCTTCCCTCCCCTGCTCCCCCACCCTCGTTCCCCTCCCACCCTTCCCTCCACCTCTCTCCTCTCATGCCCATCTCCACCCACTCCCACCCTCCCCCACCCAGCTGCGATACCTACAATCTGTCAGGTGCTGCAGACTCCGACTCCAGCGTGCTCTGAACCTCGTGTAGAATCCCTGGACAAACACAAAGGGGATCTTTAGCCGGACAGAAGCCTTGCTGTATGGAAACCTAGCGTTTCAGCCGAGCCGGGGTTACTTACTTTCGTCGTTGAGCAGAGCGTGTTCCATGATCATCCCGACTTTCTTTCCTGCTGGAAGGAAAAGAGACCGAAAAGATTAATCTACCCTCGTAAGAACCCCCTCCCACCCCCATTCAAAGTACGTCGGTCGGTAAATGTTGATTTAGATTTGAATGATGTGGTGACATCAGGTACATGCAAAATGTTCAGATTTGTGTTCTCATTCCCGGCAATGGGAATTCTGCCCGTCCGCCACAACGCATACCCTCAGCCAGATCCACTCACCGTCCCCCTCACTTCCATCGCTATCTTTCCTGTTGGATCCACAGCGCTGTCGTGCCTGTGGAGCCTCCCTGGAAATGAACAGTCATCAGTATTAATGTTGTCAACATGATCTGCCCTGAGCCAATTTATCACTGAGACAGGAATCAACAGGAAGCGAGTTCACAATTCACATTGAATGTATCAGTACTGTGGGCACAATCATCCAACTAAATGGCCTGAGGAATGGAGAGTGAGACACGATTGTTTGCTTGTACCAAGTGTTTAGACTATGTGTATCGAACTGCAGCAGCCAATTTCGTGCACAGCATCGCCCCACAAACAGCTATAATAATAATAATCCTTGCATTTGATATAGCGCTTTTCACGTCGGGAGGACGTCCCAAAGCGCTTCACAGAACACACTGTAAAGTGAATTGACTGTATATTTGTGGGCGAACGCGGCAGCCAATTGCGCACAGTAATGTCCCACAAAGCGTTGTAGATTGAAAATGACCAATTTGTTATTGTTTTTGGTTTTGGAGGGATTATTATTAGGCTCTGTGTGGAGTAAGGAAACTTGCCCAAGGTTTGGCCCTCTGCCTGGAATTGAACTCAGGTCTCTCACTTGCAAAGCGAGTGCTCTAACCACTGAGGTACAGGACTCCACAATAATAAATTGGTCATTTTCAATCTACGACTGTTTGTGGGACATTGCTGTGCGCAATTGGCTGCTATGAAGTGAATGATCAATTTTATCTGAGGGACTGGCCACGACTCCAGGAGAAACCCCTTTCCCTTTTCTAACAGTGGGAGCTTTAATATCCATCTGAACAGGGAGACAGGCCCCCAATTTAACATCTGAAGGTTGGCACCTCAGTGACAATGCAGCACTTTCCCCAGCGCTGCAACAGAACATCAATCAAAACTATGGACCCAAAAATCACGATGCCTTGAACTCACAACCCTCTGACTCGGAGGCAAGAGTGCAAAACCATCTGCTGAATAAACCCAAAGGTCCCCTTTCAAGCTTTCGTTTTAAGCTCCGAGAGACTATCCTGAGTGAAGCGGCGCTATATAAAATGCAAGTTGTTACTGCTGTTTGTCCCTGAAAATAATAATAATCCTTGGATTTGATTATAGCGCCTTATCACGTCTTCGAGACGTTTCAAAGCACTTCACAGAATATACTGTAAAGTGTAGCGACTGTATATTTTATAGGCGAAATATACTACACAGTGGATTGTGTGCTTTAGTAGCCTCACCTGGAGTTGGAATGTGTTGAGCCTCCATCCTGGCTTTTTTTCCGGTGAAAAGGCCTGATCCCTGTTCCCTCTGTCTCAATAATGGACCTGGGCTCCACCACCCACTTTGAAGAGACTGAAAACCTCTCAAACTCAGAGGGGGAGATGAGGTAAAAACCTGAAAATACAGAAACAACCACCACATTTTGTAGTGGGTCAAATTTCTAGTCATGGTGACGGTAGGTACAGCCAGACTAGTGAATGTTCCTGAATTAGGAGGCATTGGGCCAGAGGTACAGGAAGCTACAGGCAGATATCAGATCTGTGTTAAATGGGAGTTCAATATAACAACTGAGGACGAGGAGGGGGTAGAATGGTTGAAAGCTTGCAGACCGATGGTGAGGTGCATCAGGCGGGGGAAATAAAGCAGGCTAGTGTTCACTGAAGAGAAGGAACAGGCAGCACAGTTGGGTGCGGGAGGTGACAGCGGTAAGATGTGGCCAGGCTATGAAGCAATTTGGATGGAGCCGAGCGAGGATGGGGGGTGGGGGCGATAGGCTCGCAGAGCCTGGTGTAGCAGAGGACACGGACTGCGGAGTTCTGGACGGTGAAGGAGCTGGGTGGGTTCCTGCCGTCACCCTACTAAAGCTGCCAGTATTAACTTCACTTCAACAGCGACGAGCCATAGCTCTCACCTTGTCCGGACTTTGTGAACACGCAGGACGCAATCCCGCTGACGTCCTCTTTCCGGATACACTCGTAGCGGACCTGAGATTTGAGGGCGGGCAGAGAGACCACCTGGACATCACCGAGGTTTGTGAGAACCAAGAGGCCGTTCTCACTGTACTCGTCAGTCTTGCTGCTGTTGAAATTGGCCACGGACACTCTCCTCACACGGGAACCTTCCACCGCCGTCAGCTTCAACTTCAGTTTGGTGCTGACCTTCGGCAACGTGAATATCTGTCGGCAAGAGTGGAATCCAGTTACAGCCGGAGCAGAGCACCGCCACCAACAACTTGCATTTATATCGAGCCCTTCACGCAGGGCAGCATCTCAGAGCCCCTCGACAGTGGCAGAGTCTGACCCCGAGCCAGGGGGAGAGGGAGGTGACCGAGGGGAAAAAAGGAACGTGACTGTAAACACGTCAATCGCTGTGAGCTGGTGGTGTGAGCGGTGAAAGGCAGAGCCAAGCACTGGGCACATCCACAATTCCTCATAAGTTACCGAGTTCTTAAATCTCTCTCTCTATCTCTCTCGCACACTGCAGCATTTCACCACAATAAACAATTACTGGAATAGAACAGAAAGGGCAATAATCTGAGCCGTTTGTTCTCAATAAGGAATCAATTGTGATATTTTCCTCGCTATTCCATTTTTTTAAAAAAAAATCAAATACAGGAAAATACGCAACTGATTTACTTTCGTTTCTGGTAACAGTTATCGTGAAAGGTTCAAGCAAGATCCAACGACGACAACTTGCATTTATACAGCCCTCCTCCTCACGGAGGGCAGCGCCCCAGACCGCTTGTATTCCAACCCAAATCACCTGGCAAACAGGGAGGTCGTTACCTTAAACTGCTCCTCGGACACAACAAGCAGCACGTGGCTGCTGTGCATGTCTGGGCTCCTGGAGAGATCGTGTGAAGCTTCCAGAGGTTCCGGGAGAGGAACTCCTCGGCCGTCCAGGATAAATATGCCGATGACAGGAGCTCTGTGCATCAGCTGGATTTCCTTTGCTGTGAAGTCAAGTAAAGGAATCATACAATGTTACAGCAAAGAAGGAGGCCATTCGGCCCATTGTGCCTATGCCAGCTCTTTGGAAGAGCTGCCCGCTCAGTCCCCACTCCCCCTACTCTTTCCCCTTTCCTCGTATCCCAGTTGGATTTGAAAGGCTCGTTTGCAAGCCAAACACGTCTGAACTTCAGAGGCGAGGGTTTTAAGCTCCTCAAACTGACAAGGTGTGATGTTAGCTGTTAAGGAACATTTTCTACCAGAAATAAAATAAATGTGTTCGCAAGCTCATCATTTGTGTCCTCTGCTCACACAGACACTGGGAGGGTGGCATCTCTATTCCCATGCGGGGCACAGCTCAGAGCTACCAATGAGTTCACATTCAGACTGAATTTTGTAACAGCAAATTGAAAGTATTGCAGTTACAGTTAACGTGACTTAAACTCACCCTGGACTGCAGTTACTGGCTCCTCCATCCTCCTCTCCACTGGGGGAATGTGTATGCTATACGCAAATATTGTTCCACCATTTGTGCCAGCCCACAATGATGGGCCGTGAGAGTGAGAGGAAGCTGTGCAGAAAATACACACACACACTACTGTTATGGCAGCTTCAGGTTAGAGATTGAATGTACATTAGCGCACAGGACCCAAACAGTTACCGAATAAAACCAACCAAGTGTACTTATACAGCTTTTCACATAGAAAAATGTCACAAAGAGCTGGAAATCGGTCAAGAAGTCCCCCCCACTTCACCTCTCCCTTCCCTCTCTCTTTGTTTTCACTTGTGGCTGGAAACAAACTCTTTTCTGTGATTTCAGCTACCTCTCCCTCCTCCCCCACCAACTGAGGCTCCTACTCTACCAACAATGTACTTCTACCAACCTGCGTTAAAGCACTTCGAGATAATCTACAGTCGCTCTACTTTACAGTATATTCTGTGAAGCGCTTTGAGACGTCTCAAAGCTGTGATAAAGCGCTATATCAAACACAAGGATTATTATTATGATTATCTCCCAACATGAAAGGCTCAAAGTGTAAATGTTGTTGAAGAACCTCTCTCTCACCGTCTCTTATAAAGGAATCAGCAAAATAAAGTGTCCGGACAAATCCTGTGAAGGAGTCATCAGCGGAACGTGCCTCAATCCTGCGCTGCACTGGGGCCAGCTCCATCTCATTCAGTGCCTCCTGCCCCAGCCTTGCATTGGCCTCCTGCACCTAAACCACAAAGACAAACACTCACGTTAATCACAAGACAGCCTTGGGCCAAGGGTAAATTCCAGTCTCACCTGATCGCTTTACAGTATAAACTGTGCTCCTCGTGACTTTCACCCTCTGAAACAGCCCGGAATATTTTCCGTGGCAAATATCCGAACGGTGCAATTGCTTTTAGTGTCAAAATCCAAACTATTTTCAATTAACAACTCTTCCTCTTGTGACCCGGAAAGCTCGATCCCCCAAAGTGCCAAGCTGTCATCTTCTACCCCGGGATACGAGAAATTCTGTGAACCAGTCAATCCCTTTGATAGTGACAACACCTCAATGTGGTTACTCATCCTATGGCAGGAGTCCGTGTGCTTAAATGTATTTCTGCCAACATACCAGCAGATGGTGACATGGCTCAGTAGAACAACAAATTACATTTGTATAGTGCCTTTCACGTCAGGAGGACGTCCCAAGGTGCTGTACATTCAGCTACAGGGAGATCTGAAAGACTAGGGACAGATTAAGGCATCGGGGGGGGGGGGGGGTCCTGAACCAGATCACATTGGGGGTCCTTGTGAAAGACCAATCTCAATCGTGTCCCTGGATAACCTTTACAAGTCCCAGTAAATTTTCGTACCTTTGCAGCATTGCTTCCAGGTATCCCTGGTCGCTTTCTCCCAGACATTCGGCTTCCCCGGATACGACGGAAAGACTGCCTCAGCGATTTCTTAATGGATTTTACCCGGGAGAGGGGTCCCTCCAGAGCCAGCTGATCACTGGGGTGCAGTGTACACCTAGAGCCGGGAATAAAACAGGTTACATTGGAGGGATACAGTGCTACGGGATACATATTTCACTTACGTGTTCACCTTAATGTTAACATACAAAAAAATTACAGTCACGACATTTTACAGTATATCCTGTGATGGGCTTTGAGACATCCTCCTAATGTGAAAGGCGCTCTGTTAAATGCCAGGATTCTGTACTCCTCACCTGCAACAACAGACAACACCAACCTGATCATGACTGTGCGCTTTTGCTGGTAGTCGAAGAGCCCAAAACCATGACTCGTCCCAAACGTCACCAGTTTCCATTCGGAGTGCAGAGCGAGTGAGGTAACCACGGCTGGAGGTAGGCACTGAACCAGCACGAAAGGCTGGAAACCGGGGGGGAAGTGAACGGGGTCATCGTGTGGGTTCAGCCTCTCGTGACCTTTCCACTTGAAGGTGTCCTGATCTTGTAAGATGTCCACCACTGTACAGGCCACTTCCTGGTCAACTGGCTCGTCGTTCAGCTCCATCACCAAAACCTGCCGGAGGCGATACACAGTAAAAGGTTACAGGATAATAATAATAATCCTTCCATTTGATATAGCGCTTTTCACGTCTTCTTGACGTCTCAAAGCGCTTCACAGAATATGCTGTAAAGTGAATTGACCGTATATTTGTGGGCGAAACACGGCAGCCAATTGTGCACAGCAATATCCCACAAACAGTCGTGGATTGAAAATGACCAATTTACTATCCATCACACGTGAGGTTGCTGGTTCTCTCTTTGCTCAGCAAGTTAGGAAATATCAGCTGCATTAACTGTACAGGGGAAGGTCTTCTCTGCACGTGTGTGTGCGTGCATGCATATAGATTACCTACACGTGCACACACAAGCTCCTAGAAATGTGCTCGCTCAATGTGCCTGTGTAACCAGCAGGGTATCTGCCGCTGTATGCAATGCGAGGAGTACGTACTTGCCCCGCTGTCCCGGCCACTGTCAAGTAACCACTGTACTTGCATAGATGAATCTTCTGGATTCCCAGTCTGGGATCATCACTGTACGGATCAAAGGAACCGACCTGTGGAGATATCAGCATCAGCAGGTAAGGAAAATACACATGTGTGTACAACAACAACAAGATTCCATTTATAGAGCGCCTTTCACGTCGGGAGGACGTCCCAAGGCGCTGGACAGTGTACAGCATTTCAGACCCGAGCTGGGGGTGGGGGGGAAAAAGAGAAAGGAGGGGAGGGGAAGGGGGGTGACCGATGGCATGGTCGAAGAGGAGTGTCTTGAGGTGGGACTTGAAAGAGGCTAAGGAGGGGCGAGGCAGAGTGATTGGGGGATGGAGTTCCAGAGGTTGGAGCCAAAGAGGCTGAAGGCTCTCCTGTCAATGGTGGGACAGGGGGGTTGGGGGACGTGGACCAGCACAGAGCCGGCTGAGCGGAGGGAGCGAGAGGGTTGGTAGGGGGTTAGGAAGTCGCAGAGGTAGGGTGGGGCGAGGCCATGGAGGGCTTTGTAGGTGAGGACCAGGATCTTGAACTGGATCCTCTGAAGGATAGGGAGCCAATGGAGTCGGACGAGAGTGGGGGAGATGGTGTCACGGAGTTTGGTGCGGGAGAGGACACGGGCTGCAGAGTTCTGGATTATCTGCAGCTGTGGAGGGAGGAGTTGGGAAGCCGACAAGCAGGGCGTTTGCATAGTCGAGCCTGGAGGTGATGAAGGCATGAACAAAAGTTTCAGCGGCCTGAGGGGTGAGATAGTGGCGGAGTCGGGCGATGTTACGGAAGTAGCCACTGAATGGAATTTTCCACAGTTCACGACATCGCTGCTCTGTGCCTGGGAAGGTGAAGCAGAGCGGAGCAAAGCAAGAGCATGACCTGTAGCCGCCGACAGGTCACAGGCACATGCACACACAGCAAATGTGATATTTCCAATGGCGTCCAGAAGAACAGATTAAATATTCAAAGGGTTAACAATTAAAGCCACGATTAGCTGCCATTCGGGCCTGTTCCATCAACTGCTACTGCAGTGAAACCAGTCCGACCAAACGGGTGCCTAACCAAGTCCCTGGCCTGACTGGCATCTGGACCCTTTAACGCCTCCCGCAATGTAACAGACAAAACTTTTAACAGTTATTTATTTCCGGCTCCTTACCTTCCGCAAGGGGGGCCACTCGTCCTCCCCAGACTGATTGAGGTTGTCGTTGTGATCGGCGTCTGTGTGGAACACGCTCACGGTGCTCAGTTTGTAGAGCGGCTTCAGGCAGACTCCCGATGCATCCCAGAAACGCACCGTTCCGTCTTCGTGCCTGAGAAGAGCAGAAAAGAAATGATTACACGTGGGATCCGGCAAAACCTGGAAAATAATATTCCTTGCATTTGGATGTCTCAAAGCTTCACTGGTCCTGCCGATGACCCAGGCTGGGCTGTGCTGTCATCAGCAATACTGCGGACTCGCCTGGCTCAGGAACCAGAGTGCCGAGACCACTTCGGAGGGCTGGCTCGATCCTGACATTCCGTCGACAAACACGTCACCTTGGAAGCCAGTTCAGCTCCAAGGAGACCCCATTCGGTTCTAGTCAACCTGCGCCTAGCGCTCTGGAATTAGGGAAGTAGCGCGGGTCCTTCCGAGAGGGAGCGAAAATCAGCATTCCAATCCAAACGGAAATCTCCGGCTGGGTGTGTCCAGCGTGGTCTGGTAACAATCTTTGTAAATCTGGGTGTGCCTCTCCACCCCTTGCCTCCCGAGTTTGCGGACATGTTTATTCCCCACACTCTGATTTATTGCAATAAATACTGGAACAGTTCTAAAGAAAATTAAGCCAAACTTTAGAAGTGAAGAGGAAGATCTGTGATGAAGGTGGCCCACTTACCCAGTGAGCAGCAGGTCTCTCTGAGGGGGCTCAGAGGCAATGCTTTTACCACCATTGATTGGCCACGGCTGTGAAGACAAAAACAATTAACCAATCACAATAATTCTCGGATTTGATTATAGCGCCGTATCACGTCTTCGAGACGTCTCAAAGAATATACTGTAAAGTGCAGCGACTGTATATTTTGTAATCATTTAAGGGGTCAGAACAGCCCACTTTAGCTAACCTTTAAAAGGCATCAGTCTGTGAATTAATATTTGCGTCATGGGGATGCAGGGTTTGGACATGACCAGGAGAGGTCCACTGAACACAGTAAGTTGATACTTTCCTCTTTTTCGCTCAGACGGCAACAATTATTCAAAGCACAATTTCCACAGCCATTAGTGACGACTGCATGTTGGTCAAGTGCTCAATCTTCAGAGTGTCACTGTCAACAGTGGGACAATCATTCAACCTAATCTCCTTCCCCCCCCCACCCCAACACACTAGGGACAGCAGAGAACAAAGAAGGGACGACAAGATTTGAGTTCCTACCTTGTTCGAGTAGTGAGTGTTTTGCTTGCTCCCTGCAGCGACGATTTTCTCCCACAGTTTGATGGGGATGTTGGAGACGTGATGGGAGCAGGTAATGGCTGAACAATGGAGAGGGATCAAGTATGGCGGCTGAATCACTGGCCATGAGGGAGTCTTCAGATCAATGACCACCAGCTCTTCCTCCGCTAGAACTGCCAGAGCGCTTGGCTCATCACACTCTGCACAGAGGCGCAGTCAGTCGGTCAGTCAGGGACTCTGGAACACTCCATCATTCCCTCTTCCCTGCCCCATCCCCACTTTCAAATCCTGCCTTTTGGATCGTGCTTACGGTCACCTCTCCCCCTGGCTCGGTATCAGACTCCGCCACTGTTAAGTGCTCCAGGACCCTATCCTGCGTGAAGGGCGCTACATACACGCAAGCTGTTGTGGAGCCCAAACTTTACCCACCACAACAATACAGCTCATTTCAGGAGGCCTGCAGCAGTGCAAGTTTCCATAGAAACAAATACACACACACATATTGTATATCACACAGATATGGAGCACAGTGAGAAGTATACAAATTAAATTTAACTCAAAGGAAATACACTGTGTAATTAACACAATCTGTGTTGAGGAAGTGCTGATAACTGCAATTATCTCATCCAACATAGACGTGTTAATTTTAGGGGTTTAGTGCGACACTGCAGGCTCTTTACCGAACAGTAGAAGCTGCCACATCCTAATGTCTGAGTGTCAGGGTTGGTGTTCAGAATACTGCCCCTGATTCAGTGTTAAAGCACTATTGTTTACCCAGGCTGCAACCAATTTAACAAAACAGCATCCTGTGGTATGGCAATGCTGTTGCGACAGGTTAACTGCTTAGAGAAAAGGAGAGAGGTATTCACAGTTGAATTGTTCCTTGTGCAATATTATACTGTAAGAGGCAAGAGTATGTGTCCCAGGCTGGAGTATGTGTGTGTGTGTGTCTGTGGGTGTGTCTAACCAGCAACTATAAGCTTTTAAAAAAACACTGACGAACAACTAAGAGACACAAAGTGTGCTTCATCTTTATGCACAATTTAGTAAAATATAATTTATCCTTTGATTACATTGTGAACTTAAGAGAAACTAACAAGCGATTACGTACCTGAATCAGGTCCATCCTCATTAACAACAAAGAAATCAATCACTCGAGAGGTGAAGTCAAATGCTGTCTGTTTGGCGCCATGTATGACTGAAATACTGTGCCGGTCACCATAGCTGGCACGGGGCATTCCTCCTTTGAAGATAATAAACGGGGACCTGGAGAAAACGAAACAAAATGTATATGTATATTTGTGGAGTCCTGTAGCTCAGTGGTTAGAGCACTCGCTTTGCAAGCGAGAGACCCGAGTTCAATTCCAGGCAGGGCAAAATCTTGGGCAAGTTTCCTTACTCCACACGCCTAATAATAATCCCTTCAAAACCAAAAACAATAATAAAAATTGGTCATTTTCAATCTACGACTGTTTGTGGGACATTGCTGTGCGCAATTGGCTGCCGCGTTCGCCCACAAATATACAGTCAATTCACTTTACAGTGTGTTCTGTGAAGCGCTTTGGGACGTCCTCCCGACGTGAAAAGCGCTATATCAAATGCAAGGATTATTATTATTATTATGTAAACCACTGGGAACAGTTGTACCGCACCCTTCAAGCAGAGCAGTTCTTTCACATTCAGTACTAAATGAGACCCAGATTTTTTATTTTATTTTACGCGCACACGGACTTGAGTTGTAGAGTGTAGACAGATGTTCGTGAGGACACGCACACACACAAAACTCGGTACATGGCAGCAGCTACTTACCCTTTTTTGGTGGACAGCCAAAGAATCTTTGGAATGGCTTTGCAGGGGAAGGGACCTGCACACACAGGGAGGAGAGAAAGAAAAACATTTATTAAGTGTTCTGTACTACATGTATCTGAAGAGGAACATAGGGACACACTACAGATGACAACCAGCTCTTTCAGCAGATGGCAAACAGGGTTTTACTAGAATATTCCAGGTACGATAGACTGCAACCAGGCACTCGGAAAGGCCAGGGATTGTCAGCTGGACATTAATAACAGCTCGTGGAAAGCACCCAACAGATTTATCCCCTCCCACAAGTAGAAACTGCAGGTGTTTTACTGGCCAGCCGTATGAAAATGCTTCAGACGGTATTTTAGAACGACTTGTCCTCAACAACTTGCATGCATACATTGTGCCCCTCACACAGGATAAGGTCTCAGGATTGCTTCACAATGATTGAGTCAGACAAAGAGAGAAATGACCTTAGGAACTTTTTTTTCACAGAGAGGATTTAAAGAAAGATAGAAAGTTGGTGAGATAGAGGGAATACCATAGCTTAGGGGAGTGGCAAGTCAATGGTGGGTTGGAAGCGGCAGGCAGTGTGGCATTCCAGAGCTAGCCGAGCAGAGGGAGCAAGCGAGCGGAGGAGTGGGGTAGGAGAGGATCTCAGAGATAGGGAGGTATTAGTGCGTAAAGAGATTTATGAGAGGGAGAACCTTGAAATCTTGATCCACTGGAAGGCAGAGAGCCAGTGGAGCATGGCGAAGAGTAGGGCGATTGGTGCCTGGGCTTTAGTGCTGCTGTGGAGGTTTAGATTAGCCAGACTTTATGGATGCTGGAACTAGGGAGACTGATGAGGTCATTCGTCATTCTTAAAAAGCTCCAAAGGATGAACATTTACACTAAACCTTTAGGAACTGAAGTGGATGGCCTGCACAATGCTGGACTTTGTCTTCTACACGCCAGTAACTCTCCCTGTAGTTCAGCAGCATTACCCCAGAGACTGCGGCCAAAGGTTACCATGTGCTGCTTTTAATCAAAATGAACCAACAACAACAACAAGATTGCATTTAGTTCAAGCAGCACAACCAGAGTAGATATCACAGAGAATTCCCCCACCATTGGGGGGAAAAAAATCAATGGGAATTGGAAAGCTAACTCCTTCGTGGATGGAGTGCAACACTTAATGTTCTTGCCATGGCAAAGGTCTGTTGTAAATAACTATCACAGGATTTCTACAATCACGAGATGGCAATGCTCACCATAAGGCACTTTGTTCTCCAAAGGCTCTGGCTGTTTGTCATTACTTGATACTGGCCACTGACAGTAACTGCCATCACTGTGAGAACTGACGATTTGCCGGCCATCCCTCTGCCAGGTCACACTATCCAGCTGCTGTGAACAGGATACAAACACATGATTAACATCAACTGAATGAGGCACACACTCACTGTAAGCCCAGACTCAAAGGAAACAAAGGTGGGGGGGGAAGATACACTGCACTAATGGCACTTTATAGGACACAATGATTTTTTTTGTTGTACATTACATAGATCCCTTCACGTGGGGTAGAGTCCCAGAGCGCTTGAGAGTTATAATGACCATGTGTCGGGAGCGTACCTGATCTCCCAGGAAGTGGTGGGTGGCTCGGTTGTTTTGCAAGTCCCACAGGACGACAAGGCCTCTGCTGTATCCGACGAGAAGCTGATCAGGGTTCCTTGGGTTCTCCAGCAGGACTTCCACAGGCCCCAATGCACGTCGATTCTTATACTCTTCAGGCACTCTGAGTAGAGATTGCAATGTAAGGTCCTGCTCACTCCCTCCCTCATTTACTGCAATACTGTAACTGGAATCCTGTCAGTGATTGGGAGTGGGATCCTCCCCAACCTTCATAACCCAGCCCCAAAGGCCAACAACATTTTGTCTATAAAATATACACAGTCACTCCACTTTACAATCACCTGTGAAGCGCTTTGAGACGTCTCAACGACCTGATAAGGCACTATATCAAATGCAAGGATTATTATTTATTAGCATCACAGCCATTGTTGCCCAAGATGAGATCAGCCAACGCGCATTGATCAGGGATCATCAGGATACTGAATTGAGAAGGGATTTTATTCACAGACTAGTTGGCAGCCCACCCCAACAGTAATTAAAGCTACTTTTTAAAAAAATAAACAGAGGAGCACTAATGACATCAATGTTATAGTTGTTACCATTCATATCGCATGTTAATCTGTATAAACGTCAGTAACATAAAATACAATAAAAGCTTACTTGTGTAAGACTTCTTCCTGGCTGATGGTTTTCTCGTGCTGCTCTTTGAAAGTTGGCTGCTCCACCACACATACGCAGCCGCCTTCTGTCCCCAGATATAGCACCTCGCCCGACGAGTGTGGCAGGACAACAGTGACTGTAGTGACGCTGGGTGGAGCACTGCAAACAGGAAACAGGACGTCAGAGACAAGACATGTAGCTGTGTCAAACTGCTGATTCACCATAGTGATAATTTCAAACCTCAAAACTAGCGCACAGTAACGATACTCTAGTGTCACGCTCGCCTCTTAATTAAAAAGGTCATGTCATACAGCTTGACACAAAACTAATTCTTCCAACAACATTTCTGGGCCTCTGAAATGAAGCACTGGTGTAGTGCCAGCACACTGCAAAGTCTCTGCTGTGCAGACATCAGGAGGCTCAGAGTTCTAAGCCATTAATTCAATACATTCACAACATCCAACACATCTAGAAACTGCTCCTCATTGTACAGACAGGCTCATTGTGAAAACACCTTCCCATGTTGTACAAAAGTCCCAGATGTCAGCAGGTGAAATTACATCAGGTTTGTATGATTAAACACTGCACCTTAGCTCAGCTTGTGCTGTACCTCAGAACTCCAGATCCATTAGAAACAATAAGCAGAAATGATGTTTTAAATACTGTATTGCAGTTTTGAATGATTGAGGCTACATTTCTAATGTAGAAACACTAAGATAAAGTCATTTTATAATCAGCAATCCTTTAATGTTTGCCTAGCTTATATCAATAGCACGCCCCACCACATACACTAGGTCTATTTACAGGTTGACTTAGATGCAGTTCATCCCCACTAATGGAAATGTTTCAATGGGGAATGAAACCCAGCAGTGATGTTTTTTTTCTTTAAACTATCAGCTCCTCTCTCCTCCCCCAATTACAGTAACGCTTCTGCTCAAAGCATTCTATGTTCACCTACTTAACCCCACTGGGTTCCAAAGATATCCTTTAGTACTATGAATAATGGGTCAGCGATTCAATCAAGGACTCATTGTGCTGACATAAACCCTCCCCCTCACATCAACAGAAGATCTGAATCCCCCAACAGAAACTGAAGTCAGCTGAAACACACAATTCATACTCCTTACAAAATAGAAGTAATCCAAACAAGGGCAAAGTAACCTTAACTAGAAGAATGAGTAACATGTCGAATGGGGATTGGGGTGGGGGGTGGGGGGAGGGAAGATCTACTGGGGACACCTATCACTTTAGTTAAATTGGCCAATCTAAAGTGAATCAAGACTTGGTTAAACTCAACCAATGGCTTACCCTGGCTGCCCTCGTAGGAGAAAGCGCGACTCCTCCTTCAGCACAGTCAATCCATCTTGGGTTTTCTTCAGAGTCCATAAATGCAGACTGTTGTCATCTAAGAGTGTCACCAGGTGACCCTGTGGCAGAGACACATTACATTACTTGTTACATCACATCCAAGTGACTGTGGAGGAGATCATCTGCTTCCGACTAGTCCTCAGTGAGACCAAGCTTGTGGGTCACAAGGGGAAATCATGTCTCAATACGAATGGCTATAAATGACACACCGAGGTGGGGCCTGTTTTCATTTACATACCTGCATAACACATACAAAGGGAAGAAAATAAAAATTACCTGTTCTGGCAGAAAGTGTATCTGGGTAACCGCTGCATTCTCTTCATGTAATCCCATGATCTCCACTTCTGGCGCCCCATAACTTTTTTTTTTGAAAAGTCAGATGTTAAGGGGCAAAACATTAAGCACAAATATAATTTATATCCTCATCTCCACAGAATACAGACCACCATCACCTTCCCATTATAGTATCGGGGCGGTTTCTTAAAATGAATCCAATCTCCTGATCTCAAGCAGTCTTCCCAGTAACCCAGTCCATCTGCTAATCAGATTGGTGTCCACGCTAAAACTGTGTATCACACAAGCCTGCACCTATGATCTGTTCCCTGCTGCCTTGGCATTGCTCAGTGTAACATACGCTTTAACCAACTTCCACAGCTTGAACACTGCTCCAGCGAGTTTTCCATTAGCTCAGCGCGTACACTGAGTAAACACGCTACTATATTGCTAAAGAATAAAAAAAAGTTGCCCCAAGCTAAGAATGTTCAATATTGGCGATATCTAAATAGATTCCCTAACTTTACAAACGTCTAAAAGGACATTACAATTTCTCAGATCGATTTCCTCAGTTACAGTGCAGCAGCTAAAATGCTTTGATTATAAAATAGTGTCAGTTACCAGCTATCACTGTGATTAATGGACTGCTTTTAACAGTCCATCAGAAGCGCAGGAAAATTAACACCTTTACAAGATTTTTTAAAAGCCTTTGAAAAAGGCGGCAGAAAGCCAAATTTGGACACTTTCACAGCATTCAGGCACTCAGCGCTGTCTTGGCTACTCAGCTGTGGTGATGAATTACATCACACAACGAACGGTAGGATCTAGAAATCGAGTTTTTAAAAAATATATATTCTTTGAAGGTTTGCAACATAAAGAAGTCCAATGTTTCCAACAGTACTCTGGATGTGGACAACACACCAAGCTGACTACTGGGATAGTTTGGAGGGGTACAAGGTGGAAGTTTATTTTGATTTCTTATCTCAGTTGGATGGAGAAACAATTTTTTTTAAAAGAAAGTCCCTAACTATACGATGCTCACTGAGGTGATCTACAGCAACACTGGCCAGAATAATAAGTGGTATTAAAGCCCGGCTATTTTTTTCCTGCTGATTCAAGCATGGAAAACGAGCTTATCATGCGCCGAGGCTCCTCGATCAATCAGACCTGAAAGTCAGCCGTGCGTAGGGCCACTTCTGCTACTGTACATTTTAGTAATCCTTTGGTATCTCAAAGGCTTTAGCAAAAAAAATCCCCCAATGCTTTTAAATTATCTTTGTCTAATCCACCTTGGTCAGTACTTTGAACCATCTTCCAGCATTCTTTACCACTGGTGGCCCCCAAGGATACACCCACAGTATGTGACAAGCTAGGTTTCTAGATTTCAATATGGGGAAAGAGAGAGAGAGCGCTGTGCAAATGTGTCTTAGTACAACAGGCAGGCAACTGCTCTAGGCTGCTGCAACCAGCTGTATATAAAAACCCATGCTGTGTAAACAGATAAAAAAAAATTGGAAGCAAAAACCAAAGCATGTTCTCTTTAAACATTAGGATTCACAGATCAGAAAACACATCTGTTATTTTCATTTCATGGCTGTTTGTGGCACACTGTTGTGTGCAAATTATCTGCTGCGTTTCACCTACAATAAAACAGTCACTGCACTATACAGTATATCCTGTGAGGCACTTTGAGATGTACTGCCGACGTGCAAATGCAAGTTGTTGTTGAAAGGCACTGCATACCAAATGTAAGGATGAGCATCATTTCCACGTGGAAATTTATAGGTATTTGCAGCCCTGCGGGGTTTGCCCATTCAACCACACCTGGTGTGGCATACTCAACTACTCTCAGGTGCAACTATATAATGTTCAATAAACCCCGCAAAAAGTATTCAATGCTTACACAGCCGGACAGGCAGCACGCCCCTCTCCTCCCAAACTCTCTTGCAAAACTACCTCTCCTTTGCCTTAACGTCTTCGAAAAATATTCACCCACGTCTTGGTCAACAATTGTAAATTGTTATCTCCCTACTCAGTGTAGATAGCTACATAGCTTTTAGAGACGATCAACTGTGTTCCTTTACATGAAAACAGCTATAAAAGTTAGTCATGTAAGCACACAAAAAATGTTTTACTTAAAGAGGATGAATAGCCTCTAGAGGTGAATAAAAATATACAGGTAGTTAGCGAACAGGAATAGGCGATTTGGCCCTAGTCAGTCAGTGTTTATACTCAACACAAGCCTCCACCCCTGCTAACACCCCTCTCACAAACTGCTCTATTGTCTTCACCTTCACAAACATGTAAAGATCTGTCTCTTCTCGATCAGGTGGTCATCAGTTGGATCTTAAAAGACACAAAGAGAGGGGACGAGATGGAGCGGTAGAAGGAGGCAACTCCAGAGGTGAGGGGTATAGGAATTCAAGACTTGGCCACTATTGGCTGCTTATCAAGCCCAAGTTAGCTGAGTGGAGGAGTAGATCGGAGAGATAAGGCGGTGCCAGGGAGGGGATGGATTTGTTGCTGAAGGCAAGTACCAGGAAATCCATCGCCTGGGAGATACGAGGAACTGGGGTGATGTGCGTGGAGTTTGGTGCAGGTAGCAGTTTTGAATATGTTGCATAAAAATAAAAATTCAGGAGAAAACATGTAACAAGGTCCAAGCTATGCTTTTCAGCACCTTGGGACATCCTGCCGATGTGAAAGGTGCTACATTAGTGCTGGCCAACCTCTTTAGTTGACCAAAAAAATGTTTCTTGATTGAATATTTCTTGATTTATAAGAAAAGATACAGTTTGAAGGCCCCAGATCGGCTTCCGATGGCCATGAGGTGGAGAGTTGGACTGTAAGCCAGAGCACTAGGCTGGTGCGGAAACCCATGTTCTACAGTCTATCAGAGAGAAACACAAAAAGTTGTAGATTTAGTAAGTTGGTAAAAGCCTACACTGCGTGTTATAAGATTTAACTTGTGACAAACATCCCAAGTACAACAGCAAAGTCACATGAAAGAAGGCACTTTAATCCACGTAGATAGATATTCAGTTTAAAATAAATATACACCCTTACCAAAGCTGAATGTCACACAGAGACATGACTCATCTTTGGGAATTGGAGCAAGAACTTCTCTCTTTGCAATGCTAAGAAAATGTGAATAATCAACAGCTAGCTTGGTTTCATGAGGCTCTTTCTACCGGCTCTGGTCTCCTACACGTCCCTCTGTTCCACCATCGGTGGCTGTGCTTTCAGCCTCTACGCCCCGAAACTCTGGAACATTCTTACTCTATCCCTCCGCTTTACCCCTTCCTTACTCATCTTCAGATTGTGCCTGAAGACCTTCCTCTTCCAGCGTGCCAACGATCACCTCCCCCCGACTTGGTGTCGTGCTCCATCACTATCAAGCGCTCTGGGACGATGCAAGCGATTAGACTTCACAATCAGAGATTAAAACTAAAGGCTTTTAACGTAATTACCTAAATGTTCAATGACCTCAGTTCTGGCACAACTACTCCGTGCACGGAAAGTACATGGAAAATTCAAGCTTGTGGTTAACAAGAGGAAGGGGACTTCATGGTGCAGGTCATGACTAACGTCTATGGTACGACAGTCTACTTCCCGGGTGGAACTACAATCCTTGCTGGAAATTATACTAGCAGTCATTGTGTATACACACACACACAGCTGTACAGTGGATCAGTAACGAGAATTTACGCTGCCATATATAGCTAGACAGACCAACCGACCTTGTTAAACTGGAACAGATCCTGCTTGATCTTCTCTCTGTTCGCCTCGTGCCCGTGTCGTCTGAATCTTTTCATTATTCCCGTGCAGTGCGGGGAGGCAGCTTCTGCAGAAGCACCGATCGATCAGTTCCTGCAGGAAAGAGTTATTGATTGGTAGTTTGCAAAGTCAGAGCGGTCTGTACCATTTCGCCTGGTGACAGGTACTCGCAGCTGCACATGCTCCACTCCGGCAGAAAAACCTCCCCCTGCAGCACAACATGCTCTTTGTAATGGTACTCGTTACAGAGATGCGGAGAGGTGATGTCACGCACAGCTGGCTGGCGTGCTGGCTGAAGGACTTGACAATTAAGCAGCTCAGCATTTACAGAGATGCTCCGCAGACACAAGATTCCACTGTGAAGTTAACCAGCTCAGCAGTTACTGAGGCACAGTATTCTGACCGCTTCGTAGCTAGCTTTCATTTTGGATATACAGTCCTTGGTTGCTAGCGTGGTTTGCAGAATTGCCCTGGAGACAATTTCCAGATTGGCACCGAGAAGGTTTAAACCTAAGGAACCACTTCAACACATTTCAAAATAAGAAAAATGGAGTGAACTGCCCAGAGGTACATAAATGGTTCACGTGGGAGGGTCTGAACAGCTCACAGCAAAAGACTTCACATAGCTGCTGCAGTCTCGAATGGTCACCATTAACCTAGAATTCTGGCTTTGATAGAAATGCAAAGATCCAGTGTGAAAGCAAAGCACTTGGAAGAGGGCAGCTGCCAGAGAAGGATAGTAAGAACAGCAGTAGAATCCAAGGATTTAATTATTTACCTAAACAATGTTACATCGAAAACTAGAAAGCTATTTATTTGGGTGGGTGGGTGGGGGGGGGGGGGGGGGAGCGCAGGGGGGGAGAGAGAGAGAGCTTTCCGGTTGACTCAGGAATAACTGGAATTACATGCAGCACAGCTGAAGAACAAAACAAGCCAGCAATGAGGTCATCCCACCTGCAGCGCCACGTCCCTCCCCAAAGCACAGTGCAAAGTCCCGATAGTTAACAGGCCGCCCCAGGCACGTGCACGGCTTAAGTAAACTATCAAACTGCACAATTTCCTCAATAAGGGGAGGCTTCGGTTTAAAGCGACTGCATACTGTTCAATCCCAAATGGCCGGTTTCTACGAAGTGAAACGAACCCCAGCCTTTTTCGTGAGGGGGTTACTGCATATGGTTACCGAACACTTTCAAAGCCGTGCGGCAAAAGTCACACCGGTTCTCTCCAACCCGGAACTCCCGTGTGTCTGAAGTTCAATGCAGAAGCTGGTCCCACCCATATTGAGTGAGCCCATATTCCAGTGTCTGAGCTGTGTGGCTGCTTTACACCAAGCAATGACCCGTCAGCAAGAATTGCAATGCAATATTTAACGCGTGTTGTACGCTAGTTTGGGAGCACTCACTGGGTGTTAAGCGCTCTGGGACGCTACCCTGGTGAGGGGTGCTATATAAATGCAAGTTATTGCTGTTTGGTGCCACAGAAGAAACAAAGCTCTTACACTGCAGCACTTACATCTCATCTTCACCACTGCAAGTTACAAAAATAACCTCAATCCATGTAAACTCCCCAAAAAGGATATATCTTCATAACCAGATCGAAGACACGATTAGAATGCGAGATTTCAAGGTCTAAAAATAGACTTGTAATTCCTTACCTCCCCAACGTGCATACCAGGGTCCTCAACCAGGAGGAAAATGGTGGGAGTTTAAGTGCTTCCTGTTGCTCTAACGTTGCAAGCTGTGGCTCCCAAAGCACTGTACAGTCTCATTAATTAGCAAGGCCTCAATCTTAACCATCTAGAGCACACAGAATAAGTCAGAGTGGAATAGTAGCCATCAGCCATTTTCCCACAATCCCCATTTAAATTCCACTGTTTGTCAAGGATTAAACTTATGCACCTTCTTAAACTGAAAAGGAATGAGTAGCACGAACAGCCAGGAAAGATAAATACCACATGCAATCTTCAACAGGCTTCTAACTGCTGCCTCAAAGTCATTCCACACATTGTATGTAAAATAATAATCTTTGCATTTGAATATAGTGCCTCTCACGTCAGTGCCACAAGATCTGCATCGATCACCTGAACAGGCAGATTCCATCCAAAGGGCGACACCCCTGTTACTTCCCCGGCCCGGCCCTGGTCTGTCAACCGAGATTGGGTTCAAAGTGCCGACAAACCCACAACCTGCTGACTCAGAGGTGAAAGGGCGACCAACTGAAACAGGCACATACCTTCCGCAAACAATTCAGTTGAAGATACCACTTTATAATAATATCAGTAATCCTTGTATTTGACAGTAACACCTGATCACGTCTTTGAATCGTCTCAAAGCGGTTCACAGAATATACGGTAAAGTGAATTGTCTGTATATTTTGTGGGCAAAAACTGACTTAAAGTGATATAAGCAGCTTGTTTTGAGGTCAAAGTGGCAGGGTTGGATGTCACAGCAGCAGGTTTGGATTGACCCCATCCTTGCCCTGCTCCACTGGCTCCCCATACTCCAGAGGATAAGTTCCACGGCCTTGCTCCTCCCTACATCCTTGGCACATCCTCCCAAAGTGAAAGGCTCTATACAAATGTCATTTGTTAGCAAATTTTTTTTTTAAAAAGTTTAAAATTATTCATCAGTGAATTATTCTCACCCAAACTCTCCACTCAGCAACGCCACTGCAATTTGTAAGTAATGTATGCTGTCCAGAATACATGGCACATATATAAATTGACAGCTGAAGTGCTGCTTCACTTGAACCTACTTTGTGCAAGATACGTAATTGGCAACTAGGTGGTGGAATCATAATACTAAAGCTTCAGCCAACAATGCTGCTACTTACAGTGAAGCGCGTGAAATGCTAAAATGACAAGCTACATATTCATAGGGGAACCGAAAGGTAGCATGGCAGAAAGCTCGAAGGAGTTATTTTTCCATCGATCAGGTCATTCAACGAAGAAAGCAATTTATTAATGCAAATATTTTGCTTTATCCACTTCTTCACAATGCATAACATTTAAGAATTTAAAGAAGAATTTAATATTAAGACTAGTCCAAAGACCAAAGATGGATTAGTTTGATGCAATTAATCCGCTGGGAGATCTGTCAAATCACTGAGCTATCACAGTTACAAACTCCTATTTGCAATTGAGCCATTCGCTCTATCCAAGCTGCTGGATATCAGGCAGATCAAAAAATCTGGACACACATTCCTGCAAAAAATGCAAATACTAAAGCAATGTGTAACATCTAAGAATATATCGTGGAGAGAGAAAAAAATAGTACCGCAGGTGACGAGGGACAATTTCCGAGCTTGTGACACTCTCTGCTGTGACAGCAGTGTGAAAAACAAGGATAGGAAATACTAATTCCTCACAAGAGAGGACTGTTGGGGACAGCATCAGACACAATTAAATGGGCCTGATGAACAACAGTTCTTTTCGTACCAAAGTTTTTTTTTAAACAAAACAGCAGAACACCACTGGGGAATTCCATTCAGGCTCCAACTCAACCAATAAACTTCAGGACTTTGGCAGGACAACCAGCTTGGAATGGTTATCCTGTCCCAACACATTTGAAACCATATATTGTCAACAATTCTTTCTGATCAGTTCTACAAGTACAGAAAGTCGTTTCCAGACACTTTTTGGACGCCAGGAGCAGGACCTGTTGCTCTGCCAATAGACCACTTACTCAATTTGATGACTGCCGGAGAAAAAGAACAGTCAAGGGACAGGGACTCGTGCTGTGTTACTCAGGCACCAGCAGCCCTCTAGTCATTCACCGCTGTGTGCAAACCCAGATATACCGTGTTGGAAAGTTTTGGGGTACCACAGGCGATTTTGAAAATGTCCTCTCTCGGCAACCACGTTACCTGGCTGGTGGGTGAAAAGGAGTAAATTCTCTGATCTCTATTACCTGTATAGGCCAAAACAATCAATCCTTCTGATAAAATTGGTCATTTACTTCATCGCTCTTTGTGGGACATTGCTGTGCTCAAATCCACAGCTGCATTCATCTACAAAATACAGTCACAACGCTTTACAGTAAATCATATGAACCTCAAGACAGTGATAATCATCTGGAGGAGGGTGGAACCACAGTACCAGCTATTAGTTGTAAAACGTACAGACATTTTTTTTTGCAACCCAAGTTGTGGAACTGAGAAACATAGGGCACTGCCCGACCAGCAAATTCCATGGTTAATCATCTCTTCTAGACAAAGATAAGGTGCAGGAGAGGGAAGAGTGAAGTTCACAATAGTTACAACTGAACTGTCATTAGGACAAGTGAACTAATAGAGCATTGAATAGAAATTATAAGCAGTTAATCCTTCTGCTGGCTCAATTTCTTCACGATGTTCTATACCAACCACAGTGCATCCATGCCATTATTATTATTTAACATTTCTTTTGAGCTGTAAAAGGGCAATTTAAGGAAAACATGAACCACTGGCTGGCTCAAATACGTATGATGCAGAATGTTATACTGATTATGGGCACCACAACTGCTAATGAATCTGTGTAAATCAAATACCATGTTCAGCAAGAGAATATACAGTCAAAACTGGGGCTCAGTTGGCAGGACATCAATGGGTCCCTGCACAACACAATGAGCACACAATCATACCCAGGGCAGACCCAGTTGATTCAGATGAACATTTCTCAGGCTGTGCGTGTGTCACTTTTCCGAGTTGGTATCTAAAGGCCAGAAAGTGCGTTTCAGCATTTGCTTTGTGACTGCAATGATATCAGCACTCTGTTTAAACCGGATCTCAATGGTCGGATAAAAGGTTTACGCTTGGGTTTAACAGTCCAGGTTGACCTAGGTCTGAACTGCAATCTAAAAATCAGGTCCAACAAGAAACACTGTGTGCTCCTAAAGATCGTCATTATGCATTGAGAAACCGACGCTCTCCCAACTGAAGTTATTGGTGAGTTTACAGCAAATGTAGAGCTCCCTTTACAGAACAGCCTCGACAAGCACCATCAAATAGCAGCATCACAACAGCACGGCTTCCCAGGTTACTGGCTCTTCTGACACCACAGAAACAATAACTTACTCTCTTCTCAATGAGAACGCAGCTTGGGGCATAACTCAGAGAGTGATACAGTACAACCACAATCGTTCGCGTGCTTTTCTACCATTTGTTTGCTTAAATCACAAATCCTTCAAATAACCTCATTATCATTCAGCACAGTGCACGCACCAGATATATATCCGCAGAGCTCCAAGACTGGCACGTCAGCACGTTAAATTTACCCACAGATCGCAATCAATACCGTTTGTATTTGTGTTTTGTCCGACGGAAAGCATTGAGACAATACTGTAACAAGCCAACGTGAGCACTGGGCACATGAAAATACACATCTTGTGAAATTCATCACCTCAAATTGCTCCCACACGACTGGGTCTGGACATGCAATTGGCAGCACTTAATCGTAGCGTTAGTTCCAAAAAAAAGGCACCCAAAAATTACAGGGCTAAAAATACTCATTCCAGACACAATGAGTTTGAAAGAGCAAATACCAATAATTGTATTTCTGTTTTTCTCCATCTGCAATTCAAGTGGACATAATGTGGAAGTATTAAGCCCACTACATTTTGCCGTAATCTAGAAGGGTCGTTTCATTCCTGCTAACCCAACAAGCTATGGATCATTCAAATCATTCCAATTTTTGCCACTGCACTTCTGTAACTCGGGGAGGTAGGGATTGTCTTTACAAGCCTGTGAGATGGAGGTAAACTAACATTACTTTGAGGGACATGAGTCACTGGCAGAAACTGCATTCTTGAAACGGCTACTTTAAAAAAAAATCATTATGCTTGCATGTCGGCAGGACATGAGTGCTACCTGAGACGCCGTATGGTGCGGAGGGCGCTATATAAATCCAAGTTGTTGTTGTTACCAACTGAACCAGGACGATACCTTTTCTTACACTTTCTTATATCTTTCCAGAATAACTACACAAAAGCAGGAGGACCGATTCTCTGTCACATCAAGAGCGGCCGTTTGCAAGATTTGAAAAGCTGCTTTCATCTCCTACGAGCCGGCAGATCAGATATACCCGATCTTAACCACAGATTTCCTCCATCAACAAATTGCCGCTCTCGGCTTCAAGACTGGGAGCAAGAACCCAGTGTCAGATTGTAATTATCAGAATCCGCGAGAGAAAATGCTATTTTGATCCAAAGCCAGAATCTGTAGCTTTAGGAAAGATGTCAACAGCAAGGGGGTATAGCAGATGCTATAATCATTAGCAAATGTAGAAATTTCAACTGCTAATTATTATGCTGCCTACAGTTACAACATGGGCTCTGTGGGAAAGGGTGAGCTAAGGGACATACAAGGAGCTCTGCGGGATGGGTTATAAGATCACCCGGTGACCCCTGGTATAAGAATGTTAGTATGTGAACAAAACCAAAACTATTTTAATTAAAAAAGGGTGATAGGCATTCCAACAAACTATACCAACGCAAGAAACCACAACGTTTGAAAATGAAACTAGACAAGTTCTTGTCAGCAAAATAGATTGGAGGGTTATACGACTTAGCAATAGATATACTGAAGGAATCTTGTGGCAGATTCAAAAAGGGGTTATTTAGATAGAGCGAATAACCTGCAGTCTTTATACGGCACAGGATTTTACTGAAGTGTAGGGACTGTGTATTTGCAGGCAAGTGCCACAGCCAATTTGCATACAGCCGTTAAGTGAATGACCAATGTTGCATGGGGAATTACTAGCCAGGATAACAGAGAAACTCCCTTCTCTATTCGAATAGTACTGTGGGATCGTTAACTTCCAGCTGAACAGGCAGACTAGAACCCGGTTTAAAATCTCATCCTAAAGATAGCAACTCCACCAACATTGGTGTGTCAGCCTAGACCATTGGTGACCAACCATTATCGTTGGCCAACAGATAAATTTTCTTCACTGATGTCATAAACCGATCAAGAAAAAAAAACTAAACACACACTACCACGGACCAAGTCTCAACTTAAACCCACAACCTTCTGACTGAGCGGCAAGAGCGCTACCAGCTCAGCCAGGTTGATGGCGTGAGATAACGAGTATCATTTTGATACACCGCAATTAAAGTGTACATTACACCGATAGCAGTGTAATGAGGATATTAGATGACGAGGAGGACATATTACACACCAACGAATAAACAGGAACAGTTGTTTGACACCATGATTACCCATCATGGTGTACCCATCTACAGGCAACGGACTCAAGTATACAAAACAAAGACTCCAGGAGAACTAAACCACAAACACCATGGCCACATCGGTGCAAGCTTCACTATTATAAGTTTAATTTGAGTACCACTACACTGCGATAGAGAGATCGACTTGTCAGAGGACGGGTTAAAAACATAGGAGCCAAGTCTTTGTGTGGTGCTCATTTCCAATCCAACAGACACAAAGAGGTGACATTTCTGAGTCACTGCTCGATTTGTATTGTGATCCCTCTTTTCCTCAGGTTATCACATCAGCAGTCAGCCAAAAAATGGCCCAACATAAAAAGGCTCCAGATTTTTTAATGTGGAAAATTACTAGGTAGTAATGAAGGGATCAGAAATGTGTCAGCTCTGTCATTCCCATTTATCCGTCCGTCATTCATTGCACAAAACACTCAAAACCGTTAATTGCAACAGTGCTTAACTCACACCCAGGTATCCATCGTTGTGCTCAAGGCATTTTTCTGTAGAAGTTTATTTACATATTAACAATTCTTCAGGGAAAGCAAACAGATGGTAAAATGTAACCCTTAACAAGAATCCAACAGCCACAGTCACGAGCAGACCTCAGCCCCTGTTCTGCAAAGAAATAAATGCCTGCATAAAGGCAATGGCAATTCCTGCCGCAGACCTTGTTGTAAAACAATGGCTATTCTTCCAAAGGGTAAGCAATACACTGGAAGGGATAAGTGGTAAATTGCAGTGTGCACTGAAACAGTGGGGTAAGGTGGGGGGTAGAAAAGAGACATGGCATGAAAGAGCTTGTACAGAATTGCAATCCGCCGAGTAGAGAATACACCGCAATGTTCAGGTGTTAGACAATGATGTAATTCTATTAAGAGAAATCCAATCATGAACAATCACTCAGTCAAAGCTAACCGTTAATCAGCTTACAGTGAGGCAAATCAGCGCAGCTAATCTGGTCTACACTACACCTAAACCAACACCAAGCAGACAGGTCAACGTTTCCGTTCCGTGACCCTTCATCAGAACCAGTTGTGAAAGTCACAAAGATAACAAAGTAAATAAAGTAAATACAGTTGCAAACGTCTCACTAACTGGGTTAGCTACTGGCATCCTAGGTAATCAATCGATATATGGCCAATAAAGTGCACAACTTACTCCTTACTGACAGGTATTTCAGAAGGGGAAATCCTACGGTATTAACAGCAGCTTTCAGTGACAAAACCTCAAATTTTAAAACAAGAGTCAGCATTCAAATCTAATGCCACATCTAGGTTACACAAACAGAAGTGGTTCTGTAATAGCCTGTCTGGCAGGTTCCGGTACACTTGCCTCATTTACACCGACTGCAAAGACAAAGCCACTCCAAAGTCTAGGATAACGATTCAGTGACTGTTTCGTGATGGTCCCAGTTTCAACAAAGAGGTGATACGTGCCAAGCCAGGGCTGACGCGCACAGATACGGTCAGGAAGCAAGGGTCTGCTGGTCACCAAAATACTCGCTGGCAAAAACTGTGGTCTCTGAACCTCTCAGGTAGGTTTCTGTCCCTTTAATGGTAAATGCTGCTAAAGTATCATATAACTGATGTTGGACCTGTGCAGGTGAACAAACCTTCTGAGCATTTATTAGGGAAACAATGAATCATAATACTGAACAATGGGTCAGTCTTCGTGGAAACTCAACCAGCTCACTAATAATTGGTTAATCTTCCGCCCTTATAATACTCACAAAAAGTTCGCAATTATTGCAAATAATAACGAGAGAAGACCATGGATTTTACACACCCCACAGCATATTTAGAACAGATAATAATACTAATAGTTGCATTTGACATAGTGCCTATCACATTGTTGAGACATCTCAAAGTGCCTCACAGAATAATAAGTAGTAATAATAGTAAGTGCCTCAAAGACGTGCTAAGGCGCTATATCAAATGCAAGGATTATTATTATTATAGAATATATTTTGAGGCGAGCAAGCTAACTACTACTCTATAGGACTCGCTACAGGAAGATTAGCCTGTCTACCTTGGAGCAAGTCTCTTTAGTTGCAGCACTTTCAACTCTGATACCAACCACACATCTCCCGTGTTTGGATAAACATTCAACCTTTGGAAGCTTTAATCTGCAACAACAACTTACATTTATATAGTTTCACACAGGAAAGCTTCTCGGAGCGCTTAACAGTGGCGGAGCCTGATGCCGAGCAAGAGGGAGGAAGAGGTGACCGTAAGCACGGTCAAAGAGGAAGGTCTTCAGTCGTGATCTAAAAGACGGGAAAGAGGGATTCGGGGAGAGAGTTCCAAAGCTTTGGGGCATAGTGGCTGAAAGCACAGCAGCAGATGGTGGAACGGTGGAATGGAGGGGACGAGGGACAAGCAGGAGGCTGGAGTCAGCCAAGCGGAGACAGCGGCCCTGGGAGTGAAGGGACTTATAGACAATGTGCCTATACATTTCCTCATAATTAAAGTCAATATCACAAGACAAATTGAGTGAAGTTACGAGAAAACCAAACACCTCTAGAAAGCCCAACTAGCACTTTGTTTTGTTGTCAAACTTTCCACAGTTCCAAACAGTACCACTCTGTCTCAAACGTCTCACCAGGTAGCCGAACTGCACAGGTCTCAACACGCCTCCAGGACAGTGAGTATTTTACACATAGTACTTTGTTAGAATCCTGGCATTTGATATAGTACCTCATTACATCATCAAAACGTATGTATTTGTAGCAAACCCGGCAGCCAATTTGCACACAGCAATGTCCCACAAACAACCATCAGTGAATAATTAATTTTGACTGGATAATTGTTCGGCAGGACCCAGGGAGAAACTCTCTTCTCATGTTGAATAGGCCATGTGATCTTTAACCTCCATCCGAACAGGAGCGAACATCTTGGTTTAATGTTTTATCTGAAGGTCAGCACCTCCACTTCCAGCACTGCACTAAAGCCAAGGCAATGAGCTCAAAGATGATACGAGTTCAATAATAATAATAATAATCCTTGCATTTGATATAGCGCTTTTCACGTCGGGAGGTGAAGCGCTTCACAGATCACACTGTAAAGTGAATTGACTGTATATTTGTGGGCGAACGCGGCAGCCAATTGCGCACAGCAATGTCCCATAAACTGTCGTGGATTGAAAATGACCAATTTATTATTGTTTTTGGTTTTGGAGGGATTATTATTAGGCTCTGTGTGGAGTAAGGAAACTTGCCTAAGGTTTTGCACCGTCCGGGAATGAAACCCGGGTCCTCTCGCTTGCGAGGCGAGCGCGCTAACCATTACGCTGCAGAACGTCTCGTTATCTTGCTAATGGCTGCACGGAGTCTTAGGGTGGCTCACCGCAGGCTGGAGACTCACACCACCCACTGTCTGCCTTCACAGTCTGAAGTGGGTCACAGATGGTGGACCATTACTGTTAATCGGGAACCTGTGCGCCATCAGCGCCGTTTACAGCCTTTTCATTAGACAGATCGTAAAGTCGGTTTACAGCAGTAGTTGAGTTCCCCCTTCACACCCCCACCTGTCCTGCCCTGCCCTGTGTCCTGCCCCCTGCCCTGCCCTGTGCCCTGCCCCCTGTCCTGCCCTGCCCTGTCCCCTGGCCTGCCCTGCCCTGCCCTGCCCTGTCCTGCCCTGTCCCCTGCCCTGTCCTGCCCTGTCCCCTGCCCTGCCCTGCCCTGCCCCCTGGCCTGCCCTGTGTCCTGCCCTGCCCCCCTGCCCCTGCCCTGCCCCCCTGCCCTCTCCCCCTGCCCCCTCCCCCTGCCCTGCCCTCTCCCCCTGCCCCCTGCCCTGCCCCCTGCCCTCTCCCCTGCCCTGCCCCCCTGCCCTGCCCTCTCCCCTGCCCCCCCCCCCCCCCCCCGAGCCCCACACTGCAGGTTAACCCCATCACAAACCCCACAGTATCTCGTTTCGGGGGTCAAACGGGAGCGCCGCTCCAACCGAGTTTCCCTTTGGAGCAGTTTGTACATCACAGCGCGTCCTCACCACCGCCACTCCGCCCATTCTGTAGCCCATCTCCCAGTCTGTCTGTGTCTCTGTCTGTCTGTGTCTCTGTCTGTCTCTCCCTCTGTCTGTCTCTCCCTCTGTCTGTCTCTCCCTCTGTCTGTCTCTCCCTCTGTCTGTCTCTCAGTCTCTTCCTCTGTCTCTCAGTGTCTGTCTGTCTGTCTGTCTGTCTCAGTGTCTCTCTCACACACACCACACACGCAGTCTCCCTGTCTGCCGGTGTCTCGGTGTCAGTCAGTGCTGTGTGTGTGTGTAGTGTCAGTGCTGTGTGTGTGTGTGTGTGCAGACACTGACCTGTCCACAGACACGGCGGTGAGGGTGTAGTGTGTATGTGTGCAGTGTGTGTGTGTGTGAATGTGTGTGTGTGTAGTGTGTGTGTGCAGTGTGTGTGTGTGTGAGTGTGTGTGTGTGTGTGTGTGTGTGAGTGTGTGCGGGCACTGACCTGTCCACAGACACGGCGGTGAGGGTGTAGTGTGTGTGTGTGTGCAGTGTGTGAGTGTGTGTGTGTGTGCAGTGTGTGAGTGTGTGTGTGTAGTGTGGTGTGAGTGTGTGCGGGCACTGACCTGTCCACAGACACGGCGGTGAGTGTGTAGTGTGTGTGTGTGTGAGTGTGTGTGTGTGTGTGCAGTGTGTGAGTGTGTGTGTGAGTGTGAGTGGGCACTGACCTGTCCACAGACACGGCGGTGAGTGTGTAGTGTGTGAGTGCAGTGTGTGTGTGAGTGTGTGTGAGTGTGTGAGTGTGTGTGAGTGTGAGTGTGTGTGTGGAGTGTGTGTGTGTGAGTGTGTGTGAGTGTGTGTGTGAGTGTGTGTGAGTGTGTGTGTGAGTGTGTGAGTGTGTGAGTGTGTGTGAGTGTGTGTGAGTGTGTGTGTGAGTGTGTGTGTGTGAGTGTGAGTGGGCACTGACCTGTCCACAGACACGGCGGTGAGTGTGTAGTGTGTGTGTGAGTGTGAGTGTGTGAGGGCACTGACCTGTCCACAGACACGGCGGTGAGTGTGTAGACACTGCTGTACATACTGAGGAAGATGATGAAATGTACGGCTTTGCACAGGAAGGATCCGAACAGCCAAGTGCGGAGGGTGTAGATCGTGGCCTGGAATGGCACACAGCACAGCAGGAAGCCCAGGTCGGCCAGGGCCAGGTTCAGGATGAACAGCTCTGTGGTGCTCGGGCTGTGTCTGTGTCTGTGTCTGTGTCTCTGTCTGAGCAACGCCGCCACCACCAGCACATTGCCCGCGGTCCCCAGGGCCAGGATCAGACTGAACAGCGCCGGTACCACCACCGTCTCTGCCCTCAGCCCCCACACCTCAGGCTGACTCCAGCTCCCATTGCCCTCCATCACCCCTCTCCTCCCCTCCTCTCTGTCTCTGTCTCTGTCCCCCTCCTCTCTGTCTCTCTCCTCTCTGTCTCCCTCCTCTCTGTCTCTGTCCCCCTCCTCACTGTCTCTCTCCCTCCTCTCTGTCTCTCTCCTCTCTGTCCCTCTCCTCTCTGTCTCTCTCCTCTCTGTCCCTCTCCTCTCTGTCTCTCTCCTCTCTGTCTCTGTCCCCCTCCTCACTGTCTCTGTCCCCCTCCTCTCTGTCTCTCTCCTCTCTGTCTCTGTCCCCCTCCTCTCTGTCTCTGTCCCCCTCCTCTCTGTCTCTCTCCTCTCTGTCTCCCTCCTCTCTGTCTCTGTCCCCCTCCTCACTGTCTCTCTCCCTCCTCTCTGTCTCTCTCCTCTCTGTCTCTCTCCTCACTGTCTCTGTCCCCCTCCTCTCTGTCTATACTCTCCTCTCTGTCTCTGTCCCCCTCCTCACTGTCTCTGTCCCCCTCCTCTCTGTCTCTCTCCTCTCTGTCCCCCTCCTCACTGTCTCTGTCTCCCTCCTCTCTGTCTCTCTCCTCACTGTCTCTGTCCCCCTCCTCTCTGTCTCCCTCCTCTCTGTCACTCTCCTCACTGTCTCTGTCCCCCTCCTCTCTGTCTCTCTCCTCTCTGTCCCCCTCCTCACTGTCTTTGTCCCCCTCCTCTCTGTCTCTGTTCCCCTCCTCTCTGTCTCTCTCTCCCTCCTCTCTGTCTCTCTCCCCCTCCTCTCTGTCTCTCTCCCTCCTCTCTCTCTGTCTCTCTCCCCCTCCTCTCTGTCTCTCTCTCCCTCCTCTCCCTCTCTAATCTCGCTCTCTAAATCTTCATCTCTCCTCTCCCTCCCTCTGTCTCTCTCCCTCCCCAATCTCTCTCTAAATCTTCATCTCTCCTCTCTGTCTCTTTCCCTCCTTAATATCTCTCTGAATCTCCAGCTCTCCCTCCCTCTTTGACTCTTTCTCTTTCTGTCTCTAAACCTTTCTCTCCGAATCTCTCTCTGTCTAAATCTTCCCCTCTCTCCCTCACTGAAACCATCTGTCTTTCCCTCTCTGAATCTTTCTCTGTGTGTCGCTGAATCTTTCTTTCTCGGAATCTCTGTCTCCCGGAGTTGGGGTTGGATCTGCTCTGTGTCTCTCTGCCCAAAGACAGGGGCTATAAAGTAGGTTGGCTGGTTACCAGGGAGTCTTGCATTGGCTTCAATGTTGAGGGTGAGGAACAAACCCTCCCCCCCTGGAGTCAGTCATACCAGCAATATCTCATCTCTCCTTCCCAGCGCTTAGATCTTGAGCTATAGGCTAATGCTGTCTCCCTCCCTCTGGGATTACACGGTGCGTGAGGTGCAAGGTGGATGTGAGTATATGAGTGTAAGAGGGTGTGCGCGTAAGAATGAGTTGAAGGCAAACTACGAATCATATAAAACTGGGTTTAATCAATAATCTACACCGCGCACTTGGAGTTCATTGCAGCCGGTAAGTGCACATGTGGTGTTTCTCACGATTCAATGTGTCTTGGAATCACAAGTGTTGGAATCGCATTGAATCGTGGAATAATAATAATCCTTGCATTTGATACAGCACCTTATCACGTCTTTGAGTCGTCTCAAAGCGCTTCACAGAATATAGTGAATTGACTGTATATTTTGTGGGTGGTGGCGGTAGTGTACAAATACACAGTCACTACGTTTGTAATGCCCTGTGAAGCGCCGTGAGAAGGTTTGATGTTACAGATACTGTTTCAAGTGCCAGGATTATTAATAAGGTAAAGAGGCGGATGAATGCAGCAACCGATTTGCACAAAGCAATGTCTCAAGGACAGCCGCAAAGTGAATTTTATTTGGGGGAAGAGTTGGTCACCGGGAGACACATTTCTTTTTTCAAATAGTGCCATGGGATCCTTAACATCCACCTGACCGGCAGACAGGACCTCGATTTAATTTCTTATCTGAAAGACGGCACCTCTGCAAATACAGCGCTCCCCTGACGCTGCACTGGAGCGTCAGCCAATACTGTATGAGTTCCAGGTCCCAACGTGGGACTTAAACATACAACCTTCTGACTGAGCCAGGCTGAGATATTCTGATGGATAGATATCCTTTGCATCCAATTTTCTTTTCAGTAACTAGGCATTTGCTGGCATAAGTTAAATATATTGTTTATATTCACACAGCATTGTTTGCCTGTTCGAGTGAACGTTAAAAATCCCACGGCACTATTTAAAAAGAGAAGGAAGTTTTTCCCAGTGTCATGGCCAGCAATCCCGCAAATAAAATTGGCCCTTTGTTTCAATGGCTATTTGTGGGACACTGCTGTGTGAATTGGGCTACCGCGTTCGCCTCCAAATACACAGTCACTACACTTTAGTCCTCCGAATGTGAAAGGCGCTGTATTAAATATTATTTATTATTAGCTTTCAGCACCGCTGCTGTCTCCGGAAATCAACACATTGCCCTCTGCTGACTGAAATGAACTGAGTTATATTCCTTATAATAAATAATAATAAGCCTTGGCATTTGACGTACTCGCGACTTTCACGTCGGGAGGACTTCTCACCGTGCTGCACAGTGCCGCCACTCCGTATTTTGGAGGTGAACGTAGCAGCCAATTTCACAGAAAAACATCCAACAACAACAACAACAACAAGATTCCATTTATAGAGCACCTTTCACGTCGGGAGGACGTCCCAAGGCGCTGTGCAGTTGCGTCAGGACCCAGAGCATTGGGGGGGAAAATGGTCAGGGGGAGGGGAGGGAAGGGAGGGAGCCAATTTTTAACGCGGGGGCGTGGGGCGTATCGGCCAAGACACTGTGAGAGAGAGAGGTACCCCCCACCCCACCCCTTCTCTTTTTTGAGGATCTTTTAAAGTCTGTCCTGAACAAGCGGATGAGATGGAGCCTCAATTTTAACACCTCATCCCAAAGGGATGGCACCTCTGGACAGTGCAACAACCCCCCACACCCCACAGCCCCCCCACACCCCACAGCCCCCCCACACCCCACAGCCAGCCCACAGCCCCCCACACCCCACAGCCCCCCCACACCCCACAGCCCCCCCACACCCCACAGCCCCTTCAGCACTGCACCGAAACGTCAGCTTAAGACGACTACCGCTTTCGAGTCGCGACGCGGGGACTCGAACCCACAACCTCGCGACTCCAGAGGCGAGTGCGCTGACAGACAGGCGCCGAGGGGGGCGTGGCCTTTTAATCCGCCCACACCCCCCCACATCAGCGGTTCCTCCAGTATCCCGGCATGCACCGGCCGGTCCTCCAGTATCCCGGCGAGCCGCGCGCGGTCCCAGGCTGATGGCGGCGCCGCGGGAGAGCGTGGCGGATGCGCTGGAGGATAAAGAGAACCGAGCGGCGGGGCTCGGGGCCTCGCTGTCCCTGGAGAGTATCCTGCGGCGAGGGCGGGGGCGGGAGAATAAGGGAGGGCTTCCCGGGCCGGTTCCGGGCGCGTTCTCCTCTCTCTCTCTCTCAGACGGCGGGAACGAGTGGTCAGCGGGTGAACTCGGCCCTGAGAGCTTACGTGTCAGTGTGAGGGCGGCCCGGGCCCGGGCCTGAGGGCAGCCGGGGGAGGGGAGGGGAGGGGGGGGGAATGGGGAGAGGGATTGATTGCCCCACGTCAACGGCAGCGGCCGCAAGTCACACAGTCGGCGTTAATCGCTGATTGTGAATAGGAGTGCAGTGTTGCAGCACTCGCCCTGCGAGCGAGACACCTGGGGTTCAATTCCAGGCCGAGGTGGGGGTGGTGGGGGGTCAGCCCGAGCCCGAGCCCGAGCCCTGGGCAAGTTTCCTTACTCCGCCCGATCGTCGTCTCCTCCCCCCCCCAAAAAAAACGACAAACCCCCCCCCCCCCCAAAAATAAATGGGGTCGTTTTCCCACCCACGGCTGTTTGCGGGGGACTCCGCCGCCGCCTCTCGCCCGCAAATGGTACGGCCGATTCGCTTCGCAGTCTTATTCTGCGAAGCGCTTTTTGAGACGTCGAGAAGCCGTGAAAAGCGCTGTATCAAATGCGAGGATTATTATTATTATTATTATTACGAGCTGACTGTTGAGTAGCGCCGATGCACTCTCCCCTCCCTCCTTCCCATACGTGTCGGGTCTCTGGCTCAGTCTCTGGCTCAGAAAGGTCTGGGTTCACACCCCACGTCCTGGTTAAACTCCAGCAGTTACCCCACCAACGCACACTCCCAAGAGACTAATACTCTCCGGAATTGGGTAAGCAGGATGTGTCCCAGCAGGGAGAGAGAGTGAGAGCGAACTCCGATTCCAACAATCTATTACTGGGATTTCCATGTGCTGGTGGGATGTATGGAATTCTCAGCTCGGTTTGGAGACTCTTCACTCTTCTAACTGGTTTCCTGCTCGCTCTAAATTCTGCCCACTTTTTCGGTAGTAATATTTTGCTGTGGTATTTTACCTGAATGGCGAGCGAGTTGTCCAGCTGCTTCAGGTTTTCAGTGATGGGAATTACTTTTTTTTAATATAAGTACTGGGTATCTATCTATACTTCTAATTTGCAAAATTTTATTTAATTTGATACTGCTTGTTTTCAAATGACTGTTGCATCCAGCCTCTGGGAGTGTTAGTCCCCTCTCTGATTATACAGTAACTATTAGTTTATGGCTTGTCTTTAACATGAATTTAATAGCACAAAACTGCTTGGGACACTAAATGTGGTGTAACAGCACTAGGCAGACAGATCCAACTTCAGTCACGGGAATGTGCATTTCACTTACAGGTTTATTTTAACATAAATTGAATAAATATCAAAATAGAATCTTTTTGCTGTCTGCCCTTCTGTAGTGCACCAGGTCTTGCTCCATGTTTGGAGTGACTTCTGGTGTGGGTAATTTAACAGCTTATGCCTTGGCTAACACCATATGGATGAATGATTAACAGTTGCTGGGTGTGCTTTTATAATGTTGTTGAGGTTTGAGTCCTGTTTTCCTCAATGTGTAAAATCCAGTCCTTCAGATAATCAAGGACTCTCAGCAGCAGCATGGCTTACGGCATCAAGACTACCAGAGATACAGGTCAGTGGTGATATGCTGGATATGTGTCCTCTGCCCATTTAAGTTGCTCTCAGCACACAAGCTCAGCATTCAGACACCGAGGCATTACAAACATCCAGTCAGTCAGCTTTGGTTTTAGCACAGTACTGAACAGTTCAGTGGTTAACGGAGTTGGAATACTGTTCGTTGCTAGTATAGCGTGCTAACACTCACTGACTGGACTTGCACATTGGAATGGTGACTTGGTGAGATAATGGAGGTGACTGGCCCTCATGGAATGCACCCCAGCCCGAGTCTGCTCTTTCAGAAGAAGAGATTTCATCCTGTGGTACATCTCCATCTCAAGGCTATGATGGCTGTTTGGTGGTGTTTCTGGAGCTTCGTCTGATTGGGGTGGAGGAGAGTTCCAGCTGTTGATTTCACTGGTTGTTTTCTGATTGGTTGCAGGGGTTACTGTTCGCGCAGACTCCGGCGTCTCAGGAAGACTTTGGGCTTCAAAATGGGGAACAGACACAAGTTCACGGGCAAGAAAGTGACGGCAGAGCTTCTCTCAGACAACAGGTAGGAGAAAAATCAGCTGCTGGAAGGTCACTTTATGCAATACAAGAGAGTTTAACATTTTGCAGTGCAGAGCTCAGTACCTCTGTGATCTTATTGGCATCTTTCCCTGGGAAGAAAGGGTGATTCAAAGTGCAGATAAATATGTTGAGCGTCAGCATAAGGTTCATAAAATCCCAGCCTGCTTTATAATGAGGCTGTAAAAGCTGTTGTTTTTGCTGGTATGTTCAGCAATCTGCTCGGGTCCCTGTGTTTATATTAAAAACAAAAGCCACAGATCCGGTTATCAGGTCACCCACAACATGCAGGACTTGATGTTGGCGGCTGCCTAGTGAGCTGACATTGACGTGTGAGTTTCTAGCTGTGTGTGTGTGCGTGCGCTCTCTCTTGGAGTGAATGGGGTGCACATCCCATCAAGATTTAAACAAATCAGCGCTACAAAACGATGCAAAATGAAAATGGCTGCTCCACGTCATTTCAACCATCTCCCAAGTATTTACCTGTGTAGCCGTGGCATTTCAGACATGGTGAGGTGATTGAAGTCCTGGGTTCCATTGCCTTGTTCGTGTCTAATCCTGAACTTGTGGCATTAGGTACCTGCTGCTGGTTCTGATCAATGCAGAGCGCGCATGGAGCTACGCCATGCAGCTGAAACAGGAAGCCAACACCGAGCCTCGCAAGCGTTTCCACTTGTTCTCTCGGCTGAAGAAAGCCGTCAAACATGGCGAGGAGCTCGAACGCCTGTGTGAGAGCAACCGTGTCGATGCAAAAACCAAACTAGAAGCTCAGGTAAAGTATTCGGAGAAGGATTGTGTGGGGTAGTGAGGGTGGCTACTTATTTGCTTATGCTTATACTGGCCTGTAATTGGACTGTGAGCACGATGCAAAGAGAGCAACATCTACATCTTAGCAATTTAACTTTTACTCTGAGAACTAAACTTGTGTTTATTAAATTAGTTCTAACGAGAAAAAAACAATGTGAAGTGTTTCAGTCCCTCTGTACTTTCTTTTTTCAATTGGATGCGTGAGGGGCGCTACATAAATTCATGTTGTTTTGTTGTTGTGGTTGTTGTGCTGACAACTGTTTCCTGTTCCTTTCAGGCCTACACTGCCTATCTTACAGGTATGCTGAATTTTGAGCTGCAGGAATGGAAACGCGCAATGGAAGCTTTGCACACATGCAAGTAAGTGATTTGCTTCTTTACAATGCAGACTTCCTGCGATGTGTTTAAGCTTGGAAACAAAACTGTTAGGTGTAAAAAGGAAGTGTACATGTTGGTCCTCCGTGAATGCTGTATGATAAGGGTAACTTTGAACTTTTAAAGTAGAACTTTTAAACTTCAACAGGACAATCTACGAGAAGCTAGCCAGTGCCTTCACAGATGAGCAGGCTGTGCTGTACCGCCAGCGTGTGGACGAGATCTCTCCCAACATCCGCTACTGTGACTACAATATAGGTAAGGCACACTCGTTTACTCTGTAAGGTGTTGGAGGCCAAAGAAAGTAAACTCAAATTAACGTGCTGCAAGTTTGCAGGATTGAAAGCTGGAGGACCCCAGAGTATGTGTTGGGGTAATTGCTTGAATTTAACCAGCTAAAACAGCACAGTTTGCTATTGAGAGGAATGTCTACAAGCATCCCACCGCTTGTCCAGCTCGGTAGTCGTTAGGGCTTTGGCTTGCAGGCTTAACAGGAGCCGAGTGGGAAGAAATCGCTGCCCTTAGTGACTGGTTTGTCATCAGACGTGTCTTGGAGTACAGTGGAATCCACCAGCTCAGAATGGACTGTCCAGTTCTGATTGACTCGATTCCGACATTCTGTTCCCATTCGCATCATCCCCGAACCTGCTCAGTCTCGAGGAGATTTCATTATACCACCCCCCCCACCACCTCCCATGAACTAGCCTGCCCATTAAATGCTGTGTTCAATAATCCAACCAGCTCCTTCAGAACATGCCGCTAGCAAAACGTGTTAGTGTTGTAAGTGCTTCTGCAGCCTCTGAAGCCAAATGTTACGTTTATTGTCTGAATCCTGGCCGAGCAGCTCATCCAAGATGGGATTCTATTGCTAAATCCAGCCTGCTTTATTGTATGCTTGTGTTACATCACTGTTAAATGTGTACGCTGAGATCTGCTGTTTGCTTGTTGGCAGGCGACCCACTTGCCATGAATGAGCTGATACAGATGCGACTAAGATCCGGAGAGAGTGGAGGACTGTTGGATGTAAGTAGTTACTATTTAGAATTGACTGATACTTGCGTCCTGCATGATAGGACTTGACGTTGAACATAATTGCAGCATTTTACACATCGATATGTATCACAGTTGGGGTAACGGAATTCCCTGCAGTTCCTGGGAATAAAACAACGGCTAAAGTAAAGGTTCATTTACTTTTATTTCTGTTTTATTCCGCAAACCAATCCTTCCCACTGTCAAATCCATCCATGGCATTTTCTGCAATGCAATACTGATTCACATTTATATCGCGCCTTTCACGTCGGGAGGACGCTCCAAGGTGTTGGACAGTCCATGTGGATCTCATTGACTCAAAGAGAGCAATGACTCGATCAGACTCTCTTTCAATCCCATTAATAGTGGCAGCGATGGTGTTGGCATTTGGAAAAAATATGATTGGTGAATGGAATGCGATCCATTCGCCGTCTCAAATGGAACGAGTGAGGATTCCGTTTGTACAAGCGAGGCACAGGCGAGTGGCGCCAACTGGCCTGTTCTGTGCCGGCTCTCGCTCCTTGTAACTAGCGGCTATATCCTTTGCCTGTCACTGTCAGTGATTCTCTTGTTGTGCTTGTAATTCTCCCAGACGCTGATCACACAGACCAGAGCCAAGCAGGCGGCCACCATGAGCGAGGTGGAGTGGAGGGGCAGGGTCATCCCGGTGAAAATCGACAAAGTCAGAATCTTCCTCCTCGGCCTGGCTGACAATGAAGCGGCCATTGCCCAGGTATGGCACTAGGTGAGGGGATCGCTCACCGTCCGGGTCTGATATCCTAGAGCGGGCAACCTGATCGGCCAGGGGTGGGTTCTGGGTTAACAGGAGATGGAAAATGGGAAGGTCGGTTATTAAGAGGTGGCGGGGGAGTGGTCGGGACCTGGTGGTGCAGTTGGGGGAAGGGGGGGGAGGTGCCTGGTAAGGGGGTAGCTAGTGGTGTGATTAACTGAGGTGAGGGGGCTGCCGGTGTATGTGAGGGTCTTGCAGTGGACAGCACTGTTCTGTGAGTTGATCAATGTGTACAGTGAAATAGTGTACGGTGGTGATCCGGGTGGTGACCTGTAGGTGTCAGAAGTGCTGATGGGGAAGTGTCGAGTAATCACGTGTCGAGCTGTGAGTCTCCTCTGTAATGTTCACCATTTCCTACCCTTCAGCTTCAGGGCTACAGGTGCATTCTGGTAGCCCGAGCAGCCATTATTGGTGTATGCGCTTAGTTTGTCCATGTTCACAAGGTGTGGAATCGAGGGGAGCTTGGTATTGTATTGTCCTTTCCCCATGTTATCTTACTCAGTATTTCTAACAGGGGCAGTGGAGCAGGGATTTCATTCTTCCCTCACCAACCCAGGACACTGAGTAAACTCAGCACAGATTGGGATTGAAGCTTATTCCTGCTCGCGTGGCTAAATTTCAGGCAGAACTAGTGGGACTACGGTTGAGTCCTGTAGGGTAGTGGTTAGAGAACTCGCCTCGCAAATGAGAGGACCTGGGTTCAATTCCTGGGCAGGGCGAAACGTTAGACAAGTTTCCTTACTCCCCACACCTCTGTTTATCAAGCAGTAAGTAGGAACCTGGTTGTTGGTTGATTGGCGGATCGCTTTTCCGGGGGTAACAAAACCCTTCAAAAAAAATTTTTTTAAATGTGGTCACTCAATCCATGACTGGGACACTGCTGTGCGCAGTTGGCTGCCGCGTTTCGCCCACTAAATATACAGACTATTCACTTTACAGTATATTCTGTGAAGCGACCTGAGACATTTCGAAGATGTGAAAAGACACAATATCAAATGCAAGGATTATTATTTTAATTGTTGTGGTTTACCTGCTGCAGTATCGGGGAGCCGGGAGTTTTGGATGAACTGGATTGTTGATGACAATGTGGGCAGAGCAGTGTTTGTAAGGGAGGTGTTGGAGTTGAAGCAGTTTCTTGAATCACTTTGGAAACAGCCTGGAGCACTCATACCTCAGGAGGTTTTCACTGTTCAAATAACAATCTGCCCACTCAGGTGACTGTAGGAAATGGAATGCTTTTGGTAAACGTGGAACAGTAACAACGCCTTTAGTTATAACCAAAAAAGGAGAGGGAGGAGAGAATTGTTCCGCTGACATACTTTGTTTGACTGGGAAGTTGATCTGAAGAGTGCGTTATTTCAGCTTTCTTAGTGGATTAAACGGAAGTGAGCACCTGTCGTGTTTCTGTGACATACTAGATGAAGCTTGCCATTTATTTCATAGAGAGATAACACAATAGAACCAAATTATAAAGTGCCCTGTTATGAGGCGTTGCCTCATTAGCAGTTGCCCAATTAATTTTGATGCACAGAGCAGCAAGTTTACCAGCACTAAAAAATGTCCAACTTATGGACAGCTCATGATGATGATAATAATAATAACCCTTGCATTTGATATAGCGTTTTTTAAGTCTTCGAGACGTCCCAAATCGCTTCACATAATATAATTACACATGCAGGTGGGGTTGGAGCCTCATTGTGTTAGATCCTAGAGAAAGCTGTCATAGCAAACACTCCCCAAGCTGGTTCCAAACCAGCTCAACAGACTGCGCAGCATTCCACTCCAAACCCAAATGCCTCAATTGGGTTGGGTTCTGAATTAGCACAGCTAGAGAGATCTTTACACTCCTCATGGATTCCATTTCTTTGCCTCTTGTTACTTGTCTCTATTTATTAGATCCAGTCACAGCATCTACCCTTCAAAATTCTCCGTTATATAGATCATGCTTTGTGTGACGGAGTCCCTGATGGTAATCATGGAATCCTGCAGCACAGAAGGAGGCCATTCGGCCCAACGTGCCTCTGCCGGTTCTTTGAAAGAGCTACCAACTAGTCCTGCTCTTTCCCCGTAGCCTTGCAGATTTTTTTTTTCTTTTCAAGTATATATATATATATATATATATTCAATTCCCTATTGAATTCCCTAATACAGGTTTAAAACAGGGGAACTGGGAGAGAAGTGAAGAGATGGTCGCAAACACAAAACATAATACCCCAAAAATTCCTGGGTTACAATTAAGGGAGGCTTTTTCAATGATGAAGACACAACAGGGACAGTGAGACATTGTTGTACCCACACTGGCTGAGATCACCTAACTCCATACTGACCATGGGAGGGAACTTCACTCTAGCTAGTCTGCATAGTCTTTGTTATAGCTGTGGGGAACATGGCTGGTGCAGTGTGTGCACTGTTCTCAGACTGGTGCTATGATGAGCTCCAGCTGAAAAATGTACCTATTTGAAATGGCTGAACAGTCTGAGCCCAGTTTACACAAGGACCAAATGTTCTTGCCTAAACTGGCAGTGTGTGTACCACATGTGTTTTCCTCTGAGAGGGAAGCTCTTTAACCCATTGTATAGCTGGAAGTGGTTGATGTGGTGGTGTAGAGGAAACTATATCTAGCCTGTGGTGTACAAGGATAGTAGCGCTTGACTGGGGAAATGCAGAGGAAGCTTTACTCTGCATCTAACCTATTGTGTCTTAATCATTGATAAAGAAATAAAATATTCCACATTTTGAACCCAGTTTCAGCATCGGCACAGCTGACAGAACAGTCTCTCTCACCTTGCCCACACGCACAAGAACACTCATCAGATATAAACCAAACTCTTATTTGTAGAATCAGATCAGTTTTACCGGTTGTGGAGGCTGACGCACAGCTTTATGTTTCTGTAACTTGTGCTGCAGGCTCCGACTGACGAGGCTAAGGAGCGTCTGTATGAGAGCCTGCTGAGCGAGTGTCGTGATGCTATCCAGGCTGTCCGTGAGGAGCTGAGGGCTGACCCCGTAAGTACCATCGTGAAACTTTGTAAAGAGCGAGTCGTAGCTGTAATGGTGCTTAACTGTGAGACTCCCTTCTGTGGCGAGCTGACTATTAGCCATTAGTTTTGATTCTATTGATTTTTTTTTCCTGCTAATTGTTCAGATGCAGAAGCAGAGGGAACGTTCTCTAGAGCCTGATTTGGGGAAGGTGTCCATTCTGCAATATCTCCACAGGTAGGAGCTCATTCTGGGTTAGAAATACCTTTGTTTGTTTGTCTTAGTAACCTGGTAACGTTTCAGAACGTGGAACTTTTCACATAACAAAAGAACGTTAGGGTGATGTGAATTCTATTTTTTTCTTAAAAGAAAACTACAGGCTTACATATATAACTAAATTGTTTTGTATTTGCATTTATGTGGTTGGACTGTGTGGCATTATAGGCAGAAATGTCAATCTACCTGTCCAATATTAAAGTCCAGTCCAACTCAATGCTGTTGTTGGTGACTACAGGTTATACATCACATCTCCTGTACAAGGCAGTGTTGAGAGCTAATATGTGAAAGCATCTCTGCCTCTGTTAAACAAACATACCATTTCTGGGTTTGTAAGACTGACCTTAACCTACAGCTTCAAACGTTGCTGGGAACACTCAGCAGGTCGGGCAGCATCTATGGCAACAGTTCGGGACCACGACCCTTCGTCAGAATGGGTCGTGGACGCGAAACATTGCCATTAGATGCTGCCCGACCTGTCAGGTGTACGCAGCGACTTCTGCTCTTGTTTCAGATTTCCAGCATCTGCAGTATTTTGCCCTTTGTTAACCCGTAGCTTGTTCACCACCTATTCCTGTTTGTGTCTCTGCAGCTACCTCGCCTACATTAAATTGTCTACAGCGATAAAACGCAATGTTAGCATGGCCGAGGCCTTGCAGAAGCAGCTGAACGAGCTGTCGCAGGAGGATGGGAAGCGAGTTCCGCGCCCACAGGATCTGATCCGCGTGTACGAGATCATCCTGCAGGTACGTGAGGGACGTCCCCCTGACGTGAAAGGCGCTGTACAAATGTCATTTGTTGTTGTTGGCCTTCCCTGCCTTTCTCTACACGCGGAGCCCGGGTTGCTGCTGCTACTGCTGTGTACGTGAGGCTGCATTTACCCTCTTTCCCCTGAATGAACACCCGGCCTGAGCTTGAGCGCTGAGAGACACCGTCTGTCATGAAGGGCGCTATATAAATGCAAGTTGCTGCTGAATTGTTGGTACGTGTGGCTTTGAAGGAGCACAAATGTGAGATTAGGAAATTAAATTCCCCCGTGTTGTGGATTGAAAAGCTCACACAGATGGACAGTCAGGAGAAGGGTCTCTGCTCTTATCCTAGTATGAATAGAGCTCTAGCAGACTAGTATTTCATGTCCCTGAGGAGGAAGTGTAGATCCAGAGCATGATGTTGGGTGACTGGGGTGAAATGAGGGGCTGGTGTTCTGCCGTCAGGATTAAGGCTGAGTGTTGTGCTCTCCTAGAATCTGTCGGAGCTGACCCAACTGCCAGGGCTGGAGGAGGATAAGAACTTCCAGAAGGAGGTGGAGCTGAAGACTTTAGCTTATAAAGCCTACAGGTGAGTGAAGAGGTGATCAAACCACTCTGTAGGTAATTACCTCAAACAACTCCTTCCTCCACGCACGCACACACACACACTATTGGTTGCACTGATGCTAACACTCTCATCACTTCATCCACAAGTGTCAATTTTTCTGTATGTGAACACAGTGAGTGTGAGTGAGCTGTTTGACAGTGGGGGGATTACTGCTGAGGCCATTCTAGTCTTTACCCTTGTCACCAGGCGCACTTCCCAGCAGGATCGTTGGACAATAGAAAGCAATGGGAACTGAGAGCCTCAGAGCCTCTCTCACTCACGCTGCCCGACCCGCCAAGGAATGTAGCGGCTCAGTGTAGCCCACAAAATACTCTTGTCAGTCCGTGAAGTACTTTATAATAATAATCCTTAATTTTCCGTTATTAATAATAACTTATTATTAGTGCATCTACATTGTATGATGTTCAGTGGCTTACCACACATTGCAGAACCATCGGAGGCGAGGAGATAAACAGATTAGTCAGTCCTCAAGAATTTTACATTCAGGAAGCAATTTAGAAGGAAGGTTCAAGAAACCTTTGTAAATAGAAACATTACAAAAGTTCTACTCATAAGAAACGGTGGTGCACATCTGTCAAACTGATGTTTCTGTAAACCTTGAACTTGCATCATTTAAAGCCTTTTTTTTGCCCTGTTAAATCCTTGTTGGATTCAGTCTTAAGATAACAGTTAATTTTCAGAAGGTTGAAGTCTGTTTCAAGCCAGTCTCATGAAGCTATGAATGATGCACTTCCCAGATGCAGGGTCATTGAATCCATCATGAGAATGTTGCACTTTTCCCCTGGATACATGCTTCCTGGGACACAGCTTGCTGTTTCGTTCTATTTCAGTCGGGAACACTTAGCCTTGTCCTGTACTGTTTCAACCATCTGCTTCACAGACACCTCTTCGTCTTACGTGCCATATCTGCATATCGCAACCACTTTTGGCTGCAGAGCAATTACAACCTTGTGTAGTCGGATGTTGCCCTTTGCAGGAATGCTGTTTACTTAGTTTATTGTGACTTGCTTCAGATGAATTCAGTGTGAAGGTTTAATTTGAAGGTTTGCAAGATCATGAGGGATTCTGATAAAGAAGTGCCCTTTGGGCAATTTGATCCCATCCTTCCCAAGTTACTGACCCTTCTGTCTTCCCTGTACAGCAACAATCTGTTTCTCAAATGAGTGGCTTGCCTCTCAATGTCTCTGCCTGCATTTCAGATGCTTTTTCATCGCTCAGTCTTATGTCTTAGTGAAGAAGTGGAGTGAGGTGCTGGTGTTGTATGAGCGAGTGCTTAAGTACATCTCAGAGTTCCAGACCCTGACCAGCAAACCTACAAACAACCTGCAGGTAGGTGTTGTTGAACGTCATTCAAAAGCATTGAGCTGATTAGCTGGGGTGCACTGGTTTCCCTGTGACGTGGATTGACTGTGTCCTGTTTTGTGCAGGATCTCCCCGATATGAGGGAACTCGCTGCTCGGGTGAATGCTGAGAAGTATTCTCTACAGGCAGCTGCTATTCTAGGTGAGTGCACTTACTAAGCTGAATACCGCTTCAATCATTTTAATGAAAAGAACGGCGAAAGAACTGACACGGGAAACCCTTGCTTCTCTGTGCAAAGTGACGCAAAAAGAGAAGGTACTGATATTATAACGTGTGTTAGGCAGAGAATATTGGTGGCTTTGCCCTCTTTATTGTGGTGTGAAGGTGTGTGATTGGTACAGGATTGTCCTGGGCTCTCTTTCCCACTCACTGCTCGGGGTCTGACATGATCGAGTGATGAGCTCTGAGATGTTGCTGTACCTGAAGACGCTGTATAAAATACAAGCTGTCGGATGTATCAGGGAATATTTATGGTGTTCATTCTTGTTTCTGCAGACACAGATGAGGTCTCTGATATGGTGTCACAGCTCCAGGTCAAAGACAACAAGGTAAATAATTCACTGCATTAGTGCTGTACATCCTCTGTGCTGTATTGTGATATACAAGATCAGATTAACGTCCAACACAATTCAAGTGTTGAAGGAAAGTGTATTTTATGGCTGTTTGGTGAGCCTGCTGTCTTTAACATTTAACAACACTCAGCTTAAACAGTGCAGCTTTTCATTGAACTCGGGCCACTAATCGGGGCATCTTTTTTCTGTGGGATTCAGATCAACCAGTTCAGGAGCTTGGGGGAAGTTCAGAAAACCTGCTGACTATAACATTCTACAGACCGTTTCACAGAAAGCACAGTGGGCCACTCAGTACCTCACAGTCATTGTCCCTATAGTTAGCTCTGCAAAGGCATGTTGTGTTCCTTGTTAACCCCGGCTATCTAGTGTGATGTTCTGTCCAACATGTGAACACTTGCCATGTCCAGCTGTACACTTGGTGATGATTGTAACCTCATGACCCCTTTTCTCCCACAGCCTTTAGCAGAGCGTTTGGAAGTCTTCTCCATCGAACCCTCTCTGGTCACGAAACACGCTTTCCTAGTGGAATTCCCACCCCACTTCCAGCCCATACCCTGCAAGCCCTTGTTTTTCGACTTGGCCTTGAACCATGCGACATTCCCACCCTTGGAAGACAAAGTGGAACAGAAAGGACGAGGAGGCCTCACCGGCTACATCAAGGGTTTTTTCGGCTTCCGCGGCTAACCTTTGGGGTTGGGATTGGGGTGACTGGTGGTGGGATGGCTGTGGGAGTTGGGGGGGGGGCTTTAAAACCTTATGTTCCACATAGCAGCCAGCGCTCACACCTGAATGGAGTTTAAACGCTTCTACTGTTGTACATCATAAACCGCGGACAAAGCTAGTGATCGACGGCAGACTGAACTGAACCCTGTCTCTATTAGATGTAGGGAGAGCTGGCAAAGTCCACCCGGCACCACTGGCGATCACTGAGTGTCACACAGTCCTGTCGCGGTGTGAAATCTGTTCAAACATGTCCTCTGGGCTACCTGGAAATGGACCTCGATTAAAGGATCAATGATTGTGGGGAACGGGATAGAATAGTAATTTGTGATAAATCCATTCATTCCGATACTTAGCCTGATTCTGTAGCATGTGGCTGTATGATTCTACCTGGGGTCGCTTGATGTGGTTCTGTGACATAATTTGGGTCCTTTCTGCATCAGGGACGACAGTGCAGTTTGTGAATTTTGTGGAAATGACTGACTGAAGCAGCTCAACACTGCCAGTGTTCTCGCCGACTGACGCCAGCAGCCAACCGACTCGTTGACTGCCGCTGAGGTGTTCTGTGGTGCGGAGAGCACACAGGGGTCCCTGAATGGTACACAAAATAAGCATCGTTCCCACACCTGTAATGTTTTAGTAAAAAAAATCGCTACTGCCAGTTAGTGGATTTTGAGCACAGAAAGCAAGGACCTTGCCAGGTTGAGTTCAGTCTGCCGGTACACACAACCACCTCAACTATTTTCCTCATTAATCTTGTGCAGTCGACTCAAGCGTTCAAAGATCATCATTGAGTAAATTCTCAAGAGTTTGTTTTTAATCGGTCTGTACGGTCAAGTGTCGAAGCCAGTGCAACCTGGGATCCACACAGAAGATTTTTTAAGATGAAACGTTCTAACCTAAAACAAGTTCAGAAGATCGAGGGTATATCTGAATTCAAATTTCAATTAAAATGATTAAAAATCTTAACGGTTTGAGTTCTTGGACATTGGGAAAGATTGTTTCTGTTGTACTGCCGTTGGCTCTGATAATTGGATGAAAATTTGCTTTGTTTCAAAGGTCCTACAGTAAAACATTTGAACTAAGCTTGTGTCTTGTATTGACTCTGCAAAATGACTTGCTTGTACAGGTCACTGATCGATTCCTGTTGTGGTTGGTCCACACCCACTGACAACTGGTTTGACACTGAGTTCATGGAGCTCCATTACAGCCACGAGACAAAGAGGCTTTTATCCCCTCAGTCTGGGCTGCATTCCCAGGCCCAGGGGTTGAAAGAACAGCAGCCAACTCAGGCTACCACCCATCTCCGTTTAAGCTGTTGTGTTATATAATACACAGTGTGTTTTGTGCTTGGAATGTCGCTCTTTTCCCTCCCAATGTTATAACATGGATATAATTGTAATAGGTTTCCTCCTTATGACTGTGTCAACACTTGTCTGTCCATTACATGCTACCAGGCTCCTCCAAGTCCCTCTGATCAAACTTCTCACACATCTTCCCATTTCTCTTCTCCCTGGAGCTAATCTTGCCCACTCCCTTGGTGTCAGATTGTAAATCAACATCGACCTCTGTTCACCATCAGTGGGTACAGGTGATGGTTTGAGAAATGCCATTGGGATGAAGGCACGTTTATGCCTGGGATGCTGGACGCATTTCAGAAACAAATTGGTGCAAGAATGAGGAGACGGTGGAGTTGAAATTCTGGCAGAATGAGTTGCAAAAGGAGCCTCTTTATCTGAATCTCTCAGGATGGGAGCTGATTCCTCCACTCCTACTTCCATTAGAATTTAAACTGTCAACTCCTACCTGCCCACTTCACTGCCACCTTGAAATGGGGAAAGGAATGGGGCCCCTTGCATTGTCTCTCCATAGGAATAAATAAAATTTGAATAAAGTATTGAGAGGAGCGTGTGATGTAACAGGAATTAAAACCTCACATGTACTTGTGTAAATTGGTGATGTTCTGACTGGAGTGGATCAGCCATGATATGAAAGCAATGCGAAAGAAAATTGTATTGTGAAATACAGAAAGGATTAAGCACAGCTGTTTCATGCAATTTCACTACAATAGTAACTAAGGAGACTGGAGAGTGCCCAGAGCCCTCCCACTGTTCACAGCATAATGTAATGTGCCGAGGACTGGTTTGGGTTTGACGGGATTGTGGAAGCCGTGTTCTGCTCATTTATCTGCACAATGATGGGAGCGGTTCACCAAGTATGGGCAGACATGCCCAGCAACCAACAACAACTTGCATTTATATACATGGAGTCTGTAGGGTATTGTTTAGAGAACTTGGCTCGCAAGTGAGAGGACCTGGGTTTGCTTCCCGGGCGGGACGAAACCTTAGGCAAGTTTTCTTACTCACACGCCTGTTTACCTAGCAGCGAGTAGGAAACCGGTTGTTAGTCGATTTGGTCACTCAATCCACGGCTGTTTGTGGGACACTGCTGTGATTTCACCCACAAAATATACAGTGAAATTCACTTTACAGTGTATTCTGTGAAGCGCTTTGAGATGTTTCAATGACCTGATAAGACACTATCAAATACAAGAATTATATTCCTAAACGAATGGAGCAGGAAAAGTGAGGGATTTTTGATGGCCTGTGATAGTGAACAGGCAAGAGTGACTGATGCTCACAGGCAGTCGATGCTTACAGTTCAGAGTTCTGACTTCTCGTAAAAGGAATCTGGTTCAGTGAGCTCATTCAGCGTGTAACTGCGCCATGATGTTTCCAGGCCTGATTTCCTGCCAGTCTGTGCTGAATTAGCCCATCTCAGCCAAGACAGCAGGACAGAGTGGGAATCAGTTTTCCTGGGATAAGGAGAGGAAACAATTAGATGGGGTACCCACCCTTGATCACAGTCCAAAGGTACTCTTGATCTGTATTGAGGGGTTAGCCTAAGTGGGACTGAAAGGATTGGTTTTAAAGAGGCGCAATGAAATGTGCTCTTAAAGAAGCATGCAATGGGCTGAATAGCCTTGTTCTGTGCTGTAAATTTCTATTGTTAATGAAAAGGGCTTTCAGGTTAAAGTAAGAGGGTGGTCACTCTTCATCCTGAGTAAAGGACTGAAACAAAAACATAGAGAATCTGGAAAAGCAGGGAGGTGTTGGGAGGTATGTGTGGAATGTACCAGTAAGAGCCCATTCAACATTTCTCTGCTAAAAGTCACTCACATTCTTTATATCCACCTCCAATATCTGATTCAGATATGCAGCACCAACCTTAAACACACCTACAAAATCAGTCCCGATCTCAAAGTCCTTTTGGACGGCAGTCCAGAACGTAGAACAGGAGCAAATCGACCCTTGAGTCCTGTGGAAATATCAACCTTTCAAACAAGGGTGAGATTAGAATGACCAATAGTCGTTACTTACAGTGGTTTCAGCACCGTCTGAGTAACTCACAATCATACGAGCTACTGAATTCTAGGCTTTAATTAATACTTACATTTGTTCCTGTTTGGAAATGTTTTGCTATCTGTTTGGCGAAAACAATGCACTGTATTGTGGAGCAACTGGTCAGTGGATCACTGATCTCCAGATTTTCTTTAATTTGGCTGAGTAAACGGCACACTTTGGGTTGCGGGTTCAAGCCTCCAAGTCAGGACTTTGAGCTCACAGTTTTGGCCGACGCTCAAGTGCAGTGCTGGGGAGCGCTGCAGTGTTGGAGGTGCCGTTATCCTCATTTCTTCTCCATCTGTTCTGTGGGTCAGAGGAATGTCAAACGATCGCAAGGCACAACATGAGAAAGGAGGTCAGGGAGTGTTTCTGGTGCCCTGGAGTACTGTGGTCCTGTTTGGCTCAGGAACCGCACTACTGAGCCCACCGCAGAGGGTTGGCTTGATTCTGACATTCCGTTGCTAAACGTGTCATCTTGGATCCAGTTCAGCTCAGAGGAAACCCCCTCCCCACCCACCCACAAGGAGGATAGTCTAAAAGTCACACCAAGATCCAATAAACTGGTGAAACAGGCTGAATGGGCTGAATGACCTCCTCCTGTTACCATTTACATTTATATAGAGCCTTTCAAGTAATAAAACCTATTACTGTTTTCCTATCGGCCCTATTGATTCAACAATCAATGAATAAAGTCCTGCCACCGCTTCAGCTGTTACGGGGCTGTATTTCACGGCCTGGACTTTAGATGTGATGTGAATAATATTCGGGCTGCAGAGGGAAGGTGGGTGGGTGGGGCAGCCAGTTGTACTGTGTTGCCTTTTGCATTCCCTTCGCAACCGGTTCAGCAAGTTTTATATTAACCTGAAACTTGTGCTTCAGCTTTCTTGGATCACCTGTCACTGCGAGGAGGAACCTCCCTGAAACTGGGTTTTAACAGAGCTTCGGAGATCACACACACCACACATACATACCGGGAGATCACATCCCACAGACACACACACACTGAGACACACACTGAGAGCTTGTGTACAGGGCACCGAGATTCGCTCCTTGCTGGAGACCAGACAAGATGTCCAAGTATATCTCTCCCCAGAAGGTCTCCAGGTGAGTCAGCCACATCACTTGACCGTATATTTTGACGGGTTAAATGCTGGTTTCAAAACATTCCATCGTTAGTTTGTACAGGGTTTGATCAGAGTCCCGCGTTTGTTCGTGTGGAGGAACAGCATTGTCTTTGTTTGAATTTGTGTTTGTGTTTTACTTTAAATGTTCTCTGCAGTGAGGCTGTGCTTCCCCGCTGTGTCTATGTGCCAGCTGTTTGTGCACTGCTTCGCTCTAAAGAGCAGGTTTGCAAATAGCTTTGGGGACTGAGGGAATTGAGAGCTCTGTGGGAGTTTGGAATTCAATGCGTTTTTTGAGTCCGAGGGATGGAGGAGTTTATGAGCTCGTCACAGTAGGGAATTTGAATATTATTAATAATAGTAATAATCCTTGCATTTGATCTAGCACTTCATCATATTGTTGAGACGTCTCAGGATATATTGTAAAGTGAATTGATTGTATATTTTGTGTTTTTTTTTGTATTTTGAATCTTGGAATTGGGGCTTTGTGGACTATTTTCCGAAGTTGAACACATTGGGATTTGGGAATTTTGGTTTAGGAGCTGAATGAGTTTGGGAATTGGGAGTTTAGGAACTGAATGTACATCATGTACATTTGGAAAATAACAACAACAACTTGGATTTATATAGCGCCCTCCACGCTGGACGGTGTCTCAGAGCGCTTCACAGCAACGGATCCCGGGAACGAGCCGGGGGGAGGGGGAGGAAGGTGACCAAAGGCGCGTTCGAAAAGAAAGGTCTTCAGCAGAGACCTGAAAATAGGGAGTGAGGAAGGGAGTTCCAGAGCCTCGGGGCATAGTGGCTGAAGGCACAGCCACCGAGGGTGGAGTGGAGGACTCGGGGGACGAGGAGGAGGCCAGACCTGATATATATGAAATTAAGCGAATGGGAGTTTGGGAATTTCGATTGGAAATTGCTGGATTGAGAGTGAATGAGTTTGGGAAGATTAGGGAGTTCGGACGTTTGGGAGCTGAGAGAATCCAGGAGCTTGCGTGAGTGTGTTTGTCAGTTGCACCGGTTTCATTTCCATAAATTCTAATTCAAATAAAAATGAACCCAAGCGGCAAGCTGAGCCAAGTCCAGCCGGAAAAATCACATACTGTGTGGGTTTTAAAGAAAAATCCACAAGATGACATTGAAATATCATCGTTACAGATACTAAGATGGAAGCAGGAAAGACAGAGAAAAACCACAATACAGAGCTTCACACTGGGCAGTGTGCAGTGACTATTGGAGTGGAAGAAGCCAGTTCAATTCATATCTTTGACCCTGAAAGACCCTGGTGTCGGACATTCTATTAATCTAGTAAAACCATTCGCAGTCGTTCACTTCCCCTCCTCCTTGCCTTCGCTGCTCCAATTAATTATATAAATTTTTTGGTCAGCCGTTTTTCGCTCTGACACGTGCGGAAACCCGTCACCGTGTCTAAGAGTATCTAAACCATACTGAGAATTCTATGCATCAGGCCTAGACATGGAAATCCCAATTACATTACACTGAATCCACATGTATTGATAGATTGTCAGTCCTGAAGGTCATAGTCAATGCCCTGCTTGGCTGGGCTGACAGAGTCTAAGTACAGGTGGACTGAGTGAAATGTAAGCCATGTGGTTTTCAAAAGGGTGAGAAATATGTCAGGAATTCAGGGTGGGGAGAGTGCTTTATGTGCCAGCATCAACACCCCATTCTTCAGGTGTTGCAAGAATATTATTGACCAATAACTTACTGTGATTGGTGATAAGCTAGGTATTATTGTGGTGTGCCACAGTCACTGATAACCTCCGATAACCCCTATCTCACAGGCTTGTTCCCAATCCAACCTTTGATTTGTACACAAGCCTTTGACACTCTTTAAAGCTCAACAACTACAAAATTACATTTGCATGAGGTCTCTGATGAGGCTGCGGGGAAGTGGGGCAGGATGGCAGCCACATTGAGGAGTGAGATTACAGCAAAGAAAACAAAATTAATCTGACCATGAAGCTGTAGAGAGGTTAAAACTGGGATGAATTGTCCCTTATCAGGGCCTCTGTATTACTAAGCTCTGTCTGGCATTAGAAGCAGCAAAGATGTATGAAAAAGCTGCTTTCAATGTCTCATACACCTCACTCATATTCCCCCCCCACCCCGCCATGGTATCTGCTTTAGTGGAGGAAGCGCAGCTTAGCTCAGCCTCTCTTCATATGTATGTTGTCTGTTATTAGTGCCGTCCTCGTCAATCTGCACCACACCCTCAGCTTCTCTCAGACACCCTTCCTGTCTGTCTTTATAATGTGAGAGCCCAATGTCAAATGTGGCAATCAGCACAGGAAAGATCGTGAGGAGGTGAAAGAGAGAGCGAGAGTCAATGGAAACACCTGAAGGGTGGGGTGAGGGCATAAGGAGGTTTATTGAGGAGTGAGGCACTCACCATAGGGAAAGGGCAGGTCAAGGGGCCTGAGACGATTACTCTTTCACAGAGCAGCGCAGACATGATGGGCCGAATGTCCTTCTCTGTGCTGTAAATTTCTATGGTGCTATGTTCAGATCAGTTGTCTAAATGGTACTTGAGAGAAAGTTACAGCTCCTGAGGTTTCAGTGTTTATTGGCCCACAAAATACGCAGTTCTAGTATAGTAGTTTATAGTATACTCTGTGAAGAGCTTTGAGATGTCTTGAAGATGTGATAAGGTGCTAAATCATATGCAAGGCTCATTTTTTTTTAGTACCCTTTCCCCCTTGCTCGGTGTCCAATCCCACTACTTAAGCACTCCGAGACGCTGCCCCGAGTGAAGGGCGCTACATAAACAGTGTTGTTGTTGTTGCACTGTGCATCGCTCCGAGACTCTATGCTGGGTGAAGGCCGATCTATAAATGCAAGTTGTAGTTGTTGCTGAGACGACACTCCTGCCCCTCAGTGACTCCAGACGGCTGATGCCACAGCCTGTGGTTTGCGCCGCGTGTTAATGGAATTCCCTTATCAGGAATCCTAATGATGTAACGGAGGATTCTTTCTGGTATCGTTCCTCGTCGATCCGTAGGAACTCCGCCCTGACATCATCCACTGCCAAGGAGTGGCGTTGGGCGAGTGGCGCCTTGAGACGTCCTCCCGACGTGAAAGGCGCTCTATAAATAAAATGAAACCTTGTTGGTGTTCCCCCACGTCAACAGTCACTACACTTCATAGTAAATCCATAATGAAGCACTTTGAGACAGCCTCTCAATGTGAATGAAAGGCGCTGGATCAAATGTAAGGATTATTATGTTATAATAAACCCCATTATATAACCCCCACAAGATAGGCTGTAATCTGTGAGCCACTGATTGGAAATAGCGCCTCCATATGGCCTATTGTTGCCTAAGGTTTTTTTTCCTGCCCAGGAATCTAACCCATGTGAGGAGTGTGCTCTAACCTCTACGTTACCGGACTCGTGTAGAGCACAGACACACACACCCCTACAACCTAGTGCCCAACAGGCATCGGTCATTAACCCGGCACAGGCTGACTGACGGCAGTCTCCAAGGTCACGTTAGTTAATCAAGCAACGCTTCTGAACGCTGCACAGTTTAATGTTTTCATTCTTCCTCGATCTTGTTGCAGGACCCAGAGCAATGAGATGCTTTTACTCATCTCTCGGCTCCAGAGTAATGGCGACCAGGTGGAGCACGACATCCTCAGCACAGAGAACAAGCTGCAGGCGGTGAGTGGGTGTAGGGACCTCTGTCTCGCATCGAATCCTCCTCTCCGGATTGGGCTTCCTCTTCGTTTGTGACTCTGCTAATCCTCTTCAACGGGCCATTTCCCTCCTAACCCAACAACAAGCGCCTTTCACGTCGGGAGGACATCCCAAGGCATTGTGCTTTAAATGCAACTTGAATCCTTTCAACCTGTTGCCACCTGTAGCATCTCTATAGCCGTAGAAGCAGAGATCAGGTCACTGGGTGATCAAGCACTATATCAAATGCAAAGATTATTATTATTATTCACCCCCAGAAAACCCCCAGCGATCTCACGTTTCATCCTCAAAATGTCCACTCAATCCACTTTACAACATATCTGTGAAGCGCTTTGAGACGTCACAACGACGTGATAAGGCGCCATGTCAAATGCAAGGATTAATATTAATATTATTATTATTATTACTATTACTTGTGCCTTTGTTATCCTGTCAGCCACCGGCCAGAATCAGTGAGATGTTTGATTGACACCTGGATGTTTTGTTTCAATGCATTCCCAGGACAAGATGTACCTTGCGCAAAAGAAGCCTTTTAGACACCAAGAAGTGATCAAAGACAGTCTCAGTCGCTCGGAGGAGCTGCTGAGGGACATGTTCATGGATGCGGACAAGGTGGGACGGCTCAAACACCCACAGAGCAAGGAGATAGAGAATGAGTAAGTCACACGGTTACCATCACTCTCTCTTAGACCGGCTACGTGGTGTCCTGTAGCTCAGTGGTCAGAGCACTTGCCTTGCAAGCGAGAGGACCTGGACTCAATTCCCGGGCAGGACGAAACTTTGGGCAAGTTTCCTTAGTCCACGCCCACGCCTCTGTTTACCCAGCAGTAAGTAGGAATGCAGTTCTTAGTCGATCGGCGGATCACTTTTCCGGGGATAATAATCCTTTAAAAAAAAGATAATAATAAATTGGGTCACTCAATTCACAGCTGTTTGTGGGACACTGCTGTACGCAATTGGCTGCTGCATTTCGCCTACAAAATATACAGTCAATTCACTTTACGGTGTATCCTGCGAAGCGCTGTGAGACATCACGAAGACGTGCAATGATTATTATTATTATTACAAGCTCCACCCCTTTCCCACATCCCTCTATCCCCTTCTCTCTCATGTACATGTGACGTTTCCTCCTGAATAAGAGATTAGAATCTAATCAAGGGATTTGGATGGTTTATATATACTGTACAACAATGATCGATGAGAGAGGCAGAGGCTGGAATCTCAGAAGCTTTCAGAGGAAGGCATAAGGCTCACAGGAGTGGAGCCTCGGTGACTTATCGTAGTTCTGTGAAATGTTTTGGGTTCCTGGTAAACAGTCCCACACAGAGAAATTAACAATCATAAAGTAATCTTGACGGTGAGGTGTTCCGTGTTCTCCCCTCACCAAGTATCTGCTCCTCGTGTGTGTGTGTGTGAGCTGTGACAATGGGTGTCAGTTGCTGTTTCACCAACAGGGAAGGCGGAGGATTCGAGGCCGAGCTCTTTCACTTTCTGGTTGCTTGCGGGATGTCGCTGGGCGCAAACTGGTCGCCGAGCGAGATGTTCCCCCACACGAAGAGGGTTATGTAAATGCAAGTTGTTGTGGGTTGTTGTTGTTTTTTTACCTGCAAAACACACAGCCCCTTCACTTTACTGTGAAGCGCCTTGAGGCGTCCTCCAGAGGTGAAAGGTGCTGGATCGAATGTGAAGATTATTATTTATTACGATGACTTTCCTGGAAGAGTCAATGGCTAAACGAGTTGTTGTTGTTGTCCTGTTTGTTTAGTGTGAAGAAGATGCACGAACGCTGGGCCAAGCAATGCTCTGAATATCGCGACATGTATGAGAAGCTGGAGCTGCCCAAGGATGACTCCTCTGTTGATTGGCCTCGTATCTTAGAGCAGAAGCAGGTAGATCTCCAACGTCCCCCCTGTCTCCACACGTCTGTCCGTCCATCCCACCCCTCCTCTTCCCTCCCCTCCCCGCCCAGCACAGATTCCTGGAGCTCGCCTCAGTCGTGTGTATATGTGTGTGTGTGATGTTCACCTCCCTGTTGTGTGTGCCCACAGAGAGAGATCAGCGCAGGTCAGTACGGACCTCAGCTGCCTGAGCTGGAGAAGCAGATCGGGGAGCACAATATCCTGAGCAGAGAACTCGAGTCGTACGGTCCCAAGATCAACAGCAAATCTGTCTCCAACCCGGTGAGTTCCGGTGCTGAACAGTTACCTGCAGCACCTTACATTTATATTGTGTTTTGCCCACAAAATATACAGTCAGTTCACTTTACAGTATATTCTGTGAAGACGTCTCGAAGATGTGATAAGGCAATTGTATCAATTGTATCAAACGCAATTATTATTATTATTATAATAATCCTTACCTTTGATATTAGCCCCTTTTCTTCATCAAAGGTAAAGGTCCTAGCAGTAAGTAGGAACCTGGTTGTTAGTCGATTGGAGGATCACTTTGCCGAGTGTAATAATCCCTTCAAAACAAATCAATACTGTAAATAAATAATAATTTGGTCACCCAATCCATGACTGTTTGTGGGACGTCGCTGTGCGCAATTGGTTGCCGCATTTCACCCACAAATTACAAAAAGGAACTGGAGAAGGTCCCTTCAACTGAAAGGATTCAGTTTCCTAGATTTGGAGATGGACATTGAAGGGATCAGGTGGCTAGTGAGACTGATGGTGCCCTCCTGCCTCAACTGTTACTGTCTGACTAGAGTATGTTGTGAGGGCAGCTGGAGCCTGTGGCTAGTGATGTTGACTGGTGGCTGTGACTTTCTCTTGCAGGATGAGCTGAAACGGGTCCAGAAACAATACCAGAACCTGCAGGTAAGTCTCAGCATCACGGAGACCCTCGAGGGTTCACAGCTGTGATGAGAAGCCACAGGTTACATGGCCTTTGCCAATTCTTTACCCTTATTTGTGCTGTTTACCCTGACCCAGTCACACAGAGTATGCAAACCCCTCATTACCCAGTGTGGCCACTGGCCTGGGTGTTTAGGAGACGGGTTCAACCCCAGCTACACCGATGATCACAGCAGCTCTGTCAGCATATCTGGTGGCAGATCAAGACATCCCGTTGCTTCTTGATTGGAACAAGGATAGAAACTAAATTGCGCTTACACCCAAAGCGCAGCCAGCCCTGACCCAGACACTCACTCCTGTGACCTCCCGAGTGCCTGGAAAATCTGCTGATGTCTTGGTCTTCAAGAAACTCTCATAATGTGATACCTTTTCCCACAGCGCCATTTGCTGTATGTTTCTGCCCTTCATTAACCCGTTCCTTCCTGCGCAGGACCAAGCCAAGAAGCGTAAGCAGGAGCTGAACACTGTGTACGACTACATTCAGGGCTGCTCCAAACAGCTGATGTTCCTGAATGAGCAAGAGGAAAAGATCCAGAAACTGGACTGGAGTGACAGGATGATGAACCCTGAGGAGGTCCGCAGACAGTACGAGGTGGGTTGGGGGCAATCCCTGATTTCCTTGGGGAGAAGGGGGGGAGAACGACGTAAACAAGGTTTGAAATAAATAACCGCCTTTCCGTTCTTTTCTTTCCAGTCTTTCAAGAAGAACGGGCTGCTGGAAGAGGAGGACAACGTTAATAAGATCCAGGAGAACGGAAACCGGTTGATTGAGCTGAAACACCCTGGGAGTCCTGCTATTGAGGTACAGTCGAGGTGACCCAAGCACTTTGGGTTGTTCTCCCAATGTGTTAGACGCTCGCTGTATCAACTGTCTGGATTAATATTATTATTATTGTTTCATAAAGCATTGTTGCATCGTACATAAAGGTGGCCGGTCAGCATCTTCTCGTGGCCTATCTCAGTGAGCTCTGGGCTGTCTGCTGTCTGCTCAGGTCCAATGCAGTGCATTGACTCCTCTCTACCCAGAGGTGTTGACATCTATTGGGACTTTCTTCCAGGCTCACAAAGAGGCGGTGAGGAACGACTGGCAACAGTTCCTGAACCTCTGCATCTGCCAGGAGGCGCATCTGAAAAATGTGGAGGACTACAGAAAGGTAACAGAGAAATGGGGTGGGGGGAGAGAGAGAGCACCACTGCTTAGCTTAGCCACCACACGTTGGGCTGTGTTGCTAAATCAGTTGTTTAGATCCCTAGACATCACTCTCAGGCTGTAAGGTGCTGTGGTCAGGCTGCACGTTGAATACTACACACAGCTCTGGTCACTGTGATATCAGGGGCCGGTTGTACTGGAACAATGAGATCAGATGGGCTGAAGGGCCTTCTTCGTCCAAACCAATCTGATGATCAGTATGTTCCCCTCCACTGTGCATGGGTTGAGTCACGTTACACCCTGACAGGGCGCTGACTGCAGGGAGGATCCCACAAGCAATATAATCTCGGGCGAGGTCTGGAGATATTGTCCTTTATACTGTTTACTCACAGGGAGCGGTGATTGTTGCCTGGTGATGTGATTTCTAATGCTAGGCTGAGCTTTGTTCTGATCCCACGTATTTGTGGATCTCTGATGGCTGTTCCTTTCCGCTCTCCTCCCAGTTTCAGCGCAATGCCGAGGCTCTCGACCAGACCATCAAAAAGCACGATGCGGAGCTGGACACCAAGTTCTCAAAGTACAAGAGCAGCCCCTATGCTGCGTCTGACCTACTTCAGCAGTTTGAGGTGAATGTAATGGACCACTTTCCCAGTATGTCCAGGCTTCGATACAAATTCATCAAAATCAGCTTCAATATAAATCCATTCAGTATCTCAGAGATTGTCTCAGCTATGTTCCTTCTGGTTTCTCTTTCCTGCAGTCATCTTAATCTCTTTCTGTCTCTCTCTCTCTCTCCCAGGCGGATGAGAAGAAGGTGATCGATATGTACAAAGATGTCAATGACCTGAAGAAGCAGAGCGGGCAAGTCATGCCGCTGAAATCCAGACGCACGCCAGTGTCTAAACCCATGCCAGTCAGCGCGCTGTGTGACTGGGGCGATGATCCCAAGGTGAGAGAACACCAGCAGATTTTAAAAAAAAAAAAGGCTGTGGATTATGGATGAATCCATTCAAATTTTCCAAGACTGAGGTGGATAGATATCTGTTAGGTCAGGGTATCAAGGCATATGGGGCAATTGGAGTTGAGGTACAGATCAGCTGTGATCTAATAGAATAGCGGAACAGGCACGAGGGGCTAAAAGGCCTACTCCTGCTCCTATATTTAAACGTCTCAAATCGACTCGCAACCACAGAGACCGAAAAGAGTGGATTTCACGTCCCTCAGAGATGCAGATCCATACCTGCCAGGGGTTCATGGCAGCTTGATAGTGTGGGAGTAATTGTTACTGCACTTCATCAACCAGTATTCATAACACGCTGATCGCCGCTTGATCGTGGAGGGTGGGGGGGGGGATGTCTGTATGTGGAGTCTATATTGGCGCGTGCCTTAAGAACGAAAGAACATAAGAATTTGCTTGGCGAAGGAAGATCAAGTCTTAAGATTAAGAAGGAAGTTGGTCTTCCACCATCTTGGCAGTCGCTTGACATGTCGTGTCCCACACTACGCACTGTCCTTGTTTGTTTGTATCTGTGCGGGGGCAGGGAAACATGTTGTACAGATAGGAAGCTCCTGGGTTAAACCTGTCTAAAATGGGAGTAAATGGAACCACAGTTGATCTCAGCCCTCCTGGGCTGGGCTGGGAGTGTGGAAGGAACAACAAACCAGTTTTAGGCTGTGACTGCGCCCTTGACTGTACGCAACAAGATTTGCAAGTGAAAGTCTTCATATCGGGTGGTTACCAACTGCAATTCTGAACAGGAGCGCAACTTGATTGGTCGTGGTGCTGGCACCGCTCTCCTCTCTCTCGGTGTCCTGGCCCGACAATCCTCCCCAAATAAAATTGTTCACTGGCTCCATGGCTGTTTGCGGGACATTGCTGCAGGCAAAAGGATGCGTCATTCACCTTACAAATACACAGTCACTACGCTTCACGGTAACTCCTGTGAAGCGCACTGTGATGTCTGGACAATATGCTAAGGCGTTCGATCGAATGAACTCCCTCTGGTTGGTTGAGTTACCAACTTTTCCAGTGTGTACGTTGCGATGGGGAGTGTAACTCCACTCGACCAAGATGGGGAAACGTGGGGGCGTGAGCGCCCCCTGGTGCCAGGAACTGATCTGTCAGCGTCTCCGGGAAGAAGCTGTTAGTTAACAAGTGTACAAGCTCATTCCTGCTGTGTCAGCAAGTGTTGGCCGCCTCCTGGGTCGCACTGAGCCTCCCGCGCACCCCCCTCCATGTTGCACTGAGGAGCTCTTCTCCCCACCCCCCTACCACCCCCCCCACCTCCCCCGGAATGGTGCAGTGCAGAGCAGAGAGGGGGTGAGAGCTGAATGGGAGCGTGACGTGCCTTTGACCTTCGCAGTCTGAAATTAACCGTGGTGAGAAGCTCGTTCTCCGGAACAACAACGACAATGACAACTGGGTGGTGGCCACCAACAACGGGCAGACAAAGAAGGCCCCCGGCGTGTGCTTCAGCATCCCTCCCCCGGACCCCGAGGCTCTCGCTCAAGTCAACAGGTCAGTCCGTGCAGTCATCTCCTTCTCAACACGCTCGTCCCATCGTTAGTTGCTTTGTCGATCGCTGCGAGGGCTCAGGCTCTCCAGCCCAGACAGAGCGACGGGTGGACTTCGCCCAGGTCCCCCGAAACTCTGGACCACTCTTCCTCTATCCCTTCGTCTTGCCCTTCGCTTCCCCATCTTCAGGTGGTACCCGAAGACCTTTCTCTTCGACCGAGCCTATGGTCACCTCCCTCTCCCACCCCCCCCCCCGGCTCGGCGTCGTGCTCCGCCACTGTCGAGCATTCTGAGGCGCTGCCCCGCGTGAGGGGCTGCTGTGTAAATGCAAGTCACTCGGCAGCGGCTGATCCTGGGTGAGCTGTGATCTTTTGTGACGCTCAGGTTGGAGAAGGAGATCAATAACCTGAAAAAGAAGCGAGAGACCGTGGAGAAGAACCTGAAAAAGCAGCAGGTGGAGAAGGACCACCTGAGTCAGACCAGCCTGCCGGCCACAAACACAGCCCCATCAGGTGAGAGCACAACTTGGAGCCGGCGCTAACCATTAACTAACCACTAACCGGAGCCCTGACACCAGGGCAACCCGGCCTCGAGAGCACCCTCACTGCCTGGCTAGCCTCCCGCTGCTCATTCAACTCGCACCATTCTGCCTGTTGAGGCCCTGGATCACCAAGACTGCACAGCCGATCGCATTGGTTCTGATATTCCATTGCCAGCTTGTATGTTCCTGATTGATTCTGCCCTCAAACCCTCTGCGTTTCCTGCCTTTCTCGGTTCTGGTGTGAACTGCTCTTCCTCGGTCCGCCTTACCTGCCCCATTTTGAAGCACATTGGTCCCAGATCTCAGCTTCATTGAGTTCCTCTGCCCCTTGTTTCTCCCCTGCTCTCTCTTTCGCTCTGTTGACCGGCCTGACCTCTCTCTCTCTCTCTCTCTCAGGAGCCTCTGATACGGTTGAGAAGCATTGCAAAGAGCTCCTGCCTAAACTGGATAAGATCAACGCGGACATTGATCGGACTGAGAAGGCGTTAACAAACCAGCTGCATACCCCTGTGAACCGCACTGCGGCCCCCCAGGACCTCAATGACCGTCTGAAGGACCAGCAGGTAAACAACAATAACAACAAATTACACTTGTATAATGCCCTTCACGTCAGGAGGATGTCCCAAGGCGTAAAGGCTGTCAATTTGCTCACCACAGGTCAAGCCACCGCCAGGAACTTCTAGAAGGTGTCATTTTGACACGTGCGCAAGATGAAGTAGATCCTATACATTGTGGGACAATAGAAGCCTGAGGGCAGGTCAGAGAGCGGTCTTACATGGGAGCGTCTCACTTTACATTGATCGACATTAAATGGAAGGTGGGGAGTGGGTGGGTGGGTGGTTGGGGTGACCCACATGAGGTTCTGAGACACTGCTCTGTGGTCTCTCAGTCTGGTCTGAGCAGAGGGACAGAAGCTGTGTCACATCAGCAGCAGCTCTGCTTGTGGGCGGTTGGTGGGGGGGGGGGGGCAGGGGTTGGAGTGGCGGAGGGAGGAGGTTTGAGTCAACGGTAGCAAAAGGGTTAATACCCCCACCCTGCTCTGCCCACAGCATATCAGCAACAAGCTGCAGGACATTGGGAGAGCAAAGGAGGCCGCCCAGCGAGATTGCGAAGCTATCCTTGCGAAGAAGCCCACGTCTTCCTCCGTGCCTCTGCTGAGTGACAAGCTGAACAAAATGAAGAACAATTACAAAGACGCCACTGAGCTGGTCTGCCAGGCCCAGGACAAGTGAGTGCACACGCAGCAGCGATTCTGTGGCTCCTTTCTTCCACTTTAACGCTACGACAAGTAATAATAAAGCTCGCATTTGATACGAGCGCCTGTCTTAACACGTCGTTGAGACGTTCTGAAGCGCTCCACAGAATATATTGGAGAGCGAATTGACTGTATTATTTTCCAGAACGAATGCTCAGCTCAAGCTGGAAAGTGACATTAAGAAAGTGGACGATGTCCTCAAACCCTATGAGTTGAATCTCGCTGAGGAGATGGTGGTTCCTGCTTCACCCAACGCCATCCAGGACAGGCAGGCTGAATTACAGGTATGGACCGAAACAGGCGGAAAAATGCCGTATGAACTCTCTGCAGTGAAGGTGACGGGGTGGGTAATGGCGGGAGGTGGGTGGTTCCAGATGGAACAGTGCTCTCCTTTACCTCTGGGATTCAGAGCCTGGGGAAAGATGACCAAAAGAGCCGTCAAGGAGGAATGTCTTGAATAGAGCTTTGAACTTGGGGAGGGTGGGGGGGTAGGCTGCAAACTTGTGGGTAATCGTAAAACTTCCTATTGCTTATTCTTGGCTTGTTTCAGAGGTTGAAACAGAATCTGGACAACGATCAGGACTCGGTGCAGACCCTGAACCAGAGCCTCAAAAAGACTGATCAGAGTTGCAAGGCTCTGCAGCTGAACTTCCAGGAGTTCTGCCCCGATTTCAAATCCCAACAGGCTGACGTCCAGCATCTCAATACCCGCTACAACAACATCCGAGATCAACTGGAACGCAGGTGAGTGGACATGGACTGGAGCCCGGTGTCAGCCTGGTTCTGCCTCTATTCCCCTCTCCCACACCCCTCTATTCCCCTCTCCTACACCCCTTTAGTCCCCTCTTGTACACCCCTCTATTTCTCTCCCCTACACCCCTCTACCACACACCCCTATTCCCCTCTCCTATACCCCTCTGGTAACAAGCTCCCCGCTCAGGGCAAGGATTGACGCTGTGTTGTGTGATTGCTCACAGGGAAGCTATGATCGAAAACGCTGATTCCAAATACAACAACCTCAAATCCTCTGAGCAAAACCTCAACAGCTTCATGAAATCCCTGCCCGTCAACCAGCTCAACCCCATGGACAGCCTCAGGGATACGGAGAACAAACTCCGCTCTCAGGAGGTAGGTACCTGCCCAGGGTGTAGGAATAGTAAACCTGAGGAACAGGCTCCCTAGGGAGATGGTTGAAGCAGGAAGTGTTGATTCCTTCAGGCACAGATTTAATAGGTTTTCTTTTAGGAAATGACTTAATGGGATATAGTACATAGATAGTTTGGGACATATGTGCATGAGGCCACCAGGAAGGTGTAAGGCGAACTAGATGGATCTTGGTCTTTTTTTGTCTGGCATTTCTTATATTCTTATGTTCTTATGAATAGAGGGGTGTAGGAAAGGGGAACAGAGGGGTGTAATAGCGGGCTGCAGAAGAGGTGAATATATGGGTGGAGGAGAGGGGATTAGAGGGTAATAAATCACAAACAAAATACATAGTCCATCCACTTTACAGTGTGTCCTGTGAAGTGACGATGTGAAAGGCACTCTATCAGATTGAAGGATTATTATTATTATAAAATAAATGTAAACTGTTGATATTGTTGCTTCCTCCACCACCATTGTATCTCAGGCATTTCGTGTCCTAACCACCCTCTCTGTGTGGGAACAATTAAAAGCGTCTTACATGGTGTTTACGTCTGCTCTCACTCAGTTGACTCAATCGTTTTCTTCACAGAAAGTGGTGGCTGACATCAAGAAGAAAGAACCTGAGAAGAACGCTACCCTCAAACTCTCTCAAGATCTGCAGTCAGCGCTCAACGTGTGTATTATTTTAAACAATTACAATAACAATTTGCAATTACACCGCACCCCTCAATCAGGGTGGGTCCCAGAGTGCTTGACCGTGGCGGAGCACGACACCGAGCTGGTGGGAGGGCAGAGATGACCGTAGCCACAGTTGGTCAAAGAGGAAGGTCATCAGGTGCGATCTGAAGATGTGGAAGGAAGGGGCAAGATAGAGGGAGAGTGTTCTAGAAACTCGGGATGTAGTGGTATAATGATTCCTCATTATAGATCTACTTATACAGAGTAGGGGGCAACACTTTACTGTGACTAGCTCAGTCCTCACTCTGAGGGGTCTGGTGTGTCTCTAACATGCCAGTTCCCAGGTCACAAGAGAAGCCAAAAGGCAAATAACAAGAGACGAGTGGCCCGAGAGGTCGATATAAAGATTTTAAATCTGAAGAAATGTCGACGTGTTTAACGTACAGCAAATGTTATTGTCTGTGAATGTAAAGACAGCTAACATTGTATTATTGATTGGTTTGAAGGACTTTGAAAAGAATTCTGAGAAATATCGGGCGACGCTGGACGACAGCAACAAACCCATCACCAAGAAGCAGAGGATTCAGCCGCTCCAGGATGTTGTTCAGGAAGAGGTGAGGGTCACAGCACAGTGCGAGTGATGTCCACAAACTGACAGTGCAGTGCAGGCTCTGTGATCACACTGAGGGTGCGGGGAGAGAGGCGGATGAGTGTGAGGGACACTTGAGAGACATAGGAGAGAATTAGTGAACCCGGCCTCAAGGATAATAGAAAGAGAGAATAAAAAGGTTGCGGGTGAGAAAGGTTCAAGTCTGGGGATGAGCACCATGTGACCTATCAGTCTGCATGCCTGTTACATCTATTAAAGGCGCTCTGAGACGTCCTCCCGATGGGAAAGGGCTATACAGCACAATGTGGGAAGAGTCCCTGCCACCAGTGACTAGTCTGTCCTTCCAATGAGCCAGGCTGTGCTGTGCTGTCATCAGCAGTGCCCTGGAGAACTGCAGGCCCACCTGGCTCAGCAACCGGACTAGAGACTGCCACCCAGGGTGGGCTTACTTCTAAGATCTGACATTCTGTTCCCAAACATGTCACCTTACAGCCAGTTCAACTGCTTAACTTTATTTCATGCAGGAAAAGGTCCTGGCCAGTGAATTTGCCAAAGTTTCATCTTTAAACCAAGAACGACTGAAACAACTGAGATACGCCACTGAGGTTAAAGCAAAGGTAAGGTGGATATTAGAACGTGAATATTGCCTCCCTAAACTAGACTTGTAAGAAAGATAGAAGCCCATGGTATAAAAGGGACAGTGGCAGCATGGATCCAGAACTCACTGGGAGACAGAGAGCAGAGAGTTGTGGTGAACGGCTGCTTTTCTGACTGGAGGGAAGTGTACAGTGGTGTCCTCCAGGGATCGGTATTAGGACCATTACTCTTCTTAATATACATAAATGAGCTGGACTTGGGTATAGCATGTACCATTTCTAAGTTTGCGGACGACACACAGTTAGGTAGGGTGGGAAACAGTGAGAAGGATAGGAGCCGACTGCAGGAAGACATAGACAGAATGTAAAATGGGCGACACATGGCAGATGAGTTTCAATGTGGAGAAATACGAAATAATGAATATGGTAGAAAAAATGAGGGGCGGCAATATAGGCTGGAAATACAATCTTAAGGGGGGTAAAAGAACAGAGAGACCTGGGGGGGCAGGTAAATGAAGATGACAGGACAGGAAGATAAAGCTGTAAAAAGGGCATATGGAATACTGGGCTTTATAAATAGGGGCATAGAGTACAAGAGTCAGGAGGTTATGATTAACCTCTATAAACACTGGTTAGGCCTCAGTTAAAATACTGCGCCCAGTTCTGGGCCCCACACTATAGGAGGGATGTTAAGGCATTGGAAAGGCTGCAGAGGAGATTTACGAGGATGGTACCAGGAATGAGGGACCGTGATGATGAGGAAAGGCTGGAGAGGTTAGGATTATTCTCATTGGAGCAGAGAAGGTTACGAGGAGACCTGACAGAGGTCTTCAAAATCATGAGGGGATTTGATAGGTTAGAAAGGGAAAAACTGTTTCCACTGGTGGGTGTGTCGGTGACTCGAGGTCACAGATTCAAAATAGTCTCTAAAATAAGCCGAGGGGAGGTGAGAAGAATTTTTTTCACGCAGCGAGTTGTTCGAATCTGGAACGCATCGCCTGAAAGGGCGGTCGAGGCCGATTCGATAACTACTTTTAAAAACGCGGTGGACGGGTATTTGAGGAGGACAGGTTTGCAGGTTATGGGGAAAGGGCCGGGGTGTGGGACTGACATTAATTGCTCTATTCAAAGAGCCGGCACAGACTCGATGGGCCGAATGGCCTCTTTTTGTGTTGTACGATTCTATGATAAACGCTTCAGCAGCAGTTTTGATGTTCTTGTTGACACCTTTCCTTGTTAAATGCCCCCACTTGCCTGGTCTTGCTAAGTCAGGAGAAAAGTCTTGTCACTTAGGGAAGCAGTTTCAGAGAAGCTGTAAAGGGTGGATCAACCATGCACAGTGGGTCAACCAATGTGTGAAGGATTTTGGGGTCTAATCCTCCTGAGAAATGGATGCGAGGGGGTTGTGATGGAGAACTGAACCCAAACAACAACTTGCATTTATATATCACCCCTCACGCAGTGTAACGCTTGACAGTGGCGGAGCATGATGCCAAGCCAGGGGGAAGCGGGGAGGTGACTGTAGACATTGTCAAAGAGGAAGGTCTTCAGGTGTAATCTGAAGATGGGGAAGGAAAGGGCAGGGTGGGAGACATGGAGCAGGCAGGAGCCCACTGAGCGGACAGGTCTGTATAGAGTTACCAGGTCACAGAGGTACTGTGAGAGTTCAGAATAGGCCCAAACCAACCTGGATCAATAGACCACATAGTGTGCCATCCCTTAGCAGATATTGTAGATTAATTGGCATTGGTTCTGAATCTAAGGCAGGCTCCAAATGATGTGCTAATTGTGAAATAAGAGTCTGAAAGTTCATATTTTTGTTCTTCCCTGAAGCAAGAAGATAGTCCAATAAGCCAGACTGTACAGAACAACAAGGCACTGTTTGCAACCAGAAACATGAATGATCTCAAAGAAGAGATGATAAAAGAGGCAGAGAAAATCCGATTAGCTGAGGCAGATCTGAAGGAGCAAAAGGAAGAGCTTCAGATGCTGAAGATCCAACGACCTGTGGACATGAAGCAAGAGAAGGAAGTGGTGGACTTTTACCGGGACCCGAAGACAGAAACAGACCTGAATACCCTGCGAACCAAAATCCACGAGGAGAGGAAGAAGAGGCAGAACACCGAGATGGATAAGAATGGACTTGTGAAGAAACTCCGTAATTTGGAAGACAAACAAAACTCCATTGTGCCCAACCTGCTTATCAAGGAGGTGACCAGGCTCGAAAAGGATCCATTGCTGGACGTCGAGGCTGAAAACCTACGTAACGATATCAACATGTGCAATCGAGAGACACAACTAACCGAGGGCGAGTTGGATCACCTGAAGAGGCAGATCTCCAACCTGGAGAAGACTCCGGTCAACGTGGTAGAAAAGGTGGTGGTTGTAGAAAAGGTCAAAGTGGAAAAGGATCCCGAGATGCTCCGAGCGTCCAGAAACCTCCAGAACCAGATTGACGAGGAGGATCAGAAGAGACAAACCATCACTAACAATATACGGTCAGTAGCAGATGAAATTGACTCGCTGGAGCACAAGATAAGGAAGATTACACCTAAGGTCATCATTAAAGAAATCCAAAAGATCGAGAAAGACCCTGAGCTTCAGAAGGAATCCTCCAAACTCCGAAAATGGTGTGAAGATGAACGTCAGAACAACGCCCTCTTAAGCTCAGACTTGAATGACCTGCAGAAAGCATACAATATTGTCAATGAGAAAAAACTAAAGGTAGAAGTCAAAGAAATTGTCCGCGAGAACTTCCGCGTCGCCCCAGAAACCGAGAAAGAGATTGTCGATTTGAAGAAGGAGATACAAGAACTTTTGAAGAGGAAGAGTCAGCTGGAGATAGAACTCACGCTCCTTAAAGGAGATCTGAATGTTCTCAAGGATCAGCAACCCCATATTGAATACAAGGAAATTGTTAACGAGGTAGAGAAGCTGCCAAAAAACCCCAGAGATGCTCAATCAGATCGACCATCTCAATAATGAGCTCAATAAGCTGTCTGACACCTCCAAACGCATAAAGGAGAATATCAACGATTTGAAGGACGAAAGGGACGATTGGCGAAAGAGGCGGAATAAGGTCGAGACTAAAGTGGTGACCAAAGACGTGGTCAAATATCTGAATGACCCAATTTTGGAAAAGGAAGCGGAAAGTCTTCGTAAGGAGGTCCGCGATGAGTCCCAGAAACGAAGAGACCTCGAGTCTCTCGTGTTTGACTTGCAGCAGAAGTATTTGCTGATTGAGAGACAGAAACCGAAAGAAAAGACCGTTGTCCAGGAGACGGTTCGCTTACAGAAAGATCCCAAAATCATTAGGGAACACGATAATCTAGGCAAGAACCTGGACGATGAACGAAGACTGAGACGCAACCTGGACCGGGAAGTTCAGAACTTGAAAGCTCTCCTGAAAGAAAAGGAAGCAGAAATCAACCTGGAGGAAGAGAGGAGCAAAAAATTGCAGTCCTTGCATGAATTGAATCGAATCAAAGACAGAATCTATGAGCTGGAGACGGCTCCTCCCCCGGTGGAAGAGAGAATTGTCACCGAAGAGGTCCTTAAGATTGAAAAGGATCCATTAATTGAAAAGGCTTGCTTATCTTACCGGCGAGAGCTGGAGGATGAGAAGAACAAAATAGTCGACTTGGAACAAGAAAAAAAAAGGGTTGAATTCGAAGTGGATCTTTTGCACAGAGAGAAATCTCAAGAAAAGACCATTTACAAGGAGGTTGTGCGGGTTACGAAAGACAAGGCTCTGGAAGAGGAACGTTCCCGAGCCCGAGACCAGTATAACAAGGAAAAGAATTCCAGGCTGGATGTGCTGGAGGAAATCCGCAGACTTAAAGAAAGGTTGCAGAAGCTGGACGACATGAAGAGAACACATTCCCGCGAGGAGGCTGAGCTGAAGAAGATGAGGGATGCAAATTTACATGAGAAGGACGCTCTGGAGGATGAGCTAAAAGATCTGGAGAACGAAAAGGAACAGAAGACCAGCCAGCAGTTGAATGAAAGCAAACTTATGTCTCGACAGCATGAAAAAGAGAAGGAAAAGAGGAATCAACTGGGGAACGAGGTAACGGCGCTGGAGAGAGACATCATAAAGGAGAACGATAAGCTCCACGATCGAGAATACACCGTCAGGGATCTCCAATCCCAGATCAACAGAGAGGAAGCCCGTCACAGAGATACGCAGCTGAGGGAAACCAACCTGTCCACCAAGATAACCATTCTGGATTCTGAAACTGGGAAAGATTTGTCCCCCTACGAGGCTTACAAGAGGAATCTGATAGACAGGGAGCAGTACATCCAATTGCAGGAGTTGGAATGTGATTGGGAAGAGATTTCAACTCTTGGGCCATCAGGAGTAACCTCAGTTCTTCGGGACAAGAAAAGTGGCAAGCATTACTCCATTGAGGATGCCTTGAAGAACCGGAAAATTACCAAAGAAGAGCTTTACCTTTACAGGGAAGGGAAGATCCCAATCTCCGAATTTGCCCTCTTAGTAGCTGGTGAAGATAAACCAAAGACATTACAAAGACCAGCGCTCAAACAAACGGATTATACTCCACATATTGAAAGGGATAAGTTCCCCATAGCAGGCGTTTATGACACCATGACCAATTCCAAGTTAAGCATCAACAGTGGGCTGAACAGGAAGCTGATTGATCCCCTAACGGCTCAGAAGATCTTGGAAGCTCAGGCAGCCACAGGTGGGATCATTGATGTCGGCACCAGAGAGAGGTTTTCAGTCAGCCAGGCGGTAGACAAAGGTCTGATCGATAGAGGCCATATGCAGAGGCTGCTGAATGCACAGAAAGCCTTCACTGGCGTTGAAGATCCCATGACAGGAGAACGCCTTCCTGTAGGGTTGGCTCTGAAGAATGGGTGGTTGCCTGCAGAAACTGCACTGCGTTACCTGGAGGCTCAGCACCTCACTGGCGGGCTGGTGGACCCCAATAAATCGGGGCGGGTGTCTATCAGAGACGCGCTGCAGAATGGGATGATTGACAGCAACACGGCCAGGATGCTTCAGGAAGAGTCCAACTACGTGAAGGATCTGATCGACCCCATGACCAATGAGCGAATCCATTACCGGGAGATGATGGAGCGTTGTCAGAAAGACGAGCTCTCCGGCCTGCTGCTCATCCCAGCTGCTTCCAGCGAGCAGAGCTCTTACCAACCAAACAGTCGCTTTGATTATAAACCAAGATACACATCAGGCTACTGATCACTGATACTGCAGTCTCCGAATGATACAGCCTCTCTCTTGCTATTCACTAAAAGGGCGTGACTCAAATGGTTTTCATTTTAGTTTTGGGGGTGGAAAATGTGGGGAAGACTAGATCGGATTTTATTTCCTCTTACTTCAGGCTTGTTTATTTGTATATTTAAAGGCATGTAAGGATCCAGAAGGAGCTTTAACTTTGATTTCTGAGCTGTGATTGTGATCAGTGATGCGTTACTTGACACATTGCCATCCGGAGTTGCAGGAAGTTGACATTGATTGTGTTCTATGTTGTATTTTACTATTTTTATTTTAATAAACGAACTTGTGATGGAAATATCTGACTTGCCTGTTTTCCTTTATGGATCTGAGCTCCTGGAGCCCTTTGCCCATATGCCAAGTCCAGGAGCGAGCAGTGAGCTGGATTTGTGGTAAACAAGGAAGTGGCTACAGGGAGGGAGGCTCTGGCCTACACTGATCTGTCGCTACGCACCAATAGTGACTGTCCTCCTTAGGGGGACATAAGTGGGGTCTCCTTGGAGCCAAACTGGTTCCAAAGTAACATGTTTGGCAACTAAATATCAGAACCAATTACACACACACACACACGCACGAAAGATGAACGAGTAGGGCTGTGGATGCACCAATAGTCTACTCCTGTCTGGACCTGTTGCTCCAGCCCTGAAAGCTTTGGTTTTCAAAAACTATTGCTCATTGGGCCCTATTAAACCTTCAGACGACCCCCACATTTGCCCCCGAGGGTCTGACAGGGCATCTCGGAAACCAGGAAGCCCGAGTGTCTGGGACAACCGACAAGGAAGCACGCGAACCGCAGAAGACTGCCGCTGGTCTTCCCGCAGCATTCCCAGAACTGCCAGGACAGCTCAATAAGAGGTGCAGCGCCCCCCCCCCCCCCCCACTGTGTGTGGGGTGGAGAGCTGGCATTGCCTGCTTAAGAGGTGCGGTGGTCCCCGCTATGTGTGTGTGTGAGTGAGGAGAAGGGGCGCGGGTGGTGTTGCCAGTTTAAGAGGTGCAGTCGTCCCCACCGTTGTGTGGCGGGGGGTGACGTTGCCCGTTTAAGAGGCGCGGCGGTCCCCACCACCGAGTGTGAGGCGAGTAGTGGCGGTGCCGGTTTAAGAGGGGAGGGGGAGGGAGGGGGCGGCGCGAGCGCGCGCGCGGGCGGTTGTCAGTCGCGCGGGCGGTTGTCGGTTGGTCGGTCGGTCGCTCGGTCGCCGCCATGAATCCGGACCTGAGGCGGGAGCGGGAGAGCGCGAGCTTCGTGACCGAGGCCCTCACACAGATCCTGGACGGAGGCGCCGAGAAGACGCGGCGCCGGAGAGAGATCGGTGAGGAACGGGGGCCGGTCCCCAACTCCCAGCCCGAGGCTGCGGCCTCTCCTGTGGCGCTCTCCGCCGCCGCCGCCGCCGCCCCTTTCCTGCCTCAGGTGCTGAGAGCATCGAGACCAACCTCACCGGACACCGGAACATGTCAATGATTAACCAGTATACCCCCTCCCCCCCCCCCCCCCACACACACACACACAACACACCACACAGTCACTACACTTTAGGGTATATCCCCGCGAAGGGCTTTCGGACGTCTGGAAGACGTGACCCTCCCCCCCCCCCCGGGGACTGGGGCCGGTGTCCAGGGGACTGGGGCCGGTGTCCAGGGCTAAACCAGTCACTCGGGAGGGGTTACGGTTACATGTAAACTCACAAAGCCAATAAGGAAAGGTCAAGTGCAGTAGTAGTAGTAATAATAATAATAATAATAATAATCCTCGTCTGCGATACAGCGCCTCGTCGCGTCTCCTCTCGACGTCTCAAAGCGCTTCGCGGCACAGGCCGTAACGCGAAGTGACCGCACGTCGTACCTGTGGGCGAAGACGCGGCGGCCGCTCGCGCGCAGCGGTGTCCCCCCCCCCCCCCCACCACGAACAGCCGTGGGTTGAAAAACGAACCGGTTTTTTTACGATTTCGGGGTTTTTTTTTTTTGTTTTGTTCCCACGAGGAAAACGGGGGATTGCCAAACGAGGAGAGGAAAGGGTCGAGAAAAAATTGAAATGGAAGGCGCGATGTACCCGGACGAATGCGCGAAGCAGTCGTGACGAGAGACACGAGTTAATAGGGCACGAACAGGGATAAACCAGTACGGTCTAATAGCCGTTACTGAGACACGGGGACAGGGAGACATTCCAGGGTATACCTCTGACGTATACAATATTGAGTTTGAGGTTTTGATGTAGTTAAGTCCGAAACAGGGGTCTTAAACTTAAAATAAAGCCGACTTTGCAGGCACGAGGGACGATTTGGCGAAAAAATAGACTGGGGAAGTAGATCAAAAGGTACGATGGTAGACCAGCAATGGCGAACGTTCAAAGATCTATAATTCCCAGCGAACGCGTATTCCCTTGAGAAATGAAAATTCCCTGGGAAAAGCGGTTCTGCCGTGGCTAACCAGAGACGTTAAGGAACAACAGCAACAAGATTGCATTCATAGAGCGCCTTTCACGTCGGGAGGACGTCCCAAGGCGCTGGACAGTTGGGTCGGGACCCGAGCATTGGGGAAATGGTCGGGGAGGGGAGGGAGGGAGCGAGGAGGGGGTAGAGAGTCGAGAGTGGAGCTGAAGGCTGAAGGTCAAAGAGAAAAGTGTTGAGACCGGCCTTGAAGGAGGAAAGGGAGGAAGCGGCGAAGGCACTGGGGATGGAGTTCCAGAGCCTCGGGGCTGAGAGGCTGAAGGCCACCGATGGTCGGCCGGTTGGGGCGGGGGACGTGGAGCAGACCGGAGCCAGAGGGACGGAGGGTACGGGCGGGTAAGTGGGGGATAGGTCAGAGAGGGAGGAGGGAGCGAGGCCGGGAATGGCCTTGTAGGTGAGGATAAGGATCTTGAAATCGGTCCTGTGGGGGATGGGGAGCCAGTGGAGGCGAGTGAGGGCGAGGGTGAGGGCGGGAGTGAGGGTGAGGGCGAGGGTGAGGGCGAGGGTGGGAGTGATGTGGTCGCGGTGTCTGGTGCGGGACAGAGCTGCAGAGTTCTGAATGACCTGCAGTGTGGAGGGAGGGCCGGGAAGGCCGACGAGGAGAGAGTTCCCATAGTCCAGCCTTGAGATCATAAAGGCGTGGACCAGAGTTTCAGCCGCGTGAGACTTAACTACATCAATCTCAAACTTAAGGTGAGATAGTGCCGTAGTCTGGCGATGATCCGGAGGTGGTGGAAAGCGGTGCCAGTTGTGGCGCGAATGTGGGGAAGAAAGGAAAGTATAAAATTAAAATAAGAGGCCTATAATATTGCCCAAAAGAGCTGTAACCCTGAGGATTTGGAGGACTTTAGAGATCAGGATAGGATATCCAAGAAACTGATTAAGAGGGAGAAAATGGTATATGAGAGTAAACTAGCTAGAGATATAAAGACGGATTGTAAGAGCTTTCACAAATATATAAAGAGGAAGAGATTAACAAAAGTAAATGTGGGTCCTTTACAGGCAGAGACAGGAGAAATTATAATGGGGAATAAAGAAATGGCAGAATCACTAAACAAATATTTGCTTCTGTCTTCACGTTAGGAGATACTAAAACTTACCAAGAATAGTGGGGAACCAAGAGACTAATGTTAGTGAGGAACTTAAAGAAATTAATATCAGTAAAGCAATAGTACTAGAGAAATTGAGGGGACTAAAAACTGATAAATCCCCTGGACCTGATGGCCTGCATCCTTGGGTTTTAAAAGAGGTGGCTGCAGAGATAGTGGATACATTGTTTTTGATCTTCCAAAATTCCCTGGATTCTGGAACAATTCCCGTTGATTGGAAGGTCTCAAATAGAGGATATAGTTCAAGATCGTTCTGCCGCTCTGCCCTCTGAAACTCCAACCCGCAGTCCCTCTGCCTCGCCCCCTCCCTTGCCTCCTTCAAGATCCGTCTCAGGACTTTTTCCTCATCAACCGTACCTTCGGTCACCCTCCTTACAACCCTGCCTTCCATCCTCCCTGATCGCGACCCCCAGCTCAGGTCCGAAACATTGATGGTCCAGCGCCTTGGGACGTCCTTCCGACATGAAAGGCGCTATACAAATGAAATTTTATTGTTGTTGTTTACAGTATATCCAGTGAAGCGCTTTGAGACGTCTCAAAGATGTGATAAGGTGCTATATCAAATGCAAGGATTATTATTGCTATGAATCCTGTATTTCAGCCAGGTGGCTATTTAGCTCGGAACACAACCTGACATGCAGAATTTCTGCCTAATCCTTGCTGCTTTGTGCAGTGTTTATTTAATTGAATGTTTTATTTAAAATGATCTAAGTTCCGTAGTCACCTGGAACAAAAGGCTGTGACTGAATGGCTTCCATTCAAACATGCAGTGAGTGAAACCTTACACAAAGTGCTAGTTCGATACAAAGGATATTCTCAGCTAGGACTATCATACCCATTAGGTGATGTCTGCTCAATGGCTCATTGATGAGCCAGATTGGATTTGTCAGTTTGTTTCCTTGGAGCCAGGGAGACTGCTTAACCTTGCCTTTTCCCCTCTCCAAAATATGTTTTTGGATAATTTTATCAACCTTAAGGGTTGTGTGCAAGGACTTGTTGTCTGAGCATTCTGGTGCTGAGCTGCCCATTGTGTTAATAATAATAATAATAATAATAATAATAATAATAATAATCCTTGCATTTGATAGAACGTGTTATCACTTTGTTGAGATATGTCAAAGTGCTTCACAGGGTATATTGTAAAGCTGGAGGTATTGGACGATAAAGGTGGGGTGTGCTCTTGCCTCTACATGCCGATTTTACTGTTTCCTTCCCTGTGCTTTAGAAGCCCTGGTGCTGAATGACCCTGAGCTCCAGCACGAGGACCTGAACTTCTTGTCACGTAGCGAGCGCTATGACACAGCTGTCAGGAAGAGTGCGCTGATGGTGAAGAAGATCCGGGAGCATGCCATCTCTAATCCAGAGGAGATCATATGGTTCAAGAGGTACGTGCTCTTCATTCATAAACCTGCCTGGCCCAAGAGTGAATGGAACAAGACTTGCTGGAATTAGGCAAACAGGAATGCCTTGCTTCCTGAAGTCTGCCTTTTTGATACTCACTCACAGTGCACCGCTTAATGTTTAGTGTGTATCTTCCTCAATCCTACCAAATATTCCTGAGTATTCTTCTGCTCTTTTATAGGTGTCTAGACAAATGGATTCTTATGGGACTGGGACGGCTGACTAATAAGTACACCACTCGCCAGAAAAAATAAAGTACAGGCTTTATACAGTATAGTGGGTCGTCCAATTAGAAAGGTTGCATTATTGAGATACTACTAAGGGGAAAGTCAAAGTAGCAGGAAGGGGTAGGGTTGTAAATAACACCTAGTCTTAGCCTACTAGGCCGTTTTTGTTGACAATTTCAGTTTGGGCTGCTTCTTTTTTAGGNAAAAACAACTTCCAAATTAAGTATGAATTTAAGAATTTTCCACAATTCTGTTCAAACTTATATTCTAAGACAATGTGGTCTTGTAGGCCAATATTCACCAGTGACTGTTCTGATCCCCCATCTAATGTTGAATTTAGCAGCCAATTTCTGTTGTGGTCCACATCCCCACTGAGAACTGGTTTAACACTGCCCGCCCGACTCATGGAGCTCCATTACAGCCAAGAGACAGAGAGGCTTTTATCCCATCAGTCTGGGCTGCATTCCCAGGCCCAGGGGTTGAAAGAACAGCAGCCAACTCAGGCTACCACCCATCTCTGTTTAAGCTTTTGTGTTATATAATACACAGTGTGTTTTGTGCTTGGAATGTCATTCTTTTCTTTCCCCCAATGTTGAGACATGAATATAATTGTAATAGGTTTCCTCCCTCTGACTTGTGTTAACATCACATCTTTATGCACAACCTCACTCCTGAAAGATGAGATCAAGAGGGTATTGTTTATGTGAACTTTGTGATTTGCTGCCTGAGCAATTGAAAGTGTGGCAAATGTGAAGGTATGGCTTTGAAACAACAACCTGATTCAACCCAAACACTTTGAAACAATTTTAGACCTAATGACTGAACCTGAATCATTTTGAAATTTCATTCTCAGTCAGTCTATTTTACATAAAAAGGCTATTTAGAAAAACTCATGGCAGTGGCAAAGAATTGTCCTCGTGTGTAGACGGTGTCAATCTGACTTAAAATCCCAGTTTCTCTTCTGCTGTGTCAAGCTATCACAGAGTGGTTAATCATTGACATATTCCTAATGCGCCCACGTTCGTGACTTGACAATGTGACCTGACAATAAGTGACAGAGGCTGGCAACAACCCAAGGACATCAATGTCAAAGTTGTCTCTTGAGTGGGTGACACGCATCTGGACCAGCTTAATGTTTGTTGCAGTGACTTCGGGTCGCAGGCACCACTCGTGTGAAATCCTACACAAAGTGGTTGACAAGCTGAGCTTTCCTGACCTTTTTTCTTTAGTGGCTTTTCAGTTCAAATCAAGTGACAGAACATGGCTAAGATTCCTTGATGTTTCCCAGTGAAACTCATCCAATTTCCAAAGTTCTGATTGATTGTAATATTGCTCATGTGCTGTACTCATGCACGAGGCAGTGCTGGATTTATCTGATCAAGAACAAACAGTAAAGTGCAACACTGCGCCCAGAACATAGTCCCTCTCCAGTGATTGGATAATCAGAGGAGTTGAGTGGTTCTGTCCTCCTGATGTGTTTGCAAAGTGCTTTCTCTGAACTTGCCCATCCCAAGCAGCATTCTAGCTGTGTGTGAAAAACACACATTGCTTTGGGCAGTAGAATGGAAATCAAATGGATGAGTGATGCCTTGGATAGGGTGGAAAAGTGGGCTGATATTCGTGGTCAAGGCTCTCGATAAAGAACGTGCATTTTTACAGCATCTTATCTCAAAGCGCTTTACAGCAACTGTTGCTAATTGTGCAGACTGTTTTTGTGGGCCAAACGCACACTCTACACTTTACACATGTATAACTGGTTGGATAGAGATTTGGATAGTTGGGGAAGGAGTCAAGTACTAAATACATATTTTAATGCCCCCCAAATTATGTATTTTTAAAAAAACTAGCATTTCCTGAAGTGATGTGAAGTACAGTGCCACAGACACCAGCTGCTTTGCCTGCAGATACAGTCTGGATACCTGGTGAAAGTTACTGTTATGTTATGAGATGTTTCAGTGCGATGAGATGCAAAAATAACACCCAATCTTTCTTACGTCCAATCATTTGCAGTCTCTGCTCACGAAACAGATTCCGAAACAAGCCTTCTCTGCACTCGCTCTCCTAAACAAATCAGTTACAGGGTTTAAAAAAGCTGAATTCTTTGATGACTTGAAAGCTGCACTTGAGTATCCTACTGGGGGGGTGGGGGCGAATCCATAGGGGATCCTCTCTTGATCACAACCCAGTGGCGCCCACTGGTCATGGGCTGCGATTCCATTTGCCAGTTCTTCTGCTCTAGGCTCCAGTTGGTGGTCCCACCCAAGGACAGAAAGGGGAAGAGATAGAAATTAGGGGACAGAGTGGAACAGGCGACCTATCCACAAGGCTGAGAGCCTCAACACTTGCCTCTTTTACCATGCTTTCTGTCATCTTTTCCCCTCCCCACTCCCCTGAACTCCCTCCCCCAGCTCAGGTGTATCCAGCACAGTGAAACACTTTGAAACATCCTCCTGACGTGACAAGTGCTATATAAATGTAAATTGTATTCACCCCTCTCTGTGTTGCCAACGCTAAGTTGGAACTTATTTTCTGGTTAAATGTGCTTCTCAGGTTGGCCATCATTGCATGCTTGCCATTCCCAGGGCGGGTCCTGGGAAGATTAGGGTATGCTGGGAGCAACCAAAGTACTTTGAGCAGTAATGATTTAAGTGAGCAGTCACCATTAATCATTGTCCCCTGCAGACCGTGTCTGAAGAACAAGACCGATCCCATTGGACTCCACCATGCCATGTTCATTCCCACCTTGGAGCACCAATGCACTTCCGAGCAGAAAAAGAAGTGGCTTCCCCTGGCTTACGCCTGTCAGATGATCGGCACCTATGCCCAGACAGAAATGGGCCACGGTTAGTGCTTCCCAAAGCTACCAGGTCGGTCTCTTGTCGCAGTGCTGGAACATTGGACAAGTGTTCTGGCTACTGAGCTGAGTTCCAGCTGGCGTTGGGGTATTATTGCCCCTCTCGGTCTCGTCCTCACTCCCCGCTCCCCCACCGCAAGCATTAGGAGAGACTGAAGTACCTCTTGAGAACTTGCAGCGTTTTCCTTATCTGAAGCATGCCACCAGATGTTAATGGAAACTCAACAAGCTCCCAGTCAACTCAAACAATTCAGAGGCCATGACTGACACTTCATCTGAATGGCATTGGCATAGATCGAGGTAGTTAGCCAGCCACACAGTGGGGTTGGGAAGTGCTAAAATGGGCATTGAAGGATGAAGAATCGAGGGATAGCTTGCAAACTTTCTTTCAAAAAGCCACCCAAGCCGGGAAGAAACTCTTTACTCTCGTTGTCCTGTTTTCTCTTATGGCTGGGGAAGTGAGCCTCTTGCATGCTGCATTGCGAGAGCCAGAATGGTGCAGGCCGTGTGTCAGAACAGCCTTCACTAACCTGTTTCAGACAAGAGTGTGAGGAATGCTGCTCCCTGACCTTTCTGCTGGAATTTAAAGATTTTGTGCTCGCTTCCTTTTCTTGCTCTTTTCCTTTTATTGTTTTCCTTTCCCTGTGCTCTGTGTCCAGGCTACTTTCGCTCCCTCCCGTCTCTCACAGCTTCTCTCCTTTTTATTCCGAACTGCCTCGTCTGCACCTCCATTAACTGCTTTCACAGCCATATTAATGAACTGTCAAGCTGCCCATTGATGGAATCACTTTGCAAATTTCTCTGGTGTATTGTTTTAATGGGAAGCCTTTCTCTCTCTCTCTCTTCCCAACCTTGTCCTCTTCTCCTCTCTTAAATTAACTTCCAATGAAGATCTATAGATGAAATGTTGCTCACTTTCTTTCTCTCTCTCTCTCTCTCTCTCTCTCTTATGAGTGTTGGATTGACCTGCTGTGGGTTTCCAGTATTTCTCTTCTCTTTACCGATTGTTCAAAATCTGGGTGACTGCTTTTGTTCCAAGGTGCTGGCTAGTGAAGGGTTTGCACCCGATTTGGGGATTGGAGCCAAAAGGGGTGGAAGGCAAGGGGGAGGACTTGAGACGGGCCTTGAAGGAGGCGGAGGGGGGTGGGGCAGTGCATGACGGAGGGATCTGTGGGATGGAGTTCGAAAGGGTGGGGGGGCAGAGCGGCTAAAAGCCTGACCGCCAATGATGGAGTGGGCAGGGTAGGGTGAGGGAACTTGGAACAGGCCAGTGCCCGCCGAGGGAGCGGGCAGGATGGTTAGGGAGGAGCAAAACTGTGGAGGGCTTTCAAATTGAGGATGAAGATCTTAAACTGTATTCTCTGGGAAGTGGAGCCAGTGAAGCTGAGCGAGGATGGGGGTAGCATAGAATTTGAAGCAGCAACGGAATGTTCGGTGTAGAGCTGCTCCACTTTCATCTCACTGTCGAGGGAGCTTACACAAAGGTTCTTTAGGTGAAAAGATTGTGTTCGCTAAGATTTTTTATAGCAGAAAATGCAATGAACATACAGGTACCTCTACTCATCGCATACCATTTCTAATCGAATATATGAGGCTCTCCTTTGATTGCTTTGCCTAACTGGTGAAATCCCTGCCATGACTGATTGTAATAGTTGCTGCATGCCAGCCCATTAATGGGGGCTCTAATGAACCTTTCTCTCTGTGACCTCTTGTCTGTTCCTATTCCTGGCAATCCTCCCACTCTGTCTCTACAGCTATGTGCACCGTGGACGCCCTGAGCCCCTGGATCTCCACCTGGGCATGTTCCTACCCACCATCCTGAACCAGGCTACTCCTGAGCAGCAAGATCGCTTCTTCATGCCAGCTTGGAACCTGCAGATCATTGGCACTTATGCCCAGACGGAGATGGGCCATGGTATAGTACAGAAAGCAGTAGTGTAGAGTTCAAGTCCAAATTCAGTTACCTTCCTAGCCCCCTCAGTTCTATAATGTAATCTGCTATCTGTGGTTTTGTTTAATTTCCAATCCTATGATGAGTCTCAGACACTTGGGCTCCAACAAATCTCCAACCTCTGCTTCAGTCAAGAGCTTCCGTTCCCTTGATGGTCCAGTTGGTTAATTTAGTATCTCACTCAATCACACAGACCAGGAAGATCAAGGATCTAACAAAACACTAAATACTGCAGATGCTGGAAATCTGAAAGGATCTAAGAATCCAAGGATCTAACCCTGGTTTCTGGGGAGTCAATTGAAGCAACACTAAGGGACGATATCATAGGTTTTAACATCCCAGGCGAGGTGTGGGGGGGGAATAATCTACCAAGACTGCCCCACCTTGATTGCCTTCCAGCAACCTCTGATAGTGTTGGATTGTAATGGTGAGGAACTAATCTTAGTTCTGTGTTGCTCTCAGGCACATTCCTGCGTGGATTGGAGACAACTGCGACGTATGACCCTTCAACTCAAGAGTTTGTTCTCAACAGTCCGACTGTGACCTCCATCAAGTGGTGGCCTGGAGGATGTGAGTGAGCCTCAGTACAGGAGGGACATGCTGGAGGGGAGGTGGGGGGGTGTTGTGGGAGTATGTGGTGGGGGGAAGGTGTGTGAGGGGTGTTGCTCTAGTATGTCGGGAAGTTTGTTCAGTAATGTGAACTGGAATGAATATGTTTACTTCCTGTCTTTCACGAGCACCGTGTGTATCTTGTTTTACAGTGGGGAAGACTTCAAACCACGCTATTGTGTTGGCTCAACTGTACACGCAGGGCCAATGCAGGGGGCTTCACGCCTTCATCGTCCCAATCCGAAAAATGGGGACCCACGAGCCTCTGCCTGGTAAGCGGCTAGATGTCTGGGGGCATTAGCAGGTCGGAATAAAGTCTCGGTTGTCTGGGACTGTAATAAGGTTCCCCAGTGAGTGTGCCGGTTAGCAGGGTCTGGTGAAACCTGATTCTCAGTGGTCCCCTAACCACAAAATCTACAGTCAATCCACTTTACAATATATTCTGTGAAGTGCTTTGGGAAGTCTCAATAATGTGATAAGGCTCTCTATCAAATGCAAGGATTATCATTAGTATTAGCAGCAGTATAACCTGCCTCTGTTTGTTTGCTCTCCAGGTGTTGTGGTGGGTGACATTGGGCCCAAGTTCGGTTATGATGAGGTGGACAACGGTTACCTGAAGCTGGAGAATGTCCGTGTTCCGCGGGAGAATATGCTGATGAGATACGCAAAGGTAGGTCAGGTGCCACAGGGTTAGCTCAAGATTCCACCTGTTTGACTTGTCGTTCGCTCTCTCTTTCTCCATTAACCCTTACTTTGTTTCTGTTCTGTGTCACCTCCCTCCGGCTCTACATCATGCTCTGCCACTGTCAAGCGCTCCTGAGTGAGGGGCACTGTGTAAATGCAAGTTGTTGTTGTTGGAGGTGTGTTGCTGTTGGCCTGGCACAATTGGCTGATTTGGTTTCTCTCTCATTTGTTTCATTTTCCCCCCTTCTCCACCCACCTCCTCTACATGAAGGTGATGCCCGACGGCATGTACGTGAAGCCCCCGAGTGACAAGCTGACCTACGGCACCATGGTTTTCATCCGTTCCATGATTGTCAGTGACTCTGCCCGCGCCTTGTCTCAAGCGTGCACCATCGCCATCCGCTACAGCGCGGTCCGACACCAGTCAGAGCTCAAACCTGGGTAACTGCTGCTCTTTGTACTTGTGTTCATGTTCAATCTCCCAACGTAATGGTTCCGAGGTGGCGACGCTGGAAGGGAGGGAGGGGAGATGTTTGCTGTTGAAGGAGCGAGAGGAGGTTCCCGATCGCAATAATAATTAATACTAACCATAAACCCGAGTTTCGCACTTCACTCCGAATTGAAGGATAAAAGAGGAGGAGGAGTGTACATCCGTGCTTTATATTCATAGATGGAAAGGAAGAATTTGCAGGGCTGTGGGGTAAGAGCAGGGACTAGTTGGTAGCTGTTTTAAAGAGCCGGCACAGGCATGATGGGCTGAATGGCCTCCTTTTGTGCTGTAAAATTCTACAATTCTATGAAAGCAGTACTGGAAATATCAAAGTTTTTTCGCCCAAACTCGTGCTGATCTGGTCGTATATGTATGATCTGTGTGTTTGTGTTTATTTCGGGGTTGGTAACGCTGGCTGTGTTTACTCACTTGCCCACAGGGCTCCGGAGCCCCAAATTATTGATTACCAGACCCAGCAGTACAAGCTCTTCCCGTTCCTGGCCACGGCCTATGCCTTCCGCTTCGTTGGCAACTTCATGGCGGACATGTACCATCGTATCACTGGAGACATCAACGAGGGGGACTACAGCGAGTTACCTGAGGTGACGTTGGGACTCTGAGCTCACAGTCTAGGCCAGTCTAGTGCTTCTGAAATGTTTGTTTGGTGGCCTCAGTGTGTGGACCACCAACATTTATTGGTGGCAGCAGTGTTACTTTTGTAGTTTGCATTACTTCTCTGCCCCTCCCCCCCACCCTTCTATATCCAGCTAGTGTTGGGGGGAAGAGAGAGGGAGAGCGAAAATGCATGCAGGCCTGCCCGGATTCCCCACACCCCTCCCACCCCCTTCGGGAGATGTAGTCAGTAGCTCTGGGAGGGGCTGTTGTGTTTGCACTTGGCTGAGTATTCGCTGGCGCTGTCTCCGCTCGGTGGTTTCCCGGCAGCTTCTGCTCGCTCACTGACTCCGGTTTGATTCCAGCTGCACTCGCTGTCTGCTGGCCTGAAAGCCTTCACCTCCTGGGTGGCCAGTGCCGGGATCGAGGAGTGTCGCATGGCTTGTGGCGGGCATGGATACTCGCGCTCCAGCGGCCTCCCAGACATCTATGTCACATTTACACCCAGCTGCACGTACGAGGGAGAGAACACGGTGATGATGCTGCAGACGGCAAGGTATGAGATACCAGGTGGCAGCCTGACCCATTCAGTCGCACTTTCACCTCTGAATCAGAAGGTTGTAGGTTTGAGCTGAACATCAGGACTTTTAATTTCTTAACTTCAGTGTAAGCTGAGGTTCCAGTGCATTGCTGGGGGTGGGTGGGGAGTAGTGCATTGTTGGAGGTGACGTCCTTCGGATGAGACGTTAAACCAAGGCCCCCCCCCCCCGCCTGGTCAAAGACCTTGAACGAGGGGTGGGAGGGAGAGAGTGAGTTGGAAGGACTCCAAGATGGAGTTCTAGAGACTGGGGGCAGAAAGACTGATGGTGGGGTGGAGAGGGCAGAAGATCTGAAACAAGCTGGTGTTCGCTGAGCAAAGGGACCAGTACTGCTGAAGAAAGTCACAGAGATAGGTAGGGATGAGATCGTTGATGGTGAAGGTATCTGTCATATTCCTTTTCCGCGATTATTTGTTCCTTTATGACTTCCTACCTTTTATTTAACTACCCCTTTCCTTTTCACGTGCTTATAAAATCCGTTAGTCATTTTCATTATTACCTGCCAGCATTTCTAATCATTGTTTTTTACTATCAGAGTATTTTCTTCCTGTTGTGTTGCAGATACCTGTTCAAGAGTTACACTCAAGCCAAGGCTGGGCAGAAGCTGTCTGGCACCGTCTCGTACCTCAATGAGCTGTTGCACGACCACATCCAGCTGCAGCAGGTGGCTGGCCGGCCTGCGGTGGTGGACATCAGTGACCTCGGCAGCCTGGTGGAGGCCTACAAGATGCGAGCAGCCACGTAAGTGCAATGAGAAACCCGGGAGGCAAGGCACCATTTACATACCCAAAACACCTGCGCTTGGACACATGTCTACAGGCTCACACATAAACACGATGGTGTGCATACACTCCGCTCCACCATCGGCAGCCGTCCTTTCAGCCACTTCCAGCTTTGGAACGCTCTCTCTTGATCCCTCGGCCTTGCCCCCTTTCTCCTCTTTTTGATCACAACTGAAGACTTTCTTCAATCTTGCTTACAGTCAACTCCTCCCTCCCCCTGGCTCGGCATCAAGCTCCACCACTGTTAAGCAATCCCCCACTGTTTCTATATCAATTCACTCTGTGTGTGTGTGTGTGTGTGTGTGTATATGTGTGTGTCCTCAGCAAACCTGACTTGTCTACTCTGTAGGTGTGTTCTTGACTGCACACACTGAATTTAACCAGTTGCACCTCGCAGTACCTTTAATTGGTCTACGTAACTTCTCTCTGCTTTTCCCATCTCTGCCTCAGACTAGTGGATGGAGCCGCGCAGAATTACCAATCAGAGCTGGCACGCCGCAAGAGCAAGGATGAGGCCTGGAACAATACCTCAATTGACCTGGTCAGAGCATCACAGGTAAATATCTTCCCTCCCACCGCCCCCTGCCATCAACAATGTTCGCTCCATCTGCTACCAGTCACCCTTTACCTCCCTGGCCATCTCAATCTCTGTCACCTTTATGTCATCTACTCCATCCTTTTCTCCCTCACTCTCTTCCTGTGAAAGGTGCTGTATATATGTTCATATGTTGTGTATAACCTGTTGCTTGGCCTTGCTCAGGCACATTGCCACTATGTGGTGGTGAAGCTGTTCACAGCAAAGCTGTCGGAGATCAGCGACACTGCCATCCACGAGGCTCTCAGCAGTCTGTGTCTGATGTACGCTCTCCATGGGATCAGCAAGAACTCCGGGGACTTCCTGCAGGTCAGTGTTCTACAGCCGGGTAAACCATACAGCAGTCACATTCACCCCAGTCCTCACCAATCCCTCCGTTTTGCCTCCTCTTTGCCCGTCTTCAGATCGCAACTTACAGCCACCTCCCTTTTCTCCCCAACTTGGTATAAAAATATGCCATCGCAAAGCGCTCTGACATGGGGATGGAGGGCAGAAAGACAGGGTGATGGTGCGTGTTTGAGGGAGAGATTCTGTGGTTTGGAAGTCTGGGTGTGGGCTCTCTCTCTCCCTCTGTGTGATGCTATGAGTTTGCTTGCAGGCCGGGATCCTGAATGATCCGCAGATTTCCCAGGTTCACCAGCGTGTGAAGGAGTTGCTGGCAGTGATCCGCCGGAACGCCGTGGCTCTGGTGGATGCCTTTGATTACCCAGACGCCGTCCTAGCTTCGGTGCTGGGACGCTACGATGGGAACGTCTATGAGAACATGTTCGAATGGGCGAAGAAATCCCCTTTAAATAAAACTGAGGTGAGGGAGCCTAGTCTGTCTGTCAGGGGCGTCGATTCATCGCGGAGGGGATGGAAGTGTGAAGATGGGGTTGTCCCTTTGCACTTGTGATCCAGTGTTTCAGTACAGATGGCTGACTGTCTCCCCTCACTGCTGGCTGTCATGAGAAGCAACAGCCTCCGTTTTGCTACTCGGCATTTGGTAGAAATCGCGTGATATTTCTGGCGCAGGACTGTACTGATCCCGCTCTCTATCTTGTTCACAGGTTCATGAGTCGTTCCACAAATACCTGAAGCCACTGCAGTCCAAGCTGTGAGGCAGCACTGAGTGCTTTTGTTTCAGGAGACTCGCCCAAGCCTCTAAATACAACACTGCACCTTAATCCCAGCCCTTGCTTCCTTTGGTCTTGTAGAATCATGATTTCCCTCTTCTCTCCATGCCCTCCATTCCCAATGGAAGTCTAACCCTCTCTTAGATATTCTTTAGACAGGAAACAAATGGAGTGGTTTGAAAGGTATATCTTTTAGCAAGTAATTGTGAATTAGCAGTTGACTGAGTGCAGCACCACCCTCTGCTATGAGAGGTTTAAACTGCATCTGAAGCCAGTATCATTGTGTAGCACTGAAGGACTTTATTTTCTTGGCTCAGTGCATAACTGGGTAAAAGTTATAATAATAATAATAATCCTGGCATTCATATAGCGCTTTTCACGTCTTCCAGACGTCTCAAAGCACTTCACAGAATATGCTGTAAAGTGAATTGACTTTATATTTGTGGGCGAAACGCGGCAGCCAATTGCGCACAGCAATGTCCCACAAAAAGTCGTGGATTGAAAATGACCAATTTATTTTTGTTTTGGAGGGATTATTATTATCCCTGCTTTGTAGCCTTGTGCAATAGTGAAAGGTGCTCCTTTTTGGTGTTTGCCCCCATCACATTTGTGATTGTCATTGCTCAGAGGCATGAGCTCAGACCCAACGGTCCAATTTCTTGTTTGTCTCTCGGAAAACATGTGGGCTGGCACGCATGAGTTTTTGGTTAAAGGTTCAATAAATGGGAATTAATGAATTTCAAATACACCCACCGTCTGAACAAATGAATTCAGCCGTCCAGTTGTTAGATCAAACAGTGACGTTGAGGTTATTTGGCTCCCAAAATGTAGGCAATGCCAGGTGAGCGATGGGGGTGTTCCTGTCACTGTCTTGTGTCTCGATTGCACATTCTTTATTATGCCAGCTGACTCCTTCCGATATACATCTGAGAATTTGTATGACAATAACTTTTCCTGTTAATTTTTAGGCACTGTTTTCTGCCGCCAGCGAGGATTAAGTTTTGTCCTATTTGTGTTTCGCTAATTGGCTACCGAGGCCCCTCTTTCAAGTGCTGCCGAAAAGCAGTTCAGATGAAAGGTTTGGCAGGGAAACCTGCCTGGAAGCTATAGCGGAGAGCTTTCATAAATAGGGATATATTTGGATTACGTAAAGTCAAATGCATTAAATGTGGCTGCGTCATTTTTAATTATTTTTAAGAAATGTGGAGGAGGCCCTTGCTTGTCCTGGGAGGTTTAGTACAACAACAACAACTAGCATTTATATAGCATCCCTCACGCAGGGTGGCGCCCCGGAGCGCTTGTCCGTTGAGTTTCCTCCTTTCTAAGATGGGGAGATTTTTTAAAATTCTGACCTCTGAAAAAGGGATGGGTTGTGAGTGGGTGATCATTACAGCGAACACTTGTTAATTATCAATGTCAGTTCCCCCTTTCAAGGAATCGCTCGTTTGTTTTTGCGAACGGGCCCCTAACCCAAAGGGGTTCGTGCAAGTGCACAAGACTGAACGCTCAGCTGCTGGACTGCTGACACTCTGCCAAGGAAAAGAGTGGCTCTGTTCCTTTTCAATCTGATCAACGTTTTGCTTTCGGTAGTTAAAAGCCGACGGACGACGGTGTTTTATTCTCGTAGGTGTCAGTCCTCTGTGAGGGACACAGTCTGGCCACTGGGTGGCGCTAAAGGGTGCTGCATTCAAAGCAGCGTCACGTCAGTGTTGCAGATAATAATAATAATAATACTAATCCTTGCATTTGATAGAGCGCCTTATCATGTCTTCGAGACACTTCGGAGCTTCACAGAATATACTTTAAAGTGAATTGAATGTATAGCTTGTGGGCGAAACGCGTCATGCGATTCCCTCCCATCGTCGGATCATTAATTATTGTTGGTTGAAATGTTTGTATCTTTTTCTTATTCTTGATTTAACTTTACTGCCTATTAGAAAGGCGTGACTCTAACACTGATTTGCAGGCTAGTCCGCATGCTTTTCTCTCTTGAGTAAGTAATTATAATGGTTTAATATGAGTCGCCCAGGCCGTAATTTCTGGGCACCCAACGATAGAAAGATGATAGGAAAGTGTGCTCATGCCTGTGGAAAGTTCACATGAACAACCACAATATTTCCAGGTAGCTGATATAAGGAAGTTCAGATGGCTCTCTTGTAAAAGATTCAGTGCCCTGATTGAAATGTACAAGACATTAAAGAAGCAGATTACCATCGAGGCAAACTGGTTACAGTGAGGGGAAGGAATCAATTACCTGGGAACTCAAGATTTTTTTTAATTAAAAAAAGGAATAATAAGACAAATCAGGGTAGCATTTTACATATCAGAGTAGCAGGTTTGTGGAATGTTAGTTGGGAGGATCATTGAAGCAGACTGCCATTGCAGGTGTGAAATTAAATATTTTTACTGTCACGATCGTGCTTAATATCGTTTAACTGTGTGGCACAGCTTAGCTGAGGCCCCGGGAATTACAGACTTCCAATGAACAGCCCTGACTGTGAACATTGGGTACAGAAATGAGATGACTGAAGCTGATTGAGTACCTTTTCAGTCAGATGATCAAGTGTGCGGTTCATTGAGTCGTCAAACCCCTCAGCCGTCCCTCCCTCTACTGATATCTACTGACTGTTTTTAGTGAATAATTATGAAGGAGCCCAGAGCAAACTGACATACGAGAGCTGGCCTCAGGCCATACAAACTATGAATTTCCTTCCATCTGTTGGGAGAGAATGATGTGACATTTAGTGCCTCGATGGTTTGTGAATATGATTTGTGTGTACACCTCTTTGAGGGTGATTAGATCCACTGTGAAATTAATACACTGTATGTGTAATTCCTGTATATCTAACAATAAAATGGACGATTAGAGAGCTGAGAGGTTGATTTATTGAGCATCTCTGCCGAAGGGTCTTGTTGGGAAATTGCCTGGTGGAGTGGCTAACGACAACAATCCATCTGCCACGTGAGCAACCTGGAGATCCAGCCCCACTTCAACTGCAGTATCCAGGCTGGGTCGCTGTAGATTGTTCAAGGCTCTGTAAAGACTGAGCTTTGTTTGGGGCAAATGTCCCATACTTTATTCCTTAAAAACTGATTGGTTGTACTGACTTTGAAGATGAACCAGGCATTGAAATAATTGTTTGAACAAATCTTAAGTCAGCAAGATACACCATTCATAACAAAATGCTTATTGTAATGAGATAAACACAACAGGAACTAACTATGCTGCTGTTTCTGAATGAGTAATACTCTTGTTAGCTCTGTTCTGACTTCCTGACCCAGCTTCATTTCCTCTGTGGCGTGTGCTACTGCTGTGCTCACTGACTTCTCTGATCTCAGAGCAAGTGTATAAGCCTTGTTCCAACAAACATCGAGGGTTTCGGGTAAAATGCCCTCCTTCACAGCAGGTGAATCTGCCTTTCAACCCAAGAGAGCTTCCAGGATTCAGCATCTTCAGTAGCTGTTGCTGATGAAAGTAAGGTCAGTTACACTATTAAGTATGGGCTGGTTTCTTTTGACTTAGATTGAAGGAGCACTAAATGAGGAACAATGAGTGGCTCGACTGTTAGTAATCTGGGTGTGGGCGGGTGAAGAACATCCAACTGCTTCAGCCCTGATACAACACAACCAGACACTCGGCGATTGAAGTTGAAGAGTTTTGAAACCGACGTGAAAAAGACTGAAATTTTTAAAAGGTTAGTTTTGCCCTGAGCCTTTCGCTCGCCTCACGATGTTCACTGTTATCAAACTCGGGAGAGTTGACAAGGAACGTGATCCCAGATCTTGATAGCTCTGCTCAGATCACCGGTCCTTACAGGAGAAGTGAAAGCAATTATGAGAACACTCTGAATTCTTACCTTCCACCCACCCTTGAGCAGCTTCTAGACAACCTTGGCCACTGCCCAAAATCTTTGCAACCCCCCCCTGAATCTTTGTAACCCCCCCCCCCCACCCCAATCTCTGCGTTCCATTTTAATTTTCATCCTCCCCATCGAGAGAGATGCTTTTGCAGACTGGCGCTCCAGGTGAGCCTGGAGCCTGTGTTCTTATAGCTTTACCCTAGAAGGAATCTGCAGCGAGGGACTGCGGTCAGATTCCTGGCAATTAGATAATGAATGTTTCCCCTCCTCACGTCAACACACACACACAATGGACGTGGTGTGTGTGAGTGCCAGGGCAGGGAGAGGCTGGGAGGGCCTCACAAGAGGTGTTTTCATACGCTTATTATAATGAAAACAAATGCAAGAGGAAATACAGGTATGGTTTGTGTTGCACTGTATGAGTTTTGTTACGTTACTGGAAGCAAAGTGCAGCACAGTCACAGACCTGTTGAGGATCCTGACAATGCAAATTATAGGTTAATTATTCCCGGGATGGTTACTCGCAAGTTCCCGGTAGAGGTAGAAATGCCATTATTGAGCTACGCACATTGTTTCTGAACCCTTAACTGAACATCTGGGGATGTTGTGTGACCCTGATACAATAAACCAAGATGGAATCCACAAACCCTTTCTATGAGGTTAGTGGGAGGAACTACTCTTCTTTGAAGAAACGACAACTGAGAATGAGACGCAATCCAGAAGCCCAAAATGTTGAAAGATATGGATGTAATCGAGTTGTTTCATTTAAATGAAAATTCAATGAAATGAATAAGCGTTGAACCCTAATGCAACCCTACGGATTAGAATTGCTTCTGCCCCCATACAACAGTAGATAAGGTGAATTGGGACATCCTCCTGACGTGAAAGGCGCTATATAAATGCAATTTGTTGTTGCTGTTGTGGTCACCTGGATGGTTTTAACCAGCTTGGCTGTTTTTTGTACTGCCGTGCGTGCTCTTGCACGTAACTTCTTTTACTGCTTTAAGTATTTATGTTAGTACCTGCCTCCCACCAACATCAGATTCACAGTCTCAATCCCTCAAATAAAATCGTTCACTAAATCCACGACTGATTGTGGGACACTGCTGTGTGCAATTCACTGCCACGTTTTGCCCACAAAATATGCAATTTATCCTGTGAAGCACCTTGAGACGTCTCAAAGACATGATCAAGCGCTGCATCAAATGCAAGGATCATCATCATTATTAATATTAAACAGAGTTTGGCTTTAACTGTTCCCTTCGACAGATCGACCCTGGGATGGAAAACAAAACGAACATTGAAAAGAATGATGAGCTCCCCATTGTCATGAGAGAAGAAAACAAGAGGCGGAGGAGGAACATGAGAGCCAACACCACCAGGGGCATGCAGTATTACTCGCTGGAGCAGCTAAGCATTGAGATCATCCTGCCCACTCGCAACAAACGTACTGCCATGCACGAGAAGATCTCGTTGGACATTGCTGGCAACTACACGGTGGAGCAGCTGAAGACCAAGATTTGGGTCAAAGCCAACGGAACAAGCGGATCTCCCGAGTACTACCAGAAGTTCAGCCCGGATCAGTTCATCTTGCTGTACCAAAAGAAAGGGCAGTGGTACGAGATCTATGACAAGCAGCAGGTGATCCAGACCCTGGACTGCATCAATTACTGGAAGGTGCTGCAAAAGTCCGTGGGCAAGATCCACGTGGTGCAGAAAGCCAGGAGCAGCGATCAGTCGCTTCAACTGCAGTGGGACCTCAATAACCTGGTTGGCTATGACGTCACTGATGTGAGCAACGTCCATGATGACGAGCTGGAGTTCACCCGCAGGACGCTGATCACCCCGCGTTTGACCGAGGTGGCCACCAGAGATGTTAGGCTGTACTCCATGGACCCCTGGATCCTCTCCAAGCCCCTGCCCGAGTACCTGTTGAATAAAATAAGTGGCAACAATATCTTTATGATCATTCACCGAGGAGCAGTCAGCCTGACTATAAAGGTATCCATTGATGAGACACCTGAGAGCATCCTGAGGAACTTCTTCAAGAAGATGGCAAAGAAGATGAGCCTCCTGGACATGAATGAGAGTCACAGTGAGGAACACTTTGTGCTCAGGGTCTGCGGCCGGGACGAGTACATAGTGGGCGATAACCCGATCAAGGACTTCTTTTGGATCCGAAACTGTCTGAAAAACGGAGAGGAGATTCACTTGGTTCTCGACTTGCCCCCAGACCCGGTCCTGGATGAAGTTCAGAAGGAAGAGTGGCCTCTGGTGGACGATTGCACAGGCGTTACCGGGTCTCACGAGCAACTGACCTTAGAAGGAAAGGACCATGAGAAAGTCTTCACCATATCCCTGTGGGACTGCAGCCAAACATTCCGAGTCAAGATTGTAGGGATAGACATCCCTGTCCTGCCGAGGAACACAGATGTGACCGTCTTCGTGCAGGCCAGCATACTGCACGGGCAGCAGATCCTAGCGCAGCAGAGGACACCAGCCAAGGCCTTCACAGAAGAGGTCATGTGGAATATGTGGCTGGAGTTTGATATTAAGGTGAAGGATCTCCCCAAAGGAGCACGGTTGAACCTTCAGGTTTACTGCGGTAAAGCACAAGCGCTGGGCAGCAAAGCACTAGAGGACCTGTGGGATTCCAGGAGCAAGAACAATATGCTCTACTATGTCAATCTGTTGGTGATTGACCATCGATCGCTCCTTCGCCAAGGGGAATATCTGCTCCACATGTGGAAGATTCCCAATAAGGGTGAAGAACAGGGCACTATTGAAGCTGACAAACTCACATCAGCCACCAACCCCGACAAACAGACGTCCATGGCTATCTGCATCCTCTTGGACAGGTACAACTACCCGATTGCTCTTCCCAGGAGCCGTCAGACAGACCCCGAGGCTGAGAGGTCGGGGCCGGAGATGCACAGTCAGCTCCGCAAGCAATTTGAGGAGATCGTCAGCACCGATCCGCTGAACCCGCTCAGCGCTGAGGACAAGGAATTACTCTGGCACTTCAGGCACGAATGTGTCAAGCAGCCGAAAGCCTACCCCAAGTTCCTCAGCTCGGTCAAGTGGGGCCAGCAGGACGTGGTGCTCAAGACCCACCAGCTGCTGCAGAAGCAGACGGCCTGGGCCAGCAGCCCCCTAGACGTGGGGCTGGCACTGCAGCTGCTCGACTGTCGCTTCTCAGACGAGCAGGTCAGGACCATGGCCGTCCAGAAGCTCGAGACTTTTGGCAATGATGACGTCCTGCGCTTCCTCCTGCAGCTGGTCCAGGTCAGTCTGTCTGTGTGTGTGTCTGTGTGTCTGTGTGTGTGTGGGGCAGTGTACGTGTGTTTAAGTGTGTGTGTGTGTGTCTCGGGTGGTTACAGTATTGCCTTGGGGGTTGGACAACGAGCCACACGGGACACATATCAGTCAGGGGGTTATTTAATCGCTCGTTCTCACTCTGATTTCAGGCGGTGAAGTTTGAGCCTTACCACGACAGCGCCCTGGCTCGATTCCTACTCAAGCGGGCACTGGGAGTGAGTATTTATCCTTATTATTATTGTTATCATCATCAATAATAAACCGTTTACTCCTTGCCCTTTGCGAATCAGTGTCCTTTTTCCAACGTGGCTTTCCCTCATGCCCATCGCCAGAGCAAACGCATCGGCCATTTCCTCTTCTGGTTCTTGAGAAGCGAAGTGTCGGAGTCGATGCACTACCGGCAGCGCTACGCGGTCATGCTGGAGTGTTACCTGCGAGGCTGCGGCCAGGCCATGCTGATGGACTTCATGAAGCAGGTGAAGGTGATCAAGGAGCTGCAGAAACTAACGAAGGAGATAAAGAACGTGACCGCCGACAAGTACGATATCTCATCTCAAGGTAAAGCCACCGACCGGCCAGGCACCCGCCAGCAACGCTCTCGCCTCTCAATCACAAGTTCGTGGGTACGAGCCACTCATCGAGTCCGGATGTTGTTATTAATGATAATAATAATAAATATCCTTGCATTTGATATAAAGCCGTATCGTGTAAAAAGGACGACCTAAAGTGCTTTGTAAGATATACTGTAAAGTGGAGTGACTGTGTATTTGTAGGAAAATGCATTGACCAGTTTGCCCGCAGCAGTGTCCCACAAACCGCTGTGAAATAAGTGCCCAATTTTATTCGGGGGATTGTTGGCCAGGACACCGGTAGAGAGAAACTCCCTTCTCCTTTTGAACAGCGCTGCGGGATCTTTAACGTCCACTCGAACAGGCACAGACGGGACCTCGGTTTAATGTCTCATCCGAAGGATGGATTTGAAAATGGTTTAAAAATATTTCTCACGTATAGCGCATTCAAATACAGCTACGCAGTAACTTTACAGTAAGGACGAAGGGAATAGAGGGGTGTGGGAGGCAGTGAAGAATGGGTGGAGATTCCTGTGGAATATGAACTCCGGCGTGGACTAGTTGGGCTGAATGGCAATGTATGTAAATCTATGTAAAACCCTATGATAAGGAACTGTGTCAAATACAAGGATGATTATTACTGTTTCTTCGGAAACCTTTTGATGGGTGGAGATTCCGCCTGGGTCTAGACTCGGTCCATTACTGTAGAGTTTCAGAGTGTCCTAAATTCATCCCGTTCTTAAATGGAGCCTATCATTTTGAAGCCGCTTCTTTGTGAGTTTCTTTTAACAAGTACTGAGCTCAAGTTGAAATCAGCTGAACCACTTCTCCAGTTCTACATCCTCTGAAATGCTGCTCATGGAGCAAACCTCGACCCAGGTGGAATCTCCACCCAAAAGACTGAGATCCTTGTACCTTGACATGGAACTTAACATTCAGTGACTGAGGAGGAGGTATCGGGTGTAAAAAAACGTGTGAGCTGATCAGTATAAGGTGGGCGAGGGGCATTTGTTAGGGCTGAAGTAGGAAGTGAAAGAGGATGTGTATGTGTGCGTGCGTGCGTGTGAGAGGATGTGGTTACACAGTGGCAGAAACACTAACCACTGCTGGTTCTTTTTAAAGTCGCTCAGCTGTTCAGTATCCTTCAGCTACAGAACGTTCGGCTTAATCCCAGCCCCCGAGCGCAGCCTGGTGGGGAAGGCATCGCCAGTGTCGCTCTCAGCCCTGCCCAGCCGAGGATTACAGGTCCAAATCTTGGTGTCCTGTAGCTCAGTGGTTAGAGCACAAGCTTCGCAAGCGAGAGGACCTTGGGTTTGATTCCCGGGCAGAGCAAAACATTGGGCACATTTCCTTACTCCACACGACACTGTTTACCCAGCAGTAAGTAGGATCTCAGTTGTTAGTGAACTGGCGGATCACTTTTTGGGGGTAATGATCCCTTAAAAAAATAATAACTAGGTCACTCAATCCATGAATGTTTGTGGGACGCTGCTGTACGCAATTGGCTACCGCATTTCACCCACAAAATACACAGTCAATTCACTTTACAGTATATCCTGTGAAGCGCTTTTGTCTCAAAGATGTGATAAGGCGCTGTATCAAATGCGAAGATTATTATTATATAAGATGTAAATGTTCTAAATAACGACTGACAGTCACGATCTGCTTCTCTCTCAGCAATCTCCCAGCTCCGACACCGACTGGAGAAGCTACAATCCTCTGGGTTTCCCGAATGTTTCCGGGTTCCATACGATCCTGGTCTGCGGGCTGGAGCCCTGGTGGTGAGTTATTATTAATAATAGTAATTATAATAATCCCTGCAATTCATATAGCACCAGGAGGAGGCTGCACAGGATTTACTGTAACATATAGCGACTGTGTATTTGTAGGCGAATGTGGCAATCAATTCCAAGTTGGGCTTTGACTGTCAATAACCTGATAAAACACACTCACTGGCCTCAAACATGGGAGGTAGTCCCTCCGCACAAGTCGGTCCGATTGGTGGTGGGGAAGAGCAGATAAATAAATGGGTGGGGGCGCGGAGAGGAGGAAAAACTATTCATTTCAATTTTGGGGTAAGTTGGTTCGGATGAAGAAGGCCCTTCATTCAGCCCATTTGATTTTTCCGATCAGAACACCCGGCCTTCCCTTCTTCCCGTCACAGCCAGTGACCTCCTAACCTCACCCACAACAGAGTTCTCTGAAAGAGGACGAGCCAACACCCGGTCACTGTCTGAATTTGCTGCCGTCCCTTTTTCTGCAGGTGGATAAATGCAAAGTCATGGCGTCCAAGAAAAAGCCCCTGTGGCTGGAGTTTAAGTGTGCGGACCCCACCTCCGTGTCCAAGGATACCATTGGGATCATCTTTAAGCAGGGCGACGATCTCCGCCAGGACATGCTCATTATCCAGGTACACAACACGGGACATGACTTGTCAACCAACTGCCAGGATGGTGGATGGCGAATTGGATGGACCTTGGCCTTCTTTTGCCTGGCAAATTCTTCTGTTCTTATGTACGCACTGTCCATTATACAGATACACACTCGCTCATCATAACACAGGGATACACCCCGCAATGTCACACCGCCTCACCTCGCCCTGTGGCACCCTCACGCTGAACGACTGAGATGTACCGGTGGGCAGTGTAACAACGTGGGTTGCTTGGTTGGTCAGACGCAGTGGCTGGTGTGACCTCGGTCATTGCTTGGTGATGTATGTTACTGTGTTACCCACAGATTCTGCTGATTATGGATTCGATCTGGGAGATGGAATCCCTGGACCTGTGTTTACTGCCGTACGGCTGCATCGCAACAGGCAACAAAATAGGTAAACTTCACCTCACCTCCGACCATTGTAGTGCAGGTGTTCTGACGCGTCCGTTTGTGTTTGGATGTGGAGCTGTGTGCGGGACTTTAAACAGGGGACTGTGCACAAATCAACTGCCGAGTTTGTGTACAAAATAAACACAGTCACTACACTTTGCAGTAAATCCTGCAAAGCGCTTTAAAATGTCGTCCCAACACTGCAAACATAAACGGATTTAGGGAAACGAGGGGCTTAGGATTGAGAGCCTGTGCCTCCTCCTGCGTTGCGGTGACCACCAGCTCATTAAAGCCTGGTTGCCCCTCGACAGGAATAATCCAGATTGTCAAAGACGCCACGACTATTGCCAAGATCCAGCAAAGCACAGTCGGCAACACCGGGGCGTTTAAGGACGAGGTTCTGAACCACTGGCTGAAAGAGAAGTGTGTGATTGAGGAGAAGGTAGGGGTATCTCTGTGTCTTAGTGTGTTGTGGTGTGTTTCTTGTGTGCGTGGTGTGTTTGTTGCGTTGGGTGTGTATGTTTTTTCACTCTGCGTCCCAGATGTGTTGGCCACTCGATGGTTTAGCCGGGTTTAACCTGGTTTAAGGTTAACCGTTTCCTGCACCATGTGAGGTGAGACTAACTCTGTTTCATCTGCAGTTCCAATCAGCTGTGGAAAAGTTTGTCTTTTCGTGCGCTGGGTACTGTGTCGCTACGTACGTCTTGGGGATTGGAGATCGACACAATGACAACATCATGATCACGGAGTCAGGTGAGTGTCCAGTATCAGTGGGACCTATTATTTTGGCCAGCCGGGTGTCTGACCCACGCGGAAACCCATCACCGTGATCAGCCGGGTGTCTGACCCACGCGGAAACCCATCACCGTGATCAGCCGGGTGTCTGACCCACGCGGAAACCCATCACCGTGATCAGCCGGGTGTCTGACCCACGCGGAAACACTTCACCGTGATCAGCCGGGTGTCTGACCACTCGGAAACACTTCACCGTGATCAGCCGGGTGTCTGACCCACTCGGAAACACATCACCGTGATCAGCCGGGTGTCTGACCCATGCGGAAACCCGTCACTGTACGTTATCCCCTGCATTGTAGGGTCTACTTCATGTTTTCTGAGAACTCTTCTAAATAAAGCTAAATCATGAAGACTTTTCTTTATTCTACTCAGGGAATCTTTTCCATATCGATTTTGGCCACATCCTCGGAAACTATAAGAGTTTCCTTGGGATAAGTAAAGAGCGAGTCCCCTTCGTCCTGACTCCGGACTTTCTCTTTGTGATGGGCACGTACGGTAAAAAGACCAGTCCTCACTTTCAAAAGTTTCAGGTGAGTAAATAATAACATAATAATATAGTTTGTGGGACTCTGGGACACTGCTGTGCCCAATTGTTTCGTCCACAAAATACACAGTCAATCCACTTTAAAATATATCCTGTGAAGTGCTTTGAAACGTCTCAATGACGTGATCAGAAGCTACATCAAATGTAAGGTCCATTATTAGTGGCTGTTTGTGGGACATTGTGGTGCAAATTGGCTGCTGCGTTGGCCTACAAAACCGCAGTCACTGCATTCTCCTGAAATATTGTGAAGCGCTCGTGAGACGTTGGCGATGTTACTGAGGCTACGAAGTGCGAGGATTATTGGTTGCTATTGACTGTATGTTTTGTGGCCGGGAACGCGGTAGCTAATTGCGCGCTGACGGCGATGTCCCGCAGACAGTTGTGTATTGAAACCAAATGATTTATTTTGTGTGTTTGACAGGAGATCTGTTTGAAGGCCTATCGTACCTTGCGTCACCACGCTAACCTGCTGATCATACTCTTCTCCATGATGCTGATGACGGGAATGCCACAATTGACGAGCAAGGAAGATATCGAGTACATCCGCGAGACCCTGACCGTCGGCAAGAACGAAGAGGAGGCCAGGACCCACTTCCTGGAACAGATTGAGATCTGCCGGGATAAGGGATGGACCGTGCAGTTCAACTGGTTCCTGCACCTTGTGTTGGGCATCAAACAGGGTGTTGAAAAGCACTCGGCATAGCTCCTGCAACTGGGGATGAGGGGGCGGAGTGGGGTAGGTGGGGGATGAAGGGTGGGAAAGCTCGGCAGACCTTTGAGCAGACCTGACATCTCCTGTGGAGTCCTGTAGCCCAGCGGTTTGAGCACCCTCCTCGCAAGCGAGAGGACCTGGGTTCTGATTCCAGGGCGAAACGTTGGGCAAGTTTCCTTACTCCACACACACGCCTCTGATTACCGAGCAGTAACTAGGAACCTGGCTGTGAGTCGATTGGCGGATCGCTTTTCCGTGATAAGATGCTACATCAAATGCAAGGAATATTACTATTATCTCCCCAAAATCCATCAAATCCCACTTCAGTTTGCTCAGTCAGGCCAGACTTAGATTTGCTCAGGTGACGTTCAATAAAAGGTCCAATGCCTTTGCCAATATTGTACGTCGGGGCAGGACAGCAGTGAACTGTTGTGGGTTCATTTGTTAAATAAAAGATGTTGCTTTTGCAAAGGTGTGTAACCCGTTCTCTGTGCTTTCCCCTTGTAAGCAGATAATTATTAGAGGAGGATACAAGTTTGCAGGGATCTGGGGAGAGAGCGGGAGGGGAGTTGGGTTGATCAGGGCTATGGGGAGAGCGCGGGGGAGTGGGGTTCATCGGGACTATGGGGGGGGAGAGCGCGGGGAGGGTCGAGTGGGGTTGACCGGGGCTATGGGGAGAGAGAGCGGGGGGGCGGGGAGTGGGGTTGACCGGGGCTATGGGGGGGAGAGTGCGGAGGGGGGGAGTGGGGTTGACCGGGGCTATGGGGGAGAGAGCGCGGAGGGGGAGGAGTGGGGTTGACCGGGGCTATGGGGGGGAGAGCGCGGGGGGGGGGGGGGGGGGGGGGAGTGGGGTTGACCGGGGCTATGGGGGGGAGAGCGCGGGGGGGGGGGTGTGGGGGGGGGGGAGTGGGATTGACCGGGGCTATGAGGGGGGAGAGCGCGGGGGGGGGGGGGTGGGGGTGGGGGGGGCGGGGGGGGGTGGGGTTGACTTGGAAGCTCTTTCCGCAGAGCCGGCACAGACACGATGGGCTGAATGGCCTCCTCCTGTGCTGTGCCCGGGGTGGGGGGGAGGGGTGTGGGGGGGGGGGAGGGGCTGATTGTCTCCCACACTCACTGTCACTTCCGGCATCACAGCGTCCCCATGGTAACCGCCCCGGCGCCTGCGCACTGAGTCAGACTGGAACCCGGAAGCGTTAGTGTTGCCCCCGAGTCAGTGACACAGAGAGAGAGGAGAGAGTGAGTGTGGAAGGGAGAGAAAGGGAGATAGAGAGAGTGTGTGTGTGTGAGAGAGAGAGTGAGTGTGACAGACACACCAGAGAGATACAGAGAGAGTGTGTGTGAGAGAGAGAGTGTGGAAGAGTGTGAGGGAGAGAGAGAGTGAGTGTGACAGACACACACAGAGAGAGAGTGGGTGTTTGTCTGTGTGAGTGATGGACAGAGAGAGGGTGAGAGAATGAGATAGAGAGGGAGGGAGGGAGTGGGGGAGTGGGAGTGGAGTCCGGCCTCTGACGGCCCTGTAGTCCGGTCCTGAGCCAGGAGGGGCCGCAGGATCACCGCTGGTCCCAGTCCGGCCCGTCATCGGCCGGGGGTCCTCCCCCTCAGCTCCTGTTGACCCCACACACCGAAGCCCTAAGTGACTGACTAACTCACCACCTGACGGGTCGGGTCGGGTCGGGTCGGGTGGTCCTGGCTGGACAAGCAGCGGGAAAGCTTCCCAGACAACGCCGGCAATGGCCGAGCTATGTGCGGCTTTAGCTGGTTAGTCTCCAGCGGTTAACCCCCTCTTCAACGCACGCTCTGGGCTCCCCCCACCCCCCGCCGACAAGCCTTGGGTCCTGCCAGCCGGGTGCCCGCCGGTGCGGCTGATTTCGGTCACACACACACCGACCGGTCTGGGTCTAAGCTGCTGGTGACGGAATTGCCGCGAAAGAAACGTAAGATGGTAAGTGGAGGCCGGGCTTCTTGTCACCGCTGAAACAACGTCGACCGCCATTCGTCCCATCGTGTCTGTGCAGTGGTTTAAAAGAGCTGCCTCTCCCCCTCCCCCCACCACCACCGCCACCCCACCCCCCCCACTCCACCCGCCGCCCCCACCCCTGCAACTCCTTCCTCTTTAGATATCTATCGAGTTCCTCTTAAATTATAAATAATATCATTTTAAAAATTCGGCCAATCAATCCGCAGCTGGTTGAGGGCCATTGCTGTACGTAATTGGCTGCCGCGTTCCGCCTACAAAATGCACAGTCACTACACTTTACAATATATCGTGTGAAGCGCTTTGAGTCGGCTCTCAATGCCGTGATAAGGCTCTATATCAAATGCAACGATTGTTAGTATAATTTGATCAAACGTGGCTTCACCAGAGCTGTGGGCAAAACTTGTATAATTTCTTCGAGAGGATTATGGAAGATTATGTGTTTGCGTTTCAGAGTTCAAAACAAAAGAGAGGTTTCCGAGGTGAGTAAACTGCATCTGATCCTCATCAATGTTTGAACTTGTTTGTGGACAGACAGTTGCGATAAGGCACTGTATCAACTGCAACGATTATTATTATTATTAATTTAATATTAATAATAAGGAAGTGGAATAAGAGACGAACGTCAATGTCTTGCATTTATCTTGCGCCCTTCACGCAGGATAGTGTCTCAGAGCGTTGCACAGTGAAGAGTTGGGATGTGTGTTGCCCTTCGCTGTGACTGTCTCTTGTTCTTCAGCAGGACTCTGTGTCTGGCTCACAGGCTCCTTTACATGTGCTCTTCTGGCCGAGTGTCTCTGGACAGTGTTTGACTGTAACGGTGGGGTAAGGTGTTAGCTGGGGCAGCCTCTCATGTGTCTCTGTCTGTTTCAGACTCGATTGATGATGTGCTGGGTGACCTTCTCGGTGAAGATGGTACGATTCCATTCAATGCGTATTCACAACCAGCTGGTTATACTAACCACCTTTATACTAACTTCCATATATTAACTACTGTTACACTATCCACAGTTATACTGACCACCGTTACACTGGCTTTTACAAAGTCTGCGTCAGAGCTCACTGCAGCAGTTATACTTCCTCACACAGTCGCCTCAATCTGCTAACTTTGTGTGGGGAGCCGAGCGGGTGCTGATCCTTTTTCCTGTCCCTCGCTTTGTGCTGACAGACGACTCGCCCACGAAGCCTGGTTACACAGCTCCACGAGCCGGCAGCGGCCCCGGGAGGCCGGCCAGGCCACCGCGAACCGGCAAAAGGTAAGTGTGAGAGTTGGTGCCGCTCACAGGCAACCAGCAACCACACTGAGCACAGTGACCTCCAGCACCTTTGCCCTCAGTCCTCACACGCACCCTCTCCTCACTGAGGCCACCGCTCTTGCACCAAATTCCCCCTGTCCATCCCCCAGTGAATATTTTGGGGTCAGCCCTCACAGTCAATTCATTTTACAGTGTATCTTGTGAAGTGCTTTGCGACGTCTCAGCGGCATAATAAGACGCTATATTCAATGCAAAGATTATTATTGTTATGTGAAGGGGTTAATGCTATGATTGTATTCTGAATCAGGTCATTGTTGGATGATGATTTCTTCAGTAATTTGGCACAGGAGGCTGACCAGGACAATGAGGTGAGAATGCCTTTCACTGACACACACGCACACACACACACAGCTCTTTCGTAGAGAAACTTATGCGGGCCCGCACGGGTGCATGTGCGTGCACAAGTGTGGGCGTTTGGTTGTGCATGTACGTGTGCACTGGGATGTGTTAGCCGTGAGGTGGTAGGGAATTCGGCTTCTTTTTATCGGTGGGGGTCGCTGACGGGCAAACCCGTCACGGGAAAGAGGCATTAAAGAAAGCTGTGGTCACAAGCTGACGCTGATGGACAGAGTGGGGATGAATGATTGCTGCCAGGCCAACGCTGACGATGTTTTCCTTGTGTAGGAGTCGGAAGTGTCCGAAGCTGACCCTCAGGCTTTGTTGGACAGTATGAAGGTAAGTGCGGGGAAGCAGTTCCGTGACCTGCAGTGAATAATAAGGAGCAAGTTGTTCTTGTGGTGCGAGGGGAAGAGTGTGTCATCACCTTTCGGAAGTCCCAGAGACTCGTCACGTGTCGGGGAGGAAACGGTGGTGTCGTGGTAACGTTACTGGGCCAGTAACCCGGAGTCCGTGGGCTCGAATCCCCCCAATGGTCAGGGAAGAAAATGGCTACGCACTGTACAGCATGACTGACGCCATCTGGCGTGAAGGGCTATATAAATGCAAGTTGTTGTTCAGGCAACAGGGTGCTCTCTGTGTGCAGGACATCGAGGACATGGACGCCGATCTCTTCAGCAAAGGGAAGAAAGCCAGTCCGTCCCCGAGCCAGACAGCAGTCACAGCATCCTCCAAACCACCATCACCCCAGAGCAGAGCAGCCAAAGGTACAGACAGTCCTGTGCGGGAGTGAGTGTGTCTTGAGGTAGAGGGTTCCCTCAGGTGTGTGTGTGAGTGTGCCCTTGGGGGTGGTGACCCCCAGTGGGGAGTGGGGGGGGGGGTGAGTGTGTACTCGGGGGGTGATGGTGGCCATTGGGTGTGGGGGGAATTTGTTTAGATTTGATACTGTGGGTATTAAATCTATTTTGATCTTCCCCTTTAACGTCAAAAGTCTCTAAACCCTTTGCAAGCGCTGAGTGTAGTGACTGTGCGTTTGTAGTTTCACCCACATTTTGGAGTTGAGGTATAGTTCAACCGTGATCTAATAGAATGGCGGAACAGGCTCGAGGGGCTGAATGGCCTACTCCTGTCCCTTTGTTCCTATACTTATTCTTCATTCGTTTTTCCCCCAAGAGTAACTGAAACGCGGAGGATCTCATTTTGAAGCTATACTTTTCCAAAGATTGCAGTCTCCCAGTGCTATCGCTTCGGCTGCCTGTAAACACCTCACGTAAGTCCCCATCACGCTCTGCGTGGTGGCTTTATGTAGAAGACGTATATGTATATATATTATTGTTATATAAATGCCAATTATTGTTGTTGCTGCAGATGTTCCTGGTCAGGATGAGAAGCCAGTCGCTTCCTCTGGGCGTCCATACAAGAAATTCACCTTCAACGGTGAGTTAGGGCATCCTGATGGACTTCCTGGATCTGTTTATGTGCCTGGCCCCAGCGCAGCCACGCCCCAGCACAGCCACACCCCAGCGCAGCCACACCCCAAGCACAGTCACGCCCCCAGCAAAGCCACCGTTCCCCACGTACTCGGTGATACATGCTCATCGCTGACCCGTGTAACGTTCCGATTCCCATCTCCATCCCAGACATGGATGACCCGCTGGCCGGCATTCTATCCGATGAGGAAAGCGAACCGAATAAGCCGGCGATTCCCGGGAAGCAACGGAGCGTTCGCAGTGCGGAGCTGGATGTGACGAAGAAAGAGGAGAAAGGTAATGGGGAAACGTGTTCCGCTGGGAGCAGGAGTATTTTTTATCTTATTTTCTGCCCGTCCTGTGTGCCAGAGAGCGCTGCCTCCCTGGTGCTCCTGAGCTCTCAGAGGGACCGTTCCTCACGTGTGGACCAGAGAGCGAATGTCGCCAGACTGTTCAACCTTGGAGGGAGAGTCGCGGGCCAACAGCTGAGTCCCCACAGACAGCCATAAGTTGTTAAGGACCAATTAAAGGTGCTGTGTGAGAGACGGACGAGTTGTGTTGGTGGGTGAGCGGTTGATTGACTTATTGTGACTGCGATTGGCTCCGTTTCTCACAGTGTCCTCCAGCCCAGCCTCCGCTCCGCCCACGTCCACCCCTCACAGGAAAGAGGAGCTGACCTTCGATGATGGCGATGACCTCATGGACGCACTCGGGTTCGGCGATGGCCTCAAAGCCAACAAGGAAATGGCGAAGAGAGGCGAGGAGTAAGTGTGCCGAGGGAGGAGCGTCTGTTTAGAGTCTGTGTCAGCTTTTCCCTGCGCAGCCCCACTCCCTGTGACCGAAGGCACGGTTACAGAGGAAGGTCTTGAGATGGACCTTGAAAGAGGTGAGGGACAGGGCGAGGCAGAGGGTCTCCGGGATGGAGTTCCAGAGGGTGGGGGCAGAAAGGCGGAAAGCCTGACTGCAGATGGTGAAGCGGGCAGGGCGGGGGACGTGGAGCAGCCACTGCCTGCCGAGTGGAGGGAGGTTGGTTAAAAAAAAAGGTTGGTCCCAACGTGAGGCTTGAACCCACAACCCTCTTGACACTGAGGCGAGCGTGTTAGTGACTGAGCCAGGCTGACAGCCGAATCCTCCTCTCTTTGTGCTAGAGAGGGACTGCGTCCTGCCCGATCCAAGCTGGATGAATTACTGGGGAGAGGGACAGCTAGCAAGCTCCTGGAGCGTCCCCCGACTGCCGAGCAGAAGGAGTTTAAATTGGATCCAAAATACAAGAAAACACAAGGTGAGGAGTGGCACGAATCCCGATCCCAGACCGGAGATCCCGGCATTCCTCAGCCGTCAGGTCGCCGTGCTCTGCTCTCAACTCAGGGAAGCAGAAATCGGATTCAAGGTGAAAACCTCGTGGAGCCCCTTAGCGTAGTGGTTAGCATGCTCGCCTCGCAAGAGAGAGGAACCCTACTTACCGCAAGTTAATTGGTTGTTAGTCGATTGCCGGATCTCTTTCCGGAGCTAATAATCCCTTTGAAAAAAAATACGGTCACTCACTCTATGACTGTTTGTGGGACGCTGCTGTGCGCAATTGGCTGCCACATTTCGCCCACAAATACGCAGTCACTCCACTTTATGGTATATCCTGTGAAGCGCTTTGAGATGTCTCGAAGAATTGATAAGGAGCTATATCAAATGCAAGGATTATTATTATTATTATTAAACCTCGCAGTACCAAAGGGTCCAATAACGTTTGGGCGGTTGGAGAGGCTCAAGAGTAGAAGCCACGAATCCCAATGCTGTCGGCCGCTGATTCTTTCAGCTGTTCTCTTGAGTGACCAGAGACGGACAGGGACTGGGTTCACTGTCTCAGCTGAAGGATGCCACACTGCACGAGGAAACACTCCCTCAGCATAGGGTCAGCCTCCATTCTGAGCTCCAGTGAGTCTTTGCTCTTGAGTTGTCCTGTTGCAGTTGCTGTTGAGTTGTCGTGTTCAAGAGCTCTGGGACGCTATCCTGCATGAGGAGGATAAACGCAAGTTGTTGTTGTTGTAGGAGTAACTAGTCTCTCTTTTGGCTCTAGAAGAGAAGGAGGAGTTGTTGGACGACTTCACCTTTGGCTCTTACCAGCCCACAGTGGCCACTACCCCAGAGGGCCGGCAATCCCGACGGCAATCGGTCAGGTACGTCAGTATCACACCCCCCCCCACAGGAGAGACTTCAATCGCTGTGCGTGATCAGCTGCCGTGTTTCGCCCACAAACCACACAGTGCGAAGTCCTGAAGCGTAGTGGTTAGCACGCTCGTTTTCGCTAGCGAGAGGACCCGTGCTCGATTTGAAGGTGGTGCGAAACCTTAGGCAAGTTTCCTTACTCCACACGCGTGGCTGTTTACCCGGCAGTAAGTAGGAACCCCGTTGTTACTCGATTGGCGACTGAGGTGCTCTGAGGGGGTGTGAACGGTCTCCGCGTTTCTATATCTTTTGTAGGTTCAGCCCGGTTGACGAGGGAGACTCCTTTCCGGATCAGAAGCTGAAATCATCTGCTCCGTCCCCGCCCACTCCCACACGGCTCCGCAGCAGTAAGAGTGCGGGGGACTGGCTGGGCCTGAAGGACGAGGAGCCCCTCGACCTGGGGCCACAGAGAGGAACTCCCTTAAACAGGGCCGAGTCAGACCCTGCCCTGCCAGCTCCTGCCGCCCCCAGCCAGCCTCCCCACACAGACCGGCCAGTCTCCGCGGCTAAACCCAGCGTTGAGCTCCAACGGGGGTCCACACCGTCCACACCATCTGCACCGGGGGGAAGAGAAGCTGATTGGCTGGCGGGGGCTCTGGCCCGCAAGAAGGCTCAGGCCGGGGATTCATCGCTCGCGGGGCTGGGGGATGGAGCTCGCGTCCAACCATCTTCACGGTAAGGCCTGAACAGAGTGCGGGGAGTTAGACCCAGCTGTGCTGTCAGTAACACTGACACACCCCGCTGTCACCATGTCTCTCTCCCTGACACACGTCTGTTCTTGTTATTGTTCGTGTTGAATATCAGGGCGAGGGCCTCGCTCGGTGTTCGTGGCCGGCCGCCTGCTGAAGCCCCCTCGGAGGCAGCGAGCGAGAGGAGACCCGGGGAAGCCAGAGACACTGAGTAAGTACAGGGAGCCGTTAGCTCGGGCTGTTAGCTGTTAGCTCACCGTCAACAACAGAGCTGTACAAAGATATGTGCAGAAGCGGAGAGAGATTGTGCCGGTCTGTTCCCCTCTGCACTGTATCCTGGTACAGTCTCCCCTTTGGACCATGTGGGCTTGGGTCCACCCATTCCATTCAACAATCTGTCTCTGGGATTTCCACGTGTAGGTGGGAGGCATGGAAATCTCAGCCTGGTCTGGAGGCTCTTGAACAATGGCGATGAGTTTCCAGACATTTCAGACACCCGGCTGACCCTCCTGCCTCCCCCCACCCGAAAAAAAAATCTAATCCTCTGCATTATTTCCCCACCAGCAGCTCCTCGTTTCCCTGGGAACCTCCGCATGGGCAGCCCACGGCTCTGCCTGCGACTGACACCCGGGCGGGTGTGAAGGCCTCAGAGACTCTGAGCCTGCAGAACCAGCTGAGGATCATGGAGGCCGAGCAGCAGATGAGCCTCCAGAGAGCTGAGGCCACCATCGTCGAGCTCCAGAGTCAGGTAATACAGAGGTCGCTGTGCGTGGGTAACTATTCCCGGTCCCGGCTCGTCGTGCTGTCTCTGATTCCCCGCCTGCCCCCCCCCTCAACCCCCTCCACACGCCGTCCCCGTTGGTACATTGTGTTTCACTATAAATCTGACATTGCCCTTCACTTCTCTCTGCACAAAGATTGTATCTTTTGACATTCACTGGTAGGAAACGTCTTTATACTGGTATGAGCTCGCTCTGGGACGCCACCCCAACCCCCACCCCCCACAACCGTGCCCCCCCGCCCACCCCCAACACACACACACACCAACACACCAATCCAGGACCATCCCTCCACTTCAGCTCGCGTCAGACACAAATGGCTCCGGCACTGCTGAGAGCTGGCTTGAGGAGGTTTTAGGCCTCCCGCCTCCCTTTCCCTGATATTCGCGACACGTGTTCTGTTATTCTCTGTGTAAACCTGGCATTGTGAACGTGAATCGCAGTGATTGTGTGCTCGCTTGTGAGGTGCGGAAGCTGGAGCTGGAGCGAGAGCAGCAGGGAGTCCTGATGGAGAGTCTCCAACAGCGACACGAGGAGGACAGCCAGCTGCTCGAGGACGCTCACAGGTGAGGCAGGACCCATGCTCCGCTCAGCGCGCAGGCACGTGTGTGTCCCGACACGCCTGAGACCGCTGGAGTGTGAGGGTACGCGCGATTGTATTGCACGCACGTGTATTCGGGCTGGAAACCCTTCACTCCGAAGTCCAGCGCCCTGGGCCGTCCTCCCAACATGAAAGGCGCTTTATACGTGTGTCATTTATTGTTGTTCGTAAGAGTAATACAAATGAGTGTTTGCAGGAATAATTTTAAAAAATCTTTGGTACAGCGCTCTCCGAGGGAAGGAGTTCTGGACAAGGGCAGGCACTTGATGATGACTGAGATGGCGTGGATCGGTTCAGTGGGAAGAGTATTGCAATGGCGGAGGGGAAGGGTTGGGGTGTCACATATTTCAGGGTCATTGTCTCGCTCGCATGGGTGTCATGTCTGCTCTCACGGTGGTCGTGAGAGCGAGATTGAGTCAGTGACGTTCCCTCTGGCTGTCCCTCAGGAAGCGGCTGAAGGTGCTGGAGGAGCTGTGGCAGGGGCGGGAGGCCAGGCTACAGGAGGAGAACCAGGAGCTGGCCAACCGGCACGTGACCCGACAACACAGCCTGGATCAGGAGAGATCCCAACTGATCGCTCAGCACCAGCGCAGGCTCACAGAGTCTGATCAGGAGAAAGCCAGGGAGATGGAGAGGATCAGGGAGCTCCAGCGGTGAGACACTCAATAAGTAATCCTTACATTTGATACAGACGTCTTTCACGTCGGGAGGACGTCTCACAGTCCTTCACAGGGTCTACTATAAAGTGTAGCAACTGTGTTTTCTTTGTTGGCGAATGTGACAGCCTAGGGCTGTGCTGGAGCGTCAGCCTAGACTGAGCTCAAAGTCCTGACGTGGGGCTTGAACCCATAACCTTTTGACTCAGAGGCAAGAGGGCTACCGAGTTGTCATTTTACGATGAGATACAGGTTGGCCACTTCTACATAGTACAGGCAGACCCGATCCCAGGCATTATCTAACCCACAAGGTGTGAGCAAGGGAAGGGAACCATCTTTTAACGGAGCGAGTTACAGAGCTGGGTTTTGTTCACGAGTTTCATGAGTGTTGACTTTTGAGACCAGGCAGTCGATCGTTGAAATGCGGAGAGACCACGAGGAGCAGCTGGAGCGCGTGAGGCTTCTGAAGGAGCAGGAGATCGACGCGGTGACCAGTGCCACCTCTCACACCAGGTAACTTTCCAACCCCCCCCCACCCACCCACCTTCACCCTCGCAGAGAGGGCAGTAACACCAGGGGGCAGCTGAGAACTGAGTTGTCAATGTGTTAATGATCCTCTGGCCTTCACTAAACACTGGGATCTCATGGGCCCGCGCGGAGCGTTGGGGGAGTTCCATTCCCACCTCTCTCTGCTGCAGGTCTCTCAATGGTGTGATCGAGCAGATGGAAGCCTTCTCCAGGAAGATGAACGACCTCTCCTGCAAAGTGGAGAGCACTCATCACAACACCTCACAGGAGATCGAGTTCAACTCACGGCAGAGAGAAGCACAGCATCGAGGTAACTATACCCTGCACACAAACGGGATATCTCTGTCTGTCACAGACTCCCTGCCTCCCTCCCTCCCTCCCTCCCTCCCTGCCTCCCAGTGTGGTGTGCACTCCTCGCCACCATGTGCACACGACACTCTCTTGAGTTGCAAGAGCAATCCCACACTTGACGGGTTAATCTGTGATGGATTTATCCGGAATCGGGCATTGGAGTTGTGGTCAGCAAAGAGCTGAAGCCAGAGGTTGCCGAGGGTCTGACTGTCTCCCTGCTCTCAGCCCAGCAGGAGCGGCTACAGGCTCAGCAGAGAGACTTGGAGGAGGAGCGAGTGCGTCTGCAGGAGGTCATCACCAAGATGGAGATCAGGCTGAACGAACAGACGCGGCTTCTTGAGAAGGTGAGGACCTGAGCGCAGGACACAGAGCCAGGGCCTGGCTGGCAGCGAGTAGAGAGGCTGGGAGCTAGTACCAGTTACTTAGAACACTCACCTCGAAAGAGAGAGGACCTGTGTTCGATTCCCGGGCCGGGCAAAATGTTGGGCAAGTTTCCTTACTCCACACGCACACACACACGCCTCTATTTACTTAGCAGTAAATAGGGACCCCATTGTTAGTCGATTGGCGGATTGCTCTCCCGGGGGTAATAATCCAGCGGGGTGTCGATTGGCTGAATGGCCGTCTACAGCGCTGTAGATTTCTAGATTTCTAACTCTGCCTGAAAGATAAATGCAAGTAGTTGTTGTTGCTGTCGCCTGTTAGATGAGGCTGGGTTGCTGGCTTTCACTGCTCTTGTGTCCTCTGATCCTCACCAGGAGCGCTGGAGAGCAGTGGCAGAGCAAACCAAGGTGGAGTCTGTGCAGAGATCGCTGGCCGAGGAGAGAAGGATTATGAGCCAGCACTTTGCCATTGAAAGAGAGGAGCTGGAGAGGGCAAAGGTAAGAGGCTAACTGTACAACTCACTGGGAATATAGGGGTGTCAGACACCCGGCTCATTACAGTCATGGGTATCCGTGTACAAATGTATGACTTTCCTTTGAAAGCATTGGCTAGTAAAACGACTCCCTGCTTGTCCAGCTCGGACCATCCGACTTGTCAGGGCTTCAGTTCGCAGGGACTGGCTCCAAGATGGCAATGTTCAGGAAAGGAATGTCAGAATCAAGTCAATCCTCTGACAGTCTCTAGTCCGGTTCCTGAGCCAGGCAGGTCCGCATATTCCAGCCCAGCCTGACTGGGGTATGAATCCCGTTCTTCAATGTCACTGCTCAAAGCCCAGGAACTCCTCACCATCGCCACCTCTCGCTCCGGGGTCGTGTGGGGATGGGAAACAAATGCCAGCAAAACGGCTGGGTCACCCTTGTGGAGGGGATCGAGTGGGGATGTCTCTGGGCTTGACGTTGCCACTCCGGTTGCCCGGCAGAATGCCTTGCTGGAGGAGCAGCAGTCTGTGATGCAGCGCTGTGCGGAGGAGCGGCGCAAGCTGGCCAGCGAGTGGGCAGAGTATCACACGCAGCACAAGCTGAGGCAGGAGCGCGTGGAGCAGGACTCCCGCCGGGCACTACAGCTCAGCGCGCAGCAGGAAGGCGCCATCTTCGGCCTGGCTAAGGTAAGCGAGCAGAGCAGCGGCTGCGCGCGGTGAGATCTGGTGATGGTTCCCGTCCCTGTGTTCGCCGTGATAAACACCATTAATAGGCACCCAACAACTTACATTTACACCTTCACGGTGAATAATGCCTTGGCCGGGGTGGGGGAGAGGGGAGGGCGAGGGGAAACGTGGGCATTTCGAGCACTGACCCAATGCTGTGTACTGTGTCTGGGAGTGTTTGATGCTCTCTGCACTGACCCAACAATACTGCCAATACATTATTCCCCTGTAGGAACAGGCTGAGATGAAGCTAAAAGCCTCTGAAATCAAATCCAAAGAGGAGCAGCTCGCCAGAGAGCGAGAGGCAGTGGAGAGCGAGAGGCGTGAGCTGGAGAAAGAGAAGGAAAGGGTTAATGACATGGCAGTCCGCATCCGGCAGAAAGCTGAAGAGATAGAGGGTATGAGCAAGGTGTGTGCACCTCCTGTTTCTCTGTCTTTCACTCCGATTGTTTCACTAATAATAATAATAATAATCATCCTTGCATTTGATACAGCGCCTCATCACATCATTGAGACGTCTCAAAGCGCTTCACTGGATGTACTGTATAGTGAATTGGCTGTGTGTATTTTGTGAGTGATTGTGTCATATAACCTCTTGTAAGTGTCTGCTGTATTCCTGTCCCACGCAGATTGCCTCTCAGAAGTATGAGGAAGGGGAACGGGCGCTGCTACAGGCTAAACAGGTGGAGGGTGAGCACCAGACCCGACTGCAGGCCATTCAGCAAAAGATGGAGAGACTCCAGCAGCAGGAGGAACAGCTACTACAGGTACTACAGGGTGTGCGGGCAAAGCTGGTGGTCAGGGAGTGGGAGGGGAACAGCTGGTGGGGGAGGTGGGGTATTATTTCACAATCTAACGGTAATGAGCGTGTAACCGCTCAGTACAAAGGCACAGCCCTCTGAGAAGAGGCTGGATGGGGACGAGCGGAGAAGCTGACATTTGTCCTCTCAATGTGTTTCCAGCAGCGACTGAACCTAACCCAGCACCAGCGACGGCCAGGGCCGGCCGGCATCGACACGCGGATTCCCAGCGCCTCCCTGGGGCCAGCGGGCAGTGCTCAGCCACTGGCCAGCCTTCCCTGTAAGTGCCTCACTGTAAGCCGAGTCCATACTGGTGAGCTGTGTGTGATACAGTATTACTGTACCCCACACTTACAGCCTGGTCAGTTACTTTGTGAGACAATGAGCAGGAAGAGCGATCAGTGAGACTATTACGTAGTAATAATAATCCTTGCATCCAATATATTAATCCTGGCGTTTGCTATAGCGCCTTATCACGTCTTCGAGACGACTCAAAGCGCTTCACAGGATACACTGTAAAGTGAATTGTGGGCGAAACGCGGCAGCCAATTGCGCACAGCAGTTTCTCACAAACAGTAACTGGTTCTAAGGCAGGCAAGACAGGCAGAAACCCAGAGCAGGATCTGAACTCTGCTCCTCGTCTCTTCAGATTTTACCCCGGGACTCGGGAACAATCTGTTTGGAATGCCTGGGAATTCTCGAGAAGATGGGAGTCTTCAACCGGTCGTGGGAGCTGGGCCTTCGGAGCTGGAGGCCAAACTCGCTCTTTTCAAGCACACGGCTGCGAAGGTTAGTGAAGGGGGCGCTCCCCTGGGCACTCAGTGTGAATCAGCACAGGGTGAGGAGGGTGCTGGTGAAGGAGCCGGACTGGCACAGCACTGATGCTCTGTACCACACACGCAGCCGGGGTGGTGAAGAGATCACAGTCCAAAGTGGGTTCAGTCCGTTCTGAGCGAGCCAGCCCAGGTCACTGTGGGTCGGCATGGTCTGAGGTGACGCAGCACAGGTCAGGCTGGTGTAGATTCAGTCCAGTGTCAGTCTATAAGTAAGAACAATAATCCTTGTATTTGATATAGCGCCTTATCACATCTTCGAGGCGTCTCAAAGCGCTTCACAGAATATACTGTGAAGTGCAGTGACTGTATATTTTGTGGGCGAAACGTGTGAAATAAATTATTCTTATCTTCCTTTTTTTTCATAGGACCAGGATTTCCTTGAAGATGAACAGTTATTTCTGGCGACATTAAAGCAAGCTCCGTACAATACGCCGTCCCAACTGGCATGAAATCAGACGTGACCAGCACCTTTGTCCTTTCTGACCCTCCGGGAGGACCGCTCAAGTTGCTATAAATTCTTTGCATACAATCAATGCTGTGATAATTGTACAGTCCTTTATTTTGAAAACACTGCAATGTATAAACTGTATTTTTTTTCCATTTATAAACCTTTTTGTAGACAACGAAGCGCAGTATAACGATGCATCTTCCTGATTCCACAAAACATTTCTGTTGCAAGATTTCTCTGTGATTCAGTCGGAATAATCATCCTCGACATAGCGCACGTCACACTGAAGCACCTCCAGAGAAACTTAACCAGCACGGAAGAAATCCGTTCGGCTCCGTCGCGGGTCTGTGAAAGAACAGTCCATTTAAGTCCAATTCACCATTCAGTAAACCTCAGGGGTGTGTTGGAAGCGAAATCAACAATTAAATGGATGCGATTAAAAAATCCGTCTGTAGCCCAAATCGACCCAACAGACGCTCTAAAGACTTTACTAAGATCAACAGAGAGAGGGAGGGGGAGAGGGGGGAAAAAAAAGCCTTTTCAGGTTTAAATTAAAAGGTTTTTTAAAAAAATTCGCTCATAGCCCCAGAATAGCACAAACCCGCCCAAATGGGCGTGAAAGAAGCCCCGATCGGGCGTGAAAAGGCGCGCCCCTACCCCTCCCTCCCCCCGCGGGGGCTGCCGGGATACTGGCGGACTGGCCGAGGACGCGCGGCGGGACAAGATGGCGGCGCTGGTCAGGCTCGGGGCCGCTGTCGGGCGGTCGCAGGTGCGGGAGCCGCTGAGGAGCATCACAGGCTCGGGTAGGGGTCCCAATGGGAGGGCGGGGACCCAGGGCCCAGTGTGTAACCCAGGCCTCCCCCCCCGCCCCCCCCCCGCCCCCCTCCCGGCCTAGAACCCACCTACAATATAAGGCGCTGTAAATGCGGTGTAATATGTTATTGTTAATGATAAATTATGTTAAATACAACAATGGGCTGATGTCGGACTGTGGCTTATGGGCTATAACGGAGTCCTGTGGCTCAGTGGTTAGAGCACTCGCTGTGCAAGTGAGAGACCTGAGTTCAATTCCAGGCAGAGGGCGAAACCTTGGGCAAGTTTCCTTACTCCACACAGAGCCTAATAATAATCCTCCAAAACCAAACAATAATAAATTGGTCATTTTTAATCTACGACTGTTTGTGGGACATTGCTGTGCGCAATTGGCTGTCGCCTTCACCCACAAATATACAGTCAATTCACTTTACAGTATATTCTGTGAAGCGCTTTGGGACGTCCTCCCGACGTGAAAAGCGCTATATCAAATGCAAGGATTATTATTATTATTATAATTCGTCTGCATAGAGCCACGACCCGCGGAGAGTTGGTGACTCAACGCAAAACACACACACAGTCACTCCCACTCTGTGATATATCCTGAGAAGCGCTTTGACACGATGGTGATGATGATGATCCTCACATTTGATACAGCGTCTTTTCACGTCTTCCCGGCGTCTCAAAAGCGCTTCGCAGGATAGACGGCAAAGGGATGAGGTGCCACGTCACATGTGAGGATTATTTAGTGTCAGCCCGGCCCAGGGGTAGCGCTCTGGCTCCGTTGAGTCGGAAGATTGCCCTTCTCCGCTGTAAATTTCTAAAGTCCGGTAACCGGATGCTTTGCAGAGTCTGCCGTTCGACATTTCTCTGTTTCGGCCTCTCTGAGGAACGAGTTCCTCCTCTGGGACCGATGCCCAACGAGGAGATTGACGTGAACGACCTGGACTCGCTGGAGAAGTACCGCAGCTACAAGCGCTATCTGCAGGTGGCGGAGAAAGCGAGGCAGCAGACTGCCTGGTGGAGAACGTATCAGCAGTACGTCCAGGAGCCAAGTGAGTAGGATTCAGCCGGGGGAGGACGTAACTGATAATCCCTTCAAAAATAATAATAATTTATTCACTCATTCCACGAGTGTTTGTGGGACGCCGCTGTGTGCAATTGGCTGCCGCCTTTCGCCCGCAAAATACACGGTCAGTTCAGCTTACAGTATACTCCGTGAAGCGCTTTGAGACGTCTCGAAAACGTGATAAGCCGCCATGTCAAATGCAAGGATTATTATTTGCGAGTGTTTAGAAGCGGAGTGAGCGTTGAAAATGTACTAATCTTTCACTTCCTGGGGTGCAAGTTTGTGTCAAGGTCAGAGAGAATCTCCTGACCTTGATACAGTGAGTGCAAGTGACCCAGCCTAGGGTCAAATGATGAAAAATGATCGTAATTGGCCCCGTAAACTACAGTGTAATTCCGAAGCAAACCCAGAGAGAGTTAGCTGACAGACTCGGCTGGCTGTGGCAGTCACTCAGCTTATACAGTCATTTGCTGCTCTGACAGTCCGCCGCCCATCAATATTTTCCATGTATTTCTCTCTTTTCAGGTACAGAGAAGATTGACATTGGTCTGCCTCATTTCAGAGGGTCACGGAGGAAGGAATGGAAGGAACGGAGAGACATAATCAAGGAGAATCGCAGAAACAGTGACCTTGAGAGCGCGGCAAGGCACAGGACATGTACGTTGATTGGGGTGGGGGGTGGGAGGGGATCTCATCACTAACTGAGGAGAGGCATCAAGCCTGTTGACACAAAACAGGTGCAAGAGGCAGCCCGCAGTGGGGAGGGGAGAGAGAGAGAGAGAGAGAGGAGCCTTCCCTCCATTAATCCACGTGGTAAAATCTTTTGTTCTACAGTGCTGATTTCTCTGGATAAAGTGAAAGCTGAATGGGAGAAAACCTGCGGCCCTTACCACCTAAGGACCCTGAGTGAGCACTACGGAGTTTACAGAGATCTCTTCCGCAGCGCCACCTTCGTCCCACGTGTGATGCTCCGCGTTCAGTACGAACTCAGTGAGGACCTTGTGCCAGTGTATCACGGGAACGTGGTGACTCCCACAGAGGTACGATAGTGCCCGCCCGTCAAGCCAGGGACTCCCAGCCCAGCAATGGCCAGTGCAGTGCCTGTGTGAACAGCCCTTTATACTTCCAACTGCACTAGACAGCAATGGGATGCACGAGGCATCAGCTTGAGTCCAAATCATTGACGTGCAGTGCCCTGGGACTCCCTCCTGACGTGAAGGATGTTACACAGATATAATTTTGTTGTTGTTGTTGTTGTTCCTGTTCAGCTAGATAACCAAATTGGTGGAGTTCAGATCCCCAGACGTCATTCTCAGGCTAGTCTGACCACCTAGATTGGTCATAGAATTCTGGTCGCCATGCATAATGGGGCTTAGCAAGTCCTAGAAACAAGACAAAGGAGAACAGGAAGGATGATTCCCCAGGGTCAAGGAATGAGCTAGGAGCGATCATTAGATGAGTGAGAAAAGTTAGATCTTCTTCCTGCTGTAACTTAGTAAGATAAAAAGGGTTTTGATGGAGACGTATGTCACTGTAGCTCATTTGTTCTGTCTGTGTGGTTCTCAGGCAGCGGCTCCTCCTGAGGTGTCCTTCGAAGCGGAAGCGGGGTCTCTGTGGACTCTTCTCCTGACTAATCCAGGTCTGTACACCCCTGGCTCGGCATCGGGCTCCGCCACTGTTAAGCCGTTCAGTCAGTCCCACTGCCCTGTTGGTTTTGTCATTGTGTTGAACGTCTGATGGTGATTCTCTGTTTCTTTGTTCTGATTACAGACGGCCACCTGAAAGAGGATGAATCTGAGTACGTCCATTGGCTTGTGTAAGTGTGTGGTTTTTCCCTGAGTTTCTTTTCAAACAGACTAACTAACGGTATTCTCTCCAGTTTTCTGACCTCAGCATCACTGTACTGTACTCACTGCACTACACTGCAATTAATTTACCTGACTGCACCGGAGCCTTTCACTACCCGCAGTGGCTGAGTAACTGTGAGCCAGGATGTCACTTGTCTGAATGTTTCCATCTCTGTGTTTCTACAGAGGCAACATTCCTGGGGATTCTGTGCGGGAAGGAGATGAAATCTGCCATTATTTCCCCCCTTTCCCCGCTAAAGGAACCGGATACCATCGATTCATTTTCATCCTATTCAAACAAGATGAACGCATCGACTTCAAGGAAGACTGTAGGCCCTCCCCATGGTAAGAGAGCAGTGCTTGTACCTAAGGTAGGCTTGTGTAGCTGATGGGTGGCTGTAGGGAGCTGTATATGTTTCCTTGATTAGTACGAATAACTAGAGGTGTATGTGTGTGACTAGATGCAGGAGGTGCCTCACCTGTGCCCACCTTATTTACAGTCATAACCTGGAGAGGAGAACCTTTACGACATTTGATTTCTACAAGAAGCACCAGGGTTTGATGACACCTGCTGGACTGGCATTCTTCCAATGTCCCTGGGACGAGTCTGTCACAAACACGTTCCATACACTTCTCGGTAAGCGTCTCTGCGAATACAGGATTGAATTCTAGTTTAAAGACACCGTTAGTTACATCTTCCATGTCTTCCACCTTGTTAATGTCTGTGTGAGGGGGGCGTGTGTTTGTGAATGGAGCCACAGTCCAAGTGGTGGAGCTGAATAAGACTCAGTGAAAGTGTGTGTGACTGTAGATTTGGGAGAGTTGCAGTTGAGGATTGACCGAGCTGAGTACAGTCATGGAAATACTAAAAAGGATGTGGAGATTTGATGGATGGGTGTGTTTTCAGGGACTAAAATCACTGCTTGTGTTTCCTGACAGATATGAAGGAGCCTATCTTTGAGTATGATTTCCCTCCAGTTTACCACCCACCTCAGAGGAAGTACCCACACGCTCAGCCCCTGCGCTACCTGGACAGGTACAGGGACACCCACGAGCCCACCTATGGTATCTACTGATCCCACAACAGCTTCCGCTCCGACCCCGACTCTCATGGCAGAGGCTGAGGCCCGAGGTCAGGTCTGCTCCTTCAGTGACGTTTGATATGACCTTCTCAAAACCTCCTGCAATTGAACAAAAATAAATATTTTTATAATACGTTGGGATTATGGCCTGGAGAGGATGGGAATGTGCCCATGAGATAACTTGCGCTCTGTCTCCTGTGTGTGTTGGTCCTGACTGTGGATTGGGTGACAAAAGAGCACTGAATTTTTCTTTAGGGTTTCAAACCCATCCCTCAATACACTGAGGAATTGTGTGTCAGCCTGGCTCCGCGGAGCACTCTCCCTGCGGAGTCAGAACACTGCGGGTCCGAGCATCGCACCTGGACTTTGACACTCCAGCATCACCAAGTTTTGTAATTTTGTTGTTGTTGTTGTTGTTGTGGCACAGTGCTGGGGAGTGGGGGGCAGGGGTAGTTTTCTCGGAAGTGCCATCCTTTGGATGAGAGATTAACCTGATGTCCCATCTGCCTGTACAGTCGGAGGTTCAAGATGAAATAATAATAATAATAATATATTGCTTGTTACAGCGCCTTATCCCGTCTTTGAGACGTCTCGAAGCGCTTCCCGGGATACGCTGTGAAGTGCATTAATGGCGCTATTGGAATACAGGAAGGAGTTTCTCTCTCGCGCTGTCCGGGCGAACAGATCCCCGCAAAATAAAAGTGGCTGTTTGCCTCGGTGGCTGTTTGTAAACATCGCTGTGTGCACATTGGGTTTCTGGTTCACCTACAAAAACACACAGTCACCAGTGCAGCACCAACACGCCCAATGGGGGCGTGAAACCCGTCCAAACCCGCCCAACGGGCGGCGGGGCGGCGTGAAACAAAATCACCCGATGGGGCGTGTAACCCGCCCAACGGTGGGCGTGTCGCCCGCACAAAACCGCCCAACGGGGGCGTGTCACCCTCACAGACCCGCCCAATGGGGGCGTGTCACCCGCACAAACCCGCCCAACGGGGGGCGTGTCACCCGCACAGACCCGCCCGCCGGGCGCGGCGATGGAGGAGCGGCGATGGAGGAGCGGCTGACGTGCGCCATTTGCCTGGAGCTGTTCCGGGAGCCGGTGACGGTGCCGTGCGGCCACAGCTTCTGCACTCGGTGCATCCACGACGCCTTCGACCGGCAGCGGACCGGCGGCTGCCTGCACTGCCCCACCTGCCGCCGCGCCTTCCCCGCGGGGCCGCTGCCGCTCAGCCGGAACGTCACTCTGCATGAGGTGGTGGAGGGATGGCGGCGGCGCGGCGGGAGGCCGGGCCCGGGCCTGGGCCTGGAGCCGGGCCTGGGCCTGGAGCCGGGCCTGGGCCTGGAGCCGGGCCTGGGCCTGGAGCCGGGCCTGGGCCTGGGCCTGGGCCTGGAGTTGGGCCCGGAGCCGGGCCCCCGCTGCCCCGCGCACGGCGCCGCCCTGGATCTGTACTGCAGGGACCACCGGCTCGGCGTGTGCTCGGCCTGTGCCGCCACCCAGCACCGGGGGCACGACCTGGCCATCCTGGGGGAGGAGAAGACACTGCAGGAGGTACACACTCCCCCCACCACCGTGTACTGACGATGATAATAATTCAGGGTGGCCCAACTGGCGGCCCGCGGGCCGCACCCGGCCCCCCCCCCCCCACCCGCTCTGCCCTCCCTCCATTTCAACTGGCCCCACCCCGCTCCCCGCCACCCCCCCACATAACCCGTCAATGTTTTGTTATGCCTCTGGACGGGGGAGACGCAGGAATGCTGATCGCGGGGCCGGCGGGCGTTTCTGACACAGGGCACCCCCCTCGCTCGCTCGCCCCGCGGGCGGGTTCGTCTCTCGGGCCGGGCGAAGCGGGAGGCAAGTTTCCTTTGCTCCACGTGCCTCTGCGTGTCCAGCAGTGAGTAGTGGCCCCCAGTCGTTGAGACGACTGGCGGATGGCTTTCCAGGAGTAAATAGTGTCTTAACCAAAAAAAAACTACGAAACAATAATAATATTAATAATAATGATAATTTGGTCACTCAATCCACGGCAGTTTGTCGGACGCTCTTTTCAAGTAGCACAAGCAGCGAGGAGGAAGGATTATGGTTGTGATTCTTATTAAGCGGCGCTCGGCTGTTTGGTTTCACTGACACCGTTTCCGTGTCGTGAAAAATAGAAGAAACTCATCGCGAGATACGAGGAGATGGAGCGACAGCTGAAGAGCACCGACAGGACGATCGGAGAGATTAAAGAGCGGGTCGAAGCCGTCAAGGTGAGCCGTTGCGGGTTTGGGAAGGGGAGGCCAGGGGGCGCGGGGAGGGGAGCCAAGCGTCGCGCCCAGCGTTGCTGGCAAATATCTTTCGTCCACACAATACGCAGTCCGTTCACTGTACGGTGTATCCCGTGAAGCGCTTTGAGACGTCTCGGAAGACGTGATGAGGCGCCGTGTCAAATGCAAGGATTATTATTATTATTATAGCAGGGAGGTATGAGCATTGTTGACCGTCGCTGTTCTCTCGGGGTTTACCCCTCAGGGCTCGGCCTCTCAGGCCAAGACGAACTACGTGAACAAGCTGGGGGTGCTGGCTCGGGCGCTGGTGGAGGCTGGGGCAGAGGTGACGGTGCTGATAGAGCGCGAGGAACGGATGGCGCTGAGCCAGGCGGACGGCGTCTTGCAGAAGCTGGAGGAGCGGCAAGCCGGGCTGAGCCGCAGCAAACAGCAGCTCGAAGCCACCCTGAGGTGCAGTGACGCCCTGCAGATCATACAGGTGACCGGGCGATCACGCCGACGCTGGGTCGGTCACACCATTAAAACTATTCAGGTTCAATTACCGTACTGTTGCTTCGGTCCGTCTGACACGTGTGGAAACCCACCGCCGTGCTCCGAAGAGTCCGTGCATCGCACCTACACACGGACATACCCGGGGTTTGTTGGAATGGAATGCGCGCTCTCCCCCTCTCCGGAGGGACCCCTCCTGCTTCCCTAATTCCGGAAAATATTAAGCGCAGGCTGGCAAGAGCCAAGGGCCCGCAATACAGGGAAACTCCCCTCAGTCATCCATGCACCCAAGTCACATTTCAGTGAAGACACGCTGAGACTCAGAAGCCCTACGTGATGTTGTACTGTATCATGTTATGTGTTCTCTGCTGTGTGTGCGTGTGTCTTGATATGCTACCCCCGGCCTCAGTTCTCTCAGGAAACAAACACGTGGAAAGCGATGGGTGAGGAGCCCGTGTGGGTGCCCTGTGACTTCGCCCTGGACACCACGCTAGGAGGCGTGACGAAGGCACTTGAGGCAATTTCCAAACTGATCCACAAAGACCTGCAGGGAGTGTCCCGGCAAATGGAGCGGGCAGAGGAGATTCCTGGTGAGGTTCTGCCAGACCCCCACATGCCGATCCCTGGTGCTCCCGTGTCGTTGAGCTGTCACGTGGGTTTTCATCTCAGTCTCCGGCACAACTAGACACCAACTCCCTACAACTGACCCCAACACAGCCCAGAGCAGAAAGGCCATCACACACCAGAGAGAGAGACTAAACAGAGTTGAGCTGAGAAACTGAGCCCACCCTCTACAATGGTCTCTAGTCCGGTTCCTGAGCCAGACGGGTCCGTGGTATTGCAGGGCACCACTGATGACACCACAGCCCAGCCTGACTCACCCACAGGATCTGGAAGGGCAGACCAGTCACTGGGACAAGGAGTCATCCCACTCCGCTCCTGTTAACCCTGCAAGCAAAGCCCTAATGAATAGGATGGTCCGAGCTGGACAAGCAGCGGTAAAGCTTGCCAGGCAGTGCTCTCAATGGCAAGCTGTGCGGTTTTATAACATTGCTCATCAAAAGTATTTGTTTTACATAAAACTGGGAACAGAATTGTATTATACACAATTGTGACCCTCTTCAATGTAATTCACTTTCTCAGGTCCGGAGGTGGCTGAGAGGTGTGAGGCTGGGCCAAACCGGTCTCTGCCCATCGACCTGCAGATCAGGGGCAAGTTCCTGCACAGTAAGTTGAAATTCTTGTCTTACAAATGCAGCGAGAGCTGAGATCGGGGCATCGCGGCCCAGCCTGAACCCGTTGTCATTGGCAGTGACACATGTACTCAGTGATGCGTGGAGTAAGGACAACTTGCCAAATGTTTTGCCCTGCCCGGCAATCCACCCCATGTCCTCTTGGCTTGCAAGGCGAGTGCTCTAACCACTGAGCTACAGGAGTTCTCCTCCGGGTTAGGGGTGGTGGGGGGATGTCACTGTATAAGTTTAACGTCACTGGCACTAGTTCCCTTCCGTCCTGTAATAATCTGTGGTGTGTCCTGCAGGTTACAGCCAGCTCACCTTTGATGCCAACACTGCTCACCAATCCCTCACTGTGTCCAAGGCCGGGCGGAAGGTCTCGCACAAGGAAAAGCAGCAGTGCCCTGCCCACCCAGAGCGCTTTGAGAGCGAGTGGCAGGTGCTGTGCTCACAGGGCTTTGCTCAGGGCCAGCATTACTGGGAGATGAAGCTCAGCGATCAGTGGGTGTTCGTGGGGGTCGCTTACAAGACGATCGAACGGAAGGAGGAATCCCGGATCGGGAAGAACGGGGCATCCTGGGCCGTGCAGCTGTTTAGCCAGAGTTACTCTGCCTGGCACAACGGCCATGAAACCAAACTGAGCCCGGCCGAGTATGGGCGTGTCGGTGTGTTCCTGGACTGCACTGCAGGCACCGTCTCCTTCTATGGCGTCACCGACACCATGACCCTGATCCACAGGTTTGACTCGGTGTTTGTGGAGCCCCTGTACCCTGCCTTGTGGGTGGGTGACAGAGTCACAGTGTCACTCACCCAGCTGAAGTGAGGCCTGGATAAAGGATTGGGGCATGTGGGCTGGTGGGTGGGTGGGCGGGCGGGCGTGTGTGGGGGTTGGGTATTTGGTGATGGGTTGGAGACGGATGGAGGTATCGAGGGAGAGTTGAGCGTTTGTGGTGAGGAGGTGCGGTTGGTGGGNGGGGGGGCAAGCAAGAGTTTTTTTTTGCAACCATACCTTTGGCAACTGAATGTAAAGTTAATCCAGGGTTAATGGTTTCAGTCTGAACACTTGTGCCTAATTTTACCTGTTGTTATTGCGGCGTTTAACCTCCTTTAACACTTCGCTCTGTGTACACGGGGATTTGAGTCGCATGTGGGGCGGAGGGAGGAGGAGAACAGGGGAAGAGATGGCAGTACATGCAATGCCCCCGGTCTGTCAGCAGGCGACGATGTTGGTCTGTGGTCCGAGCGTCACACTGAGGTGCTCACTGGGGTGGCAAACAGGTCCTCAGAGAAGATAATCGGGTGTTGAAGCCTTTCCCACCCTCATTGCACCCGCGCGACAGCAACCTCGGACTGGACTCATGAAGTTTGATAACATCGTCGCTGGAACAGGACGACCCAGGCCCCCGGTCCCGGGGGGAGCATTAACTGGGGCCTTGCAGACCCTTGGGAGATCAGATCACTAGTTAACGATTCTCGCTGTGTTCAACGGGACTGTCGGTGACACGCGATACGTACCGTCGGCTTCTTTCGGGGTTGGATTTTGCCTTTTATCGGGGAACGAGAGCTCGAGGAAGTCTCCACGTCACCAAGCAGCACGGACCTGCGCAGACCACCGCCGCTGTCCGTCTGACCCCAGCCTGGACGAGTGGGGCCGAACGGACTTTGTTTCTGTGCTCGAACCCCATGTCCTTCTGTCTCAGAGGCGAGAGTGCTGCCGCCTGAGCCAGGCTGAAACGAAATAAAATGGAAAAATGATCTGCAGAGTGTAAACCTTTCTCAGATTTGCTGCATGAGTGTGTTTCCTGGCAGTGAGTGTGACGGTTGCTCTCAGCCTCTGGTGGTTATTATAATTATTATTGTTATTGTGGTCACTGAGCTGCCTCGCTCGCCCGTCTGTGCCGCGCCACCATGTCTGGGCGTGTGTGCCACTCGGTCACTCGCTGTGTGTCACATTGTTCACTGGCTTGTCTGGTCCCAGCGTCGCTCTCACGCTGAGACAGGACGCAGGGACGCCTGGCACTGCCTCTCCAGCAGAGCTCATTCCCGTCTCCGGATTGGGATTGTGCCGAGCAGTCGGGACTCAGGCACCCACTGGCCTCCGTTAACTCTTTGATACCTGGCGGGTCTTTACACTCTGGCAAAGATTTCTCGGTGTGGGGCGGGGATGGGGGGGAGGAGGTGTGGCAGTGTAGAGGGAGGAGCAGCAGTGTGGGGGTGAGGGGGCATGTCCGTGGGGAGGAGGGAGTGTGGGAGGGGATGGTTGGTGCCTCTGATTACCTGGCTCCCTGGTTCCTGATCAAAGAGTGAAAAGGATTCCCGAAGGATACACGTTTTATTTTCCCTGGGAGCGGAATGCCGGGATTCCTGTCCGGGAGAGGGAGAGAGATCCTGTCCAGGTTTGCCAGGGAGCTGAGCTGCAGATTACAGCCCGGGAAAGAGCTACAGGATAGAATTGATAAGCTTCACTTGCTGCAGAACCAGAGGTGAGTTCACAGCAGCTTTACTCTTGATCTCCCCAGCGATTGCCGGTCTGCGCTCCCTGGACTCGGAATCACATCTTCCCTTCGGTGTTTGGCAGTCGCTGCTATTTCCCAATATTCCGACATAATAATATGGGAACTGCAATAATAATCATAATTATAGCAACAATCAGCTGTAACAGGCCAGGTATCATAAAGAATCAAATCGATTGCATATGTGGTGTTATCGATGTGGCTCTCATCCCAAGTGATTACGATGTGAAACAAGGAACTGGAGAAATTCAGGAAATATATTGATCAACAAGAGGGAGAATGTGGATGTATGTGGCAATGTAAAACAAACATAGTTCCTATAATCGTTGGTGAAACGGGCTGTTAAGACTTGACAAACTAATACCTGGTGAACAAAACATCAATCTCCTTCAGAAAGTGGCTATGACTCTGGGAGGGAGAAACTCTCTTCCCTCTTTGAATAGCGCCACAGGATCTTTACCGTCCACCTGAATGGGCAGACGGGACCTCGGTTTAATGTCTAATTTAAAGGGGTAATTGTGTCTCGGGACTCCCGAATATCGGATGGCATCCCGATCCCAAACCTGCAAAGTCTATAATGAGAAGCCGACGGGAAGCAGATGATGATTTGTTCTTCCATCTTTTTCTGGGGGTTTGACAGCCCAGGATTTCAACTGAAGGACAGCACCTCTGACAATGCAACACAGGAGGGTATCGATGTAAATTGTTGTACTGATGGTCTGGCTGCTGATGGCTGCTCTTTGCTGTTCTTACCGCTGGCCTCTCCCCATAGGATCAGTGAGACGCCTCTCTTTTTGGCTGCCAGAGAGAATGATGTGGACGCTGTTAAAACGCTCCTTGAATGTCCCACAGTTGATCTCTTTGAAAAAGGTGAGAGATGCAATTGGCTGCCGCGTTTCGCCCATAAAACGTAACAGTCAATTCACTTTACAGTATATTCTGTGAAGCGCTTTGAGACGTCCGGAAGACATGAGAAGCACTATATCAAATGCAATGAAGGAATATATTGTTGACCTTTGTAATCAGAGTGTGTGAGTGTGACTGTAATGGAGTGTCAGCCTAGCGGACCTAACTTGATAAATGTTTTAAGATTGACCGGCAGCTCAGAAATAACAGGGAAGCATCTCCCCAAACCGTGTCATTCCTGCAACATAACGACCCTGAGTCATTCCTACTCTTGACGGGTTTCACTGCAAATGTCAGAGCCAGGAAGCTAATTGCTAATGTAGGACTGTTTGTACAGGATTGTTAAAACAAGGCAAAAAAACCCCAGCTCAGCCCGATGAGGAGCGATAAGTCATGTCATGGGAAAGTTATCACATTAGAGACAAAGTGGTGAAAGAGAAGATGAGGGAACTTGGAACTGGTCAAACCTGCTCGATCCACCCACCACATCTGTGCTGGTGCTCGCTCCCCCACTGTAGCTGTCTACTCTAATCCCATTCCCTGCTCCCTCCTCATCGATCACAGAGGTTAATCTCTTTCCCTATTAAAGATACTCGTGACTTTTGAAAACTTCTTTTGAACCTCTCAGCTACATCCAAACATTCCCAACTTTTCAGGCCTCTTTCCATAGCGATAAAGTATCTTCCCTGATATGAGCCTCGTCAACTCCGCTGGGTCCTCTCCAGGACTCTCGTGTCGATGTGTCATGGGCTCAAAACCAAACTCAAGACTCCAACTGCAACTTCAAATATTGAAGTCAAGTTCAATATTTAATCTCTAATACCCAGTATTACCTACTCGCTCTTATAGTCAGTCCTCTTGTCTATAAAGCCTGAGATTTGGTGACTACCTGTGGTTTCTCCCCGCCTGGAAATTGAACCTTGCGAGGCGAGCACGTTAACCATTACCCTACAGGGACTCCGTCAGCAAGTCAGCGGTAACCGAGCGGTTGAAAGGAATGTAACAGGTTGCCTGTTCCTCTCTCTGTAGGAGTGATGGGGGAGACGGCCTTACACGTCGCTGTGCTCTACAACAATTGTGAAGTGGCAACGGAACTTCTCGAAGCCGCTCCAGAGCTCATCAACGTGCCGGTCACCTCCCAGATGTATGAAGGTATAGGACTGACTGCCGCGTGATAAAGCGCCACATCAAATGCAAGGACTGTTGTTATTGTCCACAGGCTGTGACCTTGTCGTTTGGTTGTTTATCAGGGGAAACGGCACTTCACATCGCGGTGGCAAATGAGAACGTGAGTTTGGTCAGAGAACTGATCGGGCGAGGAGCAGACGTGGTGACTGCGCGAGCGACTGGGACCTTCTTCAGAAGGAATGCGAAGAAACTCTTTCACTTTGGTAAGAACGGGTGTTGTTGGGTACCGTATGTAGCGTTACCGAGGTCGGTGGCCGGGTGGTGTGTTGGTAAAGGAGGTGTGAGCAACGAAGAATGAACCAGGGACGGGAAAGAAACATCTGGAGCTGGGGACCTTGTGAATGCGCTCAACGGGAACGGGAAAATAGAAACTGTGAGGAAACGTTGTCTTTATTATTGAATTAATGATGAAAATGGTTTGCGCACAATTTGGATGTTATCTGGGATTTATCTTGTGGGAGCTGAGTACCTGCCCCCAGTGACTGGTCGGCCCTTCCAGGGACCTTCCGAAGAGCCAGGCCGGGCTGTGCTGTCATCAGCAGTGAGTGCCCTGGAATATTGTGGACCCGCCGGGCTCAGGAACCGGACTAGAGACCGGCACAGAGGGTGGGCTCGATTCCCATCTTCCATCTCCAGCTGTGTTAACTTGGAATCAGCTCAGCCCCAAAGAGACCGGTTTTCCTCCTTCCAAATAGTAAATCTTTAAGATACTTTATATGGAATTTTCTGATCTAAAATTATAGCAGAAAAGATTTTAGTGACTCCCCATAGACCTCAATGTCACTGCTTCCTTTTGGAGAGAGAGATTTATTTGTTTCTATTTGCAGCTTTTAATTTGTCTGTCTGTCTGTCTCTCTCTCTCCCTCTCTCTCTCTCTCAGGTGAGCACGTGCTGTCCTTCGCCGCGTGTGTTGGCAACGAGGGGATCGTCAGGATCCTGATAGAGAACGGAGCAGATATCAAAGCACAGGATTCCCTGGGTAAGTCATGTGGGTGTCCTGTTCACCGAGGGTAAAGTGTACAGAATTCCTTAAACAAGTTCCTTCTGTGGCACTGGGCACAGGATGTTCTCTGGAGCAGTCTAACTGACGCTGAGTCTCAGACCGTCTGACACTGTGTTGGGTCACTCCTTCTGGCCATCTTGCAGGTAACACTGTTCTCCACCACCTGGTACTCCAGACCCAGACGAAAGTCACGGAGATGTTTGATTTGATTCTTTCCCTCGAACCAAAAGACGGGGCCACAGTGGAAACGATGACAAACCAGGCTGGGCTGACTCCCTTCAAACTGGCAGCCCAGGAGGGCAACGTGCAGGTGGGAATGAAAGCTCCTCACCCTGAGCTGCTCACAGGGTGGGTGTTGTGGCCCCCGCAGCAGCCACACAACACTGTGACCTGAACCTGACAGAGCTCCCACAACAACTCCGTCATTACACAGGACAGGACACAGACCCAGGCTAACTCAGTGCTTCCCACAGGACAGTCGTGCCCACTAGCCAGACCATGTAACCCATCCAACACACAGCTCCCCACACACCCAGAACCACAGCGAATCATAGAACATGTACAGTTCACTCACAGAAGCCACCAACTCTATCACTAACTAATTGACTGACCGACTGACCGTCCGACTAACTAATCTAACCCTCATGTGGTCTATGCAATATCATGAGCTTCTAACCAATATGGTTCACAATCCCATGAAGGGCTTTGAGGAGAGTTCCTGACTCTCTTGGAAGGCAAGATGCATTACTGTAAGCAATGCACCATATCTCACCACAAACACACACATTAACTTCCATGTCAGAGTCCCTGCCCTACTCCCCACATACAATAACCAGTATCTAGACACATAACCAGCAGTGGGGGTTTGAGCTGGAGCAGGGCCTGGCTGGCACTCCGCTGGGCTCGGGGACGGTCAGGCCACTTGAGCTGCTGCTCTTTCCTTGCAGTTGTTTCAGCATTTGTTGAGAAAGAGAGAACGTCGTCTTCAATGGTTTTTCCAATCCGTCTCCACTACCTTCTACGATATCTCCGGCATTGACTCCTGGGACGACAACTGCTCGGTCCTGGACCTGGTTGTGTTCAGTAAAGAGATTGAGGTGAGAGGGGAATGTCGGACAGAGACGCTGACCTGGCAAACATCCAGTGTGAGTTCAGAGTAACAGCGGAGTAAGAGGTGCAAAGGTCCCTGTTCAGGTGGCGCTATTCTAAAAGACAAGGGAGTTTCTCTCTCTGTGTCTGACAATCCCCCGGATAACATTGTTCAATCACTTCATGGCTGTTTACGGGACATTGCCATGTGCACATTGGCCCCCTCCTTTGCCCACAAAATACACAGTCACTACACCTAACAGTCCTGTGATGTGCTTTGAGACATTCTCGACAAACTGTTGAGACACAGTATCAAATGAAAGGATTGTTATTACATTATCATTGTTATTATTTGTATCAGTATTGCCAATATTCATTTTTATTATTATAATTATTATTATCATAATGATTATTATTATTATATCTGCTGGGTCTCAGGCTCTGAAAATCCTGGACCTTCACCCGATCAAGGAGTTGGTTAGTTTCAAGTGGAACAGGTACGGGAAGTATTACTTCCGCTGTCTGAGTGTCTTGTACCTGCTCTACATCATCATCTTCACCCTCTGCTGCACCTTCCGGCCCCTCATCCCACGGCCAGAGGTGGTCACCGATCCCGAAGACACACAGCTATTGGTGGAGGCTCCTTTGAAGGTCAGCACCAGAATAGCCATCAGCGGCCAACACCAGACAGTACAATGCAATGCAACATGATACATCTTACACCCGTCCAGAGCCTTTCACTTCAGGAGGACAAGCACCCAGACCGGGGGTGGGAGCCGAATGGAGGTGGGGTTGGGGGAGGGGAAAGATAACGGAAAGCGCGAGGTTAAAGATCCCGCGGCGCTATTCGAAAAGAGGAAGGGGTTTCTCTCTCCCGGTGTCCTGGCTGACAGTCACCCCGATTAAATTGGTCACTTACTCCGTGGCTCTTTGTAAGTAGCTAGCTGCTGCGTTGCGCTCACAAAATACACAGTCACTACACTTTACAGTATGTCCTGTGAGGCGCTTTGAGACATCTTAAGGACATGATAAGGCACTATACCAAGTGCAAGGATTATTATTATTATCATCATTATCATTACCGCCAACAACCCTGTGCCTGTGACTATGTTCCAGCTCTGCTACGTCTCAACCAAAGACCAGGTCCGCTTGGTGGGAGAGCTCATCAGCGTTTTTGGAGCCATTGCCATCCTCTTCATAGAGGTGAGGACCTGGCTCTGGTTACACTGCCGCGCGCGCGCGCGTGTGTGTGTGTGCGTGTGTGTGTGTGTACCTGCCAGGTCAGCGGGTGCCTGACACACGGAGATTCCTCGCTAGAACACTAAAGAGTCTCCAAACCCAGACTGGAGAGTCGGCTGCTAAATGGCTGCCAGGCACGTGGCGGTTGAGTGATGTCTAAGGGGCTGGGATGCTCCTCCTAACGGGACCGAAGAGACCTGTGGGCCACTCACCGATTACCAATACCAGAGCATCGAGGAGCATTACTCATTCAGGTCGATCGGCTGCTGCATTTTGCCCACAATCGTACAGTCAATCCACTTTTCAGCATTTTCTGTGAAGAGTGATGAGGCGCTATATCAAATGCGAGGATTGTTGTTATTATTATGTTTTGTTCAGCATTTGAGCTTTGCTCTCTCTCTGTGTTGAGCCGTGTATTGTTTTCCTGCCTAGATTTCTGACATGGTACGGTATGGAGTGTCCGGTTACTTTGGGAAAACTGTCTACGGAGGACCCTTCCACGCTATAAAGTGAGTAATATTCGAGGTATCCCTTGCGTTTCGCCCACAAAATACAGTCAATTCACTTTACAGTGCATTCAGTGAAGCGCTTTGAGACATCTCGGAGACGTGATGAGGCGCTGTGTCAAATGCAAGGATTATTATTATTATTATATACATAAAAGTAAGATTTTATTTCTTGTACGTGGGTTTTCATTTCATTTTTCAAATAAAATTGGCCGCTCACTTCTTGGCTGTTTGTGGGACGCTGCTGTGTGCAAATTATCTGGCGCAGTGTGCCCACAGCTCTCTATCTCTGCGAAGTGCTTTGAGAGGTTCGAGTGCTGTATCAGTGGCGGGAATTCTTCGAGAGTATTTGTTTGGCGTCAGGCTCCGCTGCTGTTAAGCGCTCGGCGACACTGCCTCGCGCGAAGGGAGCTATACAAGTTGTTGTTGTTATTGGCGGCGACGGTTCAGTCACTGGTTGACGAGTTCCCCTCCTGCTTTACCGTGTCCCTGATCTGAACTCCACCGGGGACAGTATTTGCTATGCGTGTCTGGTGCTGTTGATCCTCGTGCTCAGGCTGAGCAGTGCGGGGTCCGAGGGGATCTTCATGTCCCTGGCTATGGTCCTGGCCTGGTGCAACTTCATCCACTTTGCCCGCGGATTCCAGACTCTCGGCACCTTCTCCATCCTCATCCACAAGGTGAGCCATCCCAGTCCGTGCCAACTGCACTGTTACACTGCAGCCTTCCAGCCGCACACAATCCCATCAGACAACCAGGGGCATGGACAGCACAGCACGAGGCCATTCAGCCCTTCGCGTCTATGCCGGCTCTCCCTCACCGATCTCCGTCCGCTCTCTCCCCCCACTGACATGTTTTATATTTCTCCCTTTCTGATATTTGTCCAATTCCCTTCTTTAAAGCCATCATCGATTCTGCCTCTACGCTGTCCGTCCACACGGGTTAGAGACAGAGTAAAGCTCCCTCTACGCTGTTAGTTCCCCTCCACTTTCGGCCACTGCACCCGCTCCCCCCCACTCCCCCTCCCCCCGCACATTGTTGGCTGCAGTTGGTCTAATGCTGACATTGGCTCTTGTTCCTCTTTCCTCAGATTGTTCTGGAGAATTTGATGCCGTATCTCTTCCTGATGTTAATAATCATTGTGGGATTCACAACAGGTGCCCATTGTTAATCCCTCCGTTCACTCCCCCCCCCCCGTCCCCCCGGCCCCAATCCTTCAGTGTGTGCCTGAGACGTCGGTGTGTGCGTGATGTAGGTAAGCAGGATGTGTCCCTCCAGAGAGAGAGAGAGAGAGCGCATTCCATTCCAACAATCTATCTCTGGGATTTCCGTGTGTGTGTGTGTGGGGGTGGGGGGTTTGGAGACTCTTAAGCAACGGTGATGGTTTTCCCCGAGTGCCAGACATCCGGCCGACCAAATAAATAAATTGTAAAGGGCTGCGTCTGCGTCCTGGTTCCAGGCCTGTACGTGATATTCCAAGAGCTTGACCCCAAAAAGTGGGTGTATTTCGACGGCTTCAAGAACGAGATGTTCCTGATGTTCATGCTGTTCTTCGGGTTGCTGGACATCCCGCTCAACTACGAGGTCTACACACCCTACATGATCAAGGTGCTGTACGTGGCCTACATCATGATGACCTTCCAAATGATGGCCATTCTCCTCATCAACCTGATCGCGGGGACCCTACGCCGAGTGGTCCCGAACCGCAACAGAATCTACCGGGCGCAGGTACCTGCCGCTCGTTCTGTCTCCTCAAATCCTGGCCTTTAAATCCCTTCACGGTCTTGCCCCTCCCTATCTATGTGACCTCCTAAAACCCTACCAACCTGTCCCCTCCGTCTGCTCGACCAGCACCGGCCTGCTCAGCATCCCCCACCCTGCCCGCTCCACCTTGGTGGGCCCCACCCTCTGGAACTCCCCTGATCTGGCTTCTTTTCCTCACAGGTCATCGCGTCAACACTTCACCTGGAGCGGAGGCTGCCCCGGCTGCTGTGGCCTCGAGCTGGGACCTGGGGGGAGAAGGTCGGACTGGACAACAGTTGGTATATTTGGTGAGATGTGTGAGTGGACGTTAAAGGTGCCGTGGCACTGCCCACAAAGAGAAGGGAGTTTCTCTGTCCCCGTGTCCTGGCCGACAATCAACCTTCACCTTATCAAGCGCTTTTATTGTCTAATCTAACCTGCATCAGGTCCCCTCTCAAGCATTACGTCCAGAGGATGTGATCAGGTGCCTCACCTCCAGAGAGCAAAGCTCTATGAAGGACAACGGACGGCTAATAAAAATCTTATATCGGACACGAGGAAAGGAATCTTATCCGTGTCTTATTCTTGCGTTGCAGGGTGGAGGACAGGAATGACAAACCTGCCCCGAGCAACTCCAGGGACTTGACGACAGGAGAGAGCAGAGCGGCCGGAGACTGGACCAGGACAGGGCGGGCGGTCCAGCCACAGGCCGACGGCAGGAAACGCGGCCTGAGCCCGGGCACCAGGCCGCACGGCCCGAGGCACAGGCCCACCAACCACAAATCACCAGGTCACCATGTGCACTGAGTGGCAGCAGGACATGCGTCAACTCCCACCCGCCTTCCTCCTGTAGTTCTCTGCCAGGTCTGTGTCTATCTGTCTGTGCTATCAGGCTATATGCTATATGCGCTGCGTATCATGGTGTATAAGGTATATATGAAAGTGTCTATGAAGCTCTTTGGGAAGGTTTAGACCAGCGTGTGTATGAATGCGGAGACCAGTGGTGTGTGTATCTGTCTCGAGTTAGTGACCGTAGTTCATTGCCGAGCTAGTTTGGTTGAAGGCTCCATCACTTTTGACATTGCAGATTATTTCCAATGAATGCGACTAGATTTGCCCGAATTTCCTTCGCTTTAATCTTTAAATCGTCTCTAATCACGGGATCTGGGTGGTTTGTGGTCGTATAACTAACCTGAGTGGGCTGGAGCTGTGGATGTTATGAAGAGAGGGAAGCTGTACAGAGAGACTTGGCGCAGCACCGTAATTGCTCAGTAATTTAATGTGTCTCTGGTAATCACCTGGTACTTGTTGTTCATAATGAGCATCGCGGGGAATTGATGGGGAAAGAAATCCTGCTGCACGCACGGCTCCACGGCTAACTTTTAAATGTAACGTTTCCGGTGAACATAAAATACAATAAACCTTTAATCAGATCAGCGTCTGTGTGCAGTCGTCAGAGAGTGGTTTGGACAAGTTAACTAATCCTTGCATTTGATATAGCGCTTTTCACATCGGGAGGACGTCCCAAAGCGCTTAAAGTTGACAAAGCTGTCAAAAAAGCAGATAAAATCTTTTGGCTTTATAAATCGAGGTGTGGGGTACCAAAGGACATTTGTTGTTGTTGTTGCCCAGCCGCCGTGCCCCGAAACTTTGGAATTTCCTCCCTCAACCCCTTCGTCTCGCCCCCTCCTTCCCCACCTTTAGGTCGCGCCTGACAATCTTCCTCTTCGACAGCCCCTACGGTCACCTTCCCCTCCCCTTGGCTTGGTCTCGGGCTCCACCGTTGTTAAGCGCTCTGAGACGCCGCCCGGCGTGAAGGGCGCTATACAAATGCAAGTTGTTATTGTTGTTGTCTCAGCGACGTGATAAGGTACAAGATCAAATGCAAGAGACACACCTGAGTACACACAGCCACTGCTTTCACACACACAGAGAAGGGTGTGTCTCAGAGCAGTGCTGAGAGTCTCACAGGCACTGGGAGCCGCGCTGATAAGATCTGGTCTCGCCAGGTACAGCCTGTGCCACTCATTACCAGAGAGAGAGAGAGATCACAGCTGATTCCTCGCTTGAACGCTCAGCGATTTGCTAAACATCAGCCGAACTTGGAGCCCGAGAGGTCCCATTGGAAACATTGTGATTGGCATCTCAGGTCACAGACGTCCCCAGTCTCCCCTTCCTCCCCTTGAGACGTCTCGAAGACCTGATAAGGCGTTTTATCAAATGCAAGGATGATTATTACAGAAAGCGTCTCAAAGCGCTTCATAGGGAATACTGTGAAGTGAAGTGGAGTGACTATGTATTTTCCAGGCAAACATGGCAGCCAATTGCACACAGCAATGTCCCACAAACAGCCATGGAGTGAGTGAATCAATTTTTATTTATTTTGGGAAGATTGTCAGCCGGGACACGGGAGAGAGAGAGAAAGAGAAACTGCCTTGCGCTCAGCCTTGATCTTGTTCGGACGTTTGTCTTCCTGCGACCTTCCCTCAGTCTCTCCGCTCCCCACCCCCGACCCGACCCTGTTTCAGGCCCTCACCGGCAGCATTCGGTGTCCTTCCCGTCGCCCACCCTGTGGAGACACAGACACACAGACGGCAGTGAGCGGGGCTCAGTTTGCAGGACATCACACCTCCCCTTCCTCCCCACGCTGTCGGAATCGCTGAGCCGATTGTTTTCAATCTGGGCTTTGCTCACACTGACATCAAGGCCCGTTCCCATCACCCTGTTCACACTGAAACTCCCGGCAAACTGATGGGGAGAAATTCCCCTTATCTGGATTTAAATCCGTGTGCAATCCTCGTGCGCAGCGTGAACAATCCTGGTGTCCACTCTTGGGGGAGGTGGACAGGTAACTCACCGGAGGAACCAGCTGTCTCCCAGGCCATATGGTGTCCCACAGATTCCCAGTCGCGGCCAGAGGCATCTGGGGAGTCGCCGTTCCAGCAGCAATGTGGTGGCCGCCACCTGGATATCGGGAAAGATTTCAGGAAAACAGGAACAATAATAATCCTGCCATTTGATACAGCGCCACATCAAGTCTTCGAGACATCTCAAAGCGCTTCACGGAATATACTGTAAAGTAAATTGACTGTATTTTGTGGGTGAAACACGGCAGCCACTTATGCACCGCGGCGTCCCCATAAACAGTTTCTTTTTTGGGATTATTATCCCTGGAAAGCGATCTGCCAATCGACTAACAACCGGGTTCCTACTTACTGCCGGGTAAACAGAGGTGTGTGGAGTAAGGAAAGTTGCGTAAGGTTTCTCCACCACCCCCACCCCTGCCCAGGTCCTCTGGCTTGCCAGGCGAGCGCGCTAACCACTGCGCCAGGGGATGTACTTGTTTCCGTACCTGGCCTCTCCATATCTCGTCCCGCTCCCTGATCAACCTGCGGATGAGCTCGGACATGACGTGGATGATGAGGAAGACCATGAGGGCGAAGGCGAGGAGTGTGTAGGCGGTGTACAGCAGCTGTGCCATGTCCGGCTTTTGCATTTTCCCATTGAGCGGCATGTTGACCAGCCCGAAGAACAGCATGAAGATGTTGAAGAGGGTGGTGCTGAAGTCACTGAAGCGTTCCCACTTGTCGGGGTCCTCTTGGAAAGACAGGTAGATACCTGGGACAAGGACATGTCCTGTCATTCCCAGCACAGACCCAGGAGATGGAGAGAGATGAGAGGGAAGGAGAGGACAGAGAGAGAGAGAGAGAGAGACAGAAATGGCAGAGAGAGGGAAAAAGAGAATCAAAGAGAGAGAGAGAGAGCGTGTCAGAGAAAGGGCTGGGCTGTCCTTACCACATGTGAATGCAAACAGCACAACGAACATGAGCAGCAGGTAGGGCAGAATAATCTGAAATATAATCTGTGGAGAGAGAGAGAGCGAGAGAGAGAGCAGGTCACCAGAGGGTGGTGTGGGTGATACACAGTGTGCGACCTCCGCTCAGGCAACCAGTGAACCTGTCCCGAGTCACAGACACAATCTCATCAGCAGAAATTACATCCCCACCTAACTCCCCACACCCTCGCTCCCCCTCCCACGCCCTCACTCCCCCACCCCCTAACTCGCCCAACCGCACTCCCACCCGCTCCTTCCCCCACCCACTGCCCTCTCGCTCCCCCTCCCCCCATCCCCACTCCCTCACTTGCCCCCACTTTTGCTCTTCCCCCCCCCACCCCACCCGCATCGCCCCACTTCCCGGCTTGGACACGGCACGATCCTGGTGTTCCTGGCTGGGCTGCTCACCTTCTGGATCATGACGCTGAAGGGTCCGAGCAGCTGGAAGCCGCGGGCGAAATACATGAGGTTACACCAGGCCAACACCACAGCCAGCGACATGGGCTCCGGTTGCCCCACCACCCCAGCCAACCTCAATAACACAACCAGCAGCACCAGCACTGCCATAGACACACTGCCCGGGGGAAGAGAGCGGGGAGGGGCGTGGGGAGAGGGAGGGGAGGAATGGGTGGGAAAATATAGCAAGTGTTGTGGGGGAGAGAGAAAAACAATGCGGGAGAGTGGGTCAGAAAGAGATTGATAGGCGTAAGGCAAATGCACACACAAAAAGCAACACGCGAACAAGACGCTGAATGAGAGAAACTGTTGGTTAATTGTGCGTCGCCGCAGAAAGCTGTGACTTGCAGAGTGTGGGATGTGGGATCAGGGTCCCGGCGTGAGATTCCACCACCATGTGGGACAACACCGGTGGAAACTGTGTTTTGACAGCCGGAATTCTCACGCTATTTGTTCACCGCGGGGTGTGTGAGCAGGAGAGCTGACAGAGCAGCGAGGTCACACTCGCGGGCTGGCGGGGCTCACAGCACTGCTCCATGTAAACAGCGCAGGTGAGAGAGCCCTTCCCTGACCATTCCCACACTGGCTATTACTGCTATCGTCAGAACAGAATTGGTGCAAAGAAAAGAAACTCACTTGATGACGTGGAAAGGCCCCCCCAGCACTGACTTGCCAAAGTATTTCTTCGGTCCGTATCGCAATATGTCGTGCGTCTAGGAGGACGAAGCAATGATGAGTCTACCCACCGTGGGCGGCTGAGCTTTCAGCCGCTACGCCCCAGAGCTCTGGAACACTCTTCCCCTTTCCCTCCTTCTTGCCCCTTCCCTTCCCGTCCTCAGGTCACGCCTGAACGGTTTCCTCTTTGACTGACCGTGCCTGCGGTCACCTCCTCTGCCCGGCTCGTGCTCCGCCATTGGCAAGCTCTCTGAGACGCTACCCTACGTGAGGGGCGCTGTGCAAATTGTTGTTGTTGTTGGGCTGTTGTCATGCTGGTCAGGGGGTGGGGTGGGGGGGGGGGGGCGCGGCACAGGGGTGGGATTTGAGGTGAGAATTAAAGACAAAATGAGAGGGGGAGAGAGCCGGAGGGAGTTCCAGACCTTTGACTGTTGCTTACCTCTATCACAAGGATGGCGATGGCCCCAAACAGGCTGATGAGCTCACCCACCAGACGCACATAGTCTCCAGGGGTCTGGTAGCTTTCCTGCCAGAGAGAGGGGGTGTGGTGGTTAACGGCCGGGACAAACGGACCTTATTTCGGACTGCGTTTTAATGAGTTACAGAGCGAAGCCCAAGTCCTAGATACACAAGGCAAATGACAATTCTAATGCCCTCTGTCGACTCTATGTGTTCTATTATGTATTCTCTGTATCTGCCGGAGGATTGTAGCACATGGAGTTATTCACAAGTGTGTCTCCCCCCTCCCCCTGGAGGCCGAGTGAGTGGAGGGAAGAGGAGGGGAATTGAGAAGAGGAGAGGCGGTGTGTACAGACCCGCAGTGGCTTCTCCACGTAAATGGTGGTGTCTCTATCATTGGTGGCGTTGTCGGGCCGTAGCTGGAGGGGGCGGAAGACACAGCAGCAGGTGAAGATGATGATGTAAGCGAGGTAGGTGCAGGACAACAGCCGGAAGTAACACTTGCCGAATTTGTCCCACTTCAAACTGATCAGCTGCTGCACGGGAGCCACCTGGAGCAGCTTCAGAGCCTGAACCGGGACACGAGGGAGATCGATCGATAATAATAATCATAATAAGAGATTTATCAATAACAACAGCGGCATTTATATAGCGCTCCTCACGCAGGGCAAGGTCCCAGGGCGCTTTACCATGTTGTTGAAGCGAGAATGCGGAGGGGGAGAATGTGGAGTAGGAACAAACGATTTCCTACTTACTGCGCGGTAAACAGGCGTGTGTGTGCGTGTGCGTGTGTGTGCGGGTAGTAAGGAAACTTGCCCAACCTTTGGCCTTGGCTGGGAATCGAACCCGGCTCCTCTCGCTGGCCAGGCGAGGGCTCTAAACCACTGAGCTCCAGGACTCCACGTGCTCGACTGCGTAACAATAGCCCACTCCACTCTCCGGTGGGCTTTTACCTGGGTTTTATGGCTGGAGATCACCAGGTCGAGCACAGAGCAGTCGCCGTCCCAGGAGTCAATCTCGGAGAGGTTGTAGTATGTGGAGGTCCGATGCCTGACAAAGGGCTCCATACCACACGTTTGCTTCTTCACCAGGTGCTCAAACATCTGACACACAGCAAGCAATGGGAACACTGAACACAACAGGACTGAGGGGAACATTAATCACAACAATAATAATAATAATAATTGCAATGGATTCAGTGGCTGTGATTTCACAACGTTACCAAGGGCTTCATTGGGAATTCTCAAGTGTAGTGACTGTACACTGTGGGTGTTTCGCCCACAAAATACAGTCACTACGCCGTGTATCCTGTGAAGTGCTCTGAGATGCCCAGAAGACGTGATCAGGCGCCGTATCAAACGCAGCGATTGGCACGTGGGACAGTCATTGGTAACCGTCCACGCCCCTGACCCATTGCCCAGCCACGGACTGTCCGACCTGCAAGTTGCCCTCGGCGGCTGCCAGCTTGAGGGGGCTCAGCCCGTCCCTGTTCAGGATGGTGTCGGGACGGACCTCGTTCTGTGGCCACTCAGAGGACAGGAGGACATCGTATATCTGACAGGCCACCGGCAACTGTGTCTGCTGCAGCACCAGCACGTGGAGAACAGTGTTCCCTGAGAGAGAGGGAGGATCAGTAGTGAGAAGACGCCCACACACGCTCGCTTCCCCTCCTTGTCCCCGTGTCCCTCCTCCTCCTCCTCCTCTCTATTCCACACTCACCCTCGTTGAACAATAACATTCCTTGCATTCGTACACCACAGCCTTAGCACATCGTTCAGCTGTCTCGAAGCCCCTCACAGGACTTTTACGGTCGAGCGTAGTGACTGTGCATTTTGCAGGCGAGCGCGGCGGCCAATTTGCGCCCGGCCGTGTCCCACAAGCAGCCGTGGAGCGAGCGAGCGAGCGACCAATTTTATCCGGAGGATTCTTGGCGCTAAAGATCCCGCGGCGCTATTAGAGAAAAGAAGGGAATTTCTCTCTCTCTCTCTCTCTCTCTCTCTCTCCCCTGGTGTCCTGGCCAACAACCCCCCAGGGTAAAACCGGTTCCACACACTCCCCCCCCGCTGTTTGTGGGGACGCTGCTAATAATTATTAATATATTATTATTATTGATCATTAGTGGAGACAACCCTCGCTGGTTTACCCTTTGCCAATCACGAGCCGCGAGGCAAACAGCCGTGAGCGGGCTACCTACCCAGGGAATCCTGCGCTTTGATATCTGCTCCGTTCTCGATCAGGATCCTGACGATCTCCTCGTTGCCAACACACGCGGCGAAGGACAGCACGTGCTCACCTGAGACACAGCCACCGGGCATCACGAGGCGTAAGTAGAGACAGAAACAGCCTCTCTCTTGCCTCTCTCTGTGACTCTCTGTATCCTTCACCCCACCTCACCCCACCCCACCCTCACCCCCCCCACCTCACCCCACCCACCTCACCCCACCTCACCCACTCCACCCCCCCACCTCACCCCACCCCACCTCACCCACCTCACCCCACCCCACCTCACCCCACCCCACCCCACCTCACCCCACCTCACCCCACTCACCCCACCCCCCCCACCTCACCCCACCCCACCTCACCTCACCTCACCCCACCCCACCCACCTCACTCCACCCCACCCACCTCACCCCACCCCACCCCCCCACCTCACCCCTCTCACCCCACCCCACCCCCCCACCCCACCCCACCCACCCCACCCACCTCACCCCATCCCCACCTCACCTCACCCCACCCCACCCCACCCACCTCACCCCACCCCATCCACCGCCACTGTCCACTCCTCCGCTCAGGTAACCCTGGCCGCTGCGCATCCCCCCCCTCGCCTTCCCCCCTCGTCACCATTGGCGACCGAACCTTCAGTCATGGTGCCCCTAATCCTGCGACTTTCTCCCCCTCCGCCTCACCCCCTCCCTCTCTGCCCCTCCGCCTGAAAACACCTCCTTGCGTTACGTCGGAGCACCAGTCAGTCTGGACCGTGAGCTCAAAGTCCCGATGCGGGGGCTGGAACCCACAGACTTGTGACTCAACATGGCGAGAGTGCCACTGGACTGAGCCGGGTTGACGTGCGTAGGAGACGGGATAACAGCCACAGAAATAACTAACGGGCGGGGGGGGGCAACAACAACAACAACAACAGCTTGAGCGAGGTCTCGGAGCCCCTCGTTAGTGCAGAAACACAGATCGAGCTGAAACACGTTCTGATTCAGAGTTCAAATGCTTCAAGGACTGCGGCAGCGAGAGTCAGGCTATCACTCGGTGTCTGTACAGGACCTTGGACGCGAGGAGAGGACAGAACAGATGGGAGATGATCTACAGATAAGGGCAGCCTGTATAAAGGCCAAAGGATTAATGATGCGGGGTTTCAATCACCGCTGCTCGGAGGCTGGGAAAAGAACATTGAGGAGAAACTAATGAGGCGTGTAGATATCTGGAGGATTGTCTTCATAGGGCACCACTGTCAAACAACCGAGACAGACTGACATCAGTGATCAGTAACCAGTCAGATACGGAACACAGTGTAACCAGCACAGAAGCTGATCTCGGGATCAGATTGCACCGTTCACTGAAGTTCTCAAACTTGTCCTTTGGTGCATTTACAGATGACTACCGACAGATAATTGCCCTCAAAGTGCTCCCCCTCTCCAAGCGCTCCGCACGGTTTTTACTGTAAAGCCGAGCGGACGTGAATTTTGTAAAGTGGGATTTAGAGACGGATAGAGATGGGGTGTGAGACCGAGGAGAGAGTTCCGATGGGTGGGTGGGGAGGGGGAGGGGGGGGCATCGATACTGAAAGCCATGTCATTAAATACATCAACAGTGACTTTACCAAACCAGCCACTGTTTGAGCTTAGATAACATTCCACCAGCTGCCACCCCTCGTCCTCCACCCCAACTGGGAAGCTGAGCGCTGACACCCCGCCATCCCCCCCCCACCCCCCACCTCCCCCCCCCACACTGGCATCATTGTGTTGATTTTCCCAAACTCTCGTCTTGTTACCGTAGTAAAGGATCCCGGTGCCACCCAGCCTGAAGAAGGTTCCGGTGGCTCGCGGTGTCACCACGTCAGCTCCTCGTCTGATCAGCTCTCTCACCAGACCCACGTTGCCGTTCGCCACCGCGATGTGCAGCGATGTTTCTCCTGTTGAACCAAACGGCAACTTCTGTTCTCCGTCCAACCCCAGAGCCTCAGGCTCTCTCCCTCCTCAATGCCATAATCACGACACCAATTGTACAATAATAATAATAATAATAATCCTGGCATTTGACTCGGCGCCTCATCACGTCATCCGAGACGCCTCAAAGCGCTTCACAGGATACACTGTAAAGTTTAGTGAGTGTATTTATATATATTTATTTATCTTGGCTGTTGTTCTATCATTGCCTCTTTCAGTGTTTCAGTACTGCTGCTCTTGCGATATTTATATATACAATTACAGAGCCCGGTGGGGGTGGTGGGGGTGATGGGGGGTGTGTGGGGGGGGTGGGCGAGTGGGTAAGTAGCAGCAATGAAACCACTGTTTATTACAGAGTGAGTGAGTGAGCCGAATTGCATTAAGTAAAGTGGAATCAGTCTGAGACGCCTTTGTTGTATCTTTAATATATCCTACATCCACCTCCTGGCAAACACATTGATTAAGGGAAAATCTCGGTCTTTTTGTTCTTGAGTAATGTCTCTCTGTCCCTCTGGAATAGAGGAAGACTGAAGACTAAATGTGGGTTGAGGACTGTAGTGCTGCAAGTAAGTGTGTCCCTCTATTGATTGCTTTGATCGGAGCCTGTTGGCAGATCACTGACAAGGAGGACGAGGGTAAAGGCCAGGGTGTACCTTGGTAAAGCTCGCCAGTGATCGGTAGATTGATGAGTTCAGGAACTGCTTCGAGAAGAGTCACTACAGCCTGGTAATTACCGTACGTGCTGGCGATGTGCAGTGCTGTCTCCCCCATGGTGCCTGCGGAGAGAGCAACGTCAGAGAAAGACCTCACGCAGGTGGACAGGCCAAAGCCCTGGGTGGTGGGGGGAGCGTCCACTAATAATAATAACAATAATAATCCTACGCTACCTCCCTGCTCCCTGCAGGACTTCCCAACTCTTCCCTCCGCGAGCTGCAAACCATTCAGAACTCTGCAGCCCATGTCCTCTCCTGTGCCAAGCTCTGTGAACAGATCCTCAGCCAGGTTTTAGGAGCACCGTACAGTGCTGAGGTTAGGGAGAACGGGGAGGGTGGAGAGGTGGGGGGTGACTACAGGCGCGGTCGAAGAGGGATGAATAAAGAGGGGTGCGAGGCGGAGGGATCGAGGCAGAGAGTTCCAGAGGTTTGGGGCGAAGTGGCTGAAGGCACAGTCACTGATGGTGGTGCGGAGGGAGGAGGGATGGGTATGTGGCACTCTCCTGTGACTATCACAGAACGGATTTAACAAACCGCAGTGACCCTTTTTCTTTAGGAAAAACGTGTTCACCTGTTTGGAAGTTGTCGATCGAGGGGCATCGGATCAGCTTCTTGATATCCTGAACCATGTTTTCTTTGGCAGCGTATAAGAGAGGGGACTCGCTGATCCTGCGGGCAACAACAGCAAGAGTGAGACCGAGAAGACACCAGCATCGCTGGGATCGAACTAAAGCTAAGTCCATAGCCAACCTTCGAGCTACAGAGATGAAGTGAGCGTCAGCCTGTCCTTATCCCCCCCCATACCCCTGCCGTATGAGTTTCGTGGCATAAACGCCTTTTGTTGTGGTTGTTGTCCACGTACAATCAGTGGCCTCGAGAGTTTCCCCGAGACGACAGAGAGGGAGCAACGAGCAGAGGAATTTCAAGACGATCAAAGGCACAGCGAAAGAGCGAGGGTTTTAGAGAGGGATACACACGATATTCACAGGGTACGCTGTAAAGTGAATTGACTGTACATTTTTGTGTGTGTGTGTGTGTGGGGGGGGGGGGCAGCGAAACGCGACAGCCAATTCAATTGCGCACAGCGACGTCCCACAAACTAACAGTCGTGGGGTTGAAGTGACCAAATCATCATCTTTTTTTAAATACTTTTTTTTGATGGGATTATTACTCCCGGAAAAGCGATCTGACGAGGACCTGTGTTGTGTGTGTCTCTCCTGGGCTATTGCTGCTGTTACTTCCCTGCCCCTGTTCCTTGGAGTCCTGCAGCTCAGTGGTTAGAGCACTCGCTTTGCAAGTGAGAGACCTGAGTTCAATTCCAGGCAGAGGGCGAAACCTTGGGCAAGTTTCCTTACTCCACACAGAGCCTAATAATAATCCCTCCAAAACCAAAAACAATAGTAAATTGGTCATTTTCAATCCACGACTGTTTGTGGGACATTGCTGTGCGCAATTGGCCGCCGCGTTCGCCCACAAATATACAGTCAATTCACTTTACAGTGTGTTCTGTGAAGCGCTTTGGGACGTCCTCCCGATGTGAAAAGCGCTATATCGAATGCAAGGATTATTATTATTATATTATTATTATTATCCGCAGTGCAGTGCTCAGAGCCGGCCGATCACTCACCTCTTCTGCTGGAGCACATGCAGCTCCTGTACCTGCTGCCCGACTCCTGGGGTCCCTGTCTCTGTCCCTGTCTCCGGCCACACAGCCCGGAGCCTCCGCAGGGAACTGGCCATTAGACTGGTCATCTCTCCCTCTGTCTGTGCCTCTGTCTCTGCCTCTCCCTTTCCTCCGCTCTCAGCCTCTCAGGTCCTCACTGGGGAAACACTCTGGGCTCCTGTCCTAAGCCTAGCCCAACATTTACATTAATTAACATACCTTTTCCTCCCCCTTCCCTCCCTCCTCCTCTCCCTCTCTCCTCCCCATCTCCCTCCCTCCCAGACTCTACTAATTCCCAAACTATTTTTGGGGGGGAGGGGAAAGAGGTTTGATCAAAGTTTGTCCAAAAAAGTGGAAAACTTAAGATGTCAAGTTCAATCACATCCCCTGAAAGAAATATAGAAATATATAACAGAGACACAGAGAGAGAGAGAGAGACCTGATCTCACAGGGTTTAAAAGCACTCTCTCTCTGGGTTTTTTACAGAAAACTTCTCAGGGTTTATGGCTTTGAATCAAATAGAGCGTTTGTAGCGCATTCGAAAGGTGTCAATTAATGTGCGATTCGCTAGACATTCGATCAACACACACACAACACACACACACACACACACAACACACCTTAAAACCAGACAGTTACAATGCTCTGTCAAAGCTCAGATCCCCAGGTTCTTTGGTTTTCCCCCCCAAAGAAATTGGTCAAATATTGAGGTTGGACGCTGTGGCATATCAGGGATTGTAACTAACCGGTGATTTACTTATCGTTTCAGAAACCGCTTCTGCAAATGAAATCCGATGTGAAAAGAAACCTTAAAAAGACTTTGGCCGTGATCAGCAGCAAGAGGTCAATCCGATCAGGGTGAGTCTAACGTGGTGGGTCGAATGGCCTCCTCCCGTGCGTTAGATTGCCGTGGGGGTCCATCGGTGGATATTGCTGATGTACAGGGCGACCAAACAGTCCGTTTTCGTCACAATGTCCGATAAGTCTTAAAGAAATTATGATTTTTTTCTAGATAACAGGGTTAGTTATCACGACTTTTTGGTCACCCTTAATCCAAGACTCCTCTGACCCTATGCTTTGTGACGAGTCTGGTACCAGGAGGTAAAATGTAAAAATTAATGACAGTAAAATAAGCATAATTGAGATCCTTTACGGTACCATTTTATTTGAGAAGTCTTGTATCTTTGTTAATATAGCCTAGTGATAGTAGGGGTTAGTATGGAGTTATTAATGATAATAATAATAATCCTGATGTTTGATATAGCGCCTTATCACGTCTTTGAGACGCCAAAAAGCGCTTCACAGAATATACTGTAAAATGTAGTGACTGTGTACTTTGTGGACAAAATAATGATAATAATAATCCTCGCATTTGATATAGCGCTTTCCACGTCTTCTCGACGTCTCAAAGCGCTTCACAGAATAGACTGTAAAGTGAATTGACTGTATATTTTTGGGCGAAACGCAGCAGCCAATTGCACACAGCAGCGTCCCCCCCCCCAAGGTTTCGCCAGCCGGGAATCGAACCAAAGTCTCTTGCTTGCGAGGCGAGTGCTTTTAACCACTCAGCTGGGATTAGTTTGGAGTTATTGGGGTTAGTATTGACAGCTATGTGCCTGGTTAACACAAGCTTGGCTTCTGTTTGCTCTGCTGTTGATGCTCTTTAATGCTTTATTGAATGTTCCATTCACAATGTTAAATAAATGAGCTTTCTCTCCAGTCCCTGCTTTATTGTGTCATGGTGTTGATGTGTGCTCCGAGTCACCAAGGAACAGGTCAGTGCTGCAGACGACATGATAACCAACGAGGCTGATCGCCTGCGTTAGAGGAATAAGTTAAGAGCAACGACTTGACAAGCTGGGGCTCATCAGTCTTGAGAGAAGCTATCCAGAGAGGACCTTATAGAGGTGCGTCAAATGTTACAGAGATGGGCAATTTCAGGACAGATAGATAGACAGACAGACACACACACACACCCCCCACAGGAAGTTTTTGTGTACCTAGAAGACCCCGTTGACATGACACACTCAAAACCAAGTGGTGAGAGGGAGGGAGGGAGGTGTTGATTCTAACACCTGCCACTGGATGGCAGTGACACTCTACACAGAAACTTCAGACCACAGTGAAGCCAAAGAGAGGAGGACCACACACCAACTCCCATCTCAGCAACCACACACTGAGCCGATCAATATCGTCAGGGCATCTCCTCTGGGTCCACAAGAGAGAGGGAACTCAACGGTGATGCTGACAGAGGGTCCAGGTGAGGCTGAGACACCAACGCGCAGGACCCACAACGTCCCTGTTACCCTGCAGCCGAGCCCAAGTTGCTGCTCCTCTCTTCCTTAAGACATCTGCCCACGTGTTCCTCTCTCGCTCTCTCTCTCGAATGAGCGGCTGCTATTGTCTCGAACGGTATGGCACGAGAATCTGAAAAGTACCTGTATCGAGTGAGGCACTCGATCAAAGTCAAGTTTGTCCACAAAATACACAGTCACTACACCTTGCGGTAAATCCTGTGAAGGGCTTTGAGACGTCCTCCCGACGTGAAAGGCGCTGCATCAAACCGCGAGGATGACCTTTTTGGGGCTTATTCTCTCAACTCCGTTCAGCATCTCTCAAAGCTCTGTGAGGTGGCCTCAGTTGGAGGCTGAGCTTGTGTTGGTTGTCTTTGCTCCTGTCGTGGAACTCACACCGAATGGACAAAGCGCAGAGAATATTCTGTCTTCAGAGTGTCTGGGTGTGCGCACGCCAGCCTCAATCCAATCACCGGCCTCCAGTCAAGAACTTCTCAATTAAACACAGAACACAACAGATCAGGGAATCAATTACCTGCCCAGTCCCTGTTTTGTTTTGTTGCTATTTTGATCGCTTGATTGCAAATGGATTGAGGCTTCTTGATGAAGGTGCAGTTTGGTGAGAGAGCAAATTGCTGACCCCTGAGCAGTGTCTGCGCCAGTCGATTCTCTGGGCTCTTATCTCGCACTCCTTCCTCTGCTGCAATCTGCTGCCAATTCCACTGACATTCAGAGCTGGTCAGAGAGGTGAGGGAGGGAATGAGGGAGCGCTCTGAGACAATACCTCAGGTGAAGGGCACTGTGTAAATGCAAGTTGTTGATGCTGTTGTAGATTGATGGCCTGGACTGACACCAGCGATGTCGTTTGGATGAGATGTTAACCAGCCCACAGGACATTAAGAAGCTGCCCCCCACCCCCCGATCAATCGCAAGGTCCGAGGTAAGTCTGAGTTCAATCGGCTTTGTGTTTTCAGTTTTTTCTCGAATGAATATTTCTTGATCGATGGCCTCAATCCAGAACAATTGAGTTTGTTGGACAAGGTTGTCCACCCCTGAGATTTCATTCACTGGGTGTCATTGCAACAACAACAAAATTGTATTTACATAGCGGCGTTCAGTGTCTGTCGTGTTGGGAGGATGTCACAAGGCACTGGATGGTCGAAGGTTTGCACCTGGGAAATTGATGGGAGTTTCTCGCTCTCGGAGTTCAATTCTCCTGGCCGACAATCCCACAGACTGGTTGGTCTTTCACCTCGTGGCTGTGTAACATTGGCTGCTGCCTTCACCTGGATAAAAAGTCGCTTTGCTTGACAATCATTGTGATCAAGCTCACTGATCAGTGTGGTGACTGAGACAACCATTATTGGTGGAAGGAGGAGACACTGAGAGACAGAGAAAGAGAGAGCGCGAGAGAGAAGATAAGGAACTTGATAGAGAGAGGGAGACAGAGAGATGGAGAAAGGGAGACAGAGAGGTGGAGAGAGGGAGACAGAGGTGGAGGCAGAGAGATGGAAAGATGGGCAAATGGCAGTCGGTGGCTTGTTTGAGCGGCCTATTATTTTGCAAGCAGACAGTTTGGAAGGAGGAACACCCGGCCTCTGTTAGGCTCAGGCTGGCTGCTCAGAGCTCTGAGCCAGTCGCAAGCCAAGGACGAGATTGTGAGATGATCAGAATCACTCAAAGCATGAATGATTGATCACCTGCCCGCCTCAGGTAGTCTACAATTCATTACCATCTCCATATGCATCACTGTCTCCAGAACACGGGCTGTGGGGGGTGTCAGGGGCGGTCTGTCTGCCTGCTCGTGTTCTGTAAATGAGCCTCAGCGATCGAGACACAGAAACAGGTAATGGCTTCACATCAAATGTGTGGGAATCTCATTGATAAAGCTTCCCCAGGAACCCCTGGGTTTTAAACTGATGGAATAACAGATGACAGAGTTGCTGTGTGACGTTGTGTGTTCACAGGTCTCCATTTGTTGAGCAATGGGGGGGAGGTGGGAAAGACATAACTTGCGGCTGAGATGAACAGCAGTCTTTCTGTGCCCATCTTTTTTTTGAGAATACTGAGAATTACACAGAACATGACAGCAATGCCCGATAAACAGCCATGAAGTAAATGACCAATTCTATAATAATAATAATAATCCTTTTGGATCCGCATTTGATACAGCACCGTATCACGCCGTTGTGATGTATCAATGCGCTTCACAGGACATACGGTAATGCGCAGTGACTGTGTGTTTTGTGGGCGAGTCAGTTTGCACACAGTCACGTCCCACAAACAGCCATGGAGTGAGTGACCAATTTTATTGGGGGGATTGTGGGCCCGGACAGCGGAGAGAAAAAATCCCTTCCCTTTTCGAATAGCGCTGCGGGATCTTTAATGTCCACCTGGACAGGCAGATGGGACATCGGTTTAACGTCTCATCCGATGGATGGCACCTCCGACAATGCAACCCCCCCCCCCCCCCCCAGCACCGCATTGGAGTGTTAGTAGACTGTGAGCATTGAGCTCAAAGTCCCGCTGTGAATCGCAACCTTTGGAGTTTGCCGAAGAAGCCTCTTTACATTCGCTCACGCAATTCAGATGTGATGGTAGCCCTTCTGAATGCTTCTCCCCCCGCCCCCAACATCCCCCTACACCCCCTCCCGCACGCCCTTGACAGAGGCAAAGCAAATCACTGCGCTTGAGATTAAAGGGATTGGTATTGCTGAGCAGACACATTAAAAGCGAACAGGAGATCAGAGATGGAGAGAGGAGAGCTGCCTCGTTGCCTGGAGCATTTCATTATCAGGAGAGTAATCCTCTGGGACCTCACTTACATCATGTTGACACAGTTTGGGTCAAGACAAGGCTATTGAACTGAGGCCACTGATTGATGGTAAAAGTCACCTGTCCATCACACGTTTGGGAAGTCACAAAGCACCTGAG